CCTCTGCGCTGATTGTTAACCTCATATTGGCTGAAAAATAAAATGCCTCTAATATAATTTTGTAATATAATACCTCTGGGTGAGAAGGTGGCCAATAATATATCATCTTGCATGACATAGGCCATTTAATCGTTAAATTTATCAATGTCATTAATCCTTTTTCCATTTAATGAAAGTTCTCCTGATATTTTTAGATTGTCAGATATTAAACGACCTGACAAAAAATTCAATAAAGTAGTCTTTCCTGATCCTGATGGACCCAAAATAGCAGTAAAATGAGCAGGTTTCATTACTCCTTAAAGATTATTAAGCAAGCATTTTTCAGTGGTAGTCTTAACTTATAAATAGGTATTACCTTCCCAACTTTTATGGTGGCATTTATTATAAGTTTATCCCAAGCTAGTTCAATTGGTGTAAATTTTCCAAGTGAAAACTCAGCTCTATTATCAGTATTTACGAGTTGTTCCTCTCTGTTTCCTAAAATCTATGATAACGTTACCTAATGATTGAAGTTTATCTGTCATTCAACTAAATTTATTTATGGCTTTCAGAATATTACAAAAAAGCTTTATATTACTTGAAATTGATAAATTCTGAGTTTGGAATTCTTTAATTCCTACTAAAGATATATTTAGAATTAATTAAAAAAAATAGTAATTTTACATGACAATAAATTAATATATATTTTTATGTCCATTAATTATTGGAACTTTCAACAAAATCATTAGATATTGATTCAATACGAAAATACAAAAATATATATTAGATGAACAAGAGACTTGATTTAATAAAATGAAGTAAATAATTGAATATTCACAAACCCTCTCATTTTCTATTTTATTGGGCATTAAATAACAGATAATAATATATATATTGTTCATTCTCTATGTATAATTGAATTATGAATAAAATTTAACTTAAAATTATACATATATATCAAACTCATTTTTTATTTCCCTTTCCTTTTTTCTTAGCTTATTTTTTATCAGTTTTTGCCTCTTGAGGATCCTCTTTCACTTCAGTTGGATCAACATTCAACATTAGTTTGCTTGTCAATTTTATAAACTGCTCAATCTCATCCACGTTTCTTGATTTGAAGATGCAATGCTTTTTATCATCAGTGACAGTGAGTAAGGCTAATTGCTTGATTTTATAGTATTTAACTTTAGCTCTTGCTTAGGGTGATTCCATAAGTAAATCCAAAGCTGCTGTCATAAATGAATCCCACGATTTTAACATTATATTATTTAAATTAATGGACCAATAATTAACAGAAGATTAAATTGCTAATTATAAAGAAGCATTCTCTCTCTTTGATAAGGATGGCGACAATAAAATAAAAGTAAATCAACTTAAATTATATTTTATAAAGGTAGATGATTTGGGTTTATTAATCCGATCATTGAATTAAAATCCAACAGAGGCAGAAATAAGTGAAATGAAAAACGATGTTGATCCTGATTCTACAGGAATGGTTGATTTTCCTGAGTTTCTTAGTTTGATGGCAAGAAAACATAGAGATGTAGATCCAGAAGAGGAATTAATGGATGCATTTAGAATATTGGATAAATCTAATAAAGGAACAATAAATGCTAATGAATTAAGACATATGGTCAAATCTATGGGAGAAAGATTGACTGAGGAAGAAGCAAATTAATTAATTAAAGAAGCAAATCCAGATAAAGATTTAGAAATCAGATATGAAGACTTCGTAAAATTGATTACAACAAAATACATTTTATGAAAGCTTTTTTTATTGTCGAGCAGTTATATTATAAATAAATTTAAAATGAATAGTAGCGCTTTAAATAAATCCAGAAGACAATAAAGTTCTTATGATTCAAATTCATAATTAAGAACTATCCTCTTGGCTTCTTTGGCAAAATTGCAGTACACTTATAAACTTCTATTTTAGTTCCCAAAGCACTGCTTAGACAGGATTTAGTGAATTGAGGTAATTGATTGCCTAATTGTCATAAAATTAATTTGTAATTTTAACAAATCTGCTTGATTCAAATGATCTTTCTAAATAGGCAAAGAAGGATTATATTAAAGTCTTTGGGCTTTTAGCTGAAATAAGAGGTAATGATATCTAAGAATAAATAACGAGAGTAGTTCAAATAATTAATAAAAGAATTTCAGAGGGTACAAATATTTAATCAATTGTCAAATAGGAGACTCATCTTTTTTACAGGTTATTTCAGACACTTTTGCAAATATTAATGAATTCACAATTCAAACATCTCCTAATTAGTACGATTTATTCTTCTAAATCACTGAATTACTGCAATCTAATTTTATTCATAATAATAAGGTAGCTTAGTTGATAAGTGCAGCCTCTCTATGTAGACTTATCAAAACTAGCAAATCGCAATTATTAGAGCTTGTTTGCAAATAATATACATAAAGAACTCTAGAAATATTGAAGTAAATTTAAAGTTCTACTTAGATCACCCCATTGTTAAACATAATAAGGTTTATTAGAAAGCCTGTTGTGTATAATCTTAAGTGTAGAAGAAATCTTTGAGCCTTGTTTGGAAGACTGTTTAAATACAATTTGCAATTGTCTCTAATCATCAGAATGGAATTCACGGTATCATTTATTTTATGATTAGTAAAATTGCAGTGGATATATTGTATACATTAAGTGTTATTTTCCCACATTATTTTAGGGCGAATTAATAGTACTCAAATAAGATTAGCGAATTACGATTTGATAAAATCAAGCATGTAAGAGATGCTGCTTCAATTGCTATCTCATCATTAAAAGAGTCTTAAACTTTATAATAATAATCCTAAAGAGAACATAAATCTGTGTTTAAGTAAAATGCTAATAAAAGTTTTTTTGAAAAAAAATATGACATATAAATCGTTGAGAACAAGCCAAAAGAGGTTGAAATACAAAAGCAATAAAATTTTGGATATGAACCATAATTAAAAAGGGAAAGATTTTATAGTAATGAAAAAAGGTAATCGCCTTTTTAAATTTTGACTGAATCAAATGTGCTAGCATCTCCTCATTAAGAATAAATTTAACAGATGGATTCTAATCTAAAAATAAATAGTTTTGGATCTAGTTCCAAGAAACGATAAGTCAATCTTAGTTAAGAAATTTAAACATCTAATCAATTAATAAGTTCATCCACACCTAAAAAATAATAATAATAAACAGATCTAATTAAATTGTGTGATACTGCTAAAGCTAAGTAGTTAGCTTATTATGAATAGATAATAGCTAAAAGAATTGAGGAGTCAGAATAGACAACTAAGCAGGAATTTACTAAAATTAATAATAGAATAGATAAAATAGAATTGCTATTAGAGAAGTTAAATGAAACAATTGAAAAGAAATTATAATAATAGTAATAGTAATAATAATAATAATAGTAATAGTAATAATATTAGTAATAGTAATAATAATAATAATAGTAATAATAATAAATATAATAATAATAATAATAATAATAATAATTACTTTGTTTGAAGAAAAAAGTACAACCTGTTGAGATTTATGAGGATCAAATGATTCCTTGTCTACTTCATTCAGAAAATTAATAATAAAAGAATTAACTTATCTATGATTCATTAAATGTGGTTAACTAAGAATAATAAGAGAATTCCAAAATGAAAGATTTATTTTTTTTTGGATAAAAATGTGAATTAATTTCTGACTCAAAATTGGGAGAATCAAATTTTGAATTTAATTCAAGAAAAATGAGTGAAGCTGATTGTAAAGAAAGAGAAAATCATCAAAGATCTACTTCAGAAGCTTCTCCTTAAAGAAATAGAGATCAATCAATTCTAACTAATGATAGCAAGTAGACAAAGGAACACAGTTCTCCTTAACCTCAATTTAAAGATCCAAAAATTCAAGAATAATAGAAGATAATGTAAAGAGTGGAGGAACAATTAAAAGTAATGTTAATATCTAATTTTAGAAAGAAAATATCAATGAAGCCTATTGTACTGCATTAACATCATTAGATGATTAAATAATTATATCAACTATGATGAAGACAGGCCCTTGTACTGAAAAACTTGATTCTACATAAGTGGAATTTTTATTGCATAAACTAAGAACTCTGGATTGGATTGAAAATGCACTTTAACATCACTTAGCTAGGATGCCAGCTATCCTGTTAAAATCAATATCAACATAACTAAATAATATCCAAACAACAGACCAAGTAAAGAGAATTTAAGATTTAATTGATAAGAAATAGACTGCGACATCAAAATGAAGAATCAATAAACCTTTTGGATAATGAGATATTTATAGAGATAAAATTTTAATGATTGAATTAATTATGTTAATCAAGGTTTTATTTCTGTATATTCTAATTAATTTATTATTGTGTTTATTTTCTTCTATATTCACTTACATTTAATCTTATTCTGTTTATTTTGAAAGTCATTTGCTTCGCATAGGTGATTTAAAGTATGGATAGGACTTTTATAAAGTAAGGGTTCATAATTTACTTGCATATACGCTAGAGTTCATAATTGCATTACTTTAATCGTAAAAATTCAGTTAAGTCATTCTAGGACTTACAGATTCAATTTTTTTTCAAAATATTTACCAAATGAGAACAAATAAACAACTTCATTTTTGTTGTCATTTTTGTCATACTAGTGAGAACTAATAAAGATGAAATAACTACAAATTGTAAATATAATCAACTAAAGATATGGTAACTCCAAAAGAATAAATTACAAGTATAATTCGTAAAAGGTTATTTATCAAATTTCCAAGGCAGCCCAGGATGTTAGAAAGTAGCTGATCTTATTTTGATATAATTTTTTTGTTTTCATTTAAATTTTGTTTTAGTATAGGTATTAAATTTTATAAGTATTAATCAATAATTTTTAAGAATATGTTACCCTTTAGGCTTTGATTATTGATATACTCTACTAATGTTTGTTGGTTCCTTGAATTATTTACTATAATCTTTATTATTTCAATTTCTTAAGAAATTATTTTTATGTGGTAAATTAAATCAATGAAAATTAAGTTTTCATTCAATAAAATTCTTGAAGCAATAAGTAAAAACCTAATCAAACCATAAAAGAATATAGAGATTAGATTGGATAGATTATCTATGGATCCTCATCATTATTGGATAGCTGTTGCCAAAGGAATGGAAAGACCTTTCACAGGAGAGTTTTGGAATGTACATTTTTGTCATATTTGCAAGCATGAGCAATAAGGTGTTTATTAATGTTTCCATTGCAAAATTACATTATTTTAAAGTGAGGCCAAATATTAGGCATAAACAGGTTATGCCTCCTTCTTTTAGCATCATAAAAACAGTGTGAAAATCATTGAGACTAAAGAAAAATTTGTAATTTTATAACAATAAAGAGGTACTCAGCTCTCAAGTGCATGAATTGTTAATCTTACATTGGATAAATTTCTAAAGACGGACCACCACCAACATTTTTAAGATATTCGATTAATTCTGGTGCTTTGAAATTTTATCAACCGAAATCAATTAAGCAACTCTAATAACAATCATAATAATGAATATTGAGGATATATTGATTATGTAAATATTCAAATCTTATCGGTTTGATGTCTCTTGTTAATTCTAATGACTTTGGTCTATATAATATGAGATTAAGCTCTCTTGATCTGCTATTGACCTTTCTTCTGGTTTATCAGCATCTCCAAATCATTTTACTATTCCTAAAGATTATAAGAGATAATAGGTAAATATTCAATAAACTAAGGTTCTTACAAAGCTTTCTTTATAAGAGAAGAAACATTTTTTAATATTGAAACAATCAAATTCCAAACCTTAAGGAAATTCTCCTCTTCATTTTCTAACCTTTCCAAAGTAGGTTTAAGTACTTAACTAGAATCTTTAAGTTTCTTGCCATATTATTATACAATAATTGGTGCAGCTTCTAATTCTCCTATAAGATCAATGTTTTAATTGCATTGATGAGCCACTAAAATGAGAGGGTGTTCACAATTTAACAGTTCACAAGTAGATGCAGTTGGGGAAATCTTAAATTTATCAGAGGAACATGCTGTACCCATTGAAAATTTAATATTTTATATTCTAAATCTAATATAAGGGAACTAATTAACTAATATATGTTAAGAATTAAGAAATTTGCATCCATCACCAAAACGATTCTTTTTCAATAGAATTTCGTATTCTTATTTTAAAATATCGTTATATTTAAGAAAAGTCTCTACTTCAAATAACTTATTAATATAGAAATATAAATTAAGTTAAAACTCCTTGTTTATTATTTATATATTTATGATTTTTAGAGTCTTATATTCATAGTAGCTTGTGTTGAAGGAAAGAATATTTAATTCAAAAACAAATTATATATAGATTTAATATACTAGTATTACGATAATATTTTATTATTAAATTTTAGTAATGAATTAACCGAGAAGCAAAAGTTTAAGAGTTGACACTTCTAGTGAATAATCAAATCTAAATAAGGAGATGGTTACAAAATTATAATCTTTAAACCCTTCTTCCTTTGTTACTTATGAAGTTTTGGATTTATTTTTTACTCAATTATAGTCAGTTTTAAGAGAAATATAAGTTAAATAACAAGACTTTGAAAAAATCTTTAGTTATTTTAAGACATTTAATGAATTCGAAAATAAGCTTAATGATTTAGAATAAGTAGTGAATAGAATAGCTTAAGTAGTAATTCCACTTCAGGAAGAATTAATTGAGAAAGTTTAAAAGAGTCAAATATAACAATAANACCAACATTTTTAAGATATTCGATTAATTCTGGTGCTTTGAAATTTTATCAACCGAAATCAATTAAGCAACTCTAATAACAATCATAATAATGAATATTGAGGATATATTGATTATGTAAATATTCAAATCTTATCGGTTTGATGTCTCTTGTTAATTCTAATGACTTTGGTCTATATAATATGAGATTAAGCTCTCTTGATCTGCTATTGACCTTTCTTCTGGTTTATCAGCATCTCCAAATCATTTTACTATTCCTAAAGATTATAAGAGATAATAGGTAAATATTCAATAAACTAAGGTTCTTACAAAGCTTTCTTTATAAGAGAAGAAACATTTTTTAATATTGAAACAATCAAATTCCAAACCTTAAGGAAATTCTCCTCTTCATTTTCTAACCTTTCCAAAGTAGGTTTAAGTACTTAACTAGAATCTTTAAGTTTCTTGCCATATTATTATACAATAATTGGTGCAGCTTCTAATTCTCCTATAAGATCAATGTTTTAATTGCATTGATGAGCCACTAAAATGAGAGGGTGTTCACAATTTAACAGTTCACAAGTAGATGCAGTTGGGGAAATCTTAAATTTATCAGAGGAACATGCTGTACCCATTGAAAATTTAATATTTTATATTCTAAATCTAATATAAGGGAACTAATTAACTAATATATGTTAAGAATTAAGAAATTTGCATCCATCACCAAAACGATTCTTTTTCAATAGAATTTCGTATTCTTATTTTAAAATATCGTTATATTTAAGAAAAGTCTCTACTTCAAATAACTTATTAATATAGAAATATAAATTAAGTTAAAACTCCTTGTTTATTATTTATATATTTATGATTTTTAGAGTCTTATATTCATAGTAGCTTGTGTTGAAGGAAAGAATATTTAATTCAAAAACAAATTATATATAGATTTAATATACTAGTATTACGATAATATTTTATTATTAAATTTTAGTAATGAATTAACCGAGAAGCAAAAGTTTAAGAGTTGACACTTCTAGTGAATAATCAAATCTAAATAAGGAGATGGTTACAAAATTATAATCTTTAAACCCTTCTTCCTTTGTTACTTATGAAGTTTTGGATTTATTTTTTACTCAATTATAGTCAGTTTTAAGAGAAATATAAGTTAAATAACAAGACTTTGAAAAAATCTTTAGTTATTTTAAGACATTTAATGAATTCGAAAATAAGCTTAATGATTTAGAATAAGTAGTGAATAGAATAGCTTAAGTAGTAATTCCACTTCAGGAAGAATTAATTGAGAAAGTTTAAAAGAGTCAAATATAACAATAAGCAATAGACAAATACTTTTCGACATTCCCATAATAATTAGATCTCATCCTTAATGATAGATTAAACTTTCTTGAAAATTAAAATAATCACTTAGCAAAACAATCCAAAAACATACAAGAAGATTTGGATGAAATTTAGAATCATGTATTTAATCCTCTATTTCTAGATTACAAAACAAGATAATGATATGCTAATCCTATTAAAATCTTATAAAGAGCTGTTATCAATAGATCCTCAATACAAATAACTAAAATAGTAATTAAATTCAATTAGTGAAGGCTTAAGTGATATTAAATAACAATTTTATTTATGAAATTGAATTCTAAATTTATTATATTTTTATTAGTCTACAATTAAGCAATTGAAAATAAATGCAACATATTAAAAATATAATAATATGATCAAATATTTAAATAAGATTAGATATAATTTTAATCCAAAAGATTTCTTGATACTCTCCAACTTCTATGAATATATAATTCAGTTGTTTTCACCAATTAACTATATTGGGAATCTTCTTAGGTTTAATTTATATGCAATTTTTTTTAAAGTTCAAAAATAGAGTAGATGCTTTGCAAATATTATGATTAATGTCCTCCAATAAATAAATTGATGAATGAATGCCATAAGGTTTTACTAAAATTAGAATATAATCTATGGAATGTTCATAGTTGGTTGCTATTTATTGTACTTTATTACCATAAATTTTGATTCAAATTCTGTTGGTCTTGAATGAATTCTACTAATTAAATTAAAATTTTATGGGTAATTTGTGTTAGAAAGAATAAAATGCAAATTGTTTTGATCAATCTTCTATCTATTTTGAACCAAGAAGTGGAATTTACATTAAAGAAAACCTAATTGACAAATATTTATTCAACCGATAACAATCTCTCTTAATGCCTAGTGTAAGTAGATTAATCATCAAAGAAGAATTGGGAAAAGAGACTGAAATACAAAAAATCAGAGAAAGTGGTCATAAAAACAGTAGGTTTACCCAGTGCACATCTAACTAAAACTTAGGGGAAAGCAGTATTAATAATAACACAATTTAATTGATTAATGTAAGTTCTGAGAGGTATCTCCATTCTCATAGGATACGGCATCAAAATTCTCGATTGAATGAAGTATTGTGTTGCTAGGATTGTCATAATGAATATGATACTTGGGTTTTTGAAAACATTAATGAAAATGTAGTTAAAGTATTAAAATATTGATTTAACTGTTAGTTATATCACCCTTTAACTAAATGTTATTTGAAAGCCCAATAAAGAAGTAGCAATGGATAGATTGAAGTTGGAGGAAGCGACGAAGGTGATGAATGGAGCATAGAGAAAATAAGTGATAATATAAGTAAATAAATTTAAAAATTATAACCTGGTTAGAAATTAAACACTAAAACACTGGGTACTATTTACAAACTCATGTAAATTAGTGTAATCTTGAAGGCCAATTAAAAGTCTCATTATAATAGATAGATTGTGGCAAGCCAAATGACAATCAAACAATTTGGAAAATAATTGAAATTTGATAACAAATAAATTTAGTTTTATATGATATTTAAAATTTTGAATTAACCTTTTCTCAATCTCCTTAAGAAGATTCGTTTTAATATTTAATCTTATATCTATATTTAAATAATTAACTTTATCCCATCATTGTGTTTTGAATGATAACGTTTAGCTTAAATAATTAATATCCTGATGAGATGAGAATTGTATATGTAATTATTAATGTTTATATATATATTATTATTCTTTTTCAATTTAAAATGCAACTCTCATAAGTTGGGATCATGTATTTAATATTTATATAGGCATCCTATTATATTATTAATCTAAAAGTGTTACTTCTCCTCCTGTTTATTCAAATAATTCTAATGTTTCTTAAATCAAGTCACCAATGTTAACTCTTTTTCTTTGGTTGTACTCAATAAAATCACCCAGATTAGAATTTCTGTTTTTATATAAATTCATTATTGGCAACAATTGTCTATAATAAGGTACTAATAATTTGAGATTTGTGTAATACCTAATGCCTCCCCAACCATTTCTCCACTCAACACTAATTTTTGTAATACCTTTAATTGAACTTCCATAATACTTGGATCTCTAGTATTCAAATTTGCTATTATTGTAATAATCCATATTACTTTTGATTGGAATAATCAATTATGGAATAACTGGTAATATCTTATTACCTCCATTCTCGAGTAATCCATATGTTCCCAAGATTGCCAAGAATCTGTAAGGATCCATTTTTTCCTTATTTTAAATTTATCAAAATACTCTTAATCCATCAAAAAAGATTGGCAAATAATGATGATAATCCAATTGTTCTGGAGATATTTTCCATATAATTCTATTTACACTTCCTTAATGATCAACCTATTGATATTTTGAAAATTGGAACTTTAATAGGTAAATCCCCTCGATCATAATATCTCCTGAAATCTGAAACTGATATTGTTCTTTGGTCGTATGCTCCTGCTTTCGGTGGTGCAGGTCTGTATTCTTCTTTCTTCTATAATTATGAACTAGTTCTTCCTCCTGTTCCTTAATGAGTCCCCTAATATTTATCTATTTAATCTCAAACAACACTTTACTTGTTATTAGAGCATTTTAGGAAGTCTCGTGAACAGGTTCAATTACTTTTTATTAATTAGCCTTTTCTTTTGGTATATATTCTTTTGGAAAATCTCCAAAAGGTGAATGAGGATTCTTTGGGGCATATGGGGTTTTCCACGCTTTATAATTCTGTATATAATTCGGTAATTGTCTTACTTAGTTTTCTTGTTTTTTCAATATGTTTTTAAGATGATCTTCTACTATCTGTTATGATGCCAAATTCTCTTTTCTTCCAACTGCTTATCCTTAAATTTTTGGAAGCATTTAATTATTTAATTTTTATTTATACAATAATAATAAGCATCGTTCTTGATAAGAAGTATGCTTCTTGTCCTATAAAAGAAATACTTGTCGATATATCCTAAATTTCAAGTAGTAAATGGAAGAAATTATAAATTTGAGTTAGCCATTTCATTTAATCTTATAGAGATTTTATTTAAATCAAATTTATTCTAATAATTTACAAGCTAGAATTTGAATCTGTTTGCTTCCACTTTGACTTAAGAGCTCAAGATAATTACCAATCTTCGATTCCTTGAGTGATTTCATTGCATCCTAATCGCTTATCAACGAAATAGCTACAATTTGAATTGAGATATTTACATAGCATCAAATATTTAAGACTTTACCAACATGAACATTCATAGCATTATTTCAATTTGATTTCAATTAATGGCAGGTATTTTAAATCAGGAAATCTTTAGATTAAAATATAAAGACACTCAAGCAAAATGGAAAGTACTTTGCATGATTCTAATTTATAGAGTTGATATATTACATTCTATTTCGATTAAATCAGTTAGACTTTATTCATAAATCTTGAGATTTTTATGATCTAAGTGCTGATAAACATTTCTAAAAGTATTGGCATTGTGCATTCTGAATTTTTCAATATCTCCGGAAGGACTATGTTATTTGCTTAATGTACTAATAAGATTTTCAAGGATCTATTGGTTTTCTTTGAGAATATATTTAATTGAAAATTCATTGCTCTAAGTCTATATTGATAATATATATGAAGTAATTTTCTAGAAGATTATTAGTTAGCAATCAGAAAAATTGATTTATAGAACAACTTTCCAAACATATTTGTATTCATATATATTAGCTTATTATTGTAATTTGTCTGTGTAATATTTGATTACGTTTAGTAATTTTGTAATCAAATTAATCTTTATCTCATATTTTTCTAAATTGTCAGAATCATTCAACAGTTGCTCAATGGAAAAATAGTTGATTTTCCATAGGATTTTACAGAGTATATTAACGTTTAACAAGATTAATTGTAAGTCTTTGTATTCTTAATTAAAACTTTATTCAACAAAGACTGATAGAAATCCTAAAAGACTAATTACACATTTTTCATTATTTTAGATCTCAACAGTCTCAAGCATCCATTTGATTACGATTAAAAAATTGTTTTATATTAAATGATTTAAACATGCATTTGATTTTCTGGCTATATTTTCTAGTATGAGTAAGAGTAAATCTACGAAATCCAATGAAAATTAAGAACAATTATAAAATAAACCATTAAGTTAGCTTAATAATTGTGATGACTACAAAAAGGCTTCGAATTCATCGATAGTACTCGAAAATGTCAAACCATAGATTATCAATAAAATAGTTTCTAGGATATCATCTGAATATTAAGCATAATTCTCAAGAATTTCAAAAATGAAATTGAATTCATTCAACGATATAGATATTGTTTTTTCTACTAAAATTTTAGTGTATAGTTGTTTGAGGTGACCGAGCAATTAAGATTAATCTTAGGCTAGTAAATTTTATTTGATTTGAATAAAGATTTGGGATAGTGACTGATTCAATGAAGACTATTCAACCAACATTAATCGTCTGCTTTTAAAAATAGCTTCTATCTCTTGTTTTCTAATGGAAACTCGAAATTCTTCTCTTTTCTAAGTTAAAATTGATTAAAATTACATAATAATTATGTTCAAAGTTAAGATTCTCCAATTATTTGACTCCTTTGTGCTTAATACAGTTGGTCCTTACTATAGAAGATTAGGAAAGAGCTTATTAACCTAGGGGAATGATATTTTGGGAAGTGAGGCCAGCGATGATCGTTTAGTGTAATGTTTGAGATAAGTGGAAGCGAAGGGACATACACCCTAGATTGGAGATGCAATATTTACAGCCCCAAATTCAGTATTGATTGGAAATGTTATTTTAAAACAAAAGTAAGGTTAAGAAATTGATTTGATAGCTCATCTATATGGTATGGGGCAACCTTAAGAGCAGATAATAATTCAATAACAGTGGGAAAGAATTCATTAATTTAAGATAATGTGTACATAAAAGCAACCAAAACAATTACAGTTGGCAACAACTCTTTAGTTGGACCTAATTCTAATTTACAAGGGTGTACAATAGGGGATGATGCATTTATTGGCATGGGATCTACGATTAAAGACGGTGCAAATATTCAAGGCATTGTTGCAGCAGGTTCTCTTGTTCCAGAAGGCACAGAAGTTAAATAAGGAGAAGTATGGGCAGGATCTCCAGCTAAATATTTAAGGGATATTACTCCTTAAGAATTACAGATTTTGAGAGAATATAAATAAGAGTTACTAGAATTAGCCTAGGTGCATGGGGAAGAGACATCAAAGAATTTCAGATAAGTATGATGATCTATCGAATTAGATTGTTGTAGATACCGATGAAAGATTATATAAATAATCAAGGGGAAATGAAGAAGAAGCTTTGTAGAAAATAGCTGAATTGAATTTCCCATTAGAATATGAAGATGAGGAATTTATTGAACAAAGAGTATTCATGAAATAACAACCACCTATGTTCATGGATTCTGAAAACTTGAAAAGTCAATAAGATTAATATGAATAAGATTTAAGCTAATTTTCAGAGAGTAAACATATTAATTCAATCCTTAGATATGTAGAAATATTCAGAAGACTATCAAATATATGAAGAAGCCAAGAAATACTTCGAGTAGAACCCATAAGCAAAAGCTAATCAATTTGCACCCAAATCAGAAATTCCAGATGATAAACCCTGGAGTAGAAAGTATTGATTTCATCATGATATATAATACCAACATAAATTTAAAATCGAACAAACTCTATCTTTTCTTTAACAGGTTTATAAATAAATGTCATGATTATTTCTTAAGTGAAACTTTGCTAATTATGTGCTTAAAACAACTAGATTGAGATTAGTAAAAGAATGAAATAAAATATGTGGATTCAAAGAAAAATCTTATTAAGTAAGTGCAAATCCATAGCATAAATTAGTGGTCTATTAAATTTGATTCTAAACAACATATAAATATGTTATTATTATCTTATTTATTCTTTATTTTCTTCACTTTGGTTTAATTCAACTTTACCATTATTTTTTACTAATTTAGTAACAATTATATTTCAAGCAGTAATTGGAAACTGATGTATTTAGAGGCACATTTTAGATTATTAAATTTCTACCTCATCTTTAATACTTTACTTTTCACTCAATATCAATTTAACTCTAAAGTTCATCTTCTAAAATTTTCACATTCAAATTCAACACACATATCCTATACATCATCCTGTATGCTAGCACTTAAATTAGTAAATTGATCATTAATTTTTATTAAATGGATTAATAATAAATTATCCTATAAAATTTAAAGGAACTCTTAAGAAATATTAGAACTGATTTATTGATTAAATACATTGAAGTTATTGTATACTCGATATCTATTTGCTTTATTCAAAAGAATACTACATTATACAAATTTTATTAGAGTTCATTGATAGTTTTTATTTAGGTAAATATACTTTTCCTCATTAGAAAAGAGCATAGCCTTAACCCATTATTACTCATACTTAATTTATAAACACAAAAAGTAAGTTTAAAACTATGATTATAATTGGAGTGAGCCATTTAATAATCTATAATCTTTTGACCCAGATCAATTAAACAACAGCATAATTATATATCACACAAATTTCTTGATTGTCAAAATCTCTAATTTAATGTACCAATCTGTATTCTACTTAGTTTTGAAATCGTTCTCTTTGTATCCACACCTTATGAAGTATATAGATACATATCAGCTTCTATTAATTCTTATTCATATATCATACTATTAGAAATCACCTTATATTTTGCTAGAAGAGTTTAATAACTATTACTTCCCTTTCTTGCTGTGTTTAAATGTTGTTTTTTGTTCTTATTTTCCAATCTCAGAAGAAATAATCAAATAACACTATAGAATTACCAAATAGAACACATAAATATTTAGTTACAAGAGAAAACATGTTTGGAAACTGAGTTAGATTGTATAATCTGTTTAGAGAAAATAACTGGTAAATGTATAGTTCTTCAATGTGATCACTCTTATCATAAAGAATGTATAGACAACTGGGTTAAACAAAAGCCAATATGCCCTATGTGTAGATCCTCTATTAAATGATCCTAATTTAATATTTATTTAACAATTACAGAAATAAGTTAAAATTATATTTAAAGATTCATTAAATTGCAATCAATTTGATAGAGAAGAATTTAACAACATTGTAAATTAAGATATCTTTTAAATTATATTAGAATGGTAGAAATCTTTTAGATATTAATTTAATTTAGAATATTCAAAAATTGAATTAATATTTTATAATATTCTGTCTCCTGTATGATATGTTCATACAAACATATAACTAAAGTATATCAGCATATTTATCTAATAAATATTGTATAATTATTCTTAAGAAATGTAATTTAAAGTTATTTGTAATTATTATATATTTATTACAATTTTAATGTCTTAATCCAGATTTGATGTTAATGATTAAGTTTAGATTCCTAATGGAGATGCAAAAAGGGGATAGCAAATGTTTGAGTTTAAGTGTAGTGCTTGTCACAATTTTGAAGATGATAAATAAGAATTAGCTGCACCAACATTAAAGTATCAATTAAAATCATCAATCAAGAAAAATAATGGGGAAGAGAATAGGATCAACTTTGTTTCATTACTCTAAATCAATGAGAAATTGCAATGAGACTTGGACTGAAAAAAACATGTTTCTATTTCTTAAAGATCCAAAAGCTTATTTTAGAGATACAAAAATGGCATAAACAAAGATTGCAAATCCTTAAGAAAGAGCAGATATTATTGCATTCTTGAAGAGTTTGTGAATATTTGAATCAGTTTATAGACAACAATCTTTTTTACTTTATTTTTTCATCTAAAGAAGTAGGGATAAATCGAGAAATTCTTCTATTCAATGATCCAGTGCGGCTTTATTAAAATTAGAATTGGGCTTATGCTCTTTGTTTATCCAAATCCGTAAAAAGTCTAAAGTAAATAAAATGTATACTAATTAGCTTATTAATAGGCTTAGCTTTAATCAACAGATCTGCTAGGTTTCTTTTGGATGTTGAGTGTATTTTATTTAAGAGTATTCATAAATTTTAAGGATCTTTAAGTCAAATCCAATGAAGGAGGTTTTTATTGTGGTAATTCTATAATTTGATTATTAGGAGATGATAGATCTAATTAAAATTTATCATTTGAATGATCATATTATAAAGAGTTAAAGATCTACAAAATGTCAGAAAATTCTTTTTCATTCATTCTTTCTATGAATGGTCTCAATTATTACATTTTTTGATTCATTTTTTATGGATTTTCAAACAATCTATCAAACACATCATTTTCAATCCTCTATTTAAATTTCATTTGATTAATTTGTAGATGTTTAGATTCCAAAAGATTTTCAGTTTTATTTATTTTTCTTGTAGAATATTAATTCACTTAATTAGTTTAAGTATGTTTATTAACTTTTTTAGCTTTACTTTCTCTATCTGAAGTGGGTTAATTTAAAATTATGCTTGTTATTTAATCTTTTTCATCTGTTTAAGTAAATTTTGAAAGGGGAGTAATATCTGCATTTGATGCTATTTTATAAGCTTAATGTTGAAAAAGTAGAAGTGACTACTGGGATTAAAATAGTACACATAAAAAGGGATCTATATTTGCTATTTATTATTGGATTGTTGAAATTATCTTGAATTAATCTTTGGACCAATCAAATTTATCTAACTAAGAATAAAGTTATGCTTTTTAATCAATAATCGTATACAACAACCTCGTATTGTCATGCATAAATTATATTTATTGCTATTGTGATTTAATTGTAATCTATAATTTATCTATTTCTAATTTGTAATTAGCGTTATCATTTAGTAACTATTATATCTTTTTATTTAAAAAATCTATTTGTTACTGAAATTAAAATGAGTTCTCATTTAGATTTTTATCTAATTAGGTTTTTAACTGTTGTGAATAATAGGCAGATTATTCTTAGATTTAAGATGTAAGATTCACCACTTATCTTTTATATTATTATAATTGAATTGCAAATTGAGCAGATAATAAGGCTTAAGATTCCTACATCTAATTTTTTATTTCTTACAGTTTTCTTAGATCCTGTTTATTACATCTTAAAATCTCATTTATCTCCTTGTACGAAATGCCATATTGTTTTTCTTGGTTTGTTAAAACACAAAGTAAAAATCTACAAGATCGTTATTCTTCAATCAATTTCCAAATTATATAGGGATTCGATTGTTTATTCAAAAGTAATTTAGTTAATTCTTTTTCTGTTAAATTTTCAACTGATCTATTTGAATCATCCTTTTGTTTTGTTTAGATAGTTTCAATTTGTTGTGATTTCTTTCTCTACATAAACTATTAGACATATCTTTCATATTGTTATTTAATATTCCTAATTTTTTCATTCATCATCTCACAGACTTCAGGTTCTAAAGTGGAAGTTCTATCAAAATATACGACTTCTATATATTCGTTAAGTTCTTCCTCTTAACTTTAAATTCTAATCTATTATTTCAACGCTTAAACTTCTTTAAAATGTGCAGTAGTTAATTAATCAATAGAATTTCTTCTCCTCAATTCTTTAGCTTCATATGATTATAATTATGTCTTTAAATCCTGGATAATAGAATTCAATTTTTGAATTTCAGGGCTGAATTCTTTAAGATGACCTGTCTTATTAATAGACGTTATACCAATTTAATTTAGAAACTTTCTTATTCATTGTCACTAGAAGTCTCACTAAATCCTTCTGGGTTTTAAATTTCTTCATCGATTTATCTTTTGAGCTTTGAAAATTCATATTTGCTAAGAAATTCTTGCAAACGTTGTAATTTACAATTAAGTTCTTATTTAATAATGTTTCTCTCATAATGATACTATATTTAAACTTTATTTGGGCCATCTATAACGTAATCTAATGCAAATTTCATTAAACACAAAACCAAACATTCCACTTTGTTTTGACATTCCTAACTTAGTTGAATACTTACAAGGATTGACTAGATCATTGAATCTTATAATTTAACTTCCCTAAGTGCTCTAATCTACATCATAATTGGATAAACTAGTTGATCTAAATTGAGTAACTGCATTATAATTAATTAATAATATATAGATGTTCATGTATTAGAAATGGTTGTATTTAATTTAGGATAATAGTGAAATGAGTATAATATTATTTTATTGATTAAACAATTGATAGTATTAGGTATTCTCTTAAACGTAGACTGAATTAATTAATAAATAAATGGGTAATTACTTCAACCAACAAGCTAATCCAAATCATGGATTGTTACAATTTTTAAGATAACTCAACTTGCCTGAAATTCAAAAGGTCTCCAAGTATGTACAATAAAATTACCCTGCAACCAATTTGTTATCCTTGGGTGAATTCTTTGATGTCTATCATGATATTCTTAAATAACATTGCGGGGAAATGTTTGAGACTCTCGAGAATAATCATAGTACAGACGGCTAAACAGATATTTATGAGAGTCAAGCTGTTTTAGTAAGTGATACTTCTAGAATTAGATCATTTTTTCTGATACCGATTTTGCTACTAAAGTCAAATACATAAGCTAAGTATTCGATTTGGATAAATCTCAAAAACTTGAAAAGATCGAACTTATTATGATTTTCTAAACAGCCATAAGAGCATTGTGCAAAATAGTCAAGATGAAACCACCTAGATTTACTGATATTGAATATTATGTTGAAGCCATTTTCATTGAAATAGACAAAAATCTAGATCGTACCATCTCGTATGAAGAATTATATTCGTGGTTGGATAACAACTATCAACTTTAGGATTTTTTATTAAAATATGCCTTAACTCAGACCTATCAAAATGCTAAAAGAAGAACTCAAGAGATTTTCAATTCTAAAGCCTTGTTCAAACCTGATCAAGAGCAATGGATTTAAGACTACATTAGGTAAGCGGAAGAAAGTTACAGTCAACTCCTACAAAGAAAGAAATTAGTTTCTGATAGAGTCAAGGATGAAATTAATTATGCTTGGTCAGCCTTCAAGGCAACTGATATCAATGATGATGGTGCTATTTCTGTGAGAGAATTGCCTTACTTAATTTATGGATTTGAAGGGATCATTATTAAAGATGTCAAAAAAAGGTTTAGCTAATTAGACAAAGATAAAAGTGGAAGCATTTCTCTATAAGTAATCTAGTAAGCAATCATATTAGGAATGGTTCAATTTCTTATCATTGGCCTAGGGAGTAGACATCTGCAAATCTATTGTCAAAAGGTATTTTCTTAAAAGAGATACTAACAATGTTGGCAGTCTGAATAATCAGTAATCCTGCTAAGTATTAAGAGATACTCTTTCTAACGATGGTTTTGAATTGTACTTTAAAGGTTTTGAAAGTTATATAAATGAACATTCAACTTTGGATAAGGTATTTACTATTTCTATTTTAAGATGTCAATTTAATAATTATAAGACTTTGTAGAAGGTCCAATGAGAAGAATTATTTAAGATAAGTAAGAACTAATGGAAAAAGAGAAGGAAAGAAAATAAATTTAAAATGAAAAAATAATATGAAAAAATTATATTAATGTATTCAATCATTTAATTTTATATGACTAATCTATACTTTTGTGTTTATGTTTTTACATATTATTTACATCCTGTATTTGTTCTACATTTATCTATTGACTTATATATTTAAGAATTTTTGAGTAACTCTATTAAAATTTAATTGCGGATTAATAACTTTTATTTATAACTATGCTTAAAATCTTGTGTTGAAGTGTGCTTATCTTGTTATTTTAGATGTTATTGTAGAAACTATCTTTATTTTCTGATTTGCAATGATCTTTTTAGTAGGATATTACACTCTTTAATAACCAAAAGATTGGACAAACTATTTTCTAAAAGAATTGATTGTATTAAATAAATTTAACAATTAATAATCACATAACAGGTTCTTCCTTAAGAAGATGTTATTTTTAGGGCTCTTATTTAATTTCTGGTTATTCTAACCCTAATACAAGATTTCTTAATTCTTCTTCTTTTTATTTTATTCTAGTCTTCTCATTCATAATGCAAGTGGTCATAGTTTTGTATTGATCTCGACATCCCTATAAACTATTTGATTGCATTTTACTGTTACTCTATTTTAGATCGGCTATTTTCCACTGCCAATTTTTGGAGACTCATGCAATATTACAATTCACATGCTGATTATCTGCAAATTAATTCTGCCACTGTGTCCATAGTGATATTTGGAGAGCTCTTTATTTATTTAATGTAAGGATTCTCAGTTCTACAATAGGAATACAATTCAAGATGATGCTTTGGCTTTTCTCTTCTTTTTAAATCCTACTTGACTCTAACCCATAATTCATTTGTATTTAGAGGATCCTTATCATGAGTTTCTTTATATCTTTGCCAATATTTTTCAGTCATTTAATATTAAATTTAATAATGCTCTAAAATTCATTAATAAATAATCATCTTCTCTGTTTTTCTAGATTTTTATTTTCTGCTTAAATATCTGTTAAATCTTATCTGAGTTTCTCTACATTCTTTTTGTATCCCTTAAGTAAAATATCCTCCATTTTTAATTCTGTATCATAAATTTAAATTCTCTTTTCTCCAATATTACGCATAGATTCAGCACATTGCTTATAGACTATTTTATAATCTTAATATTATTTTTAAATCTATTTAACCACTGTTTCTGATTTCTTAGGATCTTGATTAATTAGATTCTCAATCTCAATGCAATACCTATTGATCATATTGTCTTAAAATTATAAAGAATCTTCTAATTAAGACAATTCTTTTGCTTATTTCAGATATTCAGCTTTTTGTTTTTCTAATTGACTCTTCAAATCCACAATTTTTTTAATGTATTGATTTCTGGCAATTTCTTTGGGTTAATTTTAAAGATCAACTAATAATTTCTCTTTGTATTCCAAATTGACTCTTCCCTGGTTTCTGATCATTTGATTCTCCTCTTACAATCTCCTCATTTTATCTTAGATCTATTCCAGTTTTAATTTTCTATCTTAAACCTATTGAGCCAAATCATCAGCTTCATTTTATTATAAGACTTTTTCTTTTTCCCATTCAATCCTGATGTTCTCAATTTCTTATTCAAGTTATTGAATTTCTGGATCATTCCCTTTTTTTGACTCAATCTGTTATAGAATAGAATGTGCACTTTCTAATTCTTATTACTTATCCTTATTATCAGATTATAATTGTGAATAAGTATCTTACGATTTCTAATTTACATCTTCCAATTTTTATCTCTTTTTTTATAACTTATCATAGATCTTTTATTGTTCTATCAATTTAGTCTAAATATCTTCAAGCAAAGCACTTATCTCCGATTTTGCTTCTTAAGTGTCTTAAATTTCCTATTATATCTCTTTTACCTCTTCTTAAAATTGAATTTCTAAATTGAACAAACCTTGATTTTCCTCTTCTTTTTATTTTCTTGCTTACTCCTCTTCCTTATCTTCTTCTTTTAATAATTTGATTGCTCTCTTTAGTTATCTATTCCCTTTCTAAATATCTTCCCAATCATTCTTTTCAGCTTCAGCTTGGAATTACCCTTTAAATTATCCTAGAACACTTTCAGGATCATCAGATCTCCTCATTTTCTTTATTAATTGTAATCTCTCTTAGAGTGGCTAATCCACTTCCTTCTTTTATAAATGATGATCCATAACTCTAACAATTGAGGGATATAAATGTTTTCTTACTCCTTTATTGGCTACTTGTTTAATTAATGGCTCTTTCTTTAAAATATTGAGCACGTGCAATCTAAGAAATCGTTGCTCGATTTCTGGAAAAGAACATAATGAGGGATTAACCCATTCTTGAAAGAAATTCTATATTTAATTAGTCCTATAAGTAGCTTTCTCTTCTTATAATCTCTCTTCGAATGTGAGATGCTTAGCCCCAGTTTCTTTTTTATTCGATTAACTCAATTTGGCAAGCAAACTAACAATAATCTTTCTTGATTCTTATGGATTAGGATTCACAATGGATTGAATGTCAATTCTAATACCAATTGGAAAGAGCATCTCTTGAATCTTCCCTGCCTTTCTAAATGAACTCTTGATTGATTTTATTGAGCTAATTTCAAAAGCCTAAGTTCCACTCATTTGAAAAAATTATAAGAAAATATTGATCAAGTCGTCACAAGTTAACTATCCATAAAAGTAAGTCTTACTTGAGGGAGAGATTGCGTTGATATCTATATTCCTTATAGTTGCAAACTCTTTAACAACATTTGGTCCTAATCCTCCATTATCGTATATTACTCTATATAAAAGGAAATTAATAATGTTTTGAAAATATGGTAATTCATTTCATTTATAATGATGTGGTGTTATCATGAAGTTAACTAGTCCTGACTCCTAATTTTTTCTATACTTTCTAAATGCACTTGGACTATAACCCCCGATTCCGAATTTACTTGATGGTGATTTATAGTCCTTAGGGATTTCGAAAGCTTCTCCAATATTGATTTCTAAATCAGAATCTTATTGATGACTATAAACGTATTTTTCAGCATTTGCATCTAAAATCATATTTGATATCCTTACTTATTTTTTATTGTAGTTATTAGGCTAGGTTTTCAAGGGTCTTCTCCTTGTACTAGGTATACTGTTTAGTTAACACAATAGGGACAAAATTAGATTTACTTATTGCAGCTTCCTCGCCATGAATGCCGTCATCTTAATATTGGCTTGAAGGTCTTTAAAATAAGATTTGTCTAGGAGTCTAAACATGAAAAGCTGGAGTAAATTAATGATTATTGGGGCTGTTGGTACCCTGGTAGTCATAAGCATATTATTATTATTGGTAATCGGAAGATTGTTCCTAATTCTATTTAAATGTAATTTTACTTCTTAATCAACTGGTTAGACTTCTAATTCATCTCTTAGTATAGTATACAGTGGTCCTTTTTTGGTTCTTATGCATATATCAATATAGTCTTCTTTGTCAATATGCTATTAGATAATATATTGTTTATACCACTTTCTTTTTAGCATTTAGTCTGGAAGATCTCTTTAAAGGAAACTTATGATTTATTTCTTCGTATTTATAATCACTTGTATAATCATCATCGTCATCATCATCATCGATTCTACTCTTTCTCTTTTTGTGATTCTTCTTTTTTAATTTCAATCTACTCTCTCTTTGTTTAGTGTAAAGAGCACTACCATTTAAAAAATAATATACTTGAAGTCCATAATTTTATCAATCAATTATTTGAACTTATCCTCGTTAAATTAATTGATTTAAGATTTTTGTTTAGATTAAGCAAATTCTAAGATGGAGTCTTGGAGTCCTTTACAAGCTTAACAGAGCTTTTTCATATGGTCATCCTTCAATTCCGATGGACTCTTCTCTGCCAGAATGAATATCTTTGATAATACTCCAGGTTTTATATCTTTTATCTGTTGAGTACCCTTTTCTTTACTATATATAGTTTTATATGATTTACTGTTCTTGTCTCCGATTAGTTTATTGATTCTTCTTAGGCTTCTTCTTAAGGTTGAATAAAAATGATTTTTAATTGCATTATCAGTTCTTCCTGGTAACAGTTTCGCAATTTCAGCCTACAAATATTTTAAATATTGTACCCATTTGTTACCATGCTCCTTGTGGGCTATGAATATGACCCTCTCTTCATTTTCACTCCATGGGTCTTTGTTGATAGTAGGGTCAAGGTGATTATGGTAGCGTTCTCTACATTGTTTTCCGGAACGGCCAAATAAACCATAGATTTCTTTCATCTTCTCGGCTACTATAGTCCACTTCTTGATTCCGTACTGCTTTACTAGTTATAATATAGCTGCATCTTCCTAGAGATTTAATTTTATTTGCTGTTACTTTTTAATTCCAAGCTTTTCGATCAGTCATTTAAAATAATTAATAAATACAAAATACGACTTAAATCATTATAATTATATGAGAACCCAGAAGAAACGGTATGTGTTTTTTTATATAAAAGGAAATATCAAATCTGAAACCAATTTCCTTTTCGCTAATAAATATATTGAATCACTGCCCTCAACATCAACAACAATAACAACCCTCAAAATATTTTCTATTAGATGATTTACGCTTCTTAGTTGATTCAGGAGGAACAAGTAAAATTGATTTCTCCATTTGCGAGGCTTTCATTTTTATTTTAGCCCCCTATTCATAAGCGTATTAGAAGGTTTCATCAATCCCCTCTCGAGTCTTGGCAGAAGTAAGAAATAATTTTAACTACTATTATTATGAATTCAAAGTTTAGAGAAATTTTTATAGATCTTCCTTATTATAAAAAGTTGGTAAATCCATTTTTGTTCCCACAATTATAATTCCCATTTCAGAAACACAATTCACCTATAAAAAGTCGATCCACCCTTATAGATGTCTATATGAATCAGGGTCACTCAAATCGAAACAAAGGATTGCAACATCGGCATTCTATTATTTTTGTCATTTTCATACTTATAAAGACATCCTCGTTATTGATCTAAATTTCTCTTAACCTGCTGTGTCCCAGATAGAAATATCATAAAGCCTCCCATTCACTTCTACATTTTTAACTCCAGCAAAGTCTACAGCCACCGTGGGCGCATTGTGAGCTCGGAACTCTTATTATCTATGAGACTGTAAGAGACTAGTTTTCCCTGCTCCTAACTACCCCACTAGAACTAATTTGAGTGTTTCATTCATTATTAATTATAATATAAATAAATTCAGCAGCAACCTTGCTGAGTAGCTTTATTGTCATTAAAATTCATTTAACTTTCTCTTAGAGTGGTTGTATTAGAAATTATTGCCTCTGTTTTTTGATTTGAAGGCTGTTAACTTCTAACTAACTAAGAGGTACTTATTTTAAAACTCTTATTATTGCTTTATTATTATTATTATTAGACATTTAAATCGTACTTAGCTTTGGCTCCCAATTCAAAAGCCTATCTAAAAGCATCTTAAATTCCTTCTCCTGTTTTTGAGGATGTTAAATGAATAGGAAATTCGTCTTGAAAATTTGCTTTCCAAGCTGTAGAAATTTATTTTAATTAATCTTATGTATATTAAACCTGTAGATCTTTTTTAGTACCCACTATTATTATTTGCAGATTTTAAGGTCCTTCAGATTTCAAGAATTAAATCCAAGATGCAACGCTATCTAATGACAAAGGATCACTCAAATCAAAGCATATTAAAGAAGCATGTGCATTCTATGATTAAATGAACTAAAAGTACTTAGGATGAAATTTTCACTATTGATTAGAATCTCTCTTGACCAGCTGTGTCCCAAATAGCAACATCATATAAGTTATTATTAATTTTCACATTCTTATCAATCGACATATCTACTCCCATAGTTCCACTGGTTTATGGGGAGAATTGATTAGTTTTATATTTAACAATCAAGCTTGTTTTACCAACACTAGAATTTCCTACTACTAATATTTTAAGATCCCTGTTCTCTTCCATTTTCTTTAAAGAAATAAATATAAATTAATAAATACGAAAGATTATTATTTATCATTTAATTGTTTAATAAGCGTAATGTCNCCATTTGCGAGGCTTTCATTTTTATTTTAGCCCCCTATTCATAAGCGTATTAGAAGGTTTCATCAATCCCCTCTCGAGTCTTGGCAGAAGTAAGAAATAATTTTAACTACTATTATTATGAATTCAAAGTTTAGAGAAATTTTTATAGATCTTCCTTATTATAAAAAGTTGGTAAATCCATTTTTGTTCCCACAATTATAATTCCCATTTCAGAAACACAATTCACCTATAAAAAGTCGATCCACCCTTATAGATGTCTATATGAATCAGGGTCACTCAAATCGAAACAAAGGATTGCAACATCGGCATTCTATTATTTTTGTCATTTTCATACTTATAAAGACATCCTCGTTATTGATCTAAATTTCTCTTAACCTGCTGTGTCCCAGATAGAAATATCATAAAGCCTCCCATTCACTTCTACATTTTTAACTCCAGCAAAGTCTACAGCCACCGTGGGCGCATTGTGAGCTCGGAACTCTTATTATCTATGAGACTGTAAGAGACTAGTTTTCCCTGCTCCTAACTACCCCACTAGAACTAATTTGAGTGTTTCATTCATTATTAATTATAATATAAATAAATTCAGCAGCAACCTTGCTGAGTAGCTTTATTGTCATTAAAATTCATTTAACTTTCTCTTAGAGTGGTTGTATTAGAAATTATTGCCTCTGTTTTTTGATTTGAAGGCTGTTAACTTCTAACTAACTAAGAGGTACTTATTTTAAAACTCTTATTATTGCTTTATTATTATTATTATTAGACATTTAAATCGTACTTAGCTTTGGCTCCCAATTCAAAAGCCTATCTAAAAGCATCTTAAATTCCTTCTCCTGTTTTTGAGGATGTTAAATGAATAGGAAATTCGTCTTGAAAATTTGCTTTCCAAGCTGTAGAAATTTATTTTAATTAATCTTATGTATATTAAACCTGTAGATCTTTTTTAGTACCCACTATTATTATTTGCAGATTTTAAGGTCCTTCAGATTTCAAGAATTAAATCCAAGATGCAACGCTATCTAATGACAAAGGATCACTCAAATCAAAGCATATTAAAGAAGCATGTGCATTCTATGATTAAATGAACTAAAAGTACTTAGGATGAAATTTTCACTATTGATTAGAATCTCTCTTGACCAGCTGTGTCCCAAATAGCAACATCATATAAGTTATTATTAATTTTCACATTCTTATCAATCGACATATCTACTCCCATAGTTCCACTGGTTTATGGGGAGAATTGATTAGTTTTATATTTAACAATCAAGCTTGTTTTACCAACACTAGAATTTCCTACTACTAATATTTTAAGATCCCTGTTCTCTTCCATTTTCTTTAAAGAAATAAATATAAATTAATAAATACGAAAGATTATTATTTATCATTTAATTGTTTAATAAGCGTAATGTCTTATCTTTAATTATTTGATAAAGCTCAAGCAAAATATTTGAAAAGTATGGAAAAAAGAAAAAATTATTTATAAAGTTAATATAATATTAGGGAGAATCGCAAAACTTTGTTATAAAAAATTATATAAGATTTGATAGGATTTCTAATCTTTAATTTTAATTATTTAACTAATTAAGAAGAAGTATGTGAAGGATTATTTTAATTATAAATTTTGGAAAAATATGGATATTGATAGGCATATTGCAACACTTTTGAGTGGAGGTTGTTTACCAGAAAGGGATCTTAAGTTGATTTGTGACAGAGCTAAGGAAATCTTTCTTGAAGAATCAAACGTTTAACCAGTTCGAGCTCCAGTTAATGTTTGTGGGGACATACATGGTAATGAATGTTTTAAATATTTAGGACAATTCTACGATTTACAAGCATTAATGAAAGAAGGAGGAGACATTCCTTCATCAAACTATATCTTTATTGGAGATTTTGTTGATAGAGGCTATAATTCAGTTGAAACAATGGAATACCTATTATGTTTAAAAGGTAATCTTTTTTATTATTTTCAGTAAAATATCCTGGAAACATTATGTTACTCAGAGGAAATCATGAATCCCGTTAATGCACTCAAGTGTACGGTTTTTATGAAGAATTACTACGTAAGTATGGAAACAGCAGTCCATGGAGATTATTTATGGAGGTTTTTGACTGCCTGCCATTAGGTGCTCTAATAGAAGGATAGATATTATGTGTCCATGGTGGTTTATCCCCAGACATGAGAACAATCGATTAGATAAGAACAATCGATAGAAAAGTATTTTTAAATTATTATAATTTCTCCCATTATAGATTGAAATTCCTCATGAGGGACCCTTTTGCGATCTGATGTGGTCTGACCCCGAGGAAGTAGAATATTGGGCAGTTAATTCCAGAGGAGCTGGTTACCTCTTCGGAGCCAAAGTGACAAAAGAGTTTTGCCGACTTAATGATCTCACTTTGATTTGTAGAGCACATTAATTAGTAATGGAAGGATATAAGTATTGGTTCCCAGTATGATATATTATATATTCTTAGGACTAAAACTTAGTAACAGTGTGGTCAGCACCAAATTATTGTTACAGATGTGGCAACATAGCCTCAATTTTGTGTTTGGATGAAAACTTGACATAAACTTGGAAGACATTCAAAGAAGTTCCTGAGAGTGCCAAGAGCGTCAATCCAAAGAGTGTTTTACCATACTTCTTATGAAGTATTTAGATAGAACACATTTTAATACTTCTTATGAAGTATAATAGAATATTAATAAAATATAATTTCTTTAAAATTTAATCGGTCTTCTCTACCGATTCAATCGTTCTTATGACATAAATGCTTTTGGTAGCACTATATGCTTTAGTTTCTCGACAGATTTTTGTAATAGTTCTGACATAAATTTGTTTGGCAAAAACACTAAGCTTATATAAACTAGATTTCCAAATAGAGAACTCATAGAGTTAGAAATTATTTTATAATCGAGAACTTAGACACTAGAGTTAATTGACAAATTAATTTAGGCTTGAAGACATCTTTTGTTAACAACTTAAAGAATAGTTAAAATTTACGCCTAAAAAGTTTTACAAAAAAAACAAGAAGTAGTGCAAAAAGATTAAATTGTTTTTTCAAGAATAAAATCATATTTCTTATGAATATATTGATTTTCATTAGTCAATGAATGTTTCACCATTTCCAAATGATTATTTGATTGCTCCTTCGACAAATAGGAATTCAATTGGTCTGCTTCTCATACATTTATTGGAAACTGTGTAGGCAGTGGTTCCATTTTCTTATATAAGACTCAATGATCCTCCTTCTGGTACATGAATGGATAAAACTTCAAATGGTAATCCAAAAAATGTGACATTATCTCCTGGGCATGATTTAGCATGTTCTCCCTTAAAATTGCATTCGCTAAAAACATAAATACAACCCTCTTTAAATGATGTTACTTTTTCATTGTTGTAAACCTTTTTTTATGGTTTTGGTTCATCAAATGAATAATTAGGTTTTTCTGTTGCTCTTACTGCATTAGGATTTGGTTGATCAATAATATACATTGATTCAACGAATTTAATTGTATGATCGGTCTCTTCAGATGGTGTTAATAATAATGCTTCTTCGTAATTCAAAAGTGATGACAATTACTCTTTGATTGATTCATCTGAGCTTCTACCCAAAAATGTTGGTAATCCTTATTTTTTAATTGTATATATTTCAGTTGATAAATCCTTCTATTATTTGATATGCTTTTATTTTTCAAGAAAACTCTCTTGAGCTGTTCCGATTACCACTAAGAGTGCTAAAATATATAATTTTTACATATTAATAAAAACGGATTTATAATATATGAATTTTGAGTGATGAATTTGTTAGAAGTCAATCAAATATGTATTTATAGATACCGCTCAAAGAACCTTTCATTGCATTTGTTTATTTTTGATATAACAGAATTCTTGAATATTGAAATTTTAAGGGTTAACTGTAATAAAATAATCGTTCATAAATTAGCTAAAATTCAAGAATTAGTTTGGATAATCAAGAATTAATGATGAATAAATATATAAAAATTATAATAAATTAATGAGAACCAATTATTAAATAGGTGCAACGGAATACTGTAACACCAACTTGATCAATGTTGATTACTTATCAGCATATATAGTTATATCAAAATTAATCTTATTTACTTATGGATAATAAAATAATATATATAATTATTAAATAATTGTTACGTTAAAAAATGAAAACAAATAGAGAAATTCAAGACTGGTTAAATAGATGTAGATGTGGAAAATTGGAACTGAGGAAACATTTAAATACTATTGAGTAAATAAAAGTATAATTCATTTAAAATACGATAAAAGTTAGATATGATGATGAATAATCAAAAAGTATAAACTCTGAAATCTGTTTCTTCTTCTAAGATTAATCCAGATTGCCAGACTGCTGAATCAATATATGAAGATAAAAGATAATCTAGTCTCATCTAACATGGCAATTATTCTGAAGATTAAGATTACAGAGTGTTTATTAGTAAAAACAATTATTACGACACTCATCAGATATAGAATTAGCGATCCATTAAAAAACCTTTTTTATAGGAATTTTCTGGTAAACAAGATTCTGATACCGTTGATGATATATTTAAATTATCCTTAACAGATTAATCATTGTCTTAATAGTATTTTTATTCCAATAAAGATTTTTATGAATCCATTAAATAAAAGTAACAGCACGGAATTTACAATAAAGATGAAAAGATTTATTAAAATAACTAATACAGCACACAAAATTTTGAAGATTATTAAGAAATTTCGTTAAAAGCATCATTATGTCAAATAGATAAAAGAATTAAATAAATTTAAAAAGAAGAGATTTAAAATAGTTGTCAAAATGAAAACAAGACATTCGATTAGTACTATTAAGAATATGTTACAGATGAAATATCTAATATATAACATGAAATTCAAGAAATGCAAAAGTAATATATTAAGAAAATATGTTTACAGATTCTTGAAAAGAATTTAAACAGCAAAAGACAAGTTGACCAGCAGTGTCCAAGATTTGAGTTATCAAAATAGTTAAAGATCCATGTAAAAATTGAATTAAGATTTGGATGTCATATAAACTTTAAGAAATAAAATGCAAAATTAATTACAAAATAATGTAGATGGTGATAAATTGTTAAGATTAAGATCAATGAAATAATAGATTTAAGAATGTTTTAATGATATCGAAGAAGAGATAATTAAATTAAGTAAATGATATCCGTTTTATCTTTATTATATATAATTTTTATTTTAATGAAAATAGTTCTAATAGCACTCTTCATTGGCTTAGCATTCTCTTAAAATTAGGCGTTAAATGAAATCTAAGAAAATCCAATTCCTACATTAGTTTATGAAACTAAAAACGAAGAATCACAATAAATTGAATAACATTAGCAATTATAAGGCTATATTGATATTGACGGCCATTTTGTATCAAATTAAGCTGATAACACCTAAAATATAAAATCTGAGCCACTTGACTAAAATAATTAAGATGAAAATTCTAATAGCTAAATAACTATTAGTGATGATTCCAACAATTTATAGGCTTCTACATAAGAAGGGGCACAATAATTAGTTTCAACAGATGCAGAAATTGATACAATGTTAGATATGGAAAATTCTCTCCCTTATGAATTTCCTGAAGATACATAAGTTTAAGAAGAATCAAAAGATTAAGATAATGATAATCATTATTTATCAGCTAGTTTAGAATTGTAAGTGTTTTATATTTAAACTTAAGGCCTATTCGAAATGAAAACTAAGTTTATGATTCATTAGGAAATTAAATTGATTCATATGATGGTATGAGAACATACTTGTAAATAATTTCATAAATTTAGAGCTTTAGATATAGCAGAATAAGATGACAATTAAGCAAACATAAGTGTTTAAGAGAAATAAGAAGATTGTATTGTCATTTATTCAAATTGTGATTTCTAAGGAGAAAGTTTACCAATTTGCGAATCTTTGAAGGAAGTTGAGTAAAATTAAGCGAAATTTTAGGGATTTCTAATATGATATAAAGTCTATCTATTTACCTGAAGGATACTAAATGACAATATATTCAGAAGAAAATTATTAAGGATAAGAAGTTACATACTAAGAAAGTCAGAAATGTTTAACAAAAGCAATATCGTTTGCCTAATTAAGAGGGAGATAAACAAAATAAATTTAGAATCAAGATCCAAATCAAAGTATTTTAACATCAAATCTAAGAATTAGATAATGATGATTAATTATAAATATAAAATATTTCTTAATTATTCGCAATTTACTTTTTGTATTATAATATAAGTAAATTTTCTTCAAATAATGTTGCACAACTTGATTTATAAAGATTTCTTTATAGAAGTATAGATTATAAAAATAAAACAATAGATCTGCTACATAAATAAAATTTAAATAGAATAAATGAATTAATAAGTCCTATTTATTTGATGCTTTATAGTATTGCCCTTTTAAGATAAAATATTTCAAGTTTTAATGACTTAAACTTGATTTTTTCGAAAGAAGTAAAATAAATTGACAGAATTTCATACTGGATACTAAACTTTTATTTTATTCATTTAAATTAAGTAAGTCACTTTATGATCTATTATTTCTATTTTAGTCCGCTTTTATTAAAAATATCTAATGAACAATATTTTATTCTTTTGAATAAAAAATTTTTGTTAGTTTTTTTTTAAACTTCATGGTTAAACAATATTTAATTTTAAAATAATATCCCTTCTTTCAGATTAGACAATCCTTATTTAATTTTTTAGTTCATTGCATATAAGTAGTAGATATAATTACGTATTTTGTATTTTGTTGATTAAATATCATAGACTTATCAGATTTTTTTAGTTATTTACCAATTTAAAGAATTAATTGTTTTCATCTATGTTAACTGCTTAAAGCTCATTTTATTATTGATTCATTATTTATTTGGATATTATAAGACACCTTTATCAATAGATCGTATGATTGTATCTCCTTAATAATTTAAGTAGGACCGCTCTTATTATCAATTTGATGCATTAAGTTAGAATGTAAATTAGGATTATAGTTTCTAAGAAAGTTATTACAAACCCTATTCTATTAATTTTAATGAATAAATAATTGGATTTTATTCCAAAATTTCCTGAACATAATCCTTTTAAATTTTAATATTACAGCGAAGTTAAGAACGGATTTTACTTAGAAAATCCAAATGAAGTCTATATTTTAGATAAAGTTGATGGGTGGGCAGATTTTAATGGCTGCTATTATTAAAAAGATGGAAACCCTGCTGGATGGGTATTTGTAAGTGAGGGGAAATACACCAAATATGATATGAATAAAAGAATAATGGAAACTGGCAGAAACATTTATTACCCTGAAACCATTTTTTAGCATGGGATGTAGAGTGAAAGAAACAGATAGTTTAAGGACTAAAACCCATACTAAAAAAATTCTTACTAGGATTTCAAAAACCCTTCAACACATTAAAAATAGGATGATTAAAGTTAAGTTAACAAATTCAATTAACCTTCTTCAACTTTGAAAGAACACTAGTAAGTATTTCAAAGGTTTGTTTAAGAAAATAATATGTAATTACACCAAATTTTCTTTCAAAAAAGAAATTACTAAACAGGTCATTAAGAGGACCAATATACAAGTAGATAAAGAGTTAAAAGTGAAAACTTTAGAAGATCAAATTATTAAGAAAACAAAAATGAAGGTAGGATTTATAATAAAAAATCAAAAAACAATCATGCTTATAATGAAAGTTATTCAAATTTTGGATAGAATGGAAGATAAAATTATCATTAACATCACTCAAATGGAAACTTTAATAATCCTGATCCTAGAATTCGTTTAAATTAATCAACTAAATCTAATTACAATAGGTATTAAGAAACTAATTAAAATAATTTTAGTAATAATAATCACAATGCTAAAAGAATCTTAAATAGGTCGAACGAAGATAATCGAAGCAGGGCTTAATAGTTTTAAAGTTAAAAATCCAATAATCTAATTAAAAATCCATTTATTGAATAATCATCCTAATAATAAAATTTTCAAAATCAAAAGAGTATTTATTAAGATAAAAGAAATGATCGTTATTAAATTGATTACAATATAGAATCAGATAGGATGTAGAAACAATAATCCGCTCATGATTATAAAAATAAAAATAATAATGGAGATTCAAATTATTCTAATTACCAAAATAAGAATCATAATACAAATAAAGATAATTATAATTATAGATAAAATAATAATAGATTTTAGAATGAAACCATGAGAACAAATAATTAACCAAATTTATAAAAAAGAGACTTTTAACATAAAAAATAACAATCTTAACAATTTTTGCATAATGGCAATTCTTACTTTAAATAGGAAACAAACTAGTAAGATGAGGAGGAAATATATTATTTTGGATAGAGAGATAAAGAGATTCCAGAAAAAAACGGAGTTCCTGAAAGAAGAGAAAGGAAATCAAGATTGAATTAACCATGATGTATTGATATTCTGTAAAATTTGGTATTTAAATAGCAGATATATTTTAATTTAGAAATCCATATTTTTATCAAGATTTAGATATTAGATTAATTTATTATAAATGAGTTTTGGATTGAAACAAAATTATTTCAATTGCTTCCATATTTATTATATATAATTGAGATTAAGCTAATAAATTTAAGCTCTATTCAAATATATAGTAAGTTAATCCATTTTTCTTCTCTATTACTCTATCTGATAATTTACTCTTTATTATGAATTATAAGAGTAAAATGCTAGATTAAATAATCATAGTCCATATTTATAAATAGTGAGAACCTTCTTAGATATCTCATTTGCAACTGCTTTACTTAAAGATTATTATTGATAAAATATTCGACTTTATCATCTGAAAAGATATGTCAAATATAATCTTTTCTATACATTTAAATAATCTCTTATTTTGATTCTGATTCATTTGGTTTTTTAATTTTTAAGTCTTAAGGTTTTAATACAACTCATAATCTTGATTAATCAATCATAAACTATAGTAGAAGTAAAATCCAATTTAATTAAAATAAAAAAAGATTTAAGTTAATAACATAGATCCTATTAATGCAGAAATATAAGATAATATAAAATTTACAGTTTTAGTAAATTCTAGAAAATAAACATTGATATATTCGGTAACAAAAAGTTCTTTTCTAATTAGATATATAGAAATAACTAAAGACTGGACTTTATGATAAATATAATTATAATAAGCAATCAAAATAAACTATGTAGCTTATAATATTGAAAAGGAATAAATTAAATAAAGAATTTATTGCAAAGTGAGTCTTGTATTTTGAAAACATCAAATTAGAATTGATAACTATTTATTAATAGGAATATCATAAAAAATATATAATAGACATAAAGATTAAACTATGTACTACTTAAATAAAATCATATTCTTGATTTTAATGATAAAATCAATTGACTTACTTTTGAATTTTTGCAATTTATTTCAGTTCTTTGATCGATTTTCTTAAGTTCTTCTTTTTATTTTCCCCTAAAAATCTTTGAGAGCTAAATATGATGATATCAAGCAGAAGGATATCTATTAATATTGCTATGAAATAAGAAAGTATCTACATAAAATTAGATTAAATACCAAATTTGTTTAGTTAGCTATCATAAAATAAAGATATATTCCACTTAATATTGTGAACAACAAGATTAGTAGTATAAAACCTTTAATTAATATCATCAGAATACTTTGTTTCATGACAAAAAAATACTTTACTTATTTCTAAAATTAGAATTATATATACTTTTAGGATATTTTCACTAATTCTCATCAGGATTATTGATGCAAATATAATCCAGATAGATACTTAGAAGTCAAATTAAAAAAAACTTAATATTTCTCCAATAATCACTGCAGAATTCCATCTTATTAATATTAAAAGTGATCTCATAAATGGGCTAATGTAAGTTAATTATTTAAATATCAACTATGATAAGCAATGGTATTTCTAAATATAAGCATAAATTAATTACCCAGAAATGATTAAAATGAAATTTATCATTTTTTTTCTTATCTTAATTATTGATTTATGGCTATATTAATTCTCCAGGTTCCTTCTCTTGTTCAACTTGATAAACTTTGCTACCAACAATGTTCACTTTGCTCTTTCTAGTTAATTTCATAACATGGCCGAATTTTGTCTTTTCTGATTATTATTCAGTATTTTATTTTTTTGATTTGCACACAAATATTCCTAAAATTATTAATTAAGCAATATAAATGATATAAAAGATGTTTGGAAGATTTATCCTAAATTCTGAAGAACCTCGGTAAAGAAAATCATAGTCATTACAAATTGTTGTAGGAGAGAGAGTTGTACAATTACAATAGTAAGTTGAATTAATTTCAGAGAGGGTGCAATTTTAATCAAACCATTCATAGGTCTTAGCATTTCTTTATAAGCAAACTAAATTAGTAGTATCATTTTGAATTCCGAATCGATATGAGATTGGCTAATCTAACTCTATATTTTCTTTTCGACTTGACTATCTGATTTAATAATCATATAGTGGGTAAATTTGTTAAGGGTATGGGAAGTAACCATCAAAGGCATAAAAGTTTCTTATGTAAATTGCATAAACTATATCATAACTTGCTGATTTCTAACTATTGATTTCTTCTAACATTCTACTCGAGTTATATGGAAGGTTTTAAGATTTTTAAATAGTTATAGATGCAGTATCTATTGAATAGTCTATTTTATCATTAGGGCTTAAAGAGAAGATAGATAATTCAATGATGTTATTTATCAAATTGTTGAGATGATTTTATAATTAATAGACATTTGATCCTGAAGTAAATAAAGTCTTTTCCCACATAAAAACAGTACTTTTAAGGGCTGTGTGTAAATCGTTTTTATTTACTAAAGAACGAATATCTATTTAAGAGTAGTTAAAATCATCGGTTGATTAATATTATAAATTTATTGAATACTAATTTATCTATTCTAATCTAGAATTTGTATTCTTTATATATTATTGCAAAACATTGGAGCAATCTTCTACGCTTAATGTATTATTAGTACTAAATTATGTTAAAAAGTAGAGAGATTGACTAAATAATTTCATATCATCATTATTTGCGATAGGTATTTTAACCAAAGATGACATTGTATTGGTCATAAAATCATTGAATTGTGTTTATTACTCTTAATTTCCACTACAGTCAGCAAAGTAATAACCAGGTGGGCATTAACATTTATTATTTACACATGTTCCAACACCTGAGCATTATTTCAAGCAAACCTACTGTTCTTCTAACTATATTAGTGCAATCATTGTATGAAGACTTTATAGATTTTCTAAATTTGTTTTATTATTGAAGGATTTGTATAATTATTGCAATTCATAATTTTTCCTCACTACATAAACTTCTTGCTTCAAATAAGATTTAGCTCCATAAGAAGATGATACCTCACATAGAACTTAAATTGAATTATTAGTAATTCCACTTGGCAACTAAAATTATCCAAAAGTCTCATTTGAGTTTGCGATTAATGGTATTCCATGAATTACAGATTATGTACTTACATCGCTTTCAAGAATGAAATTTTCAAAATAATAATAGATGCTTATTGAATTTCCAGCCTAAAGATTTGTTAAAGTGTAATTAAAATACTCTAGAGATTCTCCAATCAATGGTTCTATCTGAAAATCAACTTGTTGAGGAGGATCATTCAATTTGAAAGCGATTGATTCATTGCCTGGTACCAAATAGATGTAGACAGGACTGTTATAATCAGTAGTTAAACCAGCCAATCTAAATTTTAATGACAAACTTGATATTTTCATGGACAATAAAATTTTGTGTTATTGAATAATAAAGGCATACTTTTATTATTTTTTTATTAAGATTGTTACTTCATCATTTGCATTAATGGAATTTTAAGGATCATTATTATTGATATAAAATTCTTCTTCGATATTAAAATCTGTGATTACTATTAACTATTCTTTGACTGCCCATCTATCTACTTTCGATGCTTTTGCAAAGAACACTAAAGTTGTATTTTAACTATCAGCAAAAATATTGACTACTCTTCTAGAAGGAAATTGCATAATTTAGTTCTCATCAGTTTTACAAGGTTATAAATTAAATAAGTTATTACATTGCCATTCATAATTAATTCCCATTGTGCTCAAAATTTCATCTTATATATTTCTATCAAATCCTCTTGCATTAATTTGATTATCTAAACCAATAAATCTATCTTTTTATAAAAATTTAATATCAATTAGTTTTGATTTTAGATAAATAGTTTCTATTATAATAGAACTTCCTGTTGAAGCAGTAAATAGTAAAGGAGTTTCTTTAGGAAGTAGAGATTCATTTAGTGGAATTTCATAAATTGGATTTATTTATTATGTTAACGAGATATATGTTTTATTTTTACCATCTGTTATTTCAATAGCAACATTAAATTCATTTTTCATATCCGAGTACGAGACATGACAATCAAATATATACACTCTAGCTATTAGAGGTTCATATGATAAAAATACATAAGGAGCTTGTATTGGAAGAGTTGTGAATGTAAAAGTGGTGAAATTCACTCTTTGCAAGAAATTAACATATTTAGCTGTGATTGTATATGTCACATTTGGTTATAATGTTCTAATTGGAATTGTAATTTCATTGAGTTTATTATCCAAAAATGCATCCATTTATAAATACTATTCTTCATCCTTCATTTCTTTAAGTGTCCAAGATAGAACGTTTTAAATTTTCTAACCAGTACCTTCAAATAGAATTTATTTGATATATATTGTTTTACAAGTACTAACAAAAGAAGGAATATCAAAAAGAATATATGGTTTATACAGACTTTTAGGTTCTTTAACTTTGTTTTCAATAAATTATTCTATAAATTACCCATCACAAATTCCTTGATCTACATCTCTATAGAATGAGGTTTTAAAACTCAACTGATCTCCAATATTTACAGATGCATATGGCTTTAATGTTATATGAACTGCATATCTATTCCAAGATAAATAGCATTAAGCATTTTAACCAAAGATTTCAGAATTATCAAACCATAAAGAACAATCTGAAGGTTAAAAGGGATTAATTAAATTAACAGAAATCAAATATCCAAAATATACAATTATTTCGTTAAGATCATCAGTGTAATAGATATTGACTTTTGCTACTTTACATGTTATACACCAATCCTCATTGAGAACTCGATCACAAGAGCATTTTGGAACTTATAAATTGTTTTTGCATATAAGACAGTTATCACCAGCAGTACATTCATCACAAGGACATTTTTTACAATCATCCTAGTATTCATCATCATAATATCCTTTTGAACAAGAACAATCTTGAGCATTTCGATTAGTACCTCTACATTTAGTACAATCAGTTCCATTTTCACAAGTTTAGCATTTATGTAGACATTTTTGACATGAACTATCTGACTGATAATATCCATCTTTACAACTACCTAAGCAAAGTCCATCTTCAGTTAATGTAAACCCACTTGCACATTTGATACAATTATTATTTCCTCTGCCAGTACAAGATTCACATTCTATTGCACATCTTAAACAGTTCTTTTTACTTAAATATTATTAAGATCCACAACTATTCACACATTTATAATTTTCCATATCATTTAAATATTCAGTTGGACATTCAAACAGACATGAATTTTAAAATATAAATGTAGTTTAAGGACACTTCGTCGAACATTCATTAAGTAAAGGGTTCGAAAAAAATTATCCTGGACACTAGTCCAAACATTGCTTATTATGTAGAAAATATCCAATATTGCATTTAGTACATTATAAAGCATTAGTGCAAGTTCTACATTATTAAGGACACTTTAGACATTTAAAGTCTTGAGAACCATAATAGCCATCATTACAACTTAAGACACATTCATTTATATTTTCATAAGTGTTCTAAGGACAAGTTTCATAACAAACATTTTTATATAGTAATTAGTTACATGAATCAATACATGATTTTGATTTTAAATCCTTAATTTTTGTACATAATGTATCACATTAATTAAATTCAAGGAAAAAGTTATCATTACATTCAGTGCAAACTTCAAAACTTGAACATGCTTTACATTCTAATCGACATGGCCTACAAAAATCATTACCATAATATCCAGTAGGGCATGTTTAAATACATTATTTTTAGTAAATGATTAAATCACATTCTTTTACACATTCATATCCTCTCTCATATGCTTCTGGTGGACAAACAGAGACACATTGGCCATTATTAATATCTTCATATGGTAATTATAATGGGCAATGCACAACACAGGAACCATTAAATAAAAAGTATGGACTTTCANACATTAAGCATTTTAACCAAAGATTTCAGAATTATCAAACCATAAAGAACAATCTGAAGGTTAAAAGGGATTAATTAAATCAACAGAAATCAAATATCCAAAATAAACAATTATTTCGTTAAGATCATCAGTGTAATAGATATTGACTTTTGCTACTTGACATGTTATACACCAATCATCATTAAGGACTCGATCACAAGAGCATTTTGGAACTTATAAATTGTTTCTGCATATAAGACAGTTATCACCAGCAGTACATTCATCACAAGGACATTTTTTACAATCATCCTAGTATTCATCATCATAATATCCTTTTGAACAAGAACAATCTTGAGCATTTCGATTAGTACCTCTACATTTAGTACAATCAGTTCCATTTTCACAAGTTTAGCATTTATGTAGACATTTTTGACATGAACTATCTGACTGATAATATCCATCTTTACAACTACCTAAGCAAAGTCCATCTTCAGTTAATGTAAACCCACTTGCACATTTGATACAATTATTATTTCCTCTGCCAGTACAAGATTCACATTCTATTGCACATCTTAAACAGTTCTTTTTACTTAAATATTATTAAGATCCACAACTATTCACACATTTATAATTTTCCATATCATTTAAATATTCAGTTGGACATTCAAACAGACATGAATTTTAAAATATAAATGTAGTTTAAGGACACTTCGTCGAACATTCATTAAGTAAAGGGTTCGAAAAAAATTATCCTGGACACTAGTCCAAACATTGCTTATTATGTAGAAAATATCCAATATTGCATTTAGTACATTATAAAGCATTAGTGCAAGTTCTACATTATTAAGGACACTTTAGACATTTAAAGTCTTGAGAACCATAATAGCCATCATTACAACTTAAGACACATTCATTTATATTTTCATAAGTGTTCTAAGGACAAGTTTCATAACAAACATTTTTATATAGTAATTAGTTACATGAATCAATACATGATTTTGATTTTAAATCCTTAATTTTTGTACATAATGTATCACATTAATTAAATTCAAGGAAAAAGTTATCATTACATTCAGTGCAAACTTCAAAACTTGAACATGCTTTACATTCTAATCGACATGGCCTACAAAAATCATTACCATAATATCCAGTAGGGCATGTTTAAATACATTATTTTTAGTAAATGATTAAATCACATTCTTTTACACATTCATATCCTCTCTCATATGCTTCTGGTGGACAAACAGAGACACATTGGCCATTATTAATATCTTCATATGGTAATTATAATGGGCAATGCACAACACAGGAACCATTAAATAAAAAGTATGGACTTTCACATTTAGAACATTCATATTCACTCTTACATGTTAAACATCTTTCAGGACATTATACACATTAAGTATTCTATAATACTGTTAAAGATGGACAAGCTAGAAGACAATCTTTCTTATACTAAAAAGTACTCAATGGACATTGAGAGTAACAATGGTCAATATATAAGTATGTATCTTTAGGGCATAATTATGCACATTCATTATTAACATCGTTGTAATAATATGGGCAATAGTTATTACATAACCCATCATCTAAATAGGTACCAACAGCACATTTAATACATCCAAAAGAATTACATTCCTGACAATTTTCAGAACAATCATAGCATTTTGAATTGAAAACGTACGTTAATAGTGGACAGGCACTGACACATACGCTATTGTACTCATATATACTGCAAATTGCAACACATTTGTCTACATCTTAGAACAGGTTAGTAGGACAAGTAAGTACACATTATTTGTTGACATCATCATATAAATTTGGACAAATTTATGTGCAAATTTGATTATCTAAATAATACCCATTTGAACAAGTGATGCAGTCTTAATATGAAGGTCCAATACATGATGTACATGATGAATCACAATCTAGACACTCTTATTCATCTTAATAGGTGGCTAATGGACAACTAAGAGCACAGATCTATTTATTCTTATAGATGATTGGATCAGTAGGACAATTTTCTAAACATTCATTTTAATATTCAAATAAGGAAGGGTCACATTCATCAACACATTTAATGTTCTTTCTATCAGTTTTCCCAGTTGTGCAACTTAGTTGGCATTGATCATTTTATTGATAGTAACCATATTAACATACTGAACATTTTGTAGCTGATTCGCATTCATTACAATATTATGGACAATTAGTACAAATGGTGTCTTTTGGAAACATACCACTGGGGCAAGATAAAACACAATGATCATAAAGTTTATAAGGGCAATCTGACACACAGAATCTTTTACCAAATGATTCTAAATGGTATAAAGTAGAAGGACATTTAGTGACACATGATCTTGAGATGGGATCCATGAACAAATACTAATTTGAGCAAAAATTCACACATGAACTAACTTCAAGATAAAAATTATTAGCACAAGCTTAACAAACAGTTGCTGAGGTGCATTTTAAACATTTAGGATCACATTATTCACAATGATTACCATCTTGATAATAGCCATCATTTAAAGTTTTAACACATTTTGATAAGCAATACAAGTAATTTGTGGGACAAGTTGAAACACATTACATTTTATCTGTATATTCATATTTTCCACTACAATCGGATACACATAGTTTATTATCAATATCTGAAAACAAAGGGCAAGTTGATTAACAACTTTGTTAGTTTAAAAAATAATTATCAATACAAGAATAGCATTCATTAGCTGTTGGTCCAAAGCAAGTGCTACAAAATAAATTACAATCATAACACTGATCACCTACTTGATATGCAAAATTTGGGCAAGCACTTACACAAACTTAATTATACACTAAATATCCAGAATTGCATGCATTTTAACAATTAATTCCTTGGATTACTAAATGAACTGGGCATGCATCTTTGCAAACATGATCTGTTAAATCATAAAATTGAGGGCAAGTATTCCCACAAGTCTAATTATCCAAAAAATAAGGTAGTTCACATTCAAGGCAATTACCATTATTAGGGCCAAAACACTCCTTACAAATGGAATTGCATGCATAGCATTTCCCAAGCAATAAGTATGATTTTGAATAGCATTAATCTACACATTCTTTCTAACCATTTAATTCATAATAGTATAAAAATCCCGGACAAGGATTAAAGCAAAGATTTTTAGGTGAGTATAAATATCCTGGGCAACCTGTAACACAAGTTTAATCAGCTAAATTTGCAAAGGGTTTTGGATTAGGACAAGTTTCAACACAAGTAGTATCATACAAATAGAATCCAATATCACATTAGGTGCATTAATTAACAGCAGCACCATAACAGACAGAACATGGAACAGCACAATTTATACAAAATTGGCCATCTATATATGTTTGGCTTGGACAGTTAGGCACACAAATGTTTGAATAGTAATATTGAGGACAAGTATCCTTACACGCAAGATCTCCTCCTGGCAAAGATTGCATGTAAGTTCCAAAGGGACATTATTATACACAAAGGGAATTAACCCAATCTTGAATAATATATGGGTTTGTTTAGCAACTTGCTGAGCATGATCCATCGCTAGTGTAAAAATAGTTTGTTTTACAACTTAGACATTGAGTTGCTCCTCCACCAGTACATGTAGAACAACCAGTATTGCAAGTGTAACATTAATTAGTATTTGTTTATTGGTAAGTTCCCTCTGGACATCCCATAATAAAGCATTTCAATTATTGAGTATAAATGTAAGAAGTAGGTTTGCAAGTGCTTACACAAAATCCGTCTTCAAGATAGTTACTACAGGAAGTGACACATTTATTAGAATTAATATCTTTGTAAGGGGCAACATCAGGACAATCTGAGTAACAAGTTGTTCCATATAAGTATGCTCCTGGATTACATTAAGAGCAAGATGTAGAATAGGAAGAAGTACATGTTTTACAGACATCAGCACAGCCATCACAAAAAATATAATTTGTTCTACTTTGGCAAAATGTTCCAAAAGGTTAACTACTATAGCATTTCGTTTTATATTAATATTAATTGAATAGGCAAGTTAACGAACAGTAATAAGTGCTACCATTATTTGTTTTAAAAGTGGAGGCTGAACAATCATCAACACACTACCAATTAACCATGTCATACATTTATGATCCACAATTTATTCCGCAGGTATTATTTAATAAATAGGTCTTAGAATAACAAGAGAGACACTCGTTTTAACTAGGTCCAGAACAGGTCTAACAACTTTCGTTACATTCATAACAATCATTCCCGATACAATATGCTCCTACTAGAGGAAGAGTATCTAAACACTAGCTTTAAAAAGAATAGAGATATTAGGCATAAATTTGCCCACATTATTCGACACAAACATATATGCTTAAGTCTTTATTAATAACAGAGTATCCGGTAGAACAGGTTCCTTCACATCTCCAATTTATATAATTTTTAAATTTAGTACCACATGAAGTAAAACACACATTATCTAATAGGAATTCCATAAAATTACAAGATGTACAGAAATTAGAAAAGTCTTAACAAGTAAAGCAATTACTGTCACAGGGAGTGCATTCCAATGTTGCAGGATGGCCATAGTATCCATCATCACAAGGTTGCATACATCGATGAGTATCAGATTAATGCAAATAAGTTTAATAGATCTTGTTTACTTTTATTGATCCGCACTTTTTTGGAAAACATTATTTTATTGTGTAACCATTAAAGTCATCGTTTTAATAAACTAGATCAGTTGGATTACAATTAGATAAACAAACACTAACCCCATCATCCTATTTTAACAAGAACTTGGGAAAGCATGACAATACACACATACCTTAATCTATAGGATATGTGTTCAGGCAGCTAGTACAAATCGTAGGACTAGTGCAGGTTTAACATAATTATGGGCAATCAAGCATTACATCTATTATTTAGGATGATGAATCAGTTGAAGTTGTAAGGTAATTTTCTGTTAAATTTGTATTTGGTAAGCATGTGTTCTTATATAAAGCATATCCTAAACCGCAATCAGTAACACAATCGTAATTCTTTGTGTATAGATTTGAAGGACATTCCAATTCACAAACTTTTGTTTATTAATTATTATATTTGAAAAGACCTTTGCTGCTACAATTAGTAACACAAGCTGTTAAATAGGGATTATAAAATTTATTAGAATAGCAACCTAAGCAATTTTAATCACCTGGCCCAAAACAGTACTTACAACTTTAATGGCAATAGATAGTGGCATCTCTCATTTGGTTGCGGCCAGTAATTATACACCCCCTAGTTTTCCCTTCTTTTTGTTACTCTGGTTTTAAGCAATAGTATCCTATATCTATCTCATTCCACTAACAATTAGAATTAGGATTACAGTAATAAGTTACATAGTTATAAGGACTATAAAAGGTGCAAGAATAGGTATATAGATATTTAGACTTACAACTTTTCTAACAAATTTAATTATTATTGAATCTATAATTTGAATTACATTGCGATCTACATGTTTTTTTTTCAGTTAAAGCATAATTATAACTACAAATATAACATTAACTTAGATATTATGCTTAATTGCAGCCTTCCACTCCCCAACCTGAACATGTTAACGAATTAGAATTATAATTTGGATAGTTTTATTAACATAGTTTGCTTACTTCATATTTTTGAGATGTAGATGTAGAATATAAAATGGTTTTTTGACAAAAAATTGCTTATGAATCTTAACAATAAAAAGGAGATTTAGGCGAACTGCTTGACAAAATGCATCTTCCAGTGCTATTATCCAACCAGTAATTGCTTGCACACACCTTGCAATTATTACCTTGCTGTCTTAAACAATTTGGTATCGTTATTGAAACACAACCATTTGGTTATTCTATATATCCAGCAGGGCAGTTGTAGTAGGTATAGTCATCATTAGGATCTTATTCTTTACAATAATGAGTTGCTGCTCTACAAAAAGCACAATAAGGTCCAACAAAATATTGACAATCGCCAGATGATTATAAAATACCATAGCCTTTAAAAATTCTAATGTCTTAAATATCCAAGAAATCATTTCCACGAGCATCTTTAAAAACAGGGCCTATTACCAGTCTCTTATAAGCCTTGATATTTTGAACTATAATTAGAGAAGTCTGGGATGTGTCGATAAAGGTTCTCATTATTTTTTTCGAATTTTATGGGATAAAATTTTCATTTATACTTATATCCAATAATGCAATCATCACATGATTCCATACATTTGCTGAGAAACTGCCTAATTAGTTTTGTACAGTATAAGCTTAATATTATACAAGCTTGTAATTTTAATTAACACCAAATCCTATGCTTGTCTCTTGCACTAAATCATCTGTAAAGGAGAAAAATTAAAAAAGTTTAGCTATATTTCTTGGTTACACCCAAAACATTAGAGTGAACGAACTCATCTACTCTTCAAAGCTATAGACTATTTGCTTGTCTCTATACACATACAAACCAATTGGTCCACTATATGAGGCCTGATTAAGACTTACTCTTAATTTGATATCTTGAAATTAGCCTTTCACATTGATTGAGTTAACTTGAAATGGTTTTAGAAGAAATTTTAGTTAGACATCATAATCAACATAGATTTCTGAGTCCATAGTTGTCCATCCATAGATTAAATCAAAATTAGCAATATCTACGCATGCCATATAGTCAGAAGTCATATCATAAAGCTATTCATTTGTTATTCTTGAATGTTGTCCAAATCGATAAAGTAACCTTTCAATTATGAAAAACATTACTTTTAAGTAACTAAAGTTTCTAGTTTTTATGAGAGTTAGTAATTATAAGTCGAAAAAAATTTTAGATTTATAAACGTATTTTCAGTTCTTTAATCTATTGAAAGTAATATATGATTCCAAGAGTTTGTGTAGAGATTATTTGTTCTATTCATAAAATGAAATTTTTACTAATCAATCTTTAGCTTTAAAATTTCTGGCTCAAATTTAGAATTGACCAAATACATGTAATAATCGCCTGACTCTATTTAATAGTAAAGCATTAAGTTTAAATACTAAATAAAAAATAATATTCCTACTGGGTTTTTTGTATAACCATCAACGAAGGCAAAAATTATCTATCTTCCACCTAATTTCATCTGCTAATGAACCATTATCCAAATGCTGAAAGTCAACTAATCTAAATTATTCAGTTATCCTTATTGCGAGAGGTAATCGTAAAAGTATTGCAATCCTACGAATCCATTTTCAACTATTGATAAGACTTTGCATTGCTACTTTCATCAATATTGCTGCAATCCATATGTAATGGTAATGCTCCTTGCAAATTTATCTTTGTTTACGAATTAACATAGCTTAGGATTGAGAACACTAAATACATCATTTAATTTTATTATCTATAATATATATTCGAATAAGAAAACGTAAATTATTATAAAGTAATATTATTTCCTCAAAATAATTTTACCTTTATCGCAGAAGTTTAATTTAATTAAAGAACCTTTTTATTGAATAAAACATAAACATATTACAGATCTCCTTGGTAGAATATTCTAAATCTAATTAATAAAATTTTGACTTTGATTTTAATATATGTTAATTTATATATTTATTTAAAATATTTTCCAAATTTACTGTGATTTTACTAACTAAAATATCATTCCAAATTATAATATTTTTATTAAACATTCTTTAACTAATAATATTTTGATAAATACCTTATAATCATTATATCTTTCAAGTTAGTCTGTCTTTGTTTATTACTCAGGTTTAATAAATACTTAATTTCAATATAATTTTCAATAAAGAAGTATTTTAATTATTTAGATCATTCTTTATTTATACTAATATATTGTTAATTTAAAAATTCTTTAATACGCCAACAATTATATTGCACATAATTTAAAATCTTGATTTAATGATGTTGTCTTCGTTATACATCATTTGAAATTTGAGTTTAAGTGTTCTTTCAAATTCAAAAATAAAAGTCTAAATTTAATTAAAGACCTTTATTTTATATTCTCAAGGATTGTTAAGTAATTAGATTCTTGATGATGGATTTCTGAACTTGATATTAAAGGAAATTGATAAAAATTATTCTTATTTTTTAATTAAAGGGCTTTAGAAATATTTTCTAATTATAATATGATTAAGGAGACTTATAAATAGAACTTGAGTGATTTTATAACAAATGATTTAGAAAAGGCTTTTGCAATTACAATTTTGATGATGAACACAATTATGATTTTATGGCAAGCTTCAAATTTTCATAAACTAATTAGATTCTATATCAAAATCATGGATCCAACTCTTTTAAAAATAAACACTTTATTGTTCATTCTATGTTTAAGTAATAGTTTACTTATTGATAAGTAAGGATACAAGCTTATTCTTATGCAGTTTTTGGATGTTTTTTAAAGGAATCTGGATAATAACTATTTCAGCCATCTGTATTTAGAACTTTATAATCTTCAAGTTTCATTTTTTATGATCTTGTCTTGGGAGTAATAGGAGCAAAATGGTTAAAGAATTTATTTATTTAAGGATTTCAATTATGCAGAAATTTTTCAATTATTTTAAGGGTATTTCTTATATTGAAATGATTATTAATTTATTCTTTTTTATTTTCTGGTGTGCATGCCAGATATTCTTATTCATAGCAGAATATTATCACAACAAAACATGGGATTAAAGAATGGACAAGATGTATAATAAATATGATAGCTAGTTACTCAATTCTTTATTTTATATAATCATTCGTCACTTTAATGACCTTTGTTATAGGATGTATATTATTTAGAAAACATGTTAAGAACATAAATACTATAAATGAAAAATATAAAAAATACGTAAAGTATAAAATCATCAATTTAGCTTGATTACTCAATTGGTTTTTTAATAGTAGGATAGGCATTAAGATTATTATTTTCATTATTAAGAATTTGGTATTCCTCGTTTTTGATTTAGTTCAAGTATGGGTTCAATGACAAAAATACTTAAGACACTATATTGTGGTATGTATTTATGATAAATGAAAGGTCTATAATATCATTTTTATTATATCTTTTGAGCGATTATATTCCTACTTCAATACTTTTGTTAATATTTTATCCAAATTAACACAGAATAAAAAAAAGTCTAATAGTAGAATCTGCTGTGGAAATAGAATGATTGATAAATAACAAATATTTATATTTATTAATTTTCATTTAACATATTTTACTTTAGGTTTATTTTCTTTTTTCTTTTTATCTTTTTTATCTTCCTCAGCATATTGGGGCTTTTATAGCCAACCCCAAATAATTAGCGATCCTTTATATAGCAATATTAATGGGATAATCCAATAGCCATACCAAAAAAAGTCAAACATAATGCTGCCAAGCTAAAGTAGATAAAAAAGCTTACTTAGATGACTCCGTTTAAAACTAATATATCTATATAAATGGAATATGAATCTGTATCCAAACCAAAATCTAGTGACTTGCTTATCTAATTATAACAAAAGTATTGAATAAAAGTAATTATAGCAACAACTATAGCACCCCAAATTGTTAATGCATAACCAAAATATAAATTAGCAAGCAAAAATAATGTGCAAATACCTGTTGTTGGGTAAAAGTAATATCCGATTACTTTTTATTTAAATGAAGCTATTTTTTTTTCGCTTTAGTTTCCCATTAATAAAATTAATGCATTACGTGTATTTTATTCTTTTAGTTGTTCTAGCTTCTTGCAAAATGACTAACATTACAAATTTAGAGAAATGGGTCCAAATATAAAACTACACTTTGATCTTTTTCACTCGTGATGATTGTAACCATTGTTAAAGATTGGAAGAAGAATTAGAAAAAGCATCTGTAATGATTAATGTTGGCACTCCTGGAAGCATTGCTATTCCAGTAGCTAGAATTAAGAATTATGAACTTAATAGATACCCTGTGCTTAGATTATATGTGAAAGGTCTATACACTGAACATTCAGGGGAATGGGAAAAGAAACAATTAGAACAATGGACAGATTTAAGAGCACTATCTTATATATCAGCTTCCGATTCAGAACCAACTATTAGATGGATCCATGAGGCTCATAATATTAGTGTTTTAGTTTTCAACGACTAATTCAAGTAGGAGTTGAAATGGCTCAAAACTCTAAAGCATCACATCCATTTCACTTATACTACTTTACCAAATGCTCGATCATTACTCAATGTTGGAGAAGAAACCACACTTGTGATGTTTACAGAGAAGGGTATAAATCGATATGATTATGATGGTGAAATAACTTATGAAAAAGTATTTAAATTTGTAGAGGATCATGAAGAGAAATACTATTAAGAATTTACATAAGATGCTATTGAAACAGCTTTTTATTAACCTAAAAAGCCAGTATTATTTATTTTTGATGAAAAAGATTATAGAGACTTGGCCAAAACACATTAAAAAGAGTAATAATAATATTAATAATTCTAGGATTAATACAATTTTGGTTAAGTTAGATTAGGTTACAGATAGACTATTAAATTATTTAGGAATTAAAGGTATCTAACGTCCTCTGGCAGTTATTTATGATTAAAACCATTCTTAAAAGAAATATAGAACACAATTTGCTGATTTAGGGGAACTTAGAAAATTTGTGAATAATTTTTTAAATAATAAATTAGAACCATATTACAAAAGTTAACCAACTGTTAAAAATGAGAATTGGGAAAAACAAATCTTGACCGTTGTTGGTGATGATCTACCAAAGCATGACAATATTTTCATATATTTTTATTCCAGTTGGTGCAAAGTGTGTTAAGAATTTACTCCTATATTTGAGCAATTGTTTAAAAAATATAGAGGATAAAAAGCATTTGGTATGTTTGATGCAAGCGAAAATGAAGTATATTACAAATTTATTATTCAAGGTGAAAGATTAATTCATTAAAGATGTTCCTATGTTTAGATGGTATAATGCTTAAACAAGACAAGTTGTTACATTTGATGGACCATTAACATTAGAGGCACTTAGTGAATTTATTGACAAACAGGGAAAAAAATAAGTTTCTGATGATTTATGATGTGTAAAATATCTATTGCTATTAGTACATTCTTAGTTTTTGAATCTAATTATAATTTTCTTATTATTAATTTACATAGTTTATATAATTAAAATTTATAATTGAATTGATTTTCTTAAGTTTCTGTTAGAGTTAATTAGAAAAAATCAAATGAAATCGTTGTTATATATTGTATTTCATTTTCTATACATAATTAAGTAAGTTGAAATTTTATAAATTTTAATTCAATATGCTTTAAGGGTTAAAAGGATTAAAATTAATTCAAAGAGAAATTGAGTCTTTATAGTCCAAAATTTTAATGATCAAAAAAACAAACATCATCAGAATGTGAAGAATTTTGATCCAAGCAATTTAAATATTTTCATATCTATAAAGAAATCAATTTATATAAAGATTATAATTACAACTTCTTTTTATAAATTAAATTCATTTCACATCTAAAAGTGTTAATGCTAATTTATTAAACTGAGTAAACCTTAAAACAAAAGAATTTTCATATAAATTATTTTTGGAAGTGAAACATATAAAAAATTATAATTAATCATGCTTTTTTCTTTTATTAAAGGAATCTAAATACAGAAAAGCTTAAATTTTCGCTTTGGCTACGCATTCTTATATCCTATAATTATTTAATTATAATACATGTTCAATTAAAGCTTTTTAACATGGGACTCTTGGAATTTAATTGGATCGTTGCTTTTCATCGTTTTCTGATTCTTCCAGTATGACTTCATCTGGTGTGTATATAGCTAATTTTTGCTACTAAATTTTTGGTCCTTTATGAGGTTCAAGGGTTAGAGGTTCAACTATTTACTGTGATTATTTAGCCCTAATCAAAATGTAAATTATACTTTATTTTAGGGGTAGGAGGAGGTTAATCATGAGTATCCAAATATTCCTAATATGTCATTGAAGAATTATATCTCTGCCTAATTACTGATTGATAAAGTTCATCCATAACAATTTAATTTTAATAATTTATTATTGAATTTATCATGTATTCTACTATAAATTTATCCGAATTAATGGCGATTTCTAAACAATATCATGTCTTCAAAGGGTTCCTCTGTATTGGCCTTTAGTGATTTTATGATATTGATTACGTTTTTAATAATTATTTAAAATGTATTAGCCTATTATTAAATCATAGAGCATTAACTAAACTTTATAAAAATATGCTTATAAATAAATTTAATTCCTTATTTATAATATAAAGGAATTTAGTATTTATATTTTCATTTATAATAGAATTATAGTAAACTAATCTGATTAAAGCCTTGAGGAGCTGAAAACTCGATAACTTTGATCATGATATCATTTTACATGAGTTTTGAGAATAAAAAAATAATTTTTAATCAATTGGGTTTGTAAATTATAATGAAAAATACCTAGATTAATAAAATAAAAAAGTAATAAGATTTTATCCCCATTACTTTTATATATTTACTAGCGTATCAGATTTCTTAAGTACATGTATAACTTATTTTCTTATAGGATATCAAGCTAATTTATTAGCTTACTATAAGATTGATATTTCTTCACTTTTTGGATAATTCTACATATAATATCTATTTAGTAAAAATTTTATCTTATTTATGGTAATAACAAAACAAAATATATCCAAAGCCTTTTGCTTTATAAAAAGAAGAATTTCAGCTAGTTAAGGAAGAATCTATTTAAAAGTCAAAGATAACAAATTTAATCATTTTTCAAGTTAAGACAAATCCTTTCATTTATGAATGTTTTCATAAATAGTAGTTTGATATATACTTAAATACCTTCAAGCAATGAGGTAATATAACTAGTTTTTTTATGAAATAACTTTGAACACTGAAATGCAATTACTAAAATTTCATCCCATATGTGTGTTTATAAATTAATTATTTTATTAATAGATGACTTTAATATAATAACTTCAAAATTGAAAAAAAAAGGCTAAATATCTTAGATATTATTTAAAAATATCTCAAAATCAATTGATGCTTTAAGCTTTAGCTATAAATTAGAATTCTCTAAGTTTTTTTCTAATTAATTTTTTCTTTTCTTATCCAAAAAATTTATTGGCACTAAATAGGATGATGTCCAAAAATAGGAAATCAATTAAGATGGCAAAAGTATATGAAATAATCTAATGATTAATTAGGATTTAATACCAAATTTGTTTAATTATAGATCATTAAGTAGACGAAAATTCCAAATAAAAATGTGCCTAACATTATTAAAAATAGGAATAGTTTAGTAAGAATAAGAACTATTACTTATTTCATATAAAAAAAGTATTTAACTTAAGTCTAAATTATTAATAATTGATTACTTTGAAAATGTATTCAAAAATTCTGCTAAAAATGATTGATGACAAGATGATCCACATAGAAATATCATAATTGAATCCATAATAACTTAGGACTTCTCCAACAATAATAGCTTGATTCCACCTCAATAAAATTAAAATAGAACGTTGAAATGAGCTAAAGTAAAATAATTTTTTATATATCATTGAAGTTAAAAAATGATATTTCTATGATAAATATATTAAGTACCCAAAAATTATTAAAACTAAATTTGTCCTTATCTGTCTGTTATTATGAGGCTTATTGTTATTTTGGCTCATCACGAACAGCTTGTTTTTCATCATCAATTGGAACAATCTTACTTCCGAAAACTCCTATTTTATTATTTTTTGCCAATTTCAGAACTTAACCAAACTTATTATTATCTACTGATTTTTCATACTAAGAACTCCTTGCCCTAATGAAAAATATTCCTAATATAAATAATTATACAAAGTAAATAATATATAAGAGATTAGGAATTTTCAGTTAGAACTTAGGAGAATTTTAAAAAAGGTAATCATAATCATTACAAATGGTTGTTGGAGCAAGATTTGTACAATTACAAAAATAGGATGTATTCGTTTCGTAAAGTGTACAATTTTCATTTGACCATTCATATGATTAAGAGTTTCTCATTAAACAAACCAGGTTTGTAGTGTCATTAAGCACTTTGAATTTGTATGAGATATATGAGCTTAATTATATATTTTATTTTCTATTTTCTTGACGTATTTAGTAATCGTAAAGTGGATATAACTAGAAGGGATAGGGATAATAACCATCAAAAGCAAAGTAATTACGAATATATATAGCTTAAACAACGTCGTAGTATTCTGAATTGCTGGAATTGTCTTCAGTGGATTCAACTAATAGTCGTCCTTTTGTGATGTTGGATATATTATTAATTCTCTACATTTTTAGAAAGGCAGTATCAAAAGAGTAATCGATAGATTCATTAGGCTCAATACCGAATAGAGATAGTTCTATTATGGCTGACAAAAAGCTTTTTAAGCGACTCTACAATTAATAGACAGCAGAGTCTTAAGTAAACAAGGTTTTAGCCCACATAAATACCGTGCTCTTTAAAGCTGTGCTCAAATCATTCTAATTTTCCAATGATCTTATATCAATTTGAGAGTAATTCAGAGAAGCAGTTGACTGATATTAAAGATTAATTGAGTATTGGTTGATTTTTTCTAATCTTGTATTAAGATTTTAAATGTATTATTCTAATATCTATTAGCAATCTAAATTAGTAAGTGTATTATTTAAATCTTTAAGAGTGGATAAGTACAATAATGATTAGCTAAACAATCTAAACTCATCATCATTTGTTATTGGATTTTTAATTAATTCTTGCAAAGAATTTGAAATAAGGCTATTAAAATTCTTGTATTCTTCTTTGGTTCCACTGCAATCATCAAAATAATATTCTGGAGGACATTTGCATTTATTGTCAACGCATGTACCAACACCTGAACATTGTTTCAAGCAGACCTATTATTTTTCGACTTCCATTAGTTTAGTCATAGTGTGAATACTCTGCAAATTTGAAAAATTAGTTTGATTATTTAAGGATTCATACAATTTACTAATCTGATAATTTTTTCTATTGACTTAAATTTCCTTTACTAAATAAGACTTTGATCCCTTTGCTGATTCAATTTAACAAAGAACAGATATTGCATTATCAATAATTCCATTTGGAAGTTAGAAGGAACCTGTTAATTCTTGTGAACTAATCACCAAAGGGAAACCATTATTAATGGATTATATATTTACGTCACTTTACAACATAAGTTTGTCAAAATAGTAATAAATGCTGACAGTATTTTCAGGTTGTAGGTTTTGGATTGAATAGTTAAAGTAATCTAAAGTTTCACCTACAAGAGGATCCACATTGAAGGAAACTTCTGAAGGTGGCCTGTTTAGCTGAAATGATATGGATTCAATGCCTGGCACTAAATAGATGTACACAGGACTATTGTAATTAGCTGTTAATCCTGAGAGTCTAAACTTTAAAGTTTGGCTTGGAGTTTTGATTGAAGCCAAGATTTTGAATTCTTGCATGATGAAAGCGTATTTTTAATTATTTCTAATCAAAACAGTTATTTCATCATTAAGATTTACAGAGTTTTTAGGGACGTCCTAATTTAAAACGAATTCTTCCTCGATTTCAAAATCTGTGACAACTATTAACTACTCTTTTACTGTCCACCTATTGTCTTTGGATGCTTTAACAAAGAAGACGAATGTAGTATTTTAGCTATCTGCAAGAATATCAGCAATTCTTCTGGATGGAAATTCCATAATCTTATTTTCTTCTGTCTTACAAGGTTATAAATTGAATAAATTATTACATTACCATTAATATTGAATATTTAAAGTACTTAAAACTTCATCTTAGATATTTCGATCGAAAGCTCTTGCATTAATTTAATTATCTAATCCAATAAATCTATTCTTTTAAAGGAATTAAATGTCAATCTTTTTGGATTTTAAATAAATCTTTTCATGAATGACAGAGCTTCCTGTTGATGCCGTAAAAAGTAACGTTGTTTCTTTAGGTAAAAGAGATTCATTTAATGGGACATCATAAATGGGATTAATGGCTTACTGTATGGAAATGTAGGTTTTATTATCTGAATCAGAAACTTGAATGACCAAATTGAATTCATTTTTCATATCTGAATATGTCACTTAACAATCGAAAACATAGACTCTAGCCATCAAAGGATTATATTATAAAAAGACATAAGGAACTAAGTCTGGTAGTGTTGTGAATGTAAATGTTGTAAAATTCACTCTTTTGAGGAAATTAATATACTTGGCTGTAATGGTATAAGTAACATTAGAGGCTAAGGCACCAATAGGAATGGTGAACTCATTTTTTTGATCTGCCAAGAATGCATCCATTTACAAATAATAGTTGTCATTATCCATTTCTTTAAGAGTCCAAGATAAAACTTACTGAATCTTCTTTGCCGTTCCATCAAGTAATACTTGTTTAATTTCAATAGTCTTACAAGTACTTACAACAGACGGTACATCAAAAAGCACATAAGGTTTACTTTAGGCTGAGGGTCCCTTCACAGTACTATCAATAAATGTATCAATATATATTCCATCACAAAGACCTTGATTTACATCTCGATAAAAGGATTATTAGAAACTCAATTAATCTCCAACATTAACAGAAGCGTAAGGCTCTAATATGATGTGAACTGCATATCTGTCCCATGACAAATAGCATTAAGCGTCTTCTCCGAATATTTCAGGATCATTAAACCAAAAAGAACAACTTGAGGGTTAGAAAGGGTTAATTAAATTAACAGATATCAGATATCCAAAATAAACGATGATTTAATTTAGATCATCTGAATAATATATATTGACAGATGCGATTTGACAAGTAATACACCAATCGTCGTTAAGTCTCCTATTACACGAGCAGTTTGGAACTTAGAGATTATTTTTGCATACTAGACACTCCGATTCAGAAATACACTCCTCACATGGACATTTTTAACAATTATCATAGAATGGATCATCATAATATCCTTTTGGACATGAACAATCAAGTTGATTTCTATTATTACCTCTGCATTGTAAACATTCAGTGGCATTCTAACAAGTTAGACATTTATGTAAGCATTGCTCACATGAATTTGTTGTTTAATAATAACCAGCTTTGCATTTTCCAAAGCAATGTCCATCTTCAGTTAAAACGTAATTAGTTGCACATACTACGCAATTTTAATTTCCATAGGCTGTGCATTGATCGCATTCAAAAGAGCAAGGATAACAACTATTTTTATGAAGATATTGTTGCTTGCCACAAGATGAAACGCATTTATAACTTTCAGTGTCATTGAAATAATCAGTTGGACATTCATACAAGCATGAATTTTAAAAGATGAATGTTTTATCTGGACATGATTATGAACATTAACTGGTTAATGGATTTGACAATAATTTATCAGGACATGAATCTAAACACTATTTCTGATATAAGTAATATCCAATTTTACAACTGTTACATTAATTAAATGCTGAGCAAGTGATGCATTAAGACGGACATTTTTCACATTTGAAGTCTGCCGAACCAAAATATCCATCTAAGCACTTTAGAAGACAAGTATTTGTAAATTAATACGTGTTTATAGGACAAGTTTCATAGCACACATTTTGATACAATAGTTAAGAGCATGAATCAACGCACTTCTTCTATTTCAAATCTTTGATTTTCGTACATTAAGTTTCGCATTAGTTTAACTCAAGGTAAAAGTTGTCTGAACATTCTGTACACACATTAAAGTCATTGCAAGCCTTGCACTCCAATTTGCAAGGCTTACATATTGCATTACCATAATATCCGTAAGGACATTGTGTTAAACATTTATTCTAATAGATGATTAAATCACATTCTTTAATGCAGTCATATCCTTTTTCATATGTATCCGGAGAACATTCCGATTAACACACATAATAAATTTTATTTTAATAGGGTAGTACTGTTGGACAAGCTACAACACATTCTCCTTTATATTAGTAATAAGGGGCATCGCAAGTCACACATTCATATTAACTTTTGCAAACTGAACATCTCTCTGGGCATTAGTAACAAACAGAATTTAGTAAAATAGTTTTCAAAGGACACTCCAAAAGACATGTTTACAAATATGTATATGTATTTGCTGGACAGGTTGCATAGCATTGATCAATATAAAGATACGTTCCTTCTGGGCACTATTACTCACATTGATAATTGATAACATTGTAATAGTATGGGCAAAAATTACTACAACTTCCATCATTTAAAAATGTTCCATTGCCACATTTAAGGCAGCCAAAAGTATTACATTCAATGCAATTCTCTGAACAATCGAAACAAATGAAATTTGAATCATATGCTCCTGGAGGACAGCTGGATAAGCAAGTATTAGCGTACATGTACTAACTACAAATCAAAACACACTTATTTCCATCCAAAAGAAGATTTGGAGGACAAGAAAGAACACAAGTTCTATCTACTTCATTATATAAATAAGGACAAGTGAGAATACATTATTGGTCATGCAAGTAATAGGTGTCTTTGCAAACTAGACAATCATTATTCGATGGGCCAATACATGATAAGCATGACACATCGCAATCCAGACATTCTTATTTGTTTTAGAATGTACCATCTGGGCATGCATCCATACAAATATTTGAATGGTAATAAAATACTGGATTTGTGGGACAACTTACTACACATTAGTTTTGATATTCAAATAATGATGGATCACATTATGAGACACATGAATTATTTTTATAATCTGTTTTTCCAACCAAACAACTTAAATAGCAAAGCCCGTTTTCCAAAAAATGATCTTTAATACATACAGTGCAATTTGTAGCTGAAGTGCATTCTTCGCATGTCTAAGGGCAATTTGTACAGAAATTATTCAGAATGAACATTCCTTTTGGGCAAGAACTAACACATTAATCATTAAGCTTATAGCCTAGGACGCAATCATCAACACAACTCCTTTTATCATATGATTCCTAATGGTAAAGTTGAGGTGGACATTTTGTAACGCAAGTTCCTGTTGTTGAATCCATGTAAAGATATTTATTAGTACAAAAATTGGCACAGGTTGACAAAGTTAGAAAGTTGTTTTTAGTACATGCTTAGCATACAGTTGAGGATGTGCACTTTGTACATTTGCTGTTGCATAAAATACAGCTTACTCCATCTGAATAATACCCATCGGGTGGAGTTTTCAAACATTTTTTATTACATTTAATATATCCTGTTGGACATGTTGTCACACAACTTTTCAAGTCAGTTAATTCAAACTTTGTACCGCAAGTGCTTACGCATTTTTAAGCCTCATAATCATATAGGATTGGGCACGTCTATGTGCAAGTATTACCATCTAATAAATAGTTTTCAATGCAAGAAGAACAAGTACTTATTAAAGGTCCACTGCAAGACCTACAAAGGGAGTTGCAAAGTAAACATTTTGTATTCGATTTGTAGGTAAATGCTGGACATGTTGTGACACAAAATTAACCATACTGTAAATAAGTTGCATCACATGAGGTTTGACATTTCTATCCTTAGATGACAGTAGTGGATGGACAAGATTCTTTGCAAGTTCTATCTGTTAAGTCAGTGTATAATTATGATGGGCAAGCCGTTGAACATTTTTATTAATATAAATAATTAGGTGCTTCACATTATAAACAATTTCCATTGATCGGTCCATAGCATTCTTTACAAATGGAATTGCATTGTAAGCAATGTCCTGAAGATAAATAAGATTTTGAATAGCATTAATCTACGCATTCTTTTTTACCATTTAATTCATAAATAGCTAAGAAACCTGGACAAGGGCTAAAACAGATCTTTTTGGCTAAATACAAGTAATCAGGGCAAGCTGAGACACAAGTTGAATTAGCTAAATTTGCATAAGGTTTTGTATTTGGACAGACGTCAACACAACTAGTATCAGCCAAGTAATATCCAGAGTCACACTTTGTGCATTGGTTAACTAATTCACCAAAACAGACAGAGCAAGGTCCAGCACATGGAGTGCAAACATTTCCATCAGCATAAGTTTGAGCAGGACACGTTGCAACACAAATATTTGAATAATAAAATACAGGACAAGTGTCTTTACATGCTAGTTACCCACTTGCCAAGGTTTACAAGTAAGTTCCAGCTGGACATTATTTAGCACATTTTCCATTAATCCAATCTTAGATAAGATCAGGACTCACATTACAAACATTCGTACATGTTGATGTGCCTAGGAGAAAATATCCTTCTATACAAGTGATACAAGAACTAGATGATCCATCTGTACAAGTAGCACATCCAAGAGCACAAGCATAGCACTAAAGTGTAGCAGTTAGATTATATGTTCCTTCTGGACATCCTAACTCATAACATTATTTCATAGCATCATATGTGTAATAATTATCTGAACAGCCAGCAACGCAATATCCATTTTCTTAATAACTCGTGCAAGTAACAACACACAAATTGTTAAGAGTATCTTTATATGGACTATCATCAGGACATTCGGTAGAGCATGTAGTATCGTATAAATAAGATCCTGGATTACATTCCGTACAAGTAGTTGAATAGGAATCAAAACAGGTTTTACATACTGCTGTGCATTTATCACATAATCTATAATTAGTCTTCTGTGTGTAGTAAGTTCCTTCTGGTTAGATATCAGTGCATAAACCCTAATATTAAAACTAATTATATAAGCATGTGGAGGAACAGGATGTGACAAGTATATAATCTGCATTAACAAATTAATAGCCAGAGGTAGTGTATACATTGCTTGGACAAACATCAACGCATTTCCAATTTTACAAATCATAAAACTTAGTACCACAATCTAACACACACTAATTATTTAAGAAAAATGTTTTATCATAACATGATAGACACTAATTACTATTGGGACCAGAACAAGTCTTACATTAATAATAACAATTGTAACACTAAAAACCTACGCAAAATGCTCCAATGGAAGGAGGAGCCTGGTAGCATTGAGTATTGAGTATATAGCGGAACATAGAAAATATATCCCCACATTATTTAACACATGCTTAAACGTCTGGAGCTTTGTCATTTATTGTATATCCGGAAGAACATGTACCTTCGCATTGATTGTTGACATAATTCTTATATTTAGATTTGCAGGTACTAAAGCAACTATTATCTTAAAGAAATTTGTCTGCAGTGCATTTAGTGCAAAAAGTGGCTGAGTTTTAACAATACAAACAAATTGGGTCACATTTAGCGCATTAATAAGTGTTTTGTTAAGGATAATATTTAACATCACAAGGATACACACAAGTAAGAGGTATCGATTAATGTAAATATGTTTATTACTTCTTACCAAGTTAGATAGAGCCACATCTAAGTTTGAAGCATTGTCTAATTGAATATCCGTCAATATTAGAATTATCATATACCAAATCAGTTGGGTCGCAGCTAGCTAAGCAATGACTCACATCATCTTCATCAATATAGAGATATAGTGGATAGCATGTTATAGGACATTTATTTTAAGTTAAAATATAATTATTTAGACAACTAGTACAGTATGTTTAACTTGTGCAGGTTTAGCAAACTTGAGGACAATCAACGAATTTAGTTTTTTGTGAGTTATTTTAATTGTAATTGACGAGGTAATTATCTGTAATTTTAGTTTTTGGTATACATATTGCATTATTATACATAGCATAACCATTTTTACACTCCTTTACACATTCTAAATCCTATGTTAATAAATCTGTTGGACATTCTACTTCACAAACCATTTTAATTCTATTATTGTATTTAAATAGGCTAAGATCATTGCAATCATCCACACATCTTGTGTCATAAGGACTAAAGAATTAATCATTATAACAGCCTAAACATTGGTTACTACCACCACCAAAACAATATTTACAAGGCGAGTTACAATATTGATACTAAATATTCTAGAATGTGTTCCCAAATTATTAACAGGTTGAGTATATACCTTGATTTTCTTAATAATTTAGACACACATAACCGAGATCTTTTTAATTATTATCGCATTTCGTTACATTGCTACATGAATATGTTGGGAGTGACTTTCCAATATTACAGTTGTATATATAGTTATATTTAATTGGACACTTTTTTAAGCAAACTCTGTTATATTAAAATCTGTAAAATTGTGTACAAGGCTACTAACATGTATTAGATTCTGTTAAATACCCACCAGAAGAACATTTATAACATTTTTAATAGTATTAAGCTTAGTAGCAGTAATTTGGTTATGATTTTTGGCAAGTAGATGAACTATACTACTAGCCATATTCTGGTAGACAAAGTTTACTTTATTAGGAGCCAGACTTTGTATTATATTTATAAATCATTCTTCTGCAAAATATTGCATTATTATCATTGCAATCATATGGGGACACTAATTGAGTTATCTAATTGCAACTTCCGTTCAATAAATAATAATTATCTGCACAAATTGCACATTGTGATCCAGACTGTCTAAGACAATTCTAAATTGTTATAGGGGAACAGCCATTCGAAGTCTCTTTCTAACCAGCTGGACAATTATAAATTTTTATATCATCATTTGGGTCTTGCTCTTTGCAATAATGAGTATCAGGTACACAGAATGCACAGTATGCACCAACAAATAATTAGCAATCCCCTCGACCTGTTTAAATACCAAAGCCTTTATAAATTTTGATGTCTTGAATATCAATCTTTTCTGTTCCAAAATCATCAGTAAATATTGGTCCCAATATTATTCTTTTGTATGCTATTACGCTGTATATCTTTTTCAATGCAACCTCAGTGTTATCAATAAAAACTCTTAAAAGCTTGAGTTAACTTGTTGAAATAAAATCAGCATTATAACTTAGCTCCAAAACACCTGCTGTCACATGAGCCCAAGTATTATCAGCTAGTAAACCTAAGGGGGTCTTACCATAATTTTAATGAAATTATAATTAATAGTCAAAATTTACTCCAAATCCTATGCTTGTCTACTACAAAGCATCATCAGTCAAAGAAATAAACTAAAAAAGGGATACGATATTTTATGGTTTAATCCAAAACATCATTGTTAAGGAACCTAGATCTTCCATAAAAGTATACACTATCTGTGTATTCTTAAACAACAGCAATCCAATAGAATCACTATAAAATATAGGGTTGGAATATGATCTCAAAGCTACGTTCATAAATTAGTCGTTAATATTAAGACCTTTTAGCTGATAAGGTTTAAGAAAGAACTTCAATTCTAAATCATAGTCCAAATAGATTTCAGAATCCATTGTTGTCCATCCGTTGATATAATAAAAATTAGCAATATTTACACATGCTTTGTAATCAGTAGAGGATTTAAATAATTATTCATTTGTTATTCTAGAATGCACTCCAAATTGATACTTTAGTCTAATTATTTCCAAAATATTTACTTTTAATTCACTAGAACGTCTTGATACTAATTCAGTGAATTATCATATGTAGAAAAAAATTTCAAATTAATAAACGCATTGCTTGTGCTCTAATCTATAGATAATACTATATGACACCAACTGCCAATAAAAAGATCATTTTTCCTGAAAAATATATATATAAATTGTATACTGTGCTAGTGGTAATTAAATTATCTCTGGAGAAAATCTTTCATTTACTAAGGTCATAGTATATGATCCTGATGAAATTGTGTAAAATAACATTAAATTAATATACTAATATGAGTTAAAACTTTACAGGATTATTTGTGTTACCATCGACAAAACCAAACAAAATTTACCTTCCATTCAATTTGTATTTTTAATATACGTTTATCCATAAGGTAAATGTAATCTTATCAAGATTTACCGAACTTCCAGATTATGAAAGGGAATCATAAAAGTACTAGCTTCCCACAAAGCCATTATCTCCTACAATATATTTAATTCTTAAAACTTTCATCTATCTATATGCAATTCATATATAACGGCTTCGATCCTTAAAGTTTTAATCTTTAAGCTTGGTTGAGAAAGGGTAATAAAAATAAAAGTGCCTTTATAAAAAAACACATATTAATATAATTAATAAAAATGATTCTGTCTTGTCATTTAAATTGTTTTTCTCAATATAATTAATTACACTTATTATTATAATCATATCTATAACATTTGGTCATAGAAATTTTTAAATAATAAATTCATTTTAAAGTCAAGAAAGATCCTTAACTTTATTTCTTATTTCAATACATAATACAATATATGTAAATTAAGTTTAGTAATATTTGAAATTATCAATTTGAAATTAAATAATCAAAGCATTAGAAATCAAACAAAACTTAAACTATTTATTTTATGTATAATTCAATTTAGATAATAATATTTAGTAATTAGAATGTTTTCTATATTTATAACTTCCCTAAAAGGAAGCTTCTAGGGCTCTGATAAAAATAAAAATTTTACTTTTAAAATAGATGACATGTTTACCCTAATAGGTATGAAAAAAAGACCTGATCATCAATTTATAGAAGTAGATGAATTTCCATTTTTATGCTGATGTAAATCATCGTTATTGAAATGCATTTAAACCCTTTTATAGACTATCGAAAGAAATGACCCTTATTTTTCAATAAAATATTAGAAAGTGTAAATAATAAACATATGTATATATTATTATTTAATTATATTTCTTTAATACATATAAATGGCTACTAGATAGATTACAAATCCTAACGATTCAAAGAAGAAACATAAGGAGAACAAAAACAACTCTATTAAAACTTCTAAGAAAAAGGTTAAATCAAAATCGCAAGTTAATCAAGAATAAGTCTTGAACTTAAGATCAAGTTTTGAAACCTTAGTAAAAAACAAGTAATAGTTTACTAAAATTAGAGAGGATCTTGAAAAGATAATTATAAATCAAGAAAGTAAAATTAAGGATCTGAAATTGAATGAAAAAAATTTATTAGAAGAATTGAAAAGACAAGGGGATATTGCAAGAGAAGCACTAAATAAATTATATTACTATTAGTAAGAAAATAACATTGAGAGAGAAAAGCTAAAGAAATATTATGAAGGTATTCAACCGTTAATTTAATAGATTATTATAAAACGAAAGAATAGGAAATGATTCAAAAGTATGAAGGACTCATGTAATAATCTAATATTACTATGTCTGATTATCAAAAAAAATTCAAAGACTTTGTAGTAAAAGAATAAAATTACTAGGATGAAATTGGATTATTAAAAAAAGCATCAAGAAATATTTATACTCCTAGGGACAGAGTAATTTATAATTTAAATATTGTTTGTTAGAACTTTCAAGAATAATTGAATGAGATGGAAGTCAAGCTGAATTTAGCGAATAAAAATAATGAGCAAGTGAAAATGCTATAAAATGAGAACTCCAATTTGCATGTAAAAATTGGACAATATGAAAAATAATTGAGTTAAAAAAATGATATAGAAAAATCTTTGAGAGATAAATTTAGTAAGCAAATAATTGAGTTATAACAAGAATTAAAAGTATCATTTTATAATTTATGATTCTTTAGTATTGGAAAAATGAAATGGATAAAGTCATAAGATAGAATAAAGTTGTAATTTCCAAGTTAACGCCATAAAAGTTAAGATATTGATTAAAGAAAGTGTTTTATTGATATTTATAATAAGGAAAAATATATACTTTTCTTAAATTTCATTAATTAATAAATAATGAGCTAAATTGAGAAAAATAATTGTAAACTTTAGAAAATTGGAATATATACTATTGTCAAAGAAATTTTTTCTTTTTTTTATTTTTGACGAATAAGAAAATATTAGACTTGCTTTTAATGAAAACTCATTTAATTATTAAAAGAGACTTTTGAATTCATTTTTTATGAATGAAAGGAAAAATCAAATATAAGTAAATAATAATTTTCTTTTGAAATCAAATATAAGTAAATAATAATTTCAATTTGAAATCAAAAATACAAATAGTGCAAAAAATCATTATCAAATTTAATTGATTACTAAATAATCCTAATTATTAAATATATAATAATTCCACAATTAATCTGAAGAAAGATTTGGTTGTGTAGCGATAGGTAATGAATTTTTTGCTTCAGTTAATTGTAACTTTATTTAAAGCTCAAAATTCAAGAAAAATTAAACAAAAACAATAAATGCCAAAAATGAATTATTAGTTCTTTTAATTTTGAACTTTTACTTTAGTCAAAAGAGTACTTTCTTAAAAGCCCAAGTTTAGCTACGCAATTTGTCCATAGAATATTTAGCAAAATCAAACCAAATCAAGATTACTTTATTTGGAACTTTAAATTAATTTAAATCAAAAATCGATTATCTCCTCTTACCATTACCTTTACGTTCTAATACATTCAAACTCTTAAGACTTGGATAAAAATAAAAATCAGAACTGAACTTACACATGTAATCCTTAAACCTAAAACGCCATAACACTAAAATTCAAGCCCCTTTCTAATCTTGCAATTTTATACCTTCTTTAAATTTCGAACTGATGACTAAATAGTAATTTATTTCTACAAGTTTAATAAAAAAAGCCTAAATTCTTAATAGCCTTGCGTCCAGTGACATTACTTATTTTATAACCTATTTAAATTAAACTGAAAAAATAAAATTGATAATTAGATATTATTAATAATATCAATGATATAACAGACATAAAATTAATATTATATAATATTTGAATAATATGATATTCTTGATTTTAATGGTTATATCAATCGTTTTACTTATGTACTTTAGCAACTTATTTTAGCTCATTAACCTTTTTTCTTATAATCTTCTTCTTATTTTCTCCTAAAAATCTTTTAGAGCTAAAAATAACGATATCAAGTAGAAGGATATCAATTAGTATTGCAATTGAATAAGAAAGTATCTAAATATAATAGATTAAATACCAAACTTGTTTAGTCATCGATCAGTAAATAAAAATAAATTCCACATAATATAGTGAACAACAATAGTAAAAATATAAAACCTTTAATTAATATGACCAGAATAATTTGCTTCATGATAAAAAAATACTTTATTTATTTCTAAAATTAGAATTATATTTACTTTTAGGAAATTTTCACTAAGTCTCATTATGATTATTGATCCAAATATAATCCAGATAGATATTTAGTAGTCAAAATAAATCAAAGATAAAACTTCTCCAATAATCACTGCAGAATTCCATCTTAATAATATTAAAAGAGATCTCATGAATGGGCTAAGGTAAGCCATCTATTTATATATCAACTATGATAAGCAGTGGTATTTCTAAATATAAGCATAAATTAAGTACCCAGAAATGATTAAAATGAAATTTATCATTTTTGTCATCTTTATTTCTTACTTATGGCTTTATTATTAATTCTTTTGTGTCTTTTTCATGCTCAGCTGGATAAACTTAGCCACCTATTACATTCACTTTGTTATGTTTAGCTAATTTAAAGACACGGCCAAATTTAGTATTTTCAGATTTTAATTCAGCATTTTATGCTTTTGATTTGCTCACAAATATTCCTAATATTATTAATTAAACAATGTAAACGATATAAAAAATATTTGGAAGACTTATCTTAAATCCTGAAGAACCTTGATAAAGAAAATCATAGTCATTACAAATTGTTGTAGGAGAGAGAGTAGTACAATTACAATAGTAAGTAGAATTTATTTCAGCAAGGGTGCAATTTTAACTAAACCATTCAAAGGTCTTAGCATTTCTTTATAAGCAAACTAAATTAGTGGAATCATTTTGAACTCCGAATCGATATGAGATTGGCTAATCTAACTATATATTTTCTTTTCGACTTGTCTATCTGATTTAATAATCATATAGTGGGTAAATTTGTTAAGGGTATGGGAAATAGCCATCAAAAGCATAGAAGTTTCTAATGTAAATTGCATAAACGATATCATAAATTGCTGATTTCTAACTATTGATTTCTTCTAACAGCCTACTTGAGTTATATGGAAGGTTTTAAGATTTTTAAATAGTTATAGATGCAGTATCTATTGAAAAGTCTATTTTATCGTTAGGGTTTAAAGAAAAGATGGTTAGTTCAATGATATTATTTATCAAATTGTTGAGTTGATTTTATAATTAATAAACATTAGAACCTGAAGTGAATAATGTCTTTTCCCACATAAAAACAGTACTTTTAAGGACTGTGTGTAAATCGTTTTTATTTACTAAAGAGCGAATATCTATTTAAGAGTAATTAAAATCCTCGGTTGATTAATATTATAAATTTATTGAATATTAATTTATCTATTCTAATCTCGAATTTGTATTCGTTATGTATTATTTCAAAACAGCGGAACAATCTTCTAAACTTAATGTATTATTAGAGCTAAATTATGATAAGAAGTATAAAGTTTGACTAAACAATTTCATGTCATCATTATTTGCGATAGGTGTTTTGGTTAGGGATTACATAGCATTAAACATAAAATCATTGAATTTTGCTTATTACTCTTAATTTCCACTACAATCAGCAAAGTAATAACCAGGAGGACATTAACATTTCTTATTTACACATGTCCCAACACCTGAGCATTATTTCAAGCAAACCTACTGTTCTTCTAACTATATTAGTGCAATCATCGTATGAAGACTTTGTAAATTCTCTAAATTTGTTTTATTAGAGAAGGATTGATATAATTATTGCAATTCATAATTTTTCCTCATTACGTAAACCTCTTTTTTCAAATACGATTTAGCTCCATAAGAGGATTATATCTCACACAGAACAGATATTGAATTATTAGTGATTCCATTTGGCAACTAAAATTATCCAACAGTTTCCTTTGAGTCTGTGATTAATGGTATTCCATGAATTACAGATTATGTATTAACATCATTTTCAAGAATGGAATTTTCAAAATAATAATAGAAACTTATTGAATTTCCAGCTTAAAGATTTGAAAGAGAGTAATTAAAATAATCTAGAGATTCTCCAACCAATGGCTCAATCTGGAAATACATTTGTTGAGGAGGATCATTCAATTTGAAAGCGATTGATTCATTACCTGGTACCAAATAGATGTAGACAGGACTGATATAATCAGTAGTTAAACCAGCCAATCTAAATTTTAATGACAAACTTGATATTTTCATGGACTATAAAATTTTGTGTTATTGAATAATAAAGGCATACTTTTATTATTTTTTTATTAAGATTGTTACTTCATCATTTGCATTAATGGAATTTTAAGGATCATTATTATTGATATAAAATTGTTCTTCGATGTTAAAATCTGTGATTACTATTAACTATTCTTTGACTGTCCATCTATCTCCTTTCGATGCTTTTGCAAAGAACACTAAAGTTGTATTTTAACTATCAGCAAAAATATTGACTACTCTTCTAGAAGGAAATTGCATAATTTAGTTCTCATCAGTTTTACAAGGTTATAAATTAAATAAGTTATTACATTGCCATTCATAATTAATTTCCATTGTACTCAAAATTTCATCCTATATATTTCTATCATACCCTCTTGCATTAATTTGATTATCTAATCCAATAAATCTATCTTTTTATAAAAATTTAATATCAATTAGTTTTGATTTTAGATAAATAGTTTCTATTATAATAGAACTTCCTGTTGAAGCAGTAAATAGTAAAGGAGTTTCTTTAGGAAGTAGAGATTCATTTAGTGCAATTTCATAAATTGGATTTATTTATTATGTTAATGAGATATATGTTTTATTTTTACCATCTGTTATTTCAATAGCAACATTAAATTCATTTTTCATATCCGAGTACGAGACATGACAATCAAATATATACACTCTAGCTATTAGAGGTTCATATGATAAAAATACATAAGGAGCTTGTATTGGAAGAGTTGTGAATGTAAAAGTGGTGAAATTCACTCTTTGCAAGAAATTAACATATTTTGCTGTGATTGTATATGTAAGATTTGGTTACAATGTACCAATTGGTATTGTAATTTCATTTAGCTAATTTGCTAAAAAGGCATCCATTTATAAATACTATTCTTCATCCTTCATTTCTTTAAGTGTCCAAGATAGAACATTTTAAATTTTTTAACCAGTACCATCTAATAGAATTTATTTGATATATATTGTTTTACAAGTACTAACAAAAGAGGGAATATCAAATAAAATATATGGTTTTTACAAGCTTTTAGGTTCTCCTACTTTGTTTTCAATAAATTATTCTATAAATTGCCCATCGCAAATTCCTTGATCTACATCTCTATAAAATGAGCTTTTAAAACTCAACTTGTCTCCAATAGTGACAGATGCATATGGCTTTAGTGTTATATGAACGGCATATCTATTCCAAGATAAATAACATTAAGCATTTTAACCAAAGATTTCAGAATTATCAAACCATAAAGAACAATCTGAAGGTTAAAAGGGATTAATTAAATCAACAGAAATCAAATATCCAAAATAAACAATTATTTCGTTAAGATCATCAGTGTAATAGATATTGACTTTTGCTACTTGACATGTTATACACCAATCATCATTAAGGACTCGATCACAAGAGCATTTTGGAACTTATAAATTGTTTCTGCATATAAGACAGTTATCACCAGCAGTACATTCATCACAAGGACATTTTTTACAATCATCCTAGTATTCATCATCATAATATCCTTTTGAACAAGAACAATCTTGAGCATTTCGATTAGTACCTCTACATTTAGTACAATCAGTTCCATTTTCACAAGTTTAGCATTTATGTAGACATTTTTGACATGAACTATCTGACTGATAATATCCATCTTTACAACTACCTAAGCAAAGTCCATCTTCAGTTAATGTAAACCCACTTGCACATTTGATACAATTATTATTTCCTCTGCCAGTACAAGATTCACATTCTATTGCACATCTTAAACAGTTCTTTTTACTTAAATATTATTAAGATCCACAACTATTCACACATTTATAATTTTCCATATCATTTAAATATTCAGTTGGACATTCAAACAGACATGAATTTTAAAATATAAATGTAGTTTAAGGACACTTCGTCGAACATTCATTAAGTAAAGGGTTCGAAAAAAATTATCCTGGACACTAGTCCAAACATTGCTTATTATGTAGAAAATATCCAATATTGCATTTAGTACATTATAAAGCATTAGTGCAAGTTCTACATTATTAAGGACACTTTAGACATTTAAAGTCTTGAGAACCATAATAGCCATCATTACAACTTAAGACACATTCATTTATATTTTCATAAGTGTTCTAAGGACAAGTTTCATAACAAACATTTTTATATAGTAATTAGTTACATGAATCAATACATGATTTTGATTTTAAATCCTTAATTTTTGTACATAATGTATCACATTAATTAAATTCAAGGAAAAAGTTATCATTACATTCAGTGCAAACTTCAAAACTTGAACATGCTTTACATTCTAATCGACATGGCCTACAAAAATCATTACCATAATATCCAGTAGGGCATGTTTAAATACATTATTTTTAGTAAATGATTAAATCACATTCTTTTACACATTCATATCCTCTCTCATATGCTTCTGGTGGACAAACAGAGACACATTGGCCATTATTAATATCTTCATATGGTAATTATAATGGGCAATGCACAACACAGGAACCATTAAATAAAAAGTATGGACTTTCACATTTAGAACATTCATATTCACTCTTACATGTTAAACATCTTTCAGGACATTATACACATTAAGTATTCTATAATACTGTTAAAGATGGACAAGCTAGAAGACAATCTTTCTTATACTAAAAAGTACTCAATGGACATTGAGAGTAACAATGGTCAATATATAAGTATGTATCTTTAGGGCATAATTATGCACATTCATTATTAACATCGTTGTAATAATATGGGCAATAGTTATTACATAACCCATCATCNACATTAAGCATTTTAACCAAAGATTTCAGAATTATCAAACCATAAAGAACAATCTGAAGGTTAAAAGGGATTAATTAAATCAACAGAAATCAAATATCCAAAATAAACAATTATTTCGTTAAGATCATCAGTGTAATAGATATTGACTTTTGCTACTTGACATGTTATACACCAATCATCATTAAGGACTCGATCACAAGAGCATTTTGGAACTTATAAATTGTTTCTGCATATAAGACAGTTATCACCAGCAGTACATTCATCACAAGGACATTTTTTACAATCATCCTAGTATTCATCATCATAATATCCTTTTGAACAAGAACAATCTTGAGCATTTCGATTAGTACCTCTACATTTAGTACAATCAGTTCCATTTTCACAAGTTTAGCATTTATGTAGACATTTTTGACATGAACTATCTGACTGATAATATCCATCTTTACAACTACCTAAGCAAAGTCCATCTTCAGTTAATGTAAACCCACTTGCACATTTGATACAATTATTATTTCCTCTGCCAGTACAAGATTCACATTCTATTGCACATCTTAAACAGTTCTTTTTACTTAAATATTATTAAGATCCACAACTATTCACACATTTATAATTTTCCATATCATTTAAATATTCAGTTGGACATTCAAACAGACATGAATTTTAAAATATAAATGTAGTTTAAGGACACTTCGTCGAACATTCATTAAGTAAAGGGTTCGAAAAAAATTATCCTGGACACTAGTCCAAACATTGCTTATTATGTAGAAAATATCCAATATTGCATTTAGTACATTATAAAGCATTAGTGCAAGTTCTACATTATTAAGGACACTTTAGACATTTAAAGTCTTGAGAACCATAATAGCCATCATTACAACTTAAGACACATTCATTTATATTTTCATAAGTGTTCTAAGGACAAGTTTCATAACAAACATTTTTATATAGTAATTAGTTACATGAATCAATACATGATTTTGATTTTAAATCCTTAATTTTTGTACATAATGTATCACATTAATTAAATTCAAGGAAAAAGTTATCATTACATTCAGTGCAAACTTCAAAACTTGAACATGCTTTACATTCTAATCGACATGGCCTACAAAAATCATTACCATAATATCCAGTAGGGCATGTTTAAATACATTATTTTTAGTAAATGATTAAATCACATTCTTTTACACATTCATATCCTCTCTCATATGCTTCTGGTGGACAAACAGAGACACATTGGCCATTATTAATATCTTCATATGGTAATTATAATGGGCAATGCACAACACAGGAACCATTAAATAAAAAGTATGGACTTTCACATTTAGAACATTCATATTCACTCTTACATGTTAAACATCTTTCAGGACATTATACACATTAAGTATTCTATAATACTGTTAAAGATGGACAAGCTAGAAGACAATCTTTCTTATACTAAAAAGTACTCAATGGACATTGAGAGTAACAATGGTCAATATATAAGTATGTATCTTTAGGGCATAATTATGCACATTCATTATTAACATCGTTGTAATAATATGGGCNACATTAAGCATTTTAACCAAAGATTTCAGAATTATCAAACCATAAAGAACAATCTGAAGGTTAAAAGGGATTAATTAAATCAACAGAAATCAAATATCCAAAATAAACAATTATTTCGTTAAGATCATCAGTGTAATAGATATTGACTTTTGCTACTTGACATGTTATACACCAATCATCATTAAGGACTCGATCACAAGAGCATTTTGGAACTTATAAATTGTTTCTGCATATAAGACAGTTATCACCAGCAGTACATTCATCACAAGGACATTTTTTACAATCATCCTAGTATTCATCATCATAATATCCTTTTGAACAAGAACAATCTTGAGCATTTCGATTAGTACCTCTACATTTAGTACAATCAGTTCCATTTTCACAAGTTTAGCATTTATGTAGACATTTTTGACATGAACTATCTGACTGATAATATCCATCTTTACAACTACCTAAGCAAAGTCCATCTTCAGTTAATGTAAACCCACTTGCACATTTGATACAATTATTATTTCCTCTGCCAGTACAAGATTCACATTCTATTGCACATCTTAAACAGTTCTTTTTACTTAAATATTATTAAGATCCACAACTATTCACACATTTATAATTTTCCATATCATTTAAATATTCAGTTGGACATTCAAACAGACATGAATTTTAAAATATAAATGTAGTTTAAGGACACTTCGTCGAACATTCATTAAGTAAAGGGTTCGAAAAAAATTATCCTGGACACTAGTCCAAACATTGCTTATTATGTAGAAAATATCCAATATTGCATTTAGTACATTATAAAGCATTAGTGCAAGTTCTACATTATTAAGGACACTTTAGACATTTAAAGTCTTGAGAACCATAATAGCCATCATTACAACTTAAGACACATTCATTTACATTTTCATAAGTGTTCTAAGGACATGTTTCATAACAAACATTTTTATATAGTAATGAGTTACATGTATCAACACATGATTTGGATTTTAAATCCTTAATTTTCGTACATAATGTATCACATTAATTAAATTCAAGGAAAAAGTTATCATTACATTCAGTGCATACTTCAAAACTTGAACATGCTTTACATTCTAACCGACATGGCTTACAATAATCATTACCATAATATCCTGTAGGGCAAGTTTAAAGACATTATTTTTAGTATATGATTAAATTACATTCTTTCACACATTCATATCCTCTCTCATAAGCTTCTGGTGGACAAACAGACACACATTGGCCATTATTAATATCTTCATATGGTAATTATAATGGGCAATGCACAACACAGGAACCATTAAATAAAAAGTATGGACTTTCACATTTAGAACATTCATATTCACTCTTACATGTTAAACATCTTTCAGGACATTATACACATTAAGTATTCTATAATACTGTTAAAGATGGACAAGCTAGAAGACAATCTTTCTTATACTAAAAAGTACTCAATGGACATTGAGAGTAACAATGGTCAATATATAAGTATGTATCTTTAGGGCATAATTATGCACATTCATTATTAACATCGTTGTAATAATATGGGCAATAGTTATTACATAACCCATCATCTAAATAGGTACCAACAGCACATTTAATACATCCAAAAGAATTACATTCCTGACAATTTTCAGAACAATCATAGCATTTTTTATTTAAAACGTACGTTAATGGTGGACAAGTATTGACACATACACTATTGTACTCATATATACCACAAATTGCAACACATTTATCTAGATCTTAGAACAGATTAGTAGGACAAGTAAGTACACATTATTTGTTGACATCATCATATAATTTTGAACATGTTTATGTGCAAATTTGATTATCTAGATAATAACCGTCCGAACAAGTGATGCAATCTTAAAATGAGGGTCCAATACATATTGTACAGGATGAATCACAATCCTTACACTCTTATTCAATTTGGTAGGTATTTATTGGGCAATTAAGAGCACATATCTATTTATTTCTATATAGAATTGGATCAGTAGGACAATTTTCTAAACATTCATTTTAATATTCAAATAAGGAAGGGTCACATTCATCAACACATTTAATGTTCTTTCTATCTGTTTTTCCAGTTGTGCAACTTAGTTAGCATTGTTCATCTTATAAATAATAACCAAATAAACAGGATGAGCATTTTGTAGCTGACTCGCATTCATTGCAATATTTTGGACATTAAGTACAGATAGTATCTTTTGGATACATTCCACTTGGACAAGCTGATACACATTGATCATAATGTTTATAAGGGCAATCTGACACACAGAATCTTTTACCAAATGACTCTAAATGGTATAAAGTAGAAGGACATTTAGTGACACAAGAACTTGAAATGGGATCCATGAACAAATATTCATTTGAGCAAAAATTCACACAAGAAGTTACTTCAAGATAAAAATTTTTGGCGCAAGCTTAGCAAACTGTTGGTGAGGTGCATTTTAAACATTTAGAATTACATTTTTAACATTGATTACCATCTAAATAATATCCATCCTATAGAACTTAAATACATTTAGATTCACAGATGATATATTATGATGGACAAGTTGTAACGCATTCTTTTTTTTCTGTTATTTCATACATACTACTACAATCCTCCATACATGTATTATTTTCTTTATTATAAAACTTAGGACACACTGATTTACAACTCTGTTGTTCTAAATAATAATTGTCAATGCAAGATCCACATTCATCAGCTGTTGGTCCAAAACATGTCTTGCAATATAGATTGCAATCATAACAGTAATTATTAACTTGATATGCAAATGATGGACACGATTGAATGCAAACTTAATTATACACTAAATATCCTAAATCGCATGTATTTTAACAATTCATTCCTTAGATTACTAAATTAACCGGACATGCATCTTTGCAAACATGATCTGTTAAATCATAAAACTAAGGGCAAGTATTTCCACAAGTTTACTCATCCAAAAAGTAAGGAAGTTTACATTCAAGACAATTACCGTTATTAGGCCCAAAACACTCTTTACAAATAGGATCACATTGATAGCATTTACCAAGCCATAAGTATGAATTTGAATAGCATTAATCTACACATTCTCTTTTGCTGTTTAATTCATATTAATATAAGAATCCAGGACAAGGACTAAAGCAATAATTCTTTTTCAAATATAAGTAGTCTGGACAAGTAGTCACACAGGTTGAGTCAGCTAAATTTGCATAAGGCTTAGGATCAGGGCAAACAGCATAGCAAGTTGTTTCGTCTCTATAATAACCAATATCACATTTAGTGCACTCATTTACTTTAACGCCAAAACATTCTGAACAAGGACCTGCACAACTTCTGCAAATTTTTTTATCTAAATAAGTTTGGCTTGGACATTCTGAAACGCATATGTTTGAATAATAATATTTGGGACAATCTTCAGTACAAGCAAGCGCCCCACTATCTAATGTTCTAATGAAAGTTCCATAAGGACATTATTAAACACATTTACTGTTAACCCAATCTTAAACTAAATCAGGTTCAACTAAGCATTAATTAATACATGTTGTCCCTCCATTCATAAAGTATCCAACTTAGCAAGTCAAACATCCATCTTAATAACCGTTTGTGCAAGTTGCACACCCAGTGTAACATCTATAGCAATATTTAGTGTATTTCAGATTATAAGTTCCAATAGGACAACCCATTTGGTAACATGTTCTTAAGTCTGGAAATTAGTAATATGAAGAGGAACAAGAATAAACGCAAATTCCATTTTCAGCATAGTAATCGCAATTCGTCACGCATTAAAGTCTGCTTTAATCCTTATAAGGTGCATTGTTTGGACAATCTGAATAGCATGTAGTTCCATATAAATAAGCACCGGGTGAACATCTTGAGCAGGATGTAGAGTAAGCATTTTGACATTCTTTGCAAACTGAGGCACAACTATCACAAAAATAATAATTGGTTCTCTATAAGCAATATGTTTCTGGAGGTTTAGAATTATAGCATATTTCTTTGAATTAATACTAATAAAACAAGCAAGTAACTGAACAATATGTAACTATTACGGAGGAACCATTAACATTTTACCAGCCGGAGGTTTATATAGAGTCAGTACAATTATCAACACATTTCCATTTTATATTATCATAATATAATGGATAGCACTATTTCACGCACTCATTGTTTAGTAGATATGATTTAGGTTTACAACTTAAACATTAATTTTAGTTTGGACCAGAACAGGTTTTACACTTATAATTGCAATTATAACAATTCTTGTCTTCACAATAAGCTCCTACCGTTGGTGCTTCTTCATAACATCTATTATTCCAAGAATACTCATAAGTTGGATAGTTGGCTCCACAATACTCAACACATGCATATATACTTTTGGCCACATCCATCACCTAAAATCCCAATGAACATGATCCTTCACATTTTGAGTTCAAATAATTTTGATACTTACCTTAGCAAGATGCGTAGCAACCTGATTAATCCAAAAATTTAAAGTATGGACAAGAAGTGCAGAAGATTGCACTTTGTGAGCAAGTAGCACAAATAGGATTACAAGGTAAGCATTATAAGAGTAAAGTATTACCATAATATCCGTCTTCACAAGGATACATGCATCGATGAGAGTCAGATTAGTGAAGGAAAGTTTAATAATCTTTATTCGCTCTTATAGAACCACATTTTATCTTAAAGCATTAATTAATCTGATATCCATTAATGTTATCATTTTCATAAATCAAATCATGAGGTTAACATGATGTTCTACATGAACCAACATTATCTATTACTTCTAAGTATTGGGGATAGCATGACTTAACACACATATTTTAATCCATTGGATACTGATTTAAGCAACTGGTGCATACTGTTTAACTTGTACATTATTTACAAAGTTAGGGACAATACTTTAGTACAACCATTTAAGTTGGTGGTACATAATCAGGGAGATCTAATACTACTTCATATGTTGCATTTAAATTTGTTAGAATGCATTTTCTATCATATAATTTATATCCAGCACTACATACTGTGACACAATCAGAATTCTATGTATATAAGTTAGTTGGGCATTCCTTTTCACATAAGAAATTATTTAAGTTATTGAATAAAAAGATATTACCTTTAGCTGCGTTATTGCAGTTCGGCATACAAGTTGTCATATAAGGGTTATAATACATACCCGAATTACATCCCAAACAATGAGTGCTTTCAGTTCCAAAACAATATTTGCAGATTGAATTGCAAGTCGCTATTTTATTTAAGCAATTTAGAGTTTTACCTATAGTACTGAATTCTTTTGGCAAGCAATAATAACCAATATCTACTTCAGTGCTTGTACAATTTTTTTAAAGATTACAATTTTATATTATACTTTTATATTTATTAGATTAACAAATAGCTTTAAAGAAGTATCTATCACACTTACCTACACAGATATTATTTTATCCAACAAATTTTAAGACATTTAGACAAGTAGTTGAGCAAGTTCTTTTATCTGTCATAATAAAGTTAGTGCTGCATTAATTACAGGCACTTTAATATTAAGCTTTATCGCAATAAGGTACTGCTAATGAAGTGCATGTTGATTGAGCATTAGAATATTTATTATTATTGCATAATTTACTTACCTGTTTAGTAGTTGAAGATTTGAGAATTATATCTGAAGTAGTGTTCAATGAACAAAGTCTTGCACTTGAATCACTACAAGTGAATGGGGTAGATGCCACTAAAGTCTTTAATTAACATAAGCCACTAATTAAGTTATAATTCTAATCACAAATTTCACATGAAGGTGATGATGATGACATTCTGAGACAGTTTGGAATTATTATTTTTGTGCATAAGTAATTTTCATATTTATATCCAGCTGGACATATATAAAATTTTGTATCATCATTAGGATCCTATTCTTTACAGTAATGAGTGTTCGATTTACAAAATGCACAATAGGCGCCAACAAATATTTAACAATCTTGATTATAAGTTTATCTAATTCCAAATCCTTTAAAAATTTTGATATCTTAAATTTCAACAATTTCTGATCCCTAATCATCCATAAATACGGGTCCTAACACTAATCTTTTATAAGGTTTAACGTTTGTAATTAGGGTTAAGTTTCGTTCAACATTGTCAATAAAAATTCTCAATAATTTCCTTTAATTTAATGCCTTAAAATCATCATTAATGCTTATATCTAATATACCAACTGTGACATGATTCCATGCATTTTAAGACAAAGGACAGACAGGTGTTTTGGAGAAACCTTAATAAAATAATAGATTGTAAAGCTTATTTACTCCAAAACCTATGCTTGTCTCTTATAATACATCATCTGTCAATGATAAAAATTAAAATGAAGATACAAGATTTTAAGGTTTTACCCAAAACATTATTGTTATTGAGGGCAATTATTCAAAGAAATTATACACTATTTATGTATTTTTATAAAAGTTCATCCCAATACTTCCAGTATATTCAAAAGGGATTGTGAACTTTCTTAAGATTATTTCAGGATAAGTAGTACTTACAATTATTCCATCAGATGCAAAAGGTTTTAATTCAAATTTAAGTTCTGAATCGTAATCAACATAAAACTCCCTGTCCATACTGGTCCACCCGTTGATAAAGTAAAAATTGGCTATATTTATGCAAGCTTTTTGATCTTTTTAAGTAAACCCATTAAAAATCTCATTTGTTATTCTCGAGCGTTCATTAAAAATATATACCAATCTAAAATAATGTTGGATTGATACTTTTAATTTACTAATGTCTCAATAGCTTGAGAAAATTAAGGATTATTTGAAGTATCTCCGATTGAAAAAAACTTAAGATTAATAAAACTACTATCAGCGCTTTAATCAATTGAAATAAATAAAAAATTCCATACTTTATTGATACTACATATTTATATTGATAATTACATAGTTATTTTTAGCTTTATTATTTACTATGAAAATTTCTCGTTTATGAAATACAAATAAGTGCCATCCTTTTCTGTTTAATAGTACAGCATCACATTTATGGTCTTAATATACTATGATTCTTACAGCTGTTTAATTGCCGTCATAAAAAGCAAATATTAGTTATTTTTCTTTCAATTATGGATCTGAATGAACCTGCATCCACAAGCTAAAAGTGATCTTATCCAAATTTAATAGGGTTCCGTCTTAAGATAGAGAATTATAAAAGTATTGATTTCCAATAAACCCATTCTCAACTTGAAAGTTTAGGAGATATCCTTACTTGGACTTGAGATTTTACAATCAATATAGAGAGGCAGAGGACCTTGCAATAAGAATTTGGTTTAAGCATAGACGTATGTGCAAATCGTAAGGAAAAATACTAAATGAAACATTTAATAATGAAAAATAATAAATCTCAGATGGAGAAATACCACAAAACTTCTATATTTTTAAATTAAGAAATCTATAATATCATGCTAGCATTATTAATAACCATATATTTCATAATAGATCATTACCCATCCTTCTATTTTGTTCAAAAAAAAAAGTTGTTTGGTTGTCAGATTTTTATTTTTATTATCGATAAATAATAATTAGTACTCTTTTTTGATCATGAAAGCCATTAATTCAGGAGTTTTGGGAAGAATTAACATTTGAGATATGTCTAAAAGAAACTATAGAGTTAAAATCAGTTTTAATATATCATTTTATATACATAATCTTAAAAAAAAGAATTATTTGTATTATAATGATCAGAAACCTTATTAGATCGTTATAATTACTTTACTCTAAGTATTGGTTGTTCGATGATTTTTAATAAAGGGCGGCCTTATTAAATAAGAATTTTAGTTAATAAATAATAATGACAAATTAATTTTGAGCCTGTTTCAATAATCAGTTTGGAATTTTTAGAATGCCATAATCATTGATATAAGGGCCTTTTTCAAATTGAAACTCGCTCCTTTTTACTCTAACTTAAACGATTTACAATATATTATTTATATGTATTGAAGAAAGTTAAAATTTAATATTATTTATTGATCTGTAAAGGAAAATATATTACCCCCTATAAAATATGGTATATAAATGAGCAAGAAAATTTGATAATTTTTGTATTAAATTAATTGATTATTGAAATTTTTTAAACTACCTGAAAAATTTCAAATTTTCATTTATTAATTGAAATGTGTTTAGTAAATACCATATTAATTAATTTTAAATCGACTATTTATCATAAATAAGTGCTATTAGTGATTATTAAATTTAGTAAGACTCTACTATCAATTATGTTACTGGTGCCTTTCCCTTTTGCCAGTTATTAACCAAATTTAAATTATAAGAATTGATTTTTTTCAATACGTTTTTTAAAAACCCAAAGTCAATATCTTATGAAATTATCATTAAGAGGCTAACTATTTACATTTTTGTAATTCAAAATTTTTGATTTTCTAAAATTACAGCTTCATAGTACTGTGTTAATGATAATTTTATGCTACATTTTCTCTAAAGTATCCATAATCGTGAATATCTCCTTTAATTCTTAATTAGCGGTTCCAATTTATTTAAATCTTCTTACTTTTTAACCCAGAATTTAACAACATTTTTAATCAAAAATAATTATTTTAATTTAATTACATATTCATCAAATTTGTATTAATATTATGAAAATAATAATTATACTGTCTTAGCTACAGAACCTATCTTAATTTTACATTGTATAGAAAGAAAATCATCTAAAATATATTCTTTTATTTTGTATTATTTTTGATAAAAAAAGTTTAGTTTTTGTTTATATTGTTGAATAATTTTATTTGTAAATTTTAACAGACTGATTAATGTAGTAACTTAAAATAAACAACACGAAAGAGAATTAAAATAGAGATCTCAGTAAAGTTGAATAGAGAATTCAGCTTTTAATGGAAGAGAATTAGAGGTTGAATTAATCACTCAAAACAAAGATGGAAGAAATATAATAATTAAAAAATGAAAATAATGCTTAATAAATGGAATTGAATAAATTTAGAGGATTAGATTGTGAGTAGAAGATTTTGACAGAAATGATTCTTGAAAAAACTGGTGATTGTGATAAGCACAAAAGAAAATTATTAAAAGCTGAAAAAACAATAGCTGAGTTAGAATAAGAAATTAGTAAGTTAAAGCTTGAAAAGGATTAGCATACTAAATAAATGCTTGAAAGCTAAACTTAAAATATATATTTAGACTAAGAAAGGTTAAAATAAATAGATGAATTGAAAACCAAAGTTAGAAAATGTAATTAGGGTTCCAACGATTAAGTTGATCAATTGAAATTTGAAATAAACAAATCTCAATTAGAAAATGATTCTTTAAAAGTTTAATTAAAGTAACTATAGGATGAAAATGTAGTAATTTTTATATTCTTAGGCCTCTATAAAAAGACATTTAGGTTGCTTGAGTGGTTATATTATAGAAAATGAACAATTAAGAAAAGAAAATGAAAGTTTGAATTAAAATTATTAAGTCTTATTAGCGAAGTAATGAAATCTTGATTATCACTAAATTTTATTATAATTGTTATTAACTAAGCTATTTTAAATAATATTAAAAATTTAATATGTACAACATAACAAACTAATATTAATTCAAAACAAAAAATGATCCATTACATGATTAATGAGAAAGTGGTTATCAAAAATATAAAGAAAATCAATAAACATATACAAAACCATTCTCACAACCAACTAAAATCCACCCTTCTTCAACAATCATTTCATAGATCCCTGATTTAGCTTGAAGTACTCTGTAATTGTGCATTTATCTTACATCGAATGTGACAATTTTACCATCTAAACTAGAGATGTGGAATTGTTGATTATAAAACAAAATTTTAGTGATTGAATTCTAATTATAGATGTTTATAAATTACTTTGCATAAACAGAGTTTTTCAATTAATTTCATTGAATTCCAATTATATATATACACAGAACCTGACATATCTCCAGCAACAATAATAGGTTAATTAGTTCCTATGAAACATAACTCAACAATGCTGTCTCCTAATGGATCGCTTTTGCCAATAACCTAAAAGTTAGATTAGAATTTACTTTTCCATCCTCAAAATTTATGAATGCAATAGTGGAATCACTACTTCCAGTCGCAATTATTGGTTATTTATGATGCTATACAAAACAGACAACATCATCTTTATGATAATTATGCTTGTGTGAAACTGAACTTATTTTAAAAACTTATTCAGAAGTATTTGGTTTCCAAACTCTAAATGATTGATCAGCCGAGCCACTCACAACTAATTTACCATCCAGAGTGAAACCACCACATGTAATCTCTGCCTCATGACCAGCAAATACACTCATTACTTCACCAGTAACTCCATTCCACATCCATAAAGTAGAATCTTAGAACCCTGCCAAAATAACATTTCCTTTTGGATGCCATTTCAATACACTTGGTTCTGTTTAACTTCCATCAAGCACTTTCTCACTCATATCACTTAATAAATAGATATAAATCTTTCCTGTCAGTATACCAGCAGCAACATATTTGCCATCAGAACTAAAATCAACTAATCCTACAGTTTCATCGTATTTCTTTTCAAAAATCACTTTTTGAGTGCTAAGTTTAATAAGTTTTAAATGATCATCTTCAGAACCACTGGCAATCAAATCTTTTGAAACAGGATTTTGAGCAAAGGTGCATATAACTTTACTATGTATTTTCAATTAAGCTTTAGATTCATCAATTTTCCAACTAGGATCTATATGATTATCTTCGATTTGTTCTAATAATTCAGGCTACTATTTAATCATTTATTCTTCTTCCTCTATTATTTTCTCTTCCTATTAATCAACTTCTTTTTCTAATGCTTCCAATTCTTGATTATCAACTTCCACAACCTCGCCTAGATCATCTTCCCAAGCATCACTTTTTTAACTAGCTGTGTCATCAAATTTCATTATCAAAAAGCCTTTTACTTATTCTTCTGTGATAGTAATATGATTCTTAAATTTATAATGATAAGACTATTACAATCTTTTCGAATTCTTCTGAAACATCGATAATATTATACTGCTTGAATTCTTCAATGATTTCAGGATTTTATATCAAGTTCATCGCATACTTCATTGGGAAAGCAAAGTTCAATGTTTTATCCTGATTCCTCAATCTAAAATTATTTAGTCCATTTACTTTATAGTTTAGTCAATCAATTAAATATGTCTTTCTTACATCATTAATTCTTTGGCTAATGCTATTTCTTATTCTGCAGAATGACCTTCTTCGTTACTCAATTCCCAGAATTATTTCTCAGTGATTACTAACTTCTATTTGAGGAGATGCAGGAACTATGTCAAAGGATCGTGATCCATAAATTAAAATAATTAAAATACTTAACGATTATAAAAATGACCTCTATTGTGTAATTAGACTAAGAATATAGAATGCTATTTGAGTAAATTATGGGAATGCTTGATTAATTATCATCTATAAGTTTGGAATTTGTAAGCTCTAAATTGACGTTTCTTGAAAAATACTCTTAAACTTTAAAAACTACTTAAATGGATGCTCGACAACACAGAAATAATTAAATAAAAAATCTGATTGAATATGTTAAAATGCATCGTAAGTCAAAAGTTCGTTCTGTGATTCATTCCCCATCTAATAGAACATTTCATCATCACAACTCTTTGGATATGTAGGATGTTCAATTAAATGAAAATATATCTATAATGCCAAATTCTTGTGTTTCATAAAAAACTCAAAGTGAAGCCAAACTTGTACATACAAAAACTATTAAAAATCTGCTATAAAAAATGATATCTAAAAAGAATGATTCACCTTAAAAAAATTCTGCAGATCCCTTAATTAAATTACTTGAGAATGCCATGTCTTTATTAGAAACTCATCAGTAATTATATTAAGAAGATTATAATGTTTTAAAAAAAGAATACGATTAATTACTATAAAACAATCCTCAAATAATGACCAAAGTCAGTTTGCAAAATAAATCAAGCAAAATTAAGGAAAACTTGAATTCTCTAATAGAAACTCAAAAATCGTTCAAATCTTATTTGAATTCTATAATGTGAATGATGAAAAATAAAAATATTACTTGTTTTAACATTTTGTTATAGTTGTATCTACCAAATTAATCAACAGTATATAAAATAATTTTACTCAAGTATTTCAAATCCATTTCATTTGAAAATTTAATATTCCCTTTTATGAAGTATGTTTTTCTTTATCAGTTTATATATTCTTTATAATTTATAATCTTAGTATAAATAATATAAAAATAGACTTAATGATTTTTAATTACGAGCTAACAGTTGCATAAAAAATGAAACATCCTTATAGTAACTGGGGAGGTAGAGTAATAACATAGTCATATAATGGCGTGTTAATTATAGAAACAGATACGCTTTGTAGCTTTGAAAGAAGCATGTTTCATTTAATTACACAAGCAAAAATGATTTAATTGGTATATGTAGGTGAATAAGGGGCATATATTGAATCATCAGAGAGAGGAGAAACAAAATGAGATTTCAATGGATTCAAAAGCAAGACTAATTAAAAATTACTCATATTTTGAAAATAATAATTATTTGATTTATATACTTTCACATCTCTCAAGGATCAGCTACTTGTGGTCTAGTCGAAATAAAACTTTCTCTGCCAGTTGGCTGCCATTCCATAGCTTCATACCAAAATGTACGCAACTTCATATCTCTACATCTGATGAACCTTTCAAATCTGCTTGATCTCCAAAAGAATTTATCGATTCTCTCATGAGAGTGATATAATATATCATATAAACACACGGGTAACAATGTTCCCAAAGTTGTAAGTACCATACAAACTGGTGCAATTTTTAACACTGTTCTTAAAGGTATCGGATAAGAACTATTTGGAACAGGCATAATTATTTATTAATAATATATTATGTTAATCAATTATTATCTTGTCCAAAAACCAATTTCGTTTCCCTATAGATTACTATAAAAAATTGCAAATATATCTTCAACCCTGATGACAATTATTTTATTGAAATCATCACAAATTCCTGAATTCATTTTATAATGTTAAAGAACTATATTTAATTGAATGAGAAGATGAATCAGATTTTATAAAATTCAGGCAAGCACAATTAATGAGATAGGTTTCAAAGGAGACTCTTTATTGAAAATTTTAATTCTAGAATGAATTTCAAGAAATCTAATTACGAACCCTTTGGTAATTATTTATTCAAAGTATTAGGCTTCAGATCTATAAATATTTTAAATTCGCCGTTTAATTTCGCGATTTTACATTTATATTCATTTCAACTATTGTCTTTTTATTTATATATAACCTCTATTAAGAAGTGATAGAGAATTAGATTATAATTCTTATTGTGTTAAGCATTTATTTTTGAACCTTTTATTTTAGGATGTCAAAATTCAAAACAAATATGTTAAAATTAAATATTTAATGATCATCTTATTTGATAATATATTCTACCATCCTATTTAGTTATATTGCATCACTATCTAAACTTAAAATAAATGATGCAGTTAGATTTACTATTCAATATGTCTGAAATTCAATATGAATGCTAATAATTCAAATATATTTTAATGAAAGTTAAGTAATTCAATATATATAATATCAAATTTTGTTTTTCTAAGTTTTCCATATCAACTCCTAACTAGTTTCGTATTTCTTATCAAATATATCTATATCTAATAAACGTTTGCTTACTTATTTTTTACAGGTTTATTCACTATAACTTTTAGCTCTTTGGCTTGATATCTTAATAGAATTTTAATTTACTTAATTGATAGTGTCTATTGGCAATTTGATAGACACATTATTGTTTTGGAAGTGATTCTATTTGATATTTTTTGTACTTTAACTAATCAAATTATTCTAAGAATGATTTTATGTTGACTATTATTATTGCATCAATTATAAATTTTGTTGTGAATTCACAATGTTGATATTGTTAGTGAGAATCTATTGTTAAAGATTACTAGCAGCTCCATAACAAGATTTTGATGAAGATCTGTTATTTTCTGATGATTGGTGTTATTATTATTGGTAATAATTTGGTGGTCTTTAACTATTCTGTGGATGTTTTTAAATGCTGCATTAATCATATTATCTGTGTGATTAAGTAATGGAATCTAGTAATAATTTCAAAGAAATTACGTCTATAATTATTTTCGTTTGATGTCATCAATAGTGATGGATTCTCTTCAAGTACAGTAGATAATTGAGGATAATCCTAATTACGTTTCGAATCTTGTCTATGAATAGTATACTAATTCTAGGTGTTCTCTTTATTAGATTTAATATCCTATGAACGAATGGGTTTATTAAAAGCAAATTGTCTATTCTCATATGTGTTTTTGACACTTTGTGGATGGAAATCTAGTTGTTGATTCTTTTTCAGCATATTATTATCATTAGATAGTTGCATAGATTTAGGAACAGATAGGTATAAATCATCCCTGATCGGTTCTTCTAGTTCCTTATTAATGCTTTCGAAAGCTGAATCAAATGGAGTCCCTTGCAACTGCATGATCGAAATCTTTATACTTTTTAGTTATGATAAGTACCTTTTTATGATTGTTAAATATCCTAGAAAAGTTTTCTGGTTTTATGTATTCATCTGGTTCAGTTTTAGTTGGTCTAATCGGAGATAACTTAATTTAGTCTTTGGGTTAAGATTGTTTTGATTTTGGTTGTAATTAAATCATCAATTGCTATAGCAATGCAGTCTATTTAAATAATTTAGCAATACGTTGGACTAATTTTGCTTATGCGTTTATATGCTAATCTCCATTAGTTAGTTGAAAATTGAAGTCCATCCCTGGAGTGTTTACTAAATAAGATGAACATCATAAGAGAGAGAATCTAAGTCATTTGTACGGTTTTCAAACAAGCCTATTTATGAATAGCAAGACATTTGATTGTTAAAAATAAAATAATTATCATTATATTTACATATTCTAAAGAAAAAATGAACAATAATATATTTATATCAAATCAAAGTACAACAATGTATTTATTCAGAAATTTAACAGAAGGCAAACCAAAACTATGTTAACATGACATTCAGTTTATCTATATCTTATTTTAATATAAATTAGTATATATTTATTATGCTATTAATTTAAAGATCAGTGTTTCTTTTCGTGACGGTAGATATATATTTATATATAGCATTCTGAGAGGGATAACTTAGTATGAATACAAATTGGTCCAATTTAAAATTCTTTCTTACTATAAATGCAAAACCATTATAAAATGAAGACACCTGTCAAATAAATTTAGTTGTGAATAGCATTCCTTGATTATAAAAATTAAATTCTCTTTTTTTGGGATTTCATAAGTCTAATTGAGTCAATGAAAATCAGGTTCCTAAAATAGAAACACACATCTAGATTTTGCGGATAAATAAACCTTAATTCAGTTTAAAATTGATTTGATTAAAGTTAATTACTTATAATTTAATTTTTTAGTTTAGGCTCTTTGTCATAGAACAGTTTATTTTTCTTCTGCCATGCATATTCTAAGCTTTTTAATACATTCTTGAACTTATCTATATTACTCATCATGTGTATTCAATAATAAATTATTTTATTAATTCTATTAAATCAAGAACTTTTGTTAAAAGCACTAGAATTATCTTAAAGTAATTATATAATATGATAATTGAATATCATTATAAAGTTTCTAAAGCAACATCAATAATCTATAAAAAATAATACCTCTCCAGTAAAAGTAATAATATAAAATTTATTGTGTCTTTGATATACAATAAATCTAGTTCTCTTAGAACTAAAGCAGGTATTGCTATTTGAATAGATTATCGTAGTTTAATAGGTTGAAATAGGTATGCACAAGAGTATTTAAAAAAAAAAAATTAAATTATTATGAAAATCCACTACTTCTTTTTAACTATTTGAAAGTCTAGTTGATACTCCCTCAAATTTTAATTATACTTTGAATTTACTAGGATTTATGGATTCAAAATTATTAATCATTAATAACAGTATTAAGGGGTAATAAAGCTCAACTGACACAAGCTCTAGAAATTCTCGATTATAAATTTTGAATTAAATTTCTAATGCTTTTAAGATATTTTCTTTTAAAAAATTAATGGGATGCACTTGTAGTACAAAAAATGATCAAACTACACAAAAGACAATCTAATCAGCACAATTTTAGACAACTTAACTATTTGTTCTAATTGAAATGAAAGTTTAAAAATTCTACAGTCCTCATAAAAAATTATAAAATGTACACATTATTCTAAATCAATAGATTTCTAAGAGTACAATTCTAACAAGAAGGGTAAATAAGAAAACAACAAATTTAGAAAACTTAGAAAATAAATGAAAATTATTGTTATTTTGCTTTATTTTGAGAAAGTTACACTTAAAATTCCTTCTATAGTGATTAAACACAATTGGAGACATAGAGTTTTGGGTCTTGAGAAATTTAAGTTTTTATTTTTTAAATGTTTGTTAAGTTAGAATTATTCCTAAGTTGTGGTCAATATAAGTTCAATGTTGCAATTTCAGAAAATCTACAATAACATGTATTATGTTTAGATTCTGACAAATGCTTCTTGCCTTTTTTACAGAAATTAAACTAAATTAAATCATAAAAAGGCTAATATCATTATCCTCAAATAATTAATAACTCCATGACTCTTATCAATTTCTTCCTCTCCCAAAAACTTTAGATACATTTAAGTGTTCAAAAAATTAAAATTTGTTACTTAAATAGGAAATACAAAATATATAAATCTTTAATTACTTTTAAAATTAAAAGGAATTAAATTATAAATCCTAATGTTGTCTCTCAAATTTTATATTAATTACTTAATTAAAAGAAGACTTCTTATTATAAAATGAATTTATATAATTCGTTTTTTAATTATTATATTTGCATAATCAAAAGCCAAACGCATTCATTTTTATTTCTTATTTCTGATAATTCGCATGATGCAACAATTTTAAATTCCCCATGTCATATTAAGAATAAAAGAAGATATAAATTTAAATTATAGCGAATTTTGATGAAATAAATCCAATTTAATATGATAGATGAATATACCTTGATATTTTAGGTATTATAATAAATTCGAAATAAAATTTATAAGGATTAACTTTGAAACACTTTATTATTTAAAAAATCATATATTTTATTTACTATGAGTAGGGAAAGATTTATTTTCATTATAGAGCGATATTTTTCTGATATGATTATTAATATTTATAATTATATTTAAAGAATAATATTCACATTTGATTAATATTATAATCAACTTTAATCATCTTTGAGAGGAATCTTGTCTATTTTTATTATTTATCTAATTTTTAGTGATCATTCCTAATATGCAGTTTAAAATAATAGTCTGATGATTCTTTCTTCTCTATATATGTATAGATAAACTTTTATCAGAATTTTTCGAACAAAAAAAATACATAATATTTTACGATCCATTTTTTTCAGTTTTAGGACTTTTATTCCATATCTCAAAATATCAATTTAACAACTTATTAGCTCAAATCTAATGAATTATTTTGTGCTTGTATTTTTGGAATATTATTCTCATCTTCAAGAGCCAAGGTACTAATAATTATTAAAACCTCCAATATTTCATATTCCTTCATCTTACTTTGAATAATCTGCCTTATTTCTTTAAATTAAATATAAACCATTTTTAATTTCCATTAATTTAAGGTTTCTTTATTTTTACATAAACATATTTTCATATAATGTAAGCCTGTTTTTTAAAATTTCGAAATAAACCTATAATCCATTCTATAGTGTCAAGATCTTGATCAAGAAGAGATATTTAGTGTTCTTATATCATTCTTTTTTTCTTAATTTATATTATATTATTAACAATTTGGTTAAAGAATTAAGTAAGGATATCATGATTCCATCTCGACATCATCCAAAGTTAAACATCAAATAGACTCTGATTTTTAGCTCATAACAAAAATATGAAAATTTTTAGTTTATTTTCTTAATCATATTCTTTCCCTTATTTTTCTTTTTACCAACTATACTTATGATGTCTAAAGTCTATTTATCACAGTATAATCGACCTTATTTAAGCTAGTTGCTTTAGAGAAGAATAATTATAATTTATTTTCAAATTTTACTAGTATAATCAGATAAAAACACATAATTAATATTATTTTCTCCTTGAACAGAATACTTAAACAGTTTGTTTCTCCTCTTAAGAATAGTGCTTCGTGATATCTATAAGTTTATACATGTCTTACATTCTGCAATTTTGATATTCCAAATTTGTATTTATTTGTGGAAGTCAAATTTTTTGAGGTTATTGTATGTAAATCAGATATTGATGTGCTGCTCTAATAGTTTTTGGTTTTAGTGTTTACACAACCCATAAAATTTTATTTATTACTTTAAAATAGTGAAAATTTTGATGATGTTATGAGAATAAATAAACAAAGATTAATAAACACAATTAACTTATGAAAGACATTTCAAAGGGAATTAAAACGGATTTCATTTCTAAGGAATCAAAAACAAACTTATCTGGATCATTGGTCTATCCATACTCAAACAATATTTAGACCAGCTGCCATTTAAATATTGAAATTTAAAGTCATCAAAATCTACAAATTTCTAAATATTAATTAATAATTAAGTATTTGAAATAAATATATTTTGTTTTAATTTTCAATTAATAAAGTAATTTTATGGTTCTCTAGTCTTTAATCTTACTGTTCCTTGTAAATTCTATAAAGTTAACTTACTCACAGACTAATACAATAATTGATAATTATATTAGGTTATTCTTTATTTATTTAAATAGAAGACATTTTATTTCTTCAAATAGCATCTGAGGTATATTATTTACTGAGCAACTTAATATTTCAAATCTAAATTTTCAAGTGATAATCTTTCACAAATATTGATTTTATTTAAGATATTTTAAATATCTTTTTGCTGTGATTGATATCTTTAGACTACTCATTTCTTTCTTTCATTTCTTGATTTACTCATCATAAATTGACAGGTTTTTTTTGAAATAAGAAGCCAAACTACTGAAATCTTGAGACCTTTAATTAAATTGTATAAGTTTACATAATTGACAAAGTGACCTACTTAATTATGATTAATTTTGTTAACAATAGTGATAGATGATTTTATAAATAGTGATCAGAAATTTATTAGAATAAAATATGTTCTTCAACATAAACTAGAATTTTTTAGAATATACAATATTTTATATATGTATAAATATAAATCATCTAAAATTTCTTATTAGAATTTATTGATAATCTATAGATTGTACAAGAAATTAAGAAATAACTTTATAAGTATTCTTTAATTTATTACAATTTAGACATTACTTTTACTGATAAAAAGAAAAAACTTAATACTTAGAAATTTAAATTTAACATTTTTTTTTCTAATAATTAATAAGTTATAATAATTGCTGGATTCAGACTAGTTATTAAATTTCTAAAACCAATTTATATTATTAAATTAAAATCTAAACCTACTAGAAAATAGATGATTAATTTATTTGTAATGATGAAACTATAAAAATAGTCAGTTAATTTTATATTAAATAATGACACCTATTTTTAATACATTAATGAATTTTCAACCTTTTTGCAAACTTAAATTCTCAGTAAGTTCATCAGTTCCCTCAACTTAAGTAGCATTAAAATTATAAATGATTTCACCAGCAACAACAAATGAAAATCCAACGACCTCAATAATAATAGCTCCAAGTCTGACGTTTTCCCAATGATAATTTGATGATGAAGTACTTAATGAAATTATTAAAGATATAATCCAAATCATCATAATTTTAGCAACATCCACCAGTGCTCTAGTAACACAAGATAAATATTTTGTTACAGTCTAGCACATAGTATTGTAAACGGAAATCGATAGAATCCCAAAAATAACAGCGAATTGAAGGAGAGCACTTTAAGAAAATTACTGAAAATAATAATCAGCTCTTTCAAAGTAAAACTCACCGTCATATGGAATACAAACATTATAAAGAACTTCGGGACACTTAGTAAAAGTCAAAGATATACAAATAAATGTGTATATGATCAATCCCCACATTCCTTCAAACCCAATGAGTTCCAAAGGATGGATGAAATATGTTTTATAAAACCTTTCTTCGATTGTGTATTGGAACCCATAGAGGAATATAGAGAATAACATGAGGAATATGGAAATAATTTATTTTTTAATATCCTAAAATTCTATATATATAATACTTCTTATTTTTATTCTTCAGGAAACGCAAATCCACTAATGCCCACAATTGCCACTCCAACTAAGACTAATGCACATCCTTAGATTTCTTTTGTTGTGTACCTTCTCTTTAACATTAATCTTGATAAAATGGCAGATGTAGCAATAATTCCACATGTCAAAATAGAATTAACAGAGGGTGGCAAGAAGTTCAATGATATGTAGATACAGAGTGCTCCAATGCTATCACAACAAGTAGGTATGAGGATTAACAATATTTTTATTCTTTGTATTCCATTATCACAAGCTTCTTCATATTGACTTTTATAAGACTTAGTTGTTTTGACATAAAAGAAAGCTAGTAAGCATAGAAATTCAGCAACAAACATACTAAATGTTTACATGAATGGATGATTGAAGACTCCATAAGTATCTTCTTTATCAACAAAAACAATCTGACTATTTTATAAATTAAAGGCTTTTTTTGTATATCATTCATTACTTATTATTGCCAATGATCCAAATATTACTAAAGCAGCCAATAATATAGACTTTTTAGTTGAACTCAGCTAGGACATGAAAAAATGAAATATTTATTTAAAATTCAAGTTTACCCATATAAATTATATGTTTCGATGTATAACTAATAAAATTTAATTAAAATAAAAATAGTGTTTAACAAAGTCTCTCAATTTCTAAAGCACTATGAATCAATTTTAAAAAGCTAAAACCTCATCATAGGATCAAAATTACTACATGACCAGAGAATCTTTGTTAAATAACAAATAAACTAACTTCAACTCTTTTCTTCAAACGCTTTCATTGAATAATGATGATTAAGGACAAATAAAAATTATAATTGATCAAACAAATTAAAAATTAGATTTGCCTAACAGTTTGGATCTCAAATTTGCTTCATCTATTCCAACTAAAATTGATGAATAAATACAATATTTAATCATTAATGAAACAATCGAGACAGATTCATAAAATGTGGAATAATTGCAATCTTAATGTATTCCTGAGTATAATTTGATGCATAGCTTCTTATGGAAGGAAAATATGGACAGAGTAGATTAAATCTACGAATATTTGTTTAAATACATACATGAAGAACAAGATGTTTTAATTTATTGTAAAAATGTCAATGAAATATAATCATTCGCTATTGCATTAGAAGAATTAGGTGAAATTTAGGTGAGGTTGACACTAGAATTTAATGAGTTTTATTAAAGGCTAAATTAAAGAAAAACACAATAGTTCAATCATATTATTTATTTGCTTATTGAACCATAATATTTGGAATCAGAGTGTATAACTCTAATTATTCATACTCAATACAAAGAAATTAGAAAACCATTTATAAAAAGCAGTGTCATTTATTAAGATCAACTACTATCTAGGCAAGAATTAATAATTAGAGAAATACCAAAATCTAATTAGTATGGAGTCTAGATTATATACAACTTTTCAAAGGAAACTTATGTTTCGCTTTCCCCCAAAGAAGTATAGTTTGAATTTAGTCAATAAGATCACCATATTGAAGAGTTTGATAAATCTAAGAATAGTGCTGTTATTAAAGGTGTTATGAATACTTCAGGTATGCTATTTTAACACAAACCAAATTCCAATCTTACAATTAGGACTAGTCTTCTTTGGTCGACTAAGGGAGATGCTTATTCTTGGATTGAAATAATTGATTAGCTCGGAACATTCATCAACTCCATCCTTCTCAATGTTGAATTAGATAAAAATTAAAGCATCTTTGAATTTACTCAATTAGAAAAGTGGTGTGATGAGAATCTGATCAATCTTTATAAAGGAATACTAATTCTCTTATATGTCTAGTAATACACTCAAGAATATGTAAAATAATCAAAATATTATAGAATTGTCCTTAATTTAATATACTTAATATTGGTGGATTATCTATGGCTCCAATTAGAAGATCATCCAGTATGTAGGTAGTTTAAGAAGACAAACCACAAGTAGAAGAATAGTTAAAGCTAAATTTCCCTGTAGCCGAATTAAAAGAAGATAGACTATATTATATTCAAGAACAAAGCTATAAACTAAATTAAGGTTGCATCTAAAAATAGAAAGGAAGACTTTAATAATATATTCTCATTTTAGCAATAAAAGAAAATTCTATTTTATATCTTCATAATAAAAATAGAAAATAATCGTTGACTCAAAAAGAAATTATACTTACTAATGTTGGTAATGTAATTTTGGAGGAACTATGGAAAAATTAAGGCATTGAAATTATTGAATTAGAAAATAAATATAATTGTTCTATAGAACCAAATTTGAACTTGAATTTAATATCTATTTATTCAGATGATAAAATTGATATGAGTGAACTATATGCTAGAATTGATTAAATTAAAGAAAATCTAAAAACCTAAATATTAGAAATCAAACACATAAGTGGAAAGAAATTAATATTTTAGAGTGGAGCCATTATTAGCGAATGGATAAGGCAGCATGAATCTAAAGAGTTTAAACTAGTGGGGCTACCTCCAAAGGTTACAGAAAATGATATCAAAGAATTATTTGAAGACTTTACTGTGATCACTCACCTGAAACTAAATTATTTGGAAAATGAAACCTAAGCATAAATTGTTATTGAAGACAAAGATGATATGCCATATATCATTTAAGGCTACGATTAATCAGAGTATTAAGATAGAATCATTAGTGTTGTTACAGAGTAAGCTCAAATATAAATAAATAAGATTAATTAATAAAAATACATTTTGAGTCTAATCTGGTATACCAAATTATGTTCAGGAGTCTGCACTGTGGTATTTAATGAAACTGCTTAAGCTAAAGGATGCTTAGATTAATTTAATAATTAGTTATTGGAAGGAAAATAAATTAAAATTACATAAATAGATGAGTTTACTTTAAAATTCTAGAATTTAAGTTCTTTCACAACTGAAATTGATATTCTTAGGCTGTGTGGTGGGAAAAAACATGTCAAATATGTTGATTTATAGTCAAAAGCTCTATCTGAAAGCAAGGATGATTATTCTTAAATAATAATACATTTAATCAATAGAAATATTGAAAAAAATGAGAAAAAGGATGTTGATTTCCATCATACTCATTTGATTAGAAAGACAGGAGGCAAAAGAAAAGCTAAAATTTATATTACCAGCATTCATACTATGTAAAAATTATTAGAAATTTTAAATGGATAAAAAATATAATTTGGAGCAAATTTAGTTAAAATACACAGTAAAGGTTAATATTATCAATATCATAAAATCCCTATCCAACTCAAACCCCATATTTTAAGTATATTAAAAGAATATGAAAAGTTTAATTTCAAAGTTTCTTTCGAATAAGGTAATCAATAAAAAAATAGGGAACTATAAGTTATCATCTGTTCATACAATATCTTAATAAATTAACAATTAGATCAAGTCATTACAAACTTCCTGTAGGGTTATAAAATTGAATTGAAAAATACTAGTGATTTTCTTTTTACCCCTTTTGGATAGAATAAATTAAAAGACTTTGAAAAGGCTGATGGAAGCATACATTTCATGATTGATTAATTTAAAAAAGTGATACGAGTTTGCTGTTAAAATGAAAAATTTGATGAAATTACTAATTATGTTAACTAAATTGCTTAATTAATAGTTTCTCATAAGTTAATAATACCACCTGGAGCAATTAAGTAATTGGTTGGCTTAAAGGGATAGGGTCTTGACAGCTTAAAAAAACAATTTAATTTGACTTAAATAAAATATAAATAGCAGAGCAAAGAATTGTTTTTAGAGGGAGCAGGTTTAAATATTTAAGACGCCGTTTCTTGCATTGAATCAGCTGTTTCTTAAGTAAATTTAGATGAAGAAACTGTAATAAGTGATGCAAAATAAGAAGGCTGCCCTATCTGCTTTGATAAAATAACACACAGTTATTTATTATAAGGTTGTGGCCATAAATGTTGTTTAGAATGCATATCCCTCCATTGTAACAGTGTTTTACAAGATGTTAAGCTATTTCCTGTAAGATGCCCTATATGCAATGAAAAAATGATTCTCAATGATATATTGTAAATAATTGGGAAAGAAAACAAAGAAACTTTGATAAATTTGGCACTTAATAAATTTGTTTAGGAGAATAGCTAGAGTTTAACCTTCTGTTATACTCCAGGTTGCAATAATTTTGAATAAATTTAATAAGAAGATAAGACAATTTATTGCTCAATGTGTTTAAAGTAATATTGTTTTTTATGCAAAGTAATTATTCAATATATCATAGGCATTAAGACATCCAGGATTAACATGTGAGGAAAATAAAATTGGGGACCAAGGGTTGCTATTAAAATTGATGAAGGAGTAAGATATTAGAAAATGCCCAAGTTGTTAAGCCTTAATTTAGAGAATTGATGGATGCTATAGAGTTACCTGTTCTGTTTGTAAACAGAGCATTTGTTGGAAAGATAGCAAAAAAGGAGTCCCTTGCATGCAGGTGTTTAAGACATCTTCAGAATGTTATGAACATTTATCCAAATATCATGGCGGTTATTGGTGATTACATTCTTTTATATATTAAATACATTTTGTGTTATTATTTTGTAATTTACATAATCTCTTTGAATTCATCCTATTTGCATTGAAAATCAATATTAGCTGAATAATTGATATCTTGAATCTCTGTTGTTTTATCCTAAGAAAAATAGAATATAATATTGGAGAGTGTTAATAAATAATCGGATGTGATTTAAAATCTGAGAATAATTTCTTTTTAAAGATTTACTAATTTAGAGTAAGGAGTTGATTATTTAGTTTGCTTATTATTTATTATATTAAATGTTTTGTTGCAGTAGGAATGGGAATTAGCAAGCTCAGAGGAATAGGATGACAAGATTCCGTTTTTCAGCGGAAGAGGTTTAAGAATTACAGAGAAGGTAAGATGAATGCTTAAATAAAGATTTTAGAGAATGGCTAATGGATCTAATTTTTTAACAAAAAATCAATTTAGAGACAACATGGGATTACTTGGACTTGAAACTGTTTAAGTATTGAGTGATTGCTTATTTTAAATAATTGATGAAGATCAGGATGGTAAAATATAGTTTAATGAATTTCTTGCTTATTTCGATAAAATCACCTATGGTTCTCAAGATGAAAAGGCTGAGATATCATACAAATTAATTGATTAAAATAGAAAAGGTTATTTCACATTAAGAGATTTCTAATAGACAATGTAAGCTTTGATTGATTCTTGGGTTGTAATGACAGGAACTGCGATAACAAATGAAATAAGAGATCATTTAGAAAAACGAGTTGCATACATATTCACATAAATGGACAAGAATAATGATGAGAAAGTCTCATTTAATGAATACAAAGGAATTTTAGTCAGTGATCCAACCTTGCTCGATATATTCGAATTTTTGAGAAAAGGGATAACTATCTCTATTAAAGAAGCAACCTTAAAATAAGATTAGATAGTTCTGAGTGAGTTTTACTTAATCAAGGATTAAGCAGTAAACTTGTTTGAAACAATGATAGGCTTGAGGCAAAATCGTTGCTCCGTAACTTTGTAACCAAAACCAAATTTGATATAGAGTTTAATATTGTGTTAGAAGAAAATGTATACTCAATTTATTTATAATAAAGGAAAACAAATATAAGTAGCTAGTTTGGAATACAATATTTGATGGGAGATGAAGTTGATGCTCTATCATTGAGGATGTCCAGTACTATGAATGCGAATAAGGGTCGCCAATAAGGAGTTCAAACTAGTGAAATTATTCAAGGCAATAGTCAACTTGGTCCTTATATCCATAGAGGAGATCAAGAGATACCCATAAAAATAGATTACAATGTAAAATCAAAAGAAAGCGAGGAAACCTTGGATCCAGAATTGACTGACGGATTAGAAAAGATTAATTACATGGCAGAAGATTAAATAAGAGATAATTATAAAGAAGCCTTAATCAAGATACACGAATTAAAATAGCAAACTTAACAATCTTTGGATAGATTAGAAAAAATGTATTAGAAGAAATTGGAAGAATTCAGTATCAATAAGAAGAGAGATCAAGAAATTGCTGAAAAAAGAAGAGCCACAATCGCAAACATAAATAAAAAGAGAAAAACAGCCTTGTCTGTATAATTTGGACATCAGAATTGGAATCTTGTATTAAATATGATGATTGGAATATAAATGGCTGTGAAATCAGTTAATGCCTTAAGTGATTATGAAGTTACATTAAAGGACTTTAAATTAAAGTACTATTTTGAACTCATGCCAAAGAGAACAGGTAATGAAAAAGCAACTTTTAAAGTTTGTAAATTCTTTGATTATGCTCCTTAAGTATTTAATCACATTAGGAAAATGTTTTTTATAGATAATGATAATTATTTGAGTAGCATTGGGCCTGAAACATTATTATCAAGTATCTTAAAAGGAGATCTAAGTACACTATCAGAATTAACGTCTACTGGAAAAAGTGGCAGCTTTTTCTATTATTCTTAAGATGGCATTTATACATTGAAAACTATTTCAAAAACTGAGTTCACCTTTATGAGACATATCTTATATAATTATTTCAAACATCTTAAAGACCACAGATAATCATTAATAATAAAATTGTTTGGAATGCACAAAATCATATTGGATGATAAAAAAATACATTTTGTCATAATGAGTAATGTATTCAAAACATCACATGAAATCAATATAAGGTATGATATTAAAGGAAGTCTTCATTAAAGAAAAACTCCTAATAATGCAGATTACACTGTAGCTAGAAAAGATCTAAATTTCATAGAATCTCATGAGAAAATTAACATTAAAATTGATAAGCAAAGTGAATTACTCAAATAACTATGCAAGGATGCAGACTTTTTTGCCTAAAATAATATTATAGATTATAGTTTACTCTTGGGTATTCATGAAATTAATTTTCTACAAACTACAGCGAGAACAGAGATATCTCAAGAAATAGAATCAGAAGATATTTCTATAATTCAATCTAAAACTGGTGATAAAATTTATTTCTTTGGAATTATTGATATACTGACAAATTTTAAGTATAAATCATATATTTATATCATAGTACTAAAAAGAAAATAGAATATTGTTGCAAAAGATGCTTTTAAGGCCCTGATATATCAGCAATACCTCCTCATCAGTATGCTGAAAGATTCAAAAGATTCATAACTAATATGTTTAGAAACAATGTTTGATTACATTCAAATTTCTCATTTATTATCTTTATCAATTAATAGCTTAATTCTTCATTCATATTATTAAAACATCAACTTAATTTTTACAAAAATGTTTAATTTAAAATTATTAAATTAATTAAGTATCTAATAGTATTTATTAAAAGATGAAATCTGATTTGAGACAAGTACTTATTTTGATATGTATTTTTAATTCACTTTTCTCCTATTCAATTGTTTTTTTGAACTCATATATATTAAGCTAGAAATTGATGAAAATAAAAACATTATAAGTAGGCTATACGTTTATAAAAATATAAATACTTAAACTTCATAGAAATTATTCGGAGGAGGACAGAACAATAAAATTTATGATTGTTATTGAGAATAACCAATAAAAACAATCTGTTTACATATTTAAAGGTTGCTTTCATAAGTATTCGAAAGTTATTAGAAATTATCCAATTAGATTTAAAAGGAAAAGTTCAATAAATGATATCAATATTACTGAATAACAAAATTAAAAATATTTCGAGTTGGATACTTCTGGGATGAATTTTGATAAAATGATTTGTAATAGTGAATAACTATTAAGAGATACTAATGTATTGAATAGTTAAAGGATGAGTGTTATTCTTTAATATAAGCTATCCTAGTTCATTATACAATACGATCTAAATGAAAAACCGATGAAATACAAGATCAAATTTTATTATATACTTATTGATCATTTAGGCGATACTATGATCTATATAGGGATAGAAATTATAAAAAGTTCTTACAATTTGAGGTTTACTTCCGATACTGCTTCCTGTTCAGAAGATGGCATAGTATATGAATAGATTAATCATTTGCAACTTAAATGATTTAAAACTTAAATCATGATATCCATTGAAATAATAGTAAAAGGAATGAACATTTAAAATCCAATCAATTTTAGATATATTGAAAGGATCAAATAATTTATAAGTATTTTTATAAACAATTATACTGACTCTAGACCACATAATTTTAAATATTTTTTTTCTTAAAAATAATTTAGAAACCATAAAAATATCATGAATTAGGAAGCTATCCAACCGAAAATCAATTATATCAGAATATACAGTGTTTTATAATTTCTTAATATAACAAGCTCCCTTAAGCATAAGTTTGTAACACTTAAATAAATAATCATTTTTAAAATTTGGAAATGACAAAGTTATTAAATAATATAAAGGATTGAAGAACCAATCATAAAGTATAGAGTAATCACATCCAAATACATTGAAGTCAAAGCAGCTATTCAACAAGAGTGGGACTACTCTCATGGATTAGAAATGATGAATTTTATTCATACATTTTTATTGGGTATATAATAAAAATTAAATTTTACACATTTGCAATAGTTAATACAATAGAAAGCCTTGTTATTTTTATTCCTGCCATTAATATTAAGATTACATCGGTCTCTGAGCACAAGTTTANTTATTAAATTAATTAAGTATCTAATAGTATTTATTAAAAGATGAAATCTGATTTGAGACAAGTACTTATTTTGATATGTATTTTTAATTCACTTTTCTCCTATTCAATTGTTTTTTTGAACTCATATATATTAAGCTAGAAATTGATGAAAATAAAAACATTATAAGTAGGCTATACGTTTATAAAAATATAAATACTTAAACTTCATAGAAATTATTCGGAGGAGGACAGAACAATAAAATTTATGATTGTTATTGAGAATAACCAATAAAAACAATCTGTTTACATATTTAAAGGTTGCTTTCATAAGTATTCGAAAGTTATTAGAAATTATCCAATTAGATTTAAAAGGAAAAGTTCAATAAATGATATCAATATTACTGAATAACAAAATTAAAAATATTTCGAGTTGGATACTTCTGGGATGAATTTTGATAAAATGATTTGTAATAGTGAATAACTATTAAGAGATACTAATGTATTGAATAGTTAAAGGATGAGTGTTATTCTTTAATATAAGCTATCCTAGTTCATTATACAATACGATCTAAATGAAAAACCGATGAAATACAAGATCAAATTTTATTATATACTTATTGATCATTTAGGCGATACTATGATCTATATAGGGATAGAAATTATAAAAAGTTCTTACAATTTGAGGTTTACTTCCGATACTGCTTCCTGTTCAGAAGATGGCATAGTATATGAATAGATTAATCATTTGCAACTTAAATGATTTAAAACTTAAATCATGATATCCATTGAAATAATAGTAAAAGGAATGAACATTTAAAATCCAATCAATTTTAGATATATTGAAAGGATCAAATAATTTATAAGTATTTTTATAAACAATTATACTGACTCTAGACCACATAATTTTAAATATTTTTTTTCTTAAAAATAATTTAGAAACCATAAAAATATCATGAATTAGGAAGCTATCCAACCGAAAATCAATTATATCAGAATATACAGTGTTTTATAATTTCTTAATATAACAAGCTCCCTTAAGCATAAGTTTGTAACACTTAAATAAATAATCATTTTTAAAATTTGGAAATGACAAAGTTATTAAATAATATAAAGGATTGAAGAACCAATCATAAAGTATAGAGTAATCACATCCAAATACATTGAAGTCAAAGCAGCTATTCAACAAGAGTGGGACTACTCTCATGGATTAGAAATGATGAATTTTATTCATACATTTTTATTGGGTATATAATAAAAATTAAATTTTACACATTTGCAATAGTTAATACAATAGAAAGCCTTGTTATTTTTATTCCTGCCATTAATATTAAGATTACATCGGTCTCTGAGCACAAGTTTACAATCGTTGCAAAGTAATTAATTAGGATTAATTAATTTTTGGTTTATAAAATTTGGCTGTATAGGATTTTTTAATTGATAAAAAATGGCTTAGTTTAATTAGAATTTTAATTGTAAATGAGTTCAAGGTACCATAAACAAGATCAGAAATTTGACAAGGAGTTCTTGGCTATTGTGGATGCATTTGGAGGCAAGAATTGCACAAGTTGGACTTAGGTAGCAAGGAAATTTGAATTGCAAACAGGGGAAAAAGTGTAGAAAGCCAATACACTTCGATATCGTTGGGAATAATTAACAGGATATTCAGAGAATTTTACAAAAGAATAACAAATCTAACTAATAGAAAGTGATATCAAATCTAGAGGAGTCAAAAGATAGGGGCTAAACGATTTCTATTAATTAACAGGAATTAAGTATTTAAACAGAAATTGATTTTTAGATTATACAAGGGAAGATTTTGTAGAATATCTTCGCAACATATAAAATAAGCAATTCAATCGATTGATGAAGTATTTGCAAAGGAAAGGAAACATAGGAGATGTGGAAAAAAAGATGCAGAATTCAGATTAAAATTATCACATTTGAGCATATACATATTACTAAGAGCTAAAGACACTTTGAATTCAGAAGGATTCAAACAGAAGAATAAAGGATTAGATCCATTTGAACAATATCTTTGCTAATAATTAATCGAAGCATCAGAGATATGTGAAAGATTATATTTAATGCATGCTCGAGTGTTTTAGGCAGACAGAGTGGACAGATATCAATCATACATGAAAGTAATCAACAGAAACTAATACAGGAAGTTGATGTTTTATGTAGAATATTTGGATATACTCAGAAAAATCAGTGTGGAACAATGTACTAATGATACAATGGTATCTCATCCTTTGGTGCTTAGAAACATTAAAATGAACAAGGAAACATTAATATATAAGAATTTGATCTTAGAGAATGACTGGAGCTAAAAATATCAATGGTTTAATGAATGCACATTAACATAAATCTAAGAAGAAGAGTTTTCCTTATTGCTTAAATCAAGTACTAGAAAATCAAAACCTAAGAGTTCATAATGCAGTGTTGATCCTTCAGAAGTAGATGATAAAAGATAAAATAAAAGGATTGAACTCAATAATTTACAATTTGATTTCATCCCTAAGCATTGCTAAAAGGTTTATGCAAAAATCAATTCTGGTAAGGCTAATAATAAAAATGAGAAGGAATACAGAAAATTCAGAGGACATTTTATCAAACCTGGGGATACCAGAACAGATACAAGATACACCAAGATTTTCACCTGTGATGATGATTCTGAGTATGATGCTGATCAGAATGAACAAGAGGCTTAGATTCAAGCTTCTTCTAGGTAAGAAAAGTTATAAATATTGTACAATGAAGCCTTCATATCAGTACCAAATAAGAAGAAATAAAATTAGAATAACTAAGACACACCTCAGAATAATCCTTGATGAATTTATCAATATAAACAAATTAAAATAAATTTAATCAAAATTCATTGATTTTTTCTACTATTTAGAATATCTTCTCTAATCTTTATAATTCTTTCCTAGGTACTCAACCTTTCCTTCTGCTTACTCTTGCTCTTACCATTTTCCCTATTGATTTCAATCTTATCAATCATGCTCTAAGCATCTCTAGAAATACCTATCAATATCATATGTCTTAATTACTTCTATATAGAAATTGATTATCTTTCAGACATTACTCAATTTTTTCATTTACTTATTCCAATTCATTTAGTTTCAATATAATTCTGTATATTTCTTTTTCATTCTAATTCTAAATTTAATTATAATGAGTCTAATTTTTAATTATTCATCTAAACCTTTGCATTCTTTCTAGCCTTTTTGGTTTCCTCATTCTTATTCTATAAATAAATCTCTTAGAATTTATTTCCAATAATGGCTACAGGAAGTGAAAGCAATAATACTCCAAAGATTAGACTCAAAACTCCAATAAATTTACCCAGCAAGGACTTAGGTACATAATCTCCATATCCAACAGTTGTTATTGTTATGATTGCCCACCAGATAGCTTAAGGTATATTTTAGATTTAACTATCATCCACAAACTCTTTTTCTGCGAAGTACATAAAACTAGATATCAATATCACACCTCAGTAATTTGTATATATCAATACATATCATTGTGAAAAATAGGAGTAATGAGAGTGCTTGCATACTTTCTGATAATCCTCTTATTAATATCTACTATACTTATTAATGATTTACCTTTACTCCCAAAGAGAATGTTGAAAATTTAAAGATTCTAATCAAGCGAAGTACGATCAACATCCTCAATACTTTTATTCTAGGATCAACTTACACGTCAATAAGATACAATATTTATTCAATTATAGAATACACTAATGCTAGAATATCAACTAGATTAAAAGGTTCTTTATTAGTTACAAAATTACTTTTAAAAAATTCAATCAAAGATTCATCAAAAGCATTATAAGTTGCTGCTCTAAAAGCGTATTCCACTATAAAATAGCTACTTACTCCTGAATTTGCAGCTACCCAAATGTCTATTATTCCTAATTCCTTTTAAGTTTCTAAAATAAGTAATATAATATCAAGTGAGATTATAAAGATAGATAAAATTGATAAGAAAAACGCCTACAATATTCATTATCGTACTAACTTATTGCATTCGTAATCATTCAGAATCAGGTAAATTTTTTATTAAATTTACTTTTTCTTCTCTGTTGAATACTCTCCTGAAACTGTTTGGCCTATTTAAGCGATTGATTTCCTCGATTTCATTGATTTACTTGATTAATCATCCGAGGGCTGATTCATTATTTTCTATTTTCCTTCAAAATAATATTAATTATAAATTGTTGCTGTATAAGAATTATTTTTACAAGGTTTTCAAATTATGAGAACTGAGATATCTTTTATTCAATTTTAATTCGAATTATTCATAGATTGTTTCTCAAATTCAAAAGAACTAAACAAAAATAAAGACAAATAATTGTTGCAAAATAAATCAATATAATATCATTTTAACTTTTAAGTACCTTATTTCCTGGCTAATTTGTCTCGATAGACATTTTGAATATTAATTTCTTAAGCTCTACCCTTCGGTAACAATTTAATCAAAATAATAATTGTTGGATTTCTATTTAATTCAATCGTTTTGGCAAGTTAATTAATATTAACTGATTTAATTAACAATGAATTTTTAATATATTTACATTTAAAAATAAAAAGAATAATAATTTTTCTGATCTTAACGAATTATTATATTAATTATATAATTTTAAAATTATTACTTCAATTAATAAACAGTTTACAATACTTATTATTCGTTTAGTTAATTTATGCAATCGTATATTTCCCTTATACATGTCTTAATGAGGACATTATATATCTAGAAAATTACCAAATCATAAATTTAAGACACATTTATTCCCATTTAAATTATTTTAGATAAATTTTAAAATCAAATATAATTTTTAGGAATATTATATTTTCTACTTTTCTGTGTAATAATTTAACTGAAATTCTTACAATTAGTTGTATTTACTAACAAACTAGACTGTTTGATCAATGACAATAATTAGAAAAGCATATTTATAACATTATATTTTAAACATCAATTTAAGTTCACTTCTTTGCTTTCTTTTGCTTTTCAAATGCTTCTCTTAATTTCCTATCATTTCTTTGAATATTTTCTAATATCTCTTTATTTTTTTGTGCTAATGGAATGTCACCAGCCCTCAAAGCCTAGAGATCAGACCTATTTTTGTGATCGCTCTCTAATGGCTATTTATCCAATTTAATTTTATGAGGAACGACATATCTGTAGTCCCAATATCTCACATTGTCAAAATTGATGAAACCAATATATGTTCCAAATACTGTGGAAATCTTTTGACCTTTACAATTAATATCAGCTTAAAAGAAATCAGATGTTCTTTAATATGAATAAAGTTTTACCTTTTTTTCACTTTGCCTATGTCAATGATACATGAAAGACCGTTAGCTTTGTCAGTGAAAGTAATTTTGTTTATGGACTCCTGTCTTAACTAACCAAAAAATGTGCCACTGTACAGTTCATTAGGGAAATCGAAATCAATTTTCTATCCATCATTGAATTCAATTGTTCTTTTGCCTTTATTGATAATCTAAATTATGAAATAGAAACATACAGTAACAGAGTTTAATCCAGCTCTGCCTTCTACTAGATAGTATCCGTAATATTTGTATTTTTTATTTGGACCAAAGACCAAGAAGTAACTGACTGGAGGATGATGCATAATTTATTCGCAATACACTTAAGTTCCATCATTATAATTGGCCTGTAGGGTTTCTCCTAGGATTGGATTAAGCTTTGATATAATAAAGTAAAATACAGGTTTTAGAAAGGTATTGGTCCAGAAAAATGAGGACAAGGTGGCGGTAATAACAAGTTTGAATCTTTCTAAGAAATCTGGTGTCATTGTGGCTTTTGTTATGTACAAAGGGAAAATAGAAGCTTATTGATAAATAAGGAGTGGTACTTCCATGAACTGATGTTTCTAAGGCAGTCTTAGGGATCATGACTCTGATAGGGAAACTTACTTTAGTAAGATTTAAAGATCCTGACAATATTTTCTTCCCTATTTATTTGACCATTTCCTTTCCAACGCTTCTTGCTTTGGTTACTACATTCTTATCTGCACAAATTCTGCCTCCCTTTTCATATCCTTCGGGATGACGAATGTCTTCATCATTAGGAAAATATTTAAAATTGAGCACCAATTATAGGATATCATCACTTGGAATGTCATGGTATCCAACATATTCTAATTTATCAGGATCTGCAATTCCTTCGTTTTCTTTGTCTTATTCTTGCACTTGAGCTATTGGATCAAAGCCTTTGGCCTCCAATTCTTTGTCTTCATTTGTAACAACTTATGTTTCATCCTAAAATAATTCATAATATAATAATACATCAACAAAATCGCTTTCATCTTTTTCTTCTTGTTAAGCTGAATTCGATTCTGGCTTCTTCTTTTTGAACCAACCAAACATATAATTAATATATACAATAAATTTATTATCAATTTAATAGTATTTGATGATTACATTTTCATTCACAATCTACATCTTTTCTGATTCTATGGAATAAATAACATAATTCATATAAATATTTAAAGTGATAAATCATTAGAATTATATTAATTGAGATTCGTAGTTTAAATTAGAAGATACTAATTCTTGCAGTATGGTTTTGACCAACTTTTTAAATGCTTTTTCGTCAACCAGGACTTTACTGAAATCTGTTTTCTTAAAGAAGTTCAACCATTCAACATTGAAATCTCTAGGGATTTTAAATTGATTGGCTCTTTCCTCTAAGATTTGCTTTCTGGAACTGATATTATCTTAGACTCTTTGCAATCGATCATTAAACTCAGTGAGTTTCTGCTTATATTACATCCCAATCTCTTTACTAATCTACAGAGCTTCTTAACTAACCTTCAAAATACTCTATGTAGAATAATTAAATCCTTTTTATTTAAAACCAAATGATGTTACTGTCGATTGATAAGAGCAAGACTATCTAAATTTTGATCTAGGCATTAAGTTTGACTCTTATAAGTACAATGCCATGAGCTCAACTTCTTTATCTTCGGAATTCTCCTATTTCAGAGTGTTGGCAGAATTCAAAATAATTTCAAATTAACAATTCCCATAATTTTCTAAATTGTCTGTATCATCTGTTTTCTTGAGTTTAGCAATTTCAGATGAATTTTAAGATTTCACATCTGACACTAATCTAGCGATTTTATGTTAAATTCCTAAACATTCAAACTCCACTTCAAAAAACCATTGGGGATATAGCAATCTCAATTGATCCAATTTTTCATCTATTTATTAATAGAAATCCTAATTAGAATTTGATTGTTTTTCTACTAGTTATTCAATAATGTTATAATCTAATAAAGTTTTCTCAATACTAAAATGTTCTCTATGGCCAATCCAATGAACATTGTATTCATCTATATCTACATCTAAAGCAACGATTACATATTGTTATATTAGATCTTTATCTTCTTCTATATCTAGATTTCTATAACTCAATTTTAGAATATTCTGCACATCTACTGTTAATGTGATTTAACACCAAAAGCGAATCATATATCCTATTAATTTAAAATGAGGATAAAAACTAGAATGATCAGTTTAAGTCTTAAATTGCTTCTCATACTTCATTTACAATAAATCAAACTATAAATCATATGAATTGTAAAAGGTGTTCATCAATCTCTAAAATTGATGATATAAGTTAATATAAAGTCTGATGTTATGAGTATGCTAATTTTCTCTGTAATTTTCCATAAACAATTCATTATAAAATTGACACAAATGAGCAATATTATTAAATATTACGCAACAGCTTTCCAAAAAATGGTTTGTTGGAAACAAAGAATTCTTTTATCTAAAAAAGTCAACCACACACCATTTCAAACATATAAGAGAATGAAGGTCGTGCCAATCTATTGTAGAATTAAGGAAATCAAACTATTATTATTCTGGAAGACCTTCGTAATGGTCTTTAGATCTGATATATTTTGGTAATGATAAGGCCAATTAGAACCATTCAGATGTATATTAGGATATTGGATCATTCTGAAGCAGAGCCAAAGGGTCAGTAAACACATTTGATTCTTTTACTTGATAAATTTAGGATGAATGCTTTCTCATTTCTTGCCATCTATTCGAAGGGTAAACCAGTAGTTCTGAATTCTCCTCAAGGACTAATTAGGAATAATGATTCCGACAAAATAAACAGTCTTAATTTGCTTTCTTAACTCCTCCTCTTATCTCATTTTAATCTTATTAAAAAAGGTTTGTCTCATAATCTTTTTTGATATTCTGCACTGACACATTTTGAGAGTAATCACCCTTTTATTAGTTTAACTTAATCTACATTTCATTCCTTTCTTCTGGTTCATCAGCAAAACATTAAGCTGAAAAATTTCCCATTATTTAATTAATTCATTGTAGAATAGTATTATAAAGCATATGTTAGATTTAAAGTATTTATATTAATATCAATATTAAATCTGAGTTAAGAACAATTCAATTAAACCTATTCATAATAGCGATCGAATATATCTCATTACTAAACTATATTTATATAAACACAATTGAAATTATTCAAATTTCGAGTTATAAATTAAATCGATCCTAGGAAAGAATTTACGATCTAATCTTAATAAAGCATATTTTGTTTTATTATAGAAGTGTTAATAGTTGCCTTAATATTATAAATCATTATTCAGACTTATTAAAACTAACATATTCTTGATATTGCTTTTAATTTAGCGATGGCTTAACCTTATTTATGGCGAACTCAAAGTCCTCTTTTCTAACTGGCCTAATACTTTATGCAGACATGGCAACTATGGCATTTTTATCCTCTCTTAAGGGTTGCATACAAGCCTCTTTAACAACTGCCTTAATATCACTTGCAGAATAACCTAATTATAAAATGATATTACCAGCCAATTTTTCGCATATTTTCTCTAAAGCTGGATCTTAAATAGAATGATTCACTTTAGCCATAAGTGATCTAACTAATCCCAATCTGGCTTTTTAATCAGGCTAATCAATTAAAATTTTAACAGTCTAAATTATTTTATTCATTACAAATCTTCTAAGAACGGCCCCATCTATATCTTAGGGTCTATTAGTAGCTGCTATTAAGAAAATCCTATCTTAATCAGTGGTTTGCATTCCATCAAATGAAACTAAGAATTCAGTTTTTAATCTACGACTAGCTTCATGCTCTTCACTTGATCTACTTGATAGAATAGAATCAATTTCATCAATAAATATTACCTAAATAATTCATGGACATACTGATGGTTAAAATAAAAATGCTACCTTAAATAAGGTTTTCATTAATTTTTCTCCTTCTCCAAGATGTTTTTATACTAATGTTGAAGCACTGACGTTGAAAAAGCAACATTTAATTTAGTTAGCTACAGCTTTTGCCAATAAAGTCTTTCCATTTCCAGGGGGTCCATAGAATAAGATACCTAAAGAGATGTGATTAAAAAATTAACCTTTTGGAGGTGCTCGAATTCCTGTGAAAATATCAGGTCTTAAATTTGGCAAAACAATAACTTCTTCCAATTAATTTTTAATGCTTTCTAAACCGATGATCTAATCAAACGAAACATCGCATTTTCTGATCATTGCAGTCTCTATTATTTACTTGCAATAAGGGTCTTATGAAGCCTTTAATTATAAATTTTCTTACTAAGTTTTGTTAAATTTGCTCAATTTTCTAAGTGCAGATTTCTGCTGTATTAATTGCCTTTATTAATTCTTAATATTCAGCTGCATGGTCTTATTGGTTTTACTCTAAATATATTTTTTTATTACTTTTTTCTTTTATCACTGGCAACAACACTTAAGAACTGTTCACTAAAACAACCTTAGCCATAGAATATTATTGATTTTGATAGTATTTCATACCTAATTCAATCATCTTATATGCATTTTGAATTTATAGTTTTGGATCTATTTGAGAAATCTTTGGACCCTCTTTTTTAATTTTCTAGATTTTTTCTGGTGATCTGGATTTATTTTTTTGCTTTTTATCACCGTTTATGGCTTATTTAATAGAATTCCACATAAAGTGAGAAATATATATAAAAAATATCAATATCAAAATTTAATTTAATAAACAATAAACAAAAAATGGATGAACTAGAACAAGCTCTAAATTTTATTATTAATATTAAATCCATTGTTGCTTTGCTTATTATTAGGCAGTATTACATTATAATTATGTAATTAATGTTCTCAATAATAAAGAATAACAACTAATGCATTTAAATTAATAGAATAACTAATTTATTTTAGAAATTGATAAAAAAAATTCAATTTAAGTAGTACAATATACAATATTATATAAAGATTCATTCAATATTTCAGTTTTCCACAAAAAACATACAGAAATTTCATAGGAGCAAAAGTATTTGATTTCATCCAGTTGTAATTGCATCATAACACATAAAACATATTTATTTTAATAAAGGATCAACTAAGCTATTTGTTTTATATGATTAGGATTATGCATTAGATGATGGAATTATTTACTATTTCTTTCTACCAATAAATGATGAATTTCTGTTCTATAATTTATTTTACAGAGATACTGAATTTTTAACTATAGACATCAGAAATTGTTTACATGCTTTTATGTAAGGGTTAATTAGAATTCTCAGTCCTATTATATCAAATTATACAATGTTTAATCTATATTTCCATAATTTGAATTGAATCATAAATTTTATAATTTAATGATTTATTATATACAGCTGAAAAAATGATTATGGATTCTATATGAATTCTCCATGCATTGTTTTAAATATATTAAAAGGATATGAATAAACATGAATATATTTATCAAACGATTTCTTTAATCATCGAATACGGGGGATTACTGTCGAGCTAAATCATATCGTCAGTATTTATCATTTCAGGGTTAACAGAGGGCAGCTTGTACTTAGACAGTAGTTTATCATAGGGGAAAATCTAATCCAATTCTTCAATTAAGATTGGAATGTAATTAAGATAGTTTTATTTAGTTACACCACTCTTTATCTTTTGGTTTCTTTATACAGATAAGGCTGCATAATCCTTTAGAAACACTTTCCATGACTCTCTAGCCTGATTCCTATATAATTCTAAATCAGGATTAAATAAGTCTTGATTGTTGAAAAGCTCTTTAAGGTCACCAAGTTCAAATTTCTTTTGCTAAGATTGTTTTTTTGTTTTGAGGTATTTCAAGTAAATAACTGCTTATGTTAGTTTTCTATTCACAGACCAATGATAAAATTAATTCATAAAAAATGGCACTACTCTCCTCTTTAAGGTCGCAGTGTTAGATTTCTATGAACTAATTTCATTCAATTTTTCCATGAAATTTAGGATGGGTTCTAAATTTTTTTTGTCTATAATTAACAGAACCTTTTGATCATTGGAGTTATTCTAACTTAGATTTATTTCTTGCATCATTTAAAAAATGTAAAAATTATTATCTTCATATATTAAGGATTCTAATTTAAAATCTTAAATCTATTTGAAATTAGATTTTATGGATAATTCTTACACATAGTCCACAATATGAATTTTAAGGATATTCTACTACTTGAAATATACAAGTTATCAAAATCATAATTAATAAGATATTGTGATTTAGATGAATTCCTAAGTAAGCACCCTCCGAATTCAATCTCATACAATAAAAGAAAAGTATTTATCATATTAGAATTAAATAGATCGCATTCTATAAGGGATCAGTTTGCTTTTCAAAAGAATGTCCAAGTTTAATAAGTTATCTACATTTAGCCTATTGAAATATATAACATCCTCAATAACTAGAGTTGTTGATATCAAAGAAAGTAATATTTCTTTCGTGATTCGCATTATACAATAATAAATTTATATTTAAAACTTATCATGTTTATAAATTGATATATATTGTATATTAAATTCTTGTTAAAAATATTGTTAATAATTATATATCGAAAATTCTGAAAATTAGATGATAAATAATAACTAATAATCAATAAAGTCCAGGTTTTTGTGGAGGCAACCATTAAACAACTCTCATTTGTACATCTTTGTGAATCCTATAAAAATTGAGAAAAGTAGTACTTGTTTAATAGCAATTCCTTAAATTGAGGTATTCTGCACTTTAATAAATACACAGTTTTAACTAATTCAAACTATTCGTCTTAAGATAATTATGATAAGTTTTATTCAATATTATATATTAACTCCTCTGCTTTAGCTTAAAGTGCTTTTACAAACTCATGACATTAGTTGGGAACTTTAATTGAAATCATTTCGTACTCTTTTAGTTTTACTTGTATCTCTGATAAATTGGGTTTAGTATCTTAATACTAAGAATTTAACTTAAGAATAAAGAAAAAAATATACATTTGATGTATAAATATCGTCAATATCTTTGAAAATAGCTAAAATTTCCGCATTCCATTAATGAAGTTTAGTAATTTGTTATCGCAATTCATTTAATTTTGGAAGTGAAAACTTGATATCAGTTTGTAGTATATGATGTTTAACTTCTTTTTCAAATTAGTTTGCCAATTGTTCATATTATTCAAAAGTTAATTACTATCTTAATTGTTGCTATAGTTAGTTATTAAGTTCAGCTTAAACTCTTAACATTTGAATAGTCTTTACAATCTAATGATCAATTTCCGAGAGTTACTCTGGATATTTGTCTTTGATATACAAATATAATTGTTCTGTTTTCTCCTATTGTTATTTTTTTAGTTATTTTGTCTTGAATGTAGCTTTGCTTTGGAGCAATTCATTTGCAGTATTCAAAAATTCTCTTTGACTTATAAGAGATAATAAATTTTTTGATTATGGTAATTGAATTGGTAACCATTCACTTTCAGAATAGAAAGCAATCAATTGAGGAAGATCAAGATTTTTATGGTCTTCATATCTTATTCTCCATTCATCAACTCTCTATTCCAATAATTCAAGCAATTCTAGTTCAACCAATTAAGCAGGTAATTTTTAGCCAATTCTAACAAACTCCTTAAACTCTTCCATCGTTGGCAATAAAAATTGACCATAAATGTATTCTCCTGAATTAGGAAGTATATTTTTTTCAAATTGTAATTTATGTTTTTAATAATCTTCATATAGATCACTTCCTAAATCAATGTATTAATCCCACAGATTCTCATTAAGGATTAAAAATGGGATATTGTTTTTCTTAAGGCAAACTAATATGATATATTAAAATTACTTCTGCAATTGTATTTATCTTAATTCTATTCTCTCTATTTCTTAATGCCCATACATTCATAATGATACCACTCTTCACAGTTGTCACAAAATATCATAAATTTAACTTGCTATTGTAATTTCGTATGATAATTGAAGAATTGCTCAACATTTTTTTCATGTAGACTTTTTAAGATTTAGAATTCTGTTATAGCTGATTCCCCTCCTTATCTACATGTGCAATAAATCTCATCTTAACTGTAAAGATTCAATAGTTCCTAAGATGAGTTTTTTACTTAATCCAAAAAATTAGAACTATTGCATTCCACCTCCAAATTAGGAGATGCCTTCCTATTGAACCCCTTCTTATAGCCTCTTTTTTATATGATTGGCTTTTTTAATGCTTACATAACAGGATCAGAATTGATACATTCATTGGGTGAAGATCTAAAGGCTTTTCCTAATGGAACATTGGCATCATAAAATGCAATGTTATCATCTCTCATTAACTTGGAGACTTATTTTACCCTTTTAGAATGTTTTAATGATTGACTTTCTTGATCATAAGTAGGTTATGATTCTTCTTAAGATTTATTTTTTAACTTATTTATAGACTTTTGTGCTTTCTTTTTAATGTTAGATTAGGTTTATGAGATTTAGTTTTATTACTAATTAAAGAGCTAGTTAGTTTATTGTTATTATAATTATTGTTATTGTTGTTATTATTGTTATTGGGCAGATTTGGACATTTTAAATTCTTAAGGTTGCAACTACTCTAAATATTCAAGAAATGGCTTTAGTTTTTATATCATAATGATATTCTTTAATCTTGGGATATCATTTATCATATCTGACGCCATTTGCATCCAATTATTAATTACTCTGAACTTTTTGGCCATAACGTAAAATTATGGCATAAAGACTTCAGAGTAATACGATACTTCTTTTACACTCAATACAGATAGAGCTATTTAAGCTTATCTATTTATGATAACCAATTTCTCAATTGAACTTATTAATTCCTAACTGATATAGTTTTTCTCAATTCCTTAAAGAACAAGACAAAGCAATTCAGGAACTTTGAAATAATAAAGTAAATCGCCCGTTAAGGAATAGGTTTCAGGTTGAGATTCTGAATCTTTTCCCTTTTTCTTTTTCTTTTATTGTTGCTAATCATTTAAATTGGTTATCTGCATCTACCATTATTGATACTATTAAATCCAATCTTCTATCTATTTATTAAAGTCATCATTTTAAACTTCTCTTTAGTATTCTTTCAATCTTTAAATTCGTATAGGCTATAATTTCTTTAATTTATTTTCATCTAATTGAGTCAATAATGCTAAATAGCTATTAATTGTATTTTGAAAATTCAAAAAGAAATTTTAAGCCATTTTTGACAATTTCATGCCTTCCTTCTTTTTTTTATTTTAAGGATTATCAGCAAAAATCGTCAACATTTCATCTTTCAATTATTTAACTGACTCATCATTCTTTAGGGCTGACAAAATTGAATCAAATAATGGATCAGAAGTAGCAATAGTTGATAAAATCCAATTCACTTTTTAATGAGATGCATGTAAACTCTATAGTTCTTTGACCAATAATTCATCAACTGGCAATTTCAAAGACTCATCTAATAAAGACTTTATCTATTCTTAGTTTTGAGTTTGAATAGCATCTTTTGCATCTTTTTTCCATTTTTCAGTATGTTATATTAAAGCCTATATAATCTAAAGATCCTTCGATCCACTTAGAAAAGGTGATTGAAACTTTTGCAATTTGTCGATTTGGTCCTAGGTATGTTAATTACCATTCCTTTAAATATATACTCTACATATAGTGTCTATTCCATCAATTTACTAACTTGAATCATCATTAACTCTTAAAGTTTATTTAATCATATAGACTTAAGCATGCCAATCTAAAATCTATATGATGATGTCTCTAACCTTTGTCATTAAAGTTAATTCCTATCTGTATCTTAATCCTTCCTTAAAGAGTTCCCACAACTTATAAAATGTTTTATTTTAGTTGTTTTTTCTGGTTTATTATACCTGCTTACAATCAATTAATGAAGTTAATTACTCTTTCCATATTTAAATTCTCTCAGATATAGATTCAATTTCTTAAACTTTATCTGGATCTAGTTAATTGATAATATCTGATGTTGGATTAAGAAGAGTATTAGGATATTATTACAATTCAAAATTTTCATCATATACATCAATAAGTGAAATGTTTTAATGATAAGATATAATTTCATCTGCTAATTAATTCCATTCTAAGACCCTTAATGTTTGAGTTTAAAGGAGTTTCAATTCATCGTTGATTATTCCTCTACTTAATAACATTTAAATTTATTGATTTGCAACTTAATGTTACCTTTCAGACATCTTTAATTTAATAGAATCCAATATTTATGAATAATCTATCATACTTTATAATCTTTCTTGAACATCTAAATAGAATGGACAATCTAACACTTCACCTAGTAATTTTTATTACATTTCAGGATCATCTATTTATTATTTAACTTTTTCATTCAATTCCAAAGCTTATTAATATAATTCATTAAAATAATCAAAATCATCACAAGTCACTATTAATTTTAATATCTAATGATTAAATATTCCTGCTTAGGACAATGTCATTTTTTCAGTTTTTTCTCCTTGATTGGAGATATATTATCCTAATCTAGTTTTAGTTTATTAAATCTTAGTAAATTTACTAATCTTTTCAACTAAATCCAATACAAATTCGTATAATCGTTTGTGTAATGATTCGAATGCTTTTATTTCAATTGGAAGTAGTTTGTATTCTTGATTATAGTTTGCAAGAATTTTCAATTGAACTTTTTGAGACTGAGAATTGGAGATGAGATTTTCGAATATCTCATCATAATTATCACTATCTTCAACAGGTATAGGAAGCTTCAAAAGTTTTTAATAAAAAGTTTCAGATTTCTACACTTGTTCTCTTAACTATGATATTTCTGGAGTGATAATTGGTATCTATTCCTCAAATTTTTCTAAATGCTGACGCAATTTTTCCAAAGTTTATTTTTCCTTTAATAATTTATTTATTTATTTTTATATTTGTATTGATGTTGAATGAATTTATTTTATTGATTCAGGAACTTCATATTTTAATTACTATCCTTGTTCTAGCAATGTTTAAAGTTGAGCCAAATGCACCTTTTATTTGCTATTTATCATATCCATAAGATCCTATTTCCACTTGTTTTGTTGCATCATTTTATCTTCATTCAATTTGCTAATGTACAATTCAATTTTTTCATTCATGTATTCATTGCTGAATTACAATGCATGTCTATGTTTATATTGATTATAAACCAACAAACTTGGGAATAACAAATAAAACTTTGCTTTTATTATATTATAGTCCATCGACTTTAAAAACATTAAAGCTCTTTCATTAACTTATTCTTAAGTGATTGACAACCCACTCAAAATCAATCCATCACCACTAAATCCTTTGCTTTTCTTTTTCGGATCCTCCGCCGTTTATTCATCGACTTAGCTCAAAATTAAAGATTATGCAAATAGTAGATAATCATCAATGTTCTAAAGCTTCTCAATTTTTTCTGTCTGAAATATCAAACTTTATCTCTTAACATAATAATTCAAATTTACATGCTTGATGAATTTTTCCAAAGTCTTCTCTGGCTTATCAGGAACGATTGCTTAGCATTTCTCATCCACTATAATCATTCTCTTAGAATGCAGGAATCTATTCTGTTGATGAATCTCTTGAACCTTAACATCATTCTATTCGACTTCCATAGCATCATCCATGAAACTCATTATCACTTTATTTCTATATTTTTATGAATGATTAGAATAGGCATTATCAAATAAAAACTCACATAAATTTATCATTAAATAAGATTTAAACCACTCTCATACCTCTGACAAATTGCTAGACTCGCCAATCCAAATATAAGAAGCAAACATATCAATTCAACATAATCTCCAACCTTTCTCCCAAAATATCAATCTAATTTTTAAAATCCCTCGTTCTCATACATTTACTAAACCCAAAGGGATCCCTTGTTGAATATACTCATCCTACAACCTTTTAATAATAGTTCGATGCTAAATATTAAAATTTGTTTAGATCTTCCAAAGTTAGAATAGGAAGTCACAAAAATGCAAGCTTCTCTTGAGCCATTTCAAATAGATAGACTGAAAGCTCTGAAATAATGGAAATGTAGCAGATTTCTGATTCTTAAGAAAAAGAGATCTAAATTTTGGCGCTTTCGAAAGAGGGACTTCGTGTATATCATCTATTAAAGAATTGAATGATTTATAGATTTATTGTTTGGTATTAGAGTCAAGGGTTTGGGATCTATATGGATATATTAATAATAAATAAATGAATTGATTTGCATATTTATAAGTATTATTACTTATTACTTTAGAATTCATATTTATCAATATTCTTAACTATTTAGCTATTAGGAAAAAAATTCAATATTTTTTAAAAGAATTTCTGAATCTTTATATTTTTGGCTAGACTTGTTCAGGTTGAAGGTTGTTTCATTGAAATCTAAAAACTATGTATTCTCAGTTATGCAATATAAATAGCAGTTAATTAAATGAGATGATGCAATAGTAATTTAATAATTTTACTTTTGAAGAAAATGCTACAATATTTGATAGAACATAGAATTAAATTACTATTTGGGTAAATTATCTGATAAAGAATAAGCAAATTTGGCGTCATCGAAATTAATTAATTGCTCCTTTAGATCATTCAATTAATATAAAATTCCCTCAGCTAAAGTAACCATTTCCTGCTCCTATAATTCAAGATTAACAAATTCATCCTTATATTGCTATTGATTTTGATACTTATCTTTATTTTAATAGATCAAATTGATTATTTCTTCACATAATTATTATAATTTTAAACACAACAAAGCCATTAAATTGGGTAATTCAAAAATTTATGCAAATTCCTGAAAAGTGTTTGAAAAGTAGAACATCTCATTAATCCTTTATGTGATTTTGTCTACCTCTACCCCTAATTGATTAGGTTTGTATTATTAAATGTCCTCTATTTCACAAATCTTGATGTATTTTTAGGGTTATTTTTAAACCTAAACTACTTAGGGAATATTGGGTTGGAAATCAAAATTATTTTAGAAGTTTAGTTCTATTTCAGCACTTTATTCAAAGTAAAACTCTTAATAGTCTTCAAAGGGTATTCTATTGGCTTGCAATTGTATCTTGCTTATCAAACCTAAGAGAATGAATGAAATCATTACTAAATATTGGTTTTCCAAAAGCTGGATGAACTATTATATTCTAAAAAGTAATTCTCTTTTAAGGATCAAATTATAGCATCTGGAGCAAGAGATCTTGAGTTTAATTTGACACTTCAATTTAGTTTTTCTCGAAATTTATGTTCGCTAAAATATAATTTAGATTACGTTGATCGCCTTACAGGTAATCCTTCTATTTGAATGGAAGTCTATTGTATAGAATTTAATAGAAGATGACTCCCATGGAAAACATGTCTGACGCTAATCCATACGGTTGCTAATTAAATATTTCAGGAGCCATTGTGAATAAGCTACCTAATTGTAATCTGGATTGTTGATCCTCTTATAATAATAATAGAATACTGCATTATCTAAGATTCTAGAGAACCCTAAATCGCCTATTTTATAAATAGAATTATTATGAACCATAATGTTCTACGCTTTCAAATCCCTATGAATGATATTTTTTGCATGTAAATCTCTTAGACCTTTCAGAATTTGCTTAAATATTCCTAGTGCATCTTATTCAGTTAATTTAAAGTTTGGATTCTTTAATTGAATCTCCAAGTCGCCAGCTAAAATAAATTTTAATCGAGTTTACAATCACAATATTCAAGGACTATGTAACGATATTGATCATCTTAAAATGTGTCGTAGATAGCAATAACATGGTCACTCTTTACTAGTTACAAGGCCTTAATTTCTGACTCCACTAGTTTTCCAAAAAGTCCCTCATTTTCTGCAAATCTCTCAATTTCTATCACTTTTATGGCTACCTATTATAACTTATCCTTCTTAATTCCTCTAAAAACCTAAATATTACTCATAATTACCTAACCAAATCCCCCCCTTCCTAATAAACTTTATATCTGATACCCTTTGATTTCAGAACCAGTTTAAAAATAATTATTCATTAAATTTATTAATTACGGGTATTTGAAAGGGTTCAATTAAAGTATTCTTTAGAATATATGGAGATAATTAATAATGGTAATATTTCTCAAAATGTGATCATATCATTAATAATAAATTGATAATCATTAAAAATGGCAGCAAATCTTAATAATTGATACTGTAAATATTCAGGGGAACTAAAATAGATAAGGGTATGATTTACTAATAATCTTTTGTGTTTTGGCAGTAAATCTGGCAACGGAATCATTGCTAAACAATTCAGGATTGGCAATGAAATCATTTTCAAGGGAAATATAAACGTCATAGACGGTTTTTTGCTTAAATGAAAAAATCATATAGATACATCTAGATCTGTGTAGTTGTATTGATAGAAGGCATCAGTGTCTTGAATAGTGATTTGTGTTTGATTGATAACTTGATTAGATTCATTGAGAGCATTTTTAATTTGATAGGCTGATGGAAATTGAACGCTCTGAAGCTCTTAAGCAAAGATGGTTTCATTAACAATGGACAGATTTTAAGAGTTATCTCTCTTTCTGACTGTAAGGTAGGCTTTACCGCAGTAAGAGACCTTAAATCTGACAGATATGGATGAGGTAGTTCTGTCAATCATTTCTGGATTGATGACAAAACTAGGGATGTTATCAGAGATTTCTTCAAGAGTAAAGAAGGGTTCATCATCAAGTCTGGTAATAAATTTCTATATTTCTGCTCTCCTGGAGTTTAAGGTTTAGGCTAAAATGAGTGGTTTAGTATATTCATTCATATTAGAGGGGTCAGGCAAGATAATCAAATTCCAGAACAAATAAGAATTGGACGTAGAGACGTCTAGAGAGGTCTATTTGCATTGTGTTGTCCTTTCTAATAATCTGGCCTTGGTGATTCCAATCATTTCAGCCATTTTTTAAATGTAATCCATTTTGACTTCATTGTCAATAGTGGCTTAATTAATTTTAAGGGTTAAAAGAGCAATCCTTTGAGACTTAAGGGTTTGAAAGAAGACCTTCATAAAGGTGGGATTGTCAACTTTGTTTAAGTTCATAACAAATATAAAGATCTCGTAATTGTGATTAGGCGAAAGTTTAGAAATCGTGAAATTGACATCTAGAGTCGTAGTTCTGACATAATCAACACCATAATGAGGATTAGAAAGAGAAAGCGTGACATTATCAAGGTTGGGTTCTTTGGTTTCCTCGAAGATTGGATTAGGCATATGTTGATCAGCATAAACGTAAAATATAAATCCTTTGATGTCAGTGGTTACTTAGAAAGTGGCAGTAGATCTGGTTACTTCTAGAACTTTGGTTTCAAGGATCTTAGGTTTTCTGAATTCTTGATCTCTTATGGGGATGATCATTTCTTGAACATCGAGTTCGAATGAATCTGCATCATATCCCCTCAATCTGTAATAGAGTGTGAGAGTGTCTTCCTTACTGGGATAATCGATTGAAATATTTAGATCATAATTAACTGAATACTGCAATTTAGCCATTTCTAATTGAGTGCTAGATAGATTGGCAATGGAATGTTCCGTCACATCAATTCCACTATCCACCAACTCAGCATAAGTGAGATTAAGTTATTCTAATCTCTTGTCTGTAATGAACCACTTCTATCTCAGAGGCACATCTGCAGTAACATTCATTTTGAAGCCTACTCTTATTAGCAACTACTAATATGGAGGATTGTTGGTCGTGATGTAGAGTGGGTATGACGTTCCATTTCTTGGCATATATTCCATCTTTTCGATTGTCAATTTCCTCTTTAAGGTTCCTTTAACCATCTGCAAGGGGGTCAATCTCAAAGGAGCATATGTAGCAGGTAAGGTGTCTCCAGTCTTACTCCATTAAATGTAATAAGTCTACAACAGGATGGTTCTGGGAGCAGCCACTCTGAATTTGGCTTATTTACTTCCTGCAACAATTTAAACTGGATTAGGAGTGATAATAATTTGGGAGTCCAAAACATTAGGGGAGAGAGTCAGAGTGAAATCTGCTTTATCAGTGATATTCATTATGATTTCATCTGAATAGGATCCCACTTCCAAGGTGAATGGCTATTTAAGATTTACATCAATCTGCAATCCATCATAATTGTATATCAATGAGGCTGAATGGAGATTAGCGTATGTTCTTCCCAATACTATTTTATTTATTGAATCATAATTATAGACGATGAAATTATTTGTTTCTCCATCATCATCTGGAGTCAACACATTTGTAATTGTCAAATCCAACTATCCTGATCGATCTGCATACCAATCCTAATTATTTGTTTAGAATAAGAATCTAAAATAATCCCATTTGCAAGAAGCAAAAAATGAAAATTGTGATGTGGTTTCACAACCTCCGTTGAAAGAATCAATTATGAAGTTATTAGGAAAGTCTGCATACAATTACCCTCCATAAACTGTTGACAGCACTTTTTAAAGAGGGTAGATCTCAAAAGTGAATGTACTTGCATATCTACTTAAAGAAACACTGCTTGTGATTTTATTTAATTGGATCAATAGTGGAGCCAATTGAGGAATTACACCACTTATTGCAGTATTACCTAGCACCATCTTATTTCCATCCATTACTCCAAATAAAAATGTTCCAGTGGCCTAGTTATTCAGTCTATTTGGATTAATCACTCCTAATAGACTAACATCCAATGTGCCTTTGAAATTGGTCAATTGATAGAACCCTGTTATTTTTATATGATATGGGATTATGGCCATCTTCAATGCTCCTTGGAGAGTGTTGCTTTTGACTTACATCTTTTCAATCCCAATTATATAATCATATTCAAATGGAAATCTTATTAAAATGTAATGATTAGATGATATTGTAAACGCAGTGGCGATTTCTAAATAAAAATTGTAGTACGCAATTTCTCCCTCATTTTTAGGGTAGAAATCCAATGTCACTTAGGATGGTGTTAGTTAATCAGTCACTGCAACAGTTGGACATAATCCTGTTGCAATCACCTAAGAATTATATGTTATTGAAATAGTGAGTCCACTTAGTGCATTATCTAATTGTAAATAACCATAGTATTCAATTTTAAAAGCCTTCCCTTTTATTGGGTAATCAGTGATCATTTAGACATAAGAAGGAGAGCTCAATTCATTGGCCAAACAATCTTTAAGTGGGATAACTGAATCTTAGACAATCCTACACGATACAATAGCAGCAGATATTGAATAGATGGAGAGCATTCCTGGAAGGAATAACTAGATTTAACTTAGCTTTGGAATTGTATAATCTACATTCACATACCAAGTATATAATGCCAAAGCTTTTTTATTATTTGGAGTAGACTCAACTGAAGTTACTGTTAAAATTTGTGTTGAAAAAATAGTTGATCCAATTGTCACTGATTTTGATCCATCCTCTATTATATTTCCATTCTTATCCACTGTAGAAATTCCAATTGTGAATGTGCCGCTCATAGGATTTTTTACACTGAAAATACCGATAGAAACTCTTTGGCCTTTAATTAAAGGAGCAAAATTAAGCACTCTGAATTTTCTAGTGGTTGGTAAATCATATGAAATTGTATTGGTCGTGGTGTTCTTTAAATTTGTATACGGAATATTATCTAAGTAGGCATTGGATGCTTAAATATCATATCCTAATGGGAAATCTACTATTATCATAGATCCGTCGTATGACTTCATGGAGGTTGTAAATGAAATTGAATAATTAGCATACGGGTGCATTTAAGCATCAGATGATAGAGTTAAACTAATATCTAGAAGAGATCCTTTAGTTAAGGTGGGTATTGTGAATGTAGCTGTATCTGCGAATTGCCCACCTGATGCAGTCTTAATGTTATGAGTTACACTGGAAGAAGGGAGACTCACTGGGAGATCGACTCTCTCAAAAATCAAGGTGTGAGTTATACCATTAGACAATTGGGAGACTTTAGTCATTATGAAAATAAAAGTGGGAAAATATTAGATTACTTCTGGGTCTTAGTAGACACCATCAATACTTACCAACAATTTATCAGAATTGAAAGTAAATCCATTTGGTATTTCAAAATATATTCCGTTCAATTTAGATTTAGCCAAACTGATCACTGTTTTGAATTTATAGGTCAAAGTAGTTTCTACTTATAATTTGGGATTCTCTAACACTGGCCCACTAAAAACGACTAAGCTGTTTCCTACTGCATTCTTAACAGCTCCTATATTGAATGATTGAGATCTCAAAATGGTTTTGACTTTCTGATTATATTTGACAAGATCAACTCTTATACGAGGAATAGCTCCAATAGTAGAAGGATATTTCACTGGTATTTTAAATGAAATGGTAACTGGGGATGTATTGGTAGCTGTAATTGCTGCATAACCTTAAATTTTAATAATGGCATAATTTGCAAATGTCGGAGTTGCAGTATTAACACCATGAAATAGTACACATGATAATTTATTGCCAGAACTAGCCACCATTCCATCTTAAAATTGACAACCATATTATGACAGATCTGCCAATCCAGATCCTAAATCATAATCAAACACATTATTTGTAATATAATACTGATACAAATAGACTTCTATAGTTGTAAAAGGAACATAGGGATCATTCATATTCTTGACTCCGGCCGAAACATCACAATCCAATTGAAGTTAGATCTATATAGCTGTTTATTGATTCTAATGAATTGATAATTGACTGACTGCTGTTGTTAATTCAGGTTGTCCCGTGGTTTTTTTAAACGTTGGAGGTGATATTACGAAAGTGTCATTATTATAATAAACATTACTCTGATCTTACACAAACGTTCCTAATGGAAAATTGCCAGCTGTTTCGGGGGTCAAAAGTCCTTTTATTGTTATGACTGCTCCCTTAACAGTAGAATCATAGTAATCAAAGACATTTGTGATGTTCAGAAATCCAAGTCCGAATTCGCATGTCACATCTACCATAACATCATTTGGGTCTTTGAATGTACATTCTGGGACTCCCTAGAAATCCTATGGGATCTCCAAACCGAAGACAGTTTTGGTTGTTAAACTAATACCGACCTTAGCAGTATAGACTATAGTGATTTAAGCATTGGTCTATGGATATACATTGGTTTGGACCAAAGGGTCATCAAATGTAATTGTAAAGACCAAGGTTGGTGTCACTATTGGCCATAATACTATTTGCAATTGACTGTTAACAGACAGACTATCCTCGTCTGCCAGATATAGATAATCCGAATCCTTGTATGTGTATATTTCGACTGGATTTGTAAGAACTACTCTATCTCCGATTCTTGCTTTGAAACGCACTTCAACGAATTCATAACTATAATCAGATTCTACGTATGATTAAATGTTAGATAAAAACATATCTCTTCCCAAGGGACTGCATATACTATCTTAAAATTTACTTGGGTCTAACAATCCTCTAGTGATTTGGCAACTCAATACCTAATAGAAATCGGTTGAAATCTTAGCATATTAAAATCCATTTTTAGGTCTGAATTATAGTCTGAAGTCTCTGATGTAATAGATATAAGGTTGATAATACAGAATTTCCAACATGACTAATTTCATCTATCCTGCTAAGATTTCGAGCCCATTAACAGCTGATGATTCCTATAGTGTGTTATTGGTGTTTCTTTCGATCACTCTGAAATTAAAGAGAGGTGTTTTCATCTTCCTTGATGGATTCACAATGTCATTAAAAGTTATTTAAACACTGGTACCTTTTGGAATAGAATTTTGATTGCCTCCTACAAGGATTTGATTTTTAAAATTCTTATGAACAGAGCAAGAAGGAGTGAAAACATTACAAGAACACTTTTTCAATTGGGAAAGATCATACAAATCTGGGAATGTGATAATGAAGTCAATTCTACTATTCAAATCCTAACTAGGTTGGAGAGTGGCTAAATAGTCTGTCACTTCTCCAGCGTAATTGTTATTAATAGACATTTAGGCTGATAACAATTGTACAGTTTCTCCTGCCAATCCAATCACAGCAAAGTTCCTATTAATGTCAACGATATGAGAATTGAGTTTTGTATAGACTTTGAAATTTCCAGTGCCTCCTTATTTTTGTGAATTAATAATTCCTGAAATTGTTACTGTCAAAGGAGTTTCAATTGGCCACTCTCCTAATTGAATTTCCAGTGATCTATCATTCTAAACAAAAGTTCTCGTTTTAGGGTAAGGCGCATACAAAACCGCATCTGGACGTAATCCCAATCTGTCGGGATAATTTGCTTGTGGGAACTCAATCACCAAAATTCCTGATGATGGTAAGGTTGTATCAAATATCATTGTAAAATTGTATTCAGACCAACTAAATCATAATAGATCAAATTAGAATACCCATTGGGATTGACATTAGACATTGTAAGTGATCTTGGTCCATATGGTCTAACTCTACCACAGGACACTTGATAAAGTAATAATAGTATTATTGGAAGCATATTAAATTTTATAATAAATGTAAAATTTGAATATAAATATCAATATTAAACTTTCTTGATCAATTCAATCAAATTTTGCTTTTTGATGTGCAAAAACTCATCCTCAAAATCTATTTTCAAAGTACACAGATCTTGGAAATGCAAGCATCTTTATAAATGAAGTAAAACTGTCACTAAGTTCTTCTTTCGTTTGTTCTCCACTTCTCTATTGATTTCTCGCTTGATTAATTGATGCAATTCAATTAATGACTACCAATAGTTCAAGTGAAATATTCCTGTTTCTTCCTCCTTCAACTCATTAATGAAGGCCTATGTCAATCCACTAAGAAGGGTAGAAGCACCTTTGCTATTAACCACTAAATCAAAATAGTACATCTGCTAAAGCAATTTTTCAAACAGCTGATTTTAGACATAAGGATTGAAGGCATCTCTCATTTAGTTCAATTCATCGTAGAATGGATTCTCTTATTAAACCTAGAAAAACTTTTTGCTTTCAGACCTTATTCTTTTCTGGATCATGAATTTGCCTATCAAAGTCTTTGATATCAAATGAAAAGTTTACCTAGCTTTCATCTAAGAATTAGATTTGATCAATCTCGATGTATGTTCTATCACAATATTGTAAGGCATCCAAAAGGAATCGAAATTGCTGACATAATTTCTGATTCTATTAACTATTTGCAGTCATGCTATAATTGTGCTGGAATCTGTCAGTCTTGAAAATTTACTCAGTTTCTTAGAGGTCCTTCAAAGTATTATTAATTTATTATTGATTTGGACACAATTATTGAGTTGCCATCATTTCATAGGTCAGTTTTGACACCTGATCCTATACAAATTGATTGTGATTGCTTTTATTGACATTCTATAGATTATTCATAAACTGAGACTACTCATTTTACCTTTCACTCTAAGTTCTAAAGATGTCTCCATTTTATTTCAAGGCTGTCATCCCTTCCTACCCTATCTGAATATGCTAGTCATTTTTATAAATTTCATTATAGAAGTTGGTAGTTTCTAAGTTCGTCATATTTTTCATTGCAATTTAACTTATCTAAGACATTTTTTGGGTATTTTTAAATAAAGGATATTGATATAATTGGGGGAAAGTTAATCTCTTTTTGGGTTCATCTTTCAACATCTTGCTAATAATCTCCTTTAATTCATCTTAGATCACGACGTTATTCTTATTGAAGTCGATTTACTCTAACATAGAATTGTTATGATATTACAATAGCGAATGGCTTTGATATAGGAATTGATGTTTAGACACTCAAAGGGCAACTCGCCATATAACAGTTGATAGAAGATGCACCCTATAGAAAAGATGTCTGATTATAAGCCATAACTCTCAAATGCAGCTACTTCTGGGGCCATCGTGCCTGGTGTACCCAAACATAGGCTAACCTCCATATCCTAAAAGCAATATGAGAGTAAATAAAACCTAGTTTTGCAATTGCTTACAGAACCCAAGATCGGCGATTTTAATTTGATCATTATGCATCAAAATATTGGCCAATTTTATATCTCTATGTATCACATTCTATTTATGTAATTCACTCAATCCATTCAGAATTTGGATGACGATTTCTATTGCTTTCTGTTCCTTTATTTTTTTACCTTCCTTGGTCCAGTATCTTTCTAAATCCCCACCTGTTTGCTTTTAAAAATATATATATTTACCATTACAATATTCCATTACAATATAACAATTCGATTTTGATTAAAAGTAGTGCTCTAATTTCAAAACATTAGGCGAATCGATTTTTGCCAGCACACTTATCTCGTCCTTCAATAACTCGCCAACAACTCCTTCACAATTGCTCAAAGATTGAAATTGGATAATCTTTATTGCATGAAATGATTGATCGATCCTGTTCTAGCATTTGTAAACCTATCGAAAGAATGATACATAGAGATAATTACACAGCCAAAGGAACCCTTGCCTAATTCTTCCATTAGCACATAATCTCCAATTAATTTTCCAATCAGCATTTTATAAATATAATTAATTTTTTTCAATGGTACAATCTATTATTAAATACTTTTATAAAAACTATCGTAAAGTATTGATCCTATTATATTCTACTAGTATATTTCATCCCTCCCCTTCTGAGGTATCTAAAACAGTCATTTTGTATATATATTTAATTTATCCAATTGTTAAATTATATTGATGAAGTAACCAAATAATTTTTGGAATTCGGAATTGTTCTTCAACAATTTAAATTTGGAGAATCCACAAAAAATAAATAATAAATAATGCAACAATTCGAAATTCCAAAAACCTTTAAGGCAGCCTAGTTAGTGGAGTACGGAAAGGACCTCCAGATCGCTGAAATTGAAACTCCTTAACTATTAGAAGGATAAGTTTTGATAAAGGTCGAAGCAGCACCAGTCAATCCATCAGATCTAGCATTAAATGATGGACATTATCCCTCTGGAAAAGTATTGCCAGCAGTCCCAGGAATAGAGGGATCAGGAGTCGTAGTTCAATTGGGGTATTTTCTATTGATATATCTAATAGACCAAATGTAGAAAACGTGAAAGTGGGCACTAAGGTTGCATTTAATGCTTATACCAACTATGGTAGCTACGGCCAGTATTCTGTGACTACCAATCAACAAATAATCCCATTAGATGATGATATATCTTTTGAAAGCGGAGCTTCATCTATCGTCAACCCTGTCACAGTCATACTCATGTTGATCGAAGCTTAGGAATTAGGAGCCAAGGCCGTAGTTCACACTGCTGCAGGCTCAGCCTTAGGCAGAATGTTAGTCAAATATTTCTAAGAATCAGGAATCGATGTCATAAATGTAGTGAGAAGACAAGAGTAGGTTGATCTTCTCTAAAAGGAAGGTGCCAAACATGTCTTAAATCAAACATCAGAAACCTTCTTAAAAGATTTAAAAGCCTTGGCCCATTAATTGAAGTAATAGTTCTCATCTTATCATTTTAGTGCTACTGTCTTTTTTGATGCCATTGGTGGAGGTCTTACAGGTGAGATACTCAGCTAATTACCTAATAAATCAACTGCTCTAGTTTATGGATTACTATCAGGACAACCAATTGCCAATATTACAGCATATGATTTACTTTTCTAGAGTAAAACTGTCAAAGGGTTCTTATTGTATACTTCCATTCACAAGTTTAACCCATTTGCCGACGAAAATGCCAAAAAGAAATTGAATGCTTTACTCAAGACAACATTAACAACAGAATATGCTAAACAATACCCATTGGAGAATATTAACGAAGGCATATAATTTTACAAATAGAATCAGACATCAGGGAAGATCTTAGTGAGACCACATTAATGAAATCATAAATATAATAAAAACTAATTGAACATATCATTAAAATGGAGCCTTCAATAAATATATCTACAATATATGTTCTGTTGAATTCTCTAACAATGTAAATTTACCCAATCTACGTCCTCCTGAAGTTGATCTCAGGTTATACCAATAACTTAATCTGTACTCATTTTCTTCGTCATAGTCATCGCAATATAAAAGTTTTATATTTTCATTCGGTGCAAATCCAAATGAAGATTCCTAAACTTGATACCAGTATATATCTCCATGACTACTTTTTAGAGCCTTGTCTGATTCAAAAGTTGGCTTGAAAATATCATTAGCGAAGTCACACGCTATTAAATCAATGCTATCCAAACTATTTACACTCAACCCTCCCAAACATACCAAAGGATTGTCACCCTCATACTTATAGACCTTTTGTTATATCGATATCATAGTATAAACTAATACTGGCTTGTCAAATAATTCTTCATAAATTAATTAAAAATCTTTGAGTTCAGTTTTTGGTAAATTTAAATGAATTTTTATTAAATGTCTATAATGCAAAAGTGAATACAAGTAATTCTTCAACTGAATTATCCTTCTAATTACTTGTTTCTCCTCCAACTAATTCATTATTTCCTTTACTCTTCTGGATTACTCCTACTTCTCTTTCTTCTACGACTCCAATAGTTATTTCACTTCATTCTCTTTTAAGAATAGAGCATTCATCTTTGATGAAATTTACGAAATCTAACTTCTCAAATTGGTTTCCTAAGTCTCAAAATATGTTATATTATTTTGTAAAGTTTCTAGGTTAGTCTATAGATTTATCCTAACTTTCTCTAAATTAGAAGTCGAACTTTATTTAAAAGCATCAAATCGAAGCTTTAACTTTTAAACACCATCTACTGCTTCCGTAACTGTTTTATTCAATGCCATAATATTCTCAGTCTCATTCAGGATTAAATATTCAATCTTTTTATCAAGCAAACTATATTTATCCTTAATACTGACTAATTCTTAAATTAAATACTCCTATATTTGAAATGTCTATTCATATTGTCTCTAGTATTTTATTATCTCCAACTGATTGATTTACAAATACACTAAATATGGCAATATTAACAGGAGTACTAATAATTATAATTTATTGTAAAATGACGATTTACTAAATTAGATGACTTATTTTTCAAGCTATTCTAATTTCTAATAAGACCTAAATAAATAATTAATCTAATATTAACCTCTTCATTGTGGTACGAATGTCTAGATCAAGAGTCTGCATGTACTTCTCAATTTATGAGAATAGTATTGATAATTTTGATTTTGCGTCTTCCTAATATTTATTTTCATTTTCAAAGTAAAATTTCACATATTAAACATGAAATGAGTTTTGGTAGGGAAATGTGAACTTTTGATCCAAATATAAAGTGCTCAGATACTTAAGGAATTTTGTGGTTTCTCCTTCAATCTTTTCTGTTGCATTTTTAATTAAGTCTGGATTCTTACTCAATTAAATTTCCTAAACTTTGCTCTTCTAAAAGTCGAATGCCTATTAAAATATCATTTAGATGAAGGTTTGTCTTTTTGTTTGTTTCTTTTTTATTTCATTTGTAAATTATTCTAGCTCTATGAAATCGTCCACATGTCTTACTACCTTGTTCTTACTTAGATGCTATTTAGTTAGACACTGGTAACATTGTATATGTTTTTTTTCAGCCAAATAGCATTCCTCATTTAAGCATAAAAATTTTTCTGGACTTTGAGTATTTTAGCAAATTTAAAAATCCATTCAAGTATTTAATATAATCATTAAAATTTCAATACAAAATGACCAAAAAATTTTAACATTAACAAAACGAGAATTCATCCATTGTTGACACTATTTTCAAAGGTATTTGAAATTTTTTAATTGTATCCAATAAAATACTCATAATATTATAAAACTTTCTTTGATATTCCTTTTAAACAATTTTTTATAAAAGTGCTAATCATCTAGCCTTAATAAGTTCAATTGATTCGAATTTTTTCCATTTATTAATAAAATGTATGCCATTTTTAAATTTAAAATAACTCAAATAGATTAAATATTAATTCTATTGTATTTTTCCAATCTTTTTAAGGAAATTTTTTTAAATTATGAAGTCCTTTTGCTTTCTCATAAGTTGTAAACATCAATCGACTCCTTTCTCTTTTGAATTTTGAAATGTTGGATTATGATTTTTAGATTGGGATAGGTTTGTCTAATTAATTGATATTTCAATTTAAATAGTAAATTATTATTCAAATATATATAAATGTGTGAGACAGAGAGTAATGAGCATGATTTATGAGTTGGTAAGTTAACTTCGTTCAATTTCTCATTCGAATTTTCATTTATTTAGATTTATGACCGTAATTATGATTTCGATTCCTAGATTTATTTGCTTGTTATTTTTGCATTGAATCCAAAAAATAACAATGAAGCACCGAATACTTAAACCTAAATATAAAATACAAAATAATGATTAATAGAATAATATTTTGATACTCTAGCTGACGTGATACATATTGGAGTATTTTTAGAAAAGAAACCAAAGATTTTATAGAAATAATCCTGAATGACAATTTCTATAAGCACTTTTTGTTCTTATTATTGATTAGATATTGAAACTAACATGACATTTTTACTACTGAAATAAAATATGAAAGTCATTTCAAAATAAAAAAATACATCAATTCCTTTTCAGGGTTTGGTTTACTATCCTTTTGGAATATATATGTATCCAGTTCCAGGACCTTACATATAAGCTTGTTAACAGTTTTAGGAGGTTGAAGAATAAATAGTAAAGCAAGAAGTTAAAGAGGAGTACGAATCGGAATCAATTTAGGAAGTTAGAAAGAAAAAGATTGTTAAATTCAGTCCTTATATATATCCAGGTGAAACAAAAAACTATTATAAGAATGTAGGGAAGAAATTATCATCATTCATAATTAATAGTTTTGATTAGCAGATAGTAAAATAGGACCCATTTATAATCTAATTTGTAAAAATCCAAAGCCAAAATTACAACCGAATGCATTTTTAGAAACTATTCAAATCAAAGGTGGCTAGGAGGATTGCTAGAAAATTTTTTGGAAATTTTTTGTGGTGTTCCAAATTCATTCAACAAAATAAAACTGATATTGATTTATACTTAAGACATAATTAACTTATGTATCAAAGAAAGAAAAATGTTAAAGATCATGCCAAAAAATGATTAATAAATAAAATTAATGAATTTATAAAGTGCATATTATACAAATGCAATATGTAATATAAAATTAATCAACAAATATTTGAATTTAGACTAATATATGAAGCTATAGGACTTTAAAATAATAAAATAGCTTTAGTCTAGAATTTTAGATTATTTTCCTCCAAAATAGCAACAGTATTTTCAGTTTAGGAAATTTTAAACCAAGATATTTTTCAAAAATATTTGAAATGTAATTAATTTAAAAATGATAATAAATAACATATTTAAGTGAGTCATTATTCCTAAAAGTATATCTTATCAAAGAAGTGTATTTAATCTCTATCGCCAATGATTAATTTGTTTAAGTTTTGATAAAAAGTCAAATGGTTAATATTTTGAATGTCTTTTAAATTTATTTACTTTTATTTGCCAGTGGCAACATTTACTAGTATAATTAAGCCATCATCTTAAAAAATCAAATAGTCAGTGAGTAATATTAATTATTTGAAATCATCACTTATCTCGTACTTTCTAATAAGTTTTTGTTTTGGTAAATTATACAAGAAGCATTTTTAAGATTTGGCAATCAAAGCCATTATGCCATTTTTTTCAAGTTTGGCCTTACGAAAATTACCTGATCTTAGCTAGAAACCTTTTATCAGTTTTTCAGTATTTACATCAAGTAACTGTACTTTACTTAAATTATCAATGATAAATAATCTGTTCTAATTCTACATTAACTTACAATAAAGTGCCCTGTATTTACATCTTGTTAAAATAGTCTTTGGTTTTTAAAGGGCAAAGTCAAAAATTTTGATTGTTGTATCAATGCTTAAACTAATTAACATTTAAGAATTCTGTAAAAACTCTAGCATTTCAACTTACATTAAATGATAATTTATATAAGTTTCCGAAAGTACTTTCTTCTCTACATCGAATTTAAGTAGAACAAAACTAACTTACCCCTTTATTATTGCTTATGCACTCACGCAACAAATTGAATTGTTTGATGATACACAAATTTTAGGATGACTTAAGTTCATATCCTCTAATTGTGCTATAATGTTTTATTTCTCAGTTAATATTTCATAGGTAATTAATTGATCGGTTGAGATAATGTACAACAGTTTCTCATCTTATGACAAACAATAGTCAAAACCAGAGTTTGAAATGGCCAGACTTGCTTTTAAATTGTTTTAATTCATATAATTTAATAAATAAAATAATTAATGTATAAATGCTTTTATTTTTATTATTCTATGAGTTAAATAAATTTATGGAACAATTTTTAGGCATATCATAAATCATCTTAATTGTTTATATTATTTACGTAGTCACAATATAAAGATCCAATTAATTTTGGCTTTTTCACCCTCTATTCGATTACTTCATCTATATTTTCAACTTTTTGGTTTAATTCTAATGATTAATGAATTTTTTTTGACTATAGTTCTGGCAATTCTTGCTCTAAAGTCTTAATGAATTCTCTAATATTTGACTTAATATATCCAATCACATTAAGTTTATTATAAAGCTTCAAAAATGCTTCATCATTGCAAATATATGATCTTCTGGCAAGTTGTCTTTTGACATGATTAGTATTCTTATTATTATAAAGGAATTGAATTAGAGAGATTATGAATTTGGAAATTATTTTGATTCTCTAATCTCCAACTCTTCTATCTTGAAGTCTTTATTCAGTACTCTACATAAAAAAGTATAATTACCTTATGAACAACATGAAAATCTGATAAACCTATCAAATAATCCAAGCAAAATATTACTATGATCTATTATTATTGCAAAGAATATTAATCATATATCTCAAATTAAGCAATATAATCCTCCTCATTTAATGAATCCAAAAAGTGCTTTATATTGGCTCGTATTTGTAATATTGGGGATTACTCTTTCAATTTTATGTTCCAATAATTCTTCTCTAAATAGCTAATAATATAATTGATTGTAGAAATAATTAATTTCTTATCTGGGATATCTTTATGAGTTAATGCATGTCTCATTTCAGATAAAATATCAGAACTAAAGATAATTATAGAAAATACAATTCTAATCCTAAATTTTCTTATTTCAATATCTGATTTACAGACTTATTTTTATCTTTAGATTATGTTGTATACATATCTGCTAATTAACTTATAAATCTAATTATTTCTAATGAGCCTGCTTTTAATAATATTTATCTCTATGATTCATTTTCATTTTCTTTAAGCAATTATTACTTAATTCTTAATAAGGATGCTGTCATTTCTATTGGCATAGGAGTTAAAGAGGAATGCTTCAAAACTTGAGGCAGATCCGCTGTTTCATTAATTTCCTCGTAGGCTTACTTTAGAATAATATTATTCACACAACTTTAAAATTAAAGCATAGTATTTAATATAATAATAATGATTAATTTGAAATAATGGTTAGATTAAGGTCGATTGCATATATAATTTGTTTGAGGATAAATAATTATGTTAATACTTAATGAACTGATATTAGCTATTTTAATAATCGTTAGCAACGTCTCATAGTTGTGAATAATGGTAGCAATAATATTAGTTTTTATTTTTTCAGATATTTAATTGTATTATGATCTAATTTTTACTTCTCTACGTTATAGCAATTAAAGGACAAAAATTATTAAAAACACTTGAACTCTATGGAAATAATGAAATCTCAGGGATAATCAAGGTAGAAAAGAATGATGACAATTTATTAATAGCATTTTATTTTGAGAACGTGAATTACCCTATTGCACTTGTGTCTAGGGAAGAAATTCATGATACGGACTTTAATACAACGGTAAAGCCAATATTTATTGAAAGCAAAAAGGTTATGTTTTTCGATTATGAATCAATTTAAATCCATTATCATACCCATTTGATCGAATTGAATTACATGGACAGCATGTACTATTATGCCAGAGATAGATTTGGGCCATTTAAACTAAAAATAGAAGTTTATTCGAAACCTCGTTCTACATGCACTAACAACTGTTAGGGATTTATCATCAGTAAAACGATACAAAATTCTAAGTGCAATCAAAATTGCGTATGCTAAACAGGATACTTTGGATCATATTGTCAATTCGAGTTACTAAAAATAGATTAAGATGTAAATTATAAGATTCATTTATTGCCTCATAAAGCTGTGTATTTGTCATTTTAATTCGATAAAGAGGCTATTTTAATTGCTGATGATGTCATTGATCCAATTAGTAAATAATCATTCAATTTTTGTAGCTGCTAGCTTTGGACTCTTGGGATACAAAGGTTTTGAGATTCCCGACCAAACATCCTACACTGCAATTCTCCATAGTTAATTGAGTCTCACTAAATTGATTCAGAATTTCAAAATAAAGTTTAAAGATGCAAACACCTTGATTTTAGGATTGCAAAGTCAAACAGATCAGACAATAAATATAATAGTGAAGCCAGAACAAACTGCTTCAATATTGAGTGGAAATTGTATGTTTTTAGCATTTGCCTCTTTTAATATCATAATGATCTTACTTTGTTTTGGAATCACAAATATATGTAAACAGAAAGAAATTATTGTCAAAAAGAGGAGAAGAATTAAGGTCCGACCTCCAAAAATAGAAAATAACCCTAAAAACTTTTCAAGCTAATTTTTCAAGAAATATTTCGAAAGTTATGAGTATGAAGATTTCGTTTAAATAAATCCTTCATATAGTTAGACAACTAAATGTGTAGTTTGTATGGATGATTTAAATCTCAAGGAAATTAGTATAACACCCTGTGGTCATGTATTTCACCATCAATGCTTAATGAAATGGCTAATGAAAATTCTTAATTGCCCTTCCTGTAGATTTCAGATAACTTATTAATAAGTGATTGATGGAGGCTGGTAGGGTAGTAAGATCTCATCAAATTCCCTCTCTCAATTATAAAATTCCAAATCTCAACCCACTATTCAAGGAAGCAGCTTTTTGATTGAGAACACTGAAAATGCTGATATTGTTCAAATGATGGAAAAAGTAGATGAAAATTGATAAAAAAACTTTAAATTCTGAAAAATATTTATTATTTAAATTTCAAATAGAACGAAAATATAATAATAATTAGTATTTCTTCTATTAATAAATATACATTCATCTGTATTGTAAACAATTAGGACANGGACTTTAATACAACGGTAAAGCCAATATTTATTGAAAGCAAAAAGGTTATGTTTTTCGATTATGAATCAATTTAAATCCATTATCATACCCATTTGATCGAATTGAATTACATGGACAGCATGTACTATTATGCCAGAGATAGATTTGGGCCATTTAAACTAAAAATAGAAGTTTATTCGAAACCTCGTTCTACATGCACTAACAACTGTTAGGGATTTATCATCAGTAAAACGATACAAAATTCTAAGTGCAATCAAAATTGCGTATGCTAAACAGGATACTTTGGATCATATTGTCAATTCGAGTTACTAAAAATAGATTAAGATGTAAATTATAAGATTCATTTATTGCCTCATAAAGCTGTGTATTTGTCATTTTAATTCGATAAAGAGGCTATTTTAATTGCTGATGATGTCATTGATCCAATTAGTAAATAATCATTCAATTTTTGTAGCTGCTAGCTTTGGACTCTTGGGATACAAAGGTTTTGAGATTCCCGACCAAACATCCTACACTGCAATTCTCCATAGTTAATTGAGTCTCACTAAATTGATTCAGAATTTCAAAATAAAGTTTAAAGATGCAAACACCTTGATTTTAGGATTGCAAAGTCAAACAGATCAGACAATAAATATAATAGTGAAGCCAGAACAAACTGCTTCAATATTGAGTGGAAATTGTATGTTTTTAGCATTTGCCTCTTTTAATATCATAATGATCTTACTTTGTTTTGGAATCACAAATATATGTAAACAGAAAGAAATTATTGTCAAAAAGAGGAGAAGAATTAAGGTCCGACCTCCAAAAATAGAAAATAACCCTAAAAACTTTTCAAGCTAATTTTTCAAGAAATATTTCGAAAGTTATGAGTATGAAGATTTCGTTTAAATAAATCCTTCATATAGTTAGACAACTAAATGTGTAGTTTGTATGGATGATTTAAATCTCAAGGAAATTAGTATAACACCCTGTGGTCATGTATTTCACCATCAATGCTTAATGAAATGGCTAATGAAAATTCTTAATTGCCCTTCCTGTAGATTTCAGATAACTTATTAATAAGTGATTGATGGAGGCTGGTAGGGTAGTAAGATCTCATCAAATTCCCTCTCTCAATTATAAAATTCCAAATCTCAACCCACTATTCAAGGAAGCAGCTTTTTGATTGAGAACACTGAAAATGCTGATATTGTTCAAATGATGGAAAAAGTAGATGAAAATTGATAAAAAAACTTTAAATTCTGAAAAATATTTATTATTTAAATTTCAAATAGAACGAAAATATAATAATAATTAGTATTTCTTCTATTAATAAATATACATTCATCTGTATTGTAAACAATTAGGACATGATTTTGATTCAATACATTCTCTATGATATACTTTTAAACAAGTATCACAATAAGTGACATTCTTGATATCGAATGCATGGATTGGTACCATATGCTTGCAAATACTGCAAATGTGTCCCCTCTTTTGGCAACTCTTACAAACATCAATATGTTTAAACAGTATAATATAATATCCTTAAATGACCTTAGTCAGACTTCCATTGTAAATCTCGTATAAGTCCTTTAAACTGAAACAATTTCTTTTTAAGCAAAGGTTCATTCTTTTATCTAATAACGTTTGTACTAATTTAGGATCGCAAATCATGTCATACAACAAATGAATTTATCTTTTGAGCACGAGAAATTCAAATAGAGTTTTGTTAACCTGCAATAATTTAGACTCTGGAGGTATTTCTAAAATTGGCAAGGCATATAGTTTATCTATTTCGGATTAAGCAAGTTTAGAAACCTTATAGTGTCTTAGATCAAAATTATCCAAGGCCTTCCAGGGAATAGGCATTCGAACTACAGACATGCAGTCGTTACAAAAGTAGCGGCCATGAAAGAAGCACTAATCGCAATTAGCACCTATAGTAAGGAAGCCATTTGATATTTCCTTTTAACATTACCAACATTTAAAATTCTGATCTTTCAATTCTTATTGTGGAGGAGGCTACAGAAATCTGTTGATATTGGGAGTTTCAATAATTTCCTTGTAAATCTATTGGGTTATTTAAATGAACAACCTCGTCATACAGAATTTGGGAAGGCTTCTTTCCTTTATGTTTGGTGTAAAGGTGAGGGGGAAGTTTGGTAAATTATTCGATGGGCTCGTGATGCAGGGTTTCTTGTGATGGACTAAACAAACCAAGCAAGTTGTTAGGTTTGTTGAAGGTAACCTGGTTTTAGTTAATCCAAGACATTAAAAAAAAATAATTAACAATTAATGTATGATGAAGCTGACGGGGACTATGTTGAATAGACACCTTCAGATGATGGGCTGGAGGATGTGGAAGTCATTGTGAATAAGGAAAAGCAATATCAACAGGAATTGCTGCAAGTGCTAAAGTAGAAGGAGGGCGTACATCAGGAATTACGACAGGAATTAGGAGATATCAAGAGCAAAATATAGCAAATCTAATTAAAGTGTATTAGAGAGTGATTGATAAATAGAATACCAGGAGGAAAGTCCAATGGTTGATCCGTATCTGAGGGAGTATCTGTAGGAATTGGGCGAATAACAATTATTCGATTTGGAGTCTTAGAGACAGGAATTAAAGGGGGAGAAGCAAGGCAAAATTGAATAGTTGAGATAATTACAATAGGCTAAGAATTAAATAAAATTATTCTTTACATAAACTGAGATTTCAAGTCATTTACAAATTTCTTACAAAAATATGTTAGAGAATCTAAATTAAGAGTTGTTCTAATACATGTAAGAAAGAGCAGACTTGGAAGACGAATAATTTGAGTTTGACAAACGACTCAAGTCTCTTAGATCCTAAATTAGAGTATGATATGTATATTCTATAAGTTTAGGAAGTAACAGAGAAGAATCAAAAGATTATTCAATAGATAGAGAATAGCAAATAAATTGAATGAATTCTTGTATTTTTACATTTATTTTTATAAAGTCATTGAGTTCTTTCGATCTTCTACTTCACTCTAGGGAATCGTTCTAGTTATTTCTCGAACATTTGACTTATCACTTAATCCAGGGGAACCTCCTTTCCTCCTAAAGTACTTTTGCTTCCAGGTGACAATACCGAATTTGTCAATTTTTTTATGTAATCATCATTTTCTTCTCTTTTCGAAAGGTAAAGAAGACCCTTTTTACTTGGTCCCTCAGTCTTTTGAGGAGGCTCAAAGTTATAAGTTTTTCTCAAGAACTCTGCAAACTCCTTTTCATTTTTCTAAATTGATTTAAAGATCTACCTAACCATTTTTTTAAGCATATAAGAAATATAAGAAATTGCCTTTCTCGAAATTGCTCATTTATCTTTGCATTTTCTTTTCTTATTTTTTTGGAGGAATGGAAGTTTCAGATTATTGTCTTGTTTACAATTTCATTTGTTTTGGCTTGTTTTGGACTGCAGGTAAAGGATGTATTTATTAGGATTACCTATCCATAACACTTTTTTTCAAGGTTAACCTAAGCAACTGAGCTTGTTTTGAGTGAATGATAACACCTTCATCGATGATTTATTGAAATTAAAGTGATTATATATTTTTCATATTTTTGAAACAAAATCACCAATTTCATTAACAGCATTTCTCAATGAAATCAATTGCGAATTCAAATCAGTTATGTTCTACTCCATCTCTGTTATTTTGTAATCATTTTATAATAATGTCTTAATATGTTGAAATATTCTCATCACATCCACATCTAATTCACTGTACTATGTAAAATACAGAATAATTACATGCTATTGCATTTCACCCACACTATTATTATTGGCTCTTAAAAGCTGATTATTCTCATTAACTATTGCAGCAATTTAATTAATCCTTTCTTCGCATTCCTCTCTAGTGACTCCATGCTTATGATTAAAAAGTTCGATCTACTCATTTACTCCTCCAAATTGTTGATTAATTTCTTCCATTTTCTCCTACATAACCATAAACTTTGATTGAACCTCCTTGTTTAGACTTTTATATAAATTATCTTCAATATTCTTAATACCTGCTAGGTTTTCCTTTGAAATTCTTTTTTCCAATTTCTCCAGCTACCCTTTATCCAAGGACACTTATTAAATTATTTGAGATTAATCCTATTATTTGTATTGTTGTTATTCATTCAACTCATCTAGAAATCCTTATTGATCTAAAAGAGCCTTTTCGAGATTCTCTATTTTCAACAAAACCCTTTGATTATCCATTTCCATTTTACTCATCTTTTACCACAACTTATCTATGACCTATTGGAATCTTTCAATTTTCACAAATTTGCTCAATTCATCCTGCAACTACAAACACATGTCACAGGACTTCTGATTATTCAATTCTTCTTAAAATTCCATAGTCTAAGGACCCTAATCCTGAAAGTTCTATTTCATTATGAAATCAATGATATTCAACTATTTTCCTTTGTTTCTACAAGAATTAGCAGATTAGAAAGCCCTTTCTTAAGAGTTTTTTCTGCTCATTAATTTTAATGTTATAAGTTGAAAGAATATTAAGACCAAGAAAATCGATTTCAAAAAGCTTAATCTTGTAATAACAAGAGCCTTTGGAATAAGATAACACTGGTAAAGCCAAAGAGCACTTTAATCACATAAGATAGAAGCTCAAGGTAATCCATCAAGCAGGGTCACCTAGTCCATCTCCTAAAGAAGAGAATCAGAAACAGTAACCTTGTCGAAGAGATAAGAAAGGTAAGAAATTGAAATAATAAAAACCTGCTTATTAATTGGATGTTTCAGATATAAACTCTTCAATTACAGATGAATCTTTTGATGATGATGCCAAAAACTAGTTCTTGATTGCGAAAGAAAATTTAAAAAAATTAAGTAAGCAGCCCAATCAAAATAAAAATGTTTCATCTTTTACTAATTCTCCACTGTAACAATAATAAGGGAAGAATGACTCCTTACCCATTGAATCTCAGTAAGGAATAGAAAATCAATTTGATTAGGAAAAGATCAATATTAATTTTGTGAAATCTTTAGAACATAATATGGATTCCAAAAATATTCAAGAGAGTTACGAAGATGGATATTTAAACATACATATATTAAGTGATGACTTGTAAACCTTTTTGAGGTATGAACATGAAGTTCAGGAAATGATCCACAGATCTCAGTAATTTGTCAATAATAAGCAAGTGCATGAAGGGTTATCAGAAGAACTAGAAAATTATGAATTCTTTTTAAATAGATAGAAACTAGAAAGAGAATAGAAGCAAAAGGAATTTGTTCAGAGAATAATACTACAGGAATAATAAAAGTAAAATGTATTACAGAGAGCCAAAACCAAAAAAATTGATGATATTGCTAATAAATTCATAGACCATCGGCACATTGATTTAAAAAATGATCCATTAAACTAAGCTCATCTTAGCAGAAGAAAAAAAGGAGAGCAGTAATGATACAATTGATAATAATATATATGTCAATCAATTCTTAAATCTTTTACAGGAATTAAGCTATCATCAAATTTCTAAACACTCCTTTTCATTGAAATACTTTTCTCTCTGCTCATTTCTCTACTGTTACTTTTCTGACCTTTTTTCAATTTTGATTTTGGGTAATTTATTTACAAGAGTTATTGATCCACCATTGGAAGTTGAAAAGTTTGATCAGCTGAAGTCAATGCGATTACATGACTTGCACCAAGGGAAATTTATAACAGTTTTTCATTTTTAAAGATTGCTGTTACCTAAATCATAACAATATATTAGTACCTCTTTTGGCTAAAATTGACTGTTTTCATTTCTAGTCCCTAACACATAACTCTAACCATTCCCCCAAGAAAATATTTACTTCTATTGAGAAATAGCATAATTATAATGCATTGAAGCAAAAATAGATTGCATCTTTGGTATATTACTAATCATTTAAGGAGATGTAATGAATTCATATCCAATAACCTTCTAAGATCTTTAGACTTCAAATAAATCTCCTTATTTATTCTTTTTACTTGTTTTTTTTCTATTCACCTACTATTGCTAATACAGTTCTTCCTCTAATACCTTTTGCTTCTCTGCCTCAATCCTTAAATTTTCATTCAATTGCTCTCCTAAACCTAATTAGCCATCATCATTTCTTCCAAAAGAGTAAACATTTCCTTCGAAATCTAATGCAATCGTATGATGTTCTCCACCAACCATATCCACAATGTCCATATTCTCAAAATACTCGACCAAATACGGGAGTTATTAATTTTCTTGATTTCCTATACCCAATTGCCCGTAATTGTTTAGTCCCCATCCATATATACCTGGCTTGTTATCCTTTAGTAATACCTTTACAAAAGCATGCGAAGCTCCTGTAAATATATCTATTATTGGTCTCTTCATTTTTATAGGCTGTGGATTTAAATTTTAAATCACAGATCTCCTGGTCTCACTTTTCCTTCCTATCACTAAGGTTTCTGCATCTCCCCAAGTAAGTAACTATTCATTCATTCCAACTGCTTACTTTAAAATTATCTAGCAACACCATGGTATGGTTCTAACCGCAAAGTATTTTCTTGATTCCATTTGTAATATTATCCACTTTTTTAGGTCTCGCTACTGCATCACCTATTGGACCGTGAGTATTCGCATAAAATCCCCAGAAGTACACTAAACCCTAAGAATTGGCTGCTATCGAATGAGAACTTCCACAAGCTATCATATTCACAGGAGGTAAATCAGTGATTAAGTCTGGTAACCTTGCATCCTGGCCTTCCACTTAGGGTCTTCCCAAAACTCCTTTATCGTCGCATCCAAACGAATACACCTGAAAGAATGATCTAAGTAATTACCTTTCCTTGCGATGTTAAAATTAAAGCGTGCATCCCTCCACATGCTATTTGTACAATTGATAAATTGCTCAATTCTTTTAAGTGATATGGCCTCTTAACCTCATATAATTCTTCGTCATCTTCATCTTTTGCCAAGAATTGATCACATTCAGAACTACCCCAGGCGTAAAGTTTTTGTTCACTCAATTATTCACTTTACATTAATACTTAATTTTAATTTTCAATTATAATGCATTAACTAGTTTAAATGTATATCAATAAAAAGAAAGCACAAATTTGATACTAGACTACCCAATAACCTCTGTTTCAATCATATTATAATTAGATTTAATAAAAATGTTGTCTAACTTGAAATATTATTTTCAATTTATATTTATAAAATTTATAAACTGTCAGTTGTTAAGAAAAATTTTAATATTAAATTAATGACCAATTTTTTAAATGATTTATTGTTTTTAGACTTTTAAAAATTAGGATTTTTTGGATATTTCTCAGAAGCATCCTGAATGGTATTCATTGATTAAGTAGAAACATTAAAAAGTACACTCTTAAACATATTAAATAAAATATAGATTGAAATTACAATTACTTAAGCTGAATTATTTGTTTGAATATTTGATTATCCTATTTTTAAATTTGTTCATTTGATTTAATCTTTGACTATATCTATCCTAAAAACAAGTCGGCTAAATCCAAAAAGAATTGTTATATTATTGATATTAGAATGAAAGGAAGGTTGATGTTTCTCTAATTCTATAAAATCACTTAATTAAAAATGTTTATTTATCTTAATCAAATGACTCTAACATTAAATCTATAAACTTTTTGTCTAAATTCAAATTGTGAGCTAAAGGTATGCATTGATTCCATTTATGGGTTTGACTTGTCAATTCCATCAATAATTCAGGCCCCTCACAATTTAATTCACAATTTTATAAATAGGAGAGAATTAACTTATAAATAAATATCCATCTACTTAAAATCATTGGTTTCATAACTAAATTCTAATTGGATAACATTCTTACATAAGATCTTATTGGTATTACCATGGCTAACATTGACAAAAACCAAGGTATGCAAAAATTTTCAAATTAAACATTGTTTTTCAGAAACAAGTCATAGAGTTTTCTTTGTTGGCTCATACATAACAATTACACTATTTATATGTGCTTTGATAACCCAGGAAGGTCTATCTTATGATTATAGACTACTCTCCAAATAAATGTCTCTCAACTATAATCGCTCATATAATGTCACATAATTCCAGAAGGCTACGCATTCTTCGCTATGATATAGTAGAGCGCCTGCCAAGAAATTCATTCCCTGCACATATCCAACACCCATGTCATAAATTGCAATAGTATAGAGTAATCGTTGCAAGGCCTCCTTTCCTTGCTTTTATTAAAAGAATGGTTCATTTGGAAATGTTCTCATCAAATCCCTTTCTATTTACTTACGTTGTTTAGTTATCCATTACTATTAATCGGCAATCTCTATTTTACATAATTATTAGTAATCATTTCGCATGTTATCTAATTTTTTGATGTCATAATGAATCTTCAGCCATTCCAAGGATTGAGAACAGTTTTCAAAGTCCTTCTTGAGATTCTCATCGCATTTGCATTATGTTCGATTCATTATTATAATTCAAATTAAATAGTTATTATTCATGTGTTATTTTCATTCTTAGGTTTATTGCTTTTCGGCGGAGGTATTGGGAAAAATTGTCTACTTATAACTGAATATCGAGAATATAATGGCTCCTCGTTTATCATAAGGTCTGTGATTAATTTTAACGGAGTGATAGGCAGATCTTTAAGCTGGGCATTAACTTTAGTCTTTGATCGAGTAATGAATTTTGGGTACTGGTGTAGAAATGAATTATATACATCCTTTGGAGTCAATAAATACTTCTTCTTTTCATTGTTTTCTATCTAATTTAACTCCTCAGTTCTAAAATGAATGGCATTCCCCTCTAAAATAATGAAGAATAGCTTATTTCTTACATAAATCATTGAAAACCATATAAATCTACACACCACACAAAGAAGCCAACTCGTATGCTTTCTTCAGTAATCCTATCTTTCTTTTGTGAAATGTAATCTATTCTACGTTTAAGAACTTACATTTCTTTATTGTCTGTCTTCAATTTTAGCTATTGGAATTTTCTTTCTGCCCATTATAATTATAAATAAATATATTATTAAACCAGTATTAATCCAATATTATTTCCGACACATGGGATTAAAAAAAAGTCTTTTAGTCTAAAACATTGACATATTTATTAAAGGTGAAAGGCAATTCCAAATGATAATGATTAATTAATAACTTATATATATATATATATTTACTAATGAAAATATTATACAATATTTCAATTTAGATAAAATTATTTAACCTATTTACTTGATTTCACTAATTTTGATAACACTTTTGTGGCAACTAATATCAAAACTGTTGTTGCTATAAGGGCATTGTAGTTGAAATTATCCAACAACATATCATAAGTCTAAAATTACAATTATATCATACTTTGTCTGGAGCTATTCTTGTAAAGAAAATATCAGAGCCATATACCAATAATAATGCTGACGATTCTAAATTTGTGGATTCGATTGAAAACTTCTCAATATCGAACTAAAATTAATAGTTAAAATACTGTTTAATGATATGAAAGCATGTTTTAGAAGTTTATGGGTAATTAATATTAATATGGAGGAAGCTCTGCTGATTACAATGAATATTCTAATATTGGTTGATCTGCCTTTTCCCTTCTTCTAGTAGAAACTAAATTTCTATCTAAAGAATGCAATTATCCAGAAGTTGTTATGATCAATAAATTTTTCTTTGTCAATGATTTTTGAGTTCTGGACATTCCAAGATATTTGATTCCAAAAGGATATCCATAAACTTATTATAAGAAGAATGCTTCAAAGTCAGCCTTATAGTAGTTTGTTATGATTGGTGTTTTGGTAAAGTAATAGTTTTCCAACATTTTGATAAATGAAACCTCAATTTTTGCATGATAGATCTCGACAGTCCAAATTTCAAACATCATTTATGCTTTGTTATAATAAGTAACAAAAACTTGGTGTTCATCAAATACTAAATTGATTGGTTAATTAAAATCAGCCTCACTCTAGACACTTTAATATATTATCTTGCCTGTCTTAGCATTGATAATAAATAATTTAAGTTTATCCCCATCTGAAGTTAATATTGCAAAATTAGAGTGATCAATCAATTTATATATGACTTTTCTATCATCCCAAATAGCAACTCTTGGGTTTTCTTCTCCCACATGATAAGAGGATCTGATTATTAAAATTTCATCTTTCATATTAATTGTCCATAGGTTCACTAATTCATTTTTGAATAGTCTATATCCTCTTAAGACACCATTGTCATTTCTATATAAGATAATCTCCTTTGTATTAATGGAATCATTTTTTGGATATGTGAATATATTGTTTTCTTCATCTATAAGAATAACAATGTTGTGATGTTATCCAGGTCCGCCTTCAACTCTGTAGGGAAGTGTCCATACTATGTTCTTTGAGGACTGTGAGGCCACTTATTAGATTATTCCATGTTGTAAGTCTAATATAAATGTATTTAATCTTGATTTCTCTTTTGAATAGTAAAATAACACATGGGTTGGTTGTGCATCATTGTTATCAAAATGAGTGATTAAATTGGAACTAAATTATCACAGAATATATTACTCTATTTAATGGTGTGCAACCAATCTAAAGCTCTTATCTTAGTTATTAATTTGTAATTTAATTAACAAAGATAATTCTTAAGTATCATAGCATAATAAGGTTCCATAGGTAGTCAAGAAGTATACCTTCTACTTCAATCCATATGTTTATTCCATTTCTCTTGTTTATACTTTTTCCTTGCCCAAATTATCAATAAAGTGGGTTACAACTTCTTATAGATCTTTTACTTCATTCAAAACTCTTGAAATAAAATTTTATATTAAATATAAAGGATTGTTCGTTCCATGTTTCTCAAGTGATTCATAATATGAGTTTTTATGTGTCTATTCTTAATTCTCATACTTTTCATAAAAAACTGTGTCAATACTAATTAATGATTATTCAGTAGTCCATCTTACTCCTTTATTATCAACTAAAACTGTTTGTAAATCCTAATACTAAATTAAGAACTATCTTTTATTTTAATCAATCAAAAAAGCATTCAGTATAAGTTAATTTGTTTATAATTCAATTACTTCTGAATGAGTTTATTTTGTATCTCTGTCGTAAGAAACAATCTTCAATTCATTATTTATCTATTTTAAGATATAGTAATATTTTTGATTCTCAAGATTCTATATAACAAATTCATCTTAACTTAATTCATATTCAACTTGTCCATCTAAATTCACTATTTGTTTCTTTGATTTCTCAGTAATTACCAAAGTTTATGAATATCCAACGAATTTATCTACTTTCTTTATAATTTCAAAGTTTAAAAGCTTTGCTGATTTTTCTTTTAGTTGATATGCAAATTTAGCATCTTAATAGATGAGGGTGTTGCCAAATTCATGAATTTTACCATCATTCAAACTTTCTACACAGTAATTTAGTGTTATTGATTCTCTAATTTGATAGATGCAAATTTCATTTTATTTTTGTAAAACAACCACTGGAACATCAAAAATATATCCTGCATGTATTATTTAATGATCAACCCTAAAATCATCTCATAGATAAATACTTCTCAGTGAATTTGTTGTTAAATGTAGAGAAGATAGTTTTTCCATAAATAATTATAAATTCTCCGTTTAATCCTATTAAACAATGGTCAATATTGTCGCTAATCTCCTCTTCGGCTAACACTGAATATCCTTCATTAAATAATTGTATTATCTATTAGTTTGGCTCATAAGTGACATAATTATAAGAATCACACATAGTATAAGTGTTTCTCGAATTGACTTGGCCTAAATTTATGAGAATTCAGAAAACCTGTAGATTTATCAATAATTCCATTTTGATTGTTCGTGTTTTAGTAAAATATTGTTTAATCTTAGACTTGAATGTATTTTAACTCACCAAAGAGTCGCTTATTCCAATCGTGTACTCCTGCTTGATATTAGTGTAAAGCAAGAACATTATTAAAAATAATTCCAGCCACACTCACAATTAATAATAACATTTATTTAATTTAATGTATATTTATGCAAAAAATTAAAATTTTATCTAACAGTAATACAGACACTCGAAATATCATTTTAACTCAACAAGTTGATGTGGTTGATTATTTTTGAAAGTTTTCTCTATTGACTTAGATTCAAATATTTTTTATTAGGAAGATACTTTATTTTCAATTTAATTTTGTTCAGGGTTATTCTATAAAATATCATAATTGTTTTTGATAATATTGTTTTGCATTTTATTCTTTTTAAATATGTCTAGTACTTATTTGAATTTTTTCTTATCCTTTTCTTATTAGCCAACTTTTGTGATTTGCTTTCCCTTTTCAATTGTTTTGTAATTCATATGATTTTATTCTTATTATACTTAAATTTTATTTTAATTAGAAGTGCTTCTGTATTTTATCATCTGTTTCTTTGTTAGCTCTTTATATAATTAACTTAACTTTTATCCTTTGGCTTGTCCAAGTTTACCCTCTTCAATCTTCTTTGATAATAAACATAAATACTTTTTACATATGTGTTCTTAATGAGTCTTTTTGCTTTTATTCTTTTGTTGAAGAATAGCGCTTCTTAGCATCACAATAATTTTACAGTTGTTGTTAAATTTAAAGATACTCCCTTTGTGTATATTGTTTCGCAGATTCAGAATATTATGATATAGCTTATGAGAGTTTTGGATTGGCCAGATGGTTAATCTTACAACAATTATGCTGTATATTTTATTTTCTCTATTCACTTTAATGATGTCTTATCTGATGTTAAATGCATCTAGATTGGGATTTTGCAATAGAATATTATTCTAAATAAGAAAATAGGAGTACTTATGGCTTAATTTGATTCACTCGTTTTATTAGTATAATTGACATAATAGTGTTCCCCCTTAACTTGAGGTGTTCTTGGTTTTTTAATCCTTGTAGAATTTCTTTTGCTGCAACCAAAACAGAAACATGAGCAACATTCAATCTTTTAGTTTGGCTTTTGAGATTTTTGGTCCCTATTATGCTAATTTGAAGTGTTTGATCTAGATGTATGATATTTAATTTATTTGTTTTTTTCTTTCTTTTAAGTATTGTGTAATTATTTTTGATGTAAGGGATTATGAGCATTAGAGTATTTCATCCGTTTTTAATTCAAGATTTCACTAACTGATATTCACTTTTATACTACATGGAATTATTTCTTCTAACTAAGGCCGAGATATTATATCAGCTACTATTTATTTTTCTTGGATTTTGTTGGAAAAATATTGGTTGATTTTCTACTCTAGTCCTACGATCGTTTTTGGGCTCTTACGACCTTCAATTTTGTAATTAGATTGCATAATAATTTAATTAATAATTTTAATATTCAAGAATCTTCTTCTTGTTTTAGTTTCTTCTTTTTCTCTTCTAACTTCGCCAACAAATGCCTAATCTCTTCCTCTGAGTACTCTTTTACCTATTTGTGAAGTTTCTATTTAAAAAGCACACAAATAATTAAATACTTTGTAATTCAATTATTGACTGCAACTATGACAACACTTCACTTTGACTAGAGTATTCTTTACTTCTTAATTTTCTTTATATTGAAAATTCAATTCCCAGGTACTTAATTCCTTGTCTTTTGTGCATACTTTGTTCCCACAAATTGTTTCTCCCTTGCCATTCATTACTTCTGGTTCAGTCCTCCATCTCATCCCAATCCTAGCAATTATTATATTTACATACTTTCCAGTTTTATACTGTGATAAATCAATGATAGCGTATTCCTTATAGAGTTTATCATAATATTTTCTTGCAATCATCCTGCCATAGTCATCGTTTGTACTTAACTTTGGATCAATATCTTCTTCGTCATCTCTAACAAATTGATGGTATTATTTTAGAACTTCCATGTCTGATTTAGGTAATGGCTTTTAAGGTTTTTAATCTTTATTCATACTTTAAATATTATATTTTATTTAATAAATGTTATATATATTTTAATGATTTTTGAATTAAAATACATAATTATTAAGATATTAAAAGTTTAAATTAGAATAACTAAATCTTGGTAATAAAAGAATAAATTAGGAGAAAGAGGAGGGATATTGAATAGAATATGATTAGTTGATATTTATATAATATAATTGTAAATAATATTATACTTAAAAATATAACATAATTAATAATAAGAGTTTAATCAAAAAACATCTTCATATAGAAGAAGCATTTAGGTTTAATGTTCTTATTCATAATGATCTATTTTATTTAAGATTCGCTTTAATTTATTTTCATTGTTGCGGATCTTAGATCTAATATTTATACTTATTATTACAATTTATCATTTGCTTCTTCCAAACTTAATTTAACTAATAAATCTAATCTTTCTAAATTTGATAATTAACTTTTTAATTTAGATGCTAATGTTTAATTTTTGACTTCTTTTTTTTCAAGATTATTTAAAAATTATTAAACTTTCTCACAATTCTTTCCCTCATTTTCGCCTTCTTTAAGTACCATTTTTGGTACAATCAACCCAGGCATTTAAAGAATAGTATTCCAATCAATACCATTAAAAAAGGGATGCTATTTAATTTCATCAATGTCTGAATGTCCAATCCTCTTTGTATAATCTGGTTCCATCAAACGACACATCAGATCATATGCATTTTATGAAATACTTTCCTCTTCTATGTCACTTACATTTGGCCATTCAATTCTATAATTTAATATATTGTCAAATATCTTTTCAACAGAATCGTCATTGAATGGAGGAATTCCACAAAGCATTTCGTACATTATTACTCCTAAACTCCAGTAATCCAAACTACTATTAGTTAGTGATTCTCCTTTCAATACTTCTGGAGCTATGTAATCAGGAGTTCCAACAATCCTTTTACTTTTACTGCTATGATCTTGTATACTAGTTTTGATCACTTATTATGCTTGAGGTAATTTTAAATCAAAAACAGTATTGTATTGTGGATCATTGTGATCTGCAAACTCTGGTATTGTATTACTAAAAATTAATCGAATTAATATTATACGATTCAATATCCTGTTATCTTAATTTTAATTTTAATCTATTGTTGAATCCGACTTCTGAGAGTCCGAAATCAGCCAATTTAGCATGTCCTTATTTATCCAATAAAATGTTATCTGGTTTTAAATCTCTATGCACAATCTTCTTGGATCTCAAATACTCCAAGGCTAAAACCACTTCAGCTATATAATGCCTTACGTATTCCTCATCTAAAGCCTTTAAATAAGAATTCGAATTACCGTATACATTTTTAAAATGTGCGAAAAGTCTCCTCCCACCATATATTCCTATACAAAGCACAAATATTATTCATGACTAAACGAATAGTAAGCTTTCACAACAAAGTCTCCAGAGAGTATTTCAAAGATATTTCTTTCAGCTTTCAAAGTGTCTAATTATGTTTCTAATTGCTAAATAAAATAAAGAAAAATAATACTTTTTAAGAACAATCAATAATCTTCATGGCATATAGGTCTCCAGAGGTTTTCTTTTTCACTAGGAATACCCAACCGAATGCTCCTTGTCCCAATGGTTTAACAAATTCGAAGTCCTTTAAACCTATTTCTTAAGATTATAGTGTTTTTTCTGCATTAATGCTAACTAATTCTGAATCTGAATTATATCCTCTGTCAACAGTTATCACTTCAAAATCGAATGATTGCTTTGATTTCTAAGGTTGTACAGCTACACTTTGTTTCATACTGTTTTTTGCCATAATGTTCTTAGAATTTTCAGGATGGAAAATACTTTTTTTAGGTTTTCTCATAATTCTATCGAAATCCGCTTCTATATTAATTTCATCTTGTTTCACTATGTCTATATTGTTGCTTGAAGATGAACTACTAGGACTCAAATCATTTTTATCCTTTTTAGGAGGTGAAGCTGTGATTGGCGATTCTTCTAATATCTACTCAGATTGCGTTAAGCCTAAATCGATATGTAAGGGTCTTGTTATTTCTTATTATTAAGGAGGTATGGGTAATTTTCGACTCCCTTTCATCATTATATTCATCATGATATTCCTTCCACTATTTTTCATACTATTTTATTAAGAGTTTTTCATTTCTTAATTCGAATTTTAATTAGAATTAGGTGTTGAATTTTTAGCTTAATTTGATTTATTTTCTTAATCAGAATCGCATTGATTGATATTCTCAAATGAATTTATAATGTTTTGATCTTTGTCTTTTTGAATTTCTTCAATTGAATCAACCTATCTCCCTAGACCAATGGAAGGAACTCTTTATTATTTTTTAAGTGGAAACTCTTAATCAGAATCGCATTAAGGCAGATCGGCAAATGAGCAGATCTTTTAATTATTTGGAGACTCGTCTTATTCTGATGAAGCCATACGGCCTAATGGAGTTTAAACTGGGGATTCAATAACTGAGTCTACTGCAGTTGGAGATTGAGCCTTTCTAAATAAGGATGGCTTATTTGATGTTGGACTCATTAACGCATCAGAGGAGTTGGAAAGATTGCCAATTCGATCTAAGATCTTGGATCCTGGATTGGATTGGAATTACATTGGTTCATCTAAATTTCCCTTGTTTACTTAGGTTCTCTTCATTTAATTACTGCCTAATCCTTAGGATCTTGTCATGGTCATCATAGTCAAACTATCTCTCCTCTTGATTTCATTGGCACTTCCTGTATTTGTGACATTAAATTTATCTTTACTAATAATCATCAATTACAATTTACTTAATAAGTGACATGATCATCATATTGTTTTTTTTATTAGCTGTATTTACCCTAGGAGTTTGACATTCTGGATTGTCATAATCTTCTTCGTAAATGGTTTCATTTCGTTTTAATTTTTGTTAGCTTGTACCTGTTGAATTATTGAATTTCGAAAATCTAAATGAACTAGAGTTAGAATTCTTATATTTCTGTTTCAAATCTATCTCAATATTAGGTTTGATTTTCTAACTCTCTTGGATTTGTTGAGTTTCTAAGTTTTATAAGATCTTAAAGTATTCCATCCTATCATATATACAGGATCTAGCCTTATCGATGATATCTAAGATCTCCTGATTGATGTCATCGGTTTCTATGTTGCATTTGGCATCAGTCAATTCATCAAATGTGATACGATTTACTATATTTAATGATAGACTTACATTTATTGTCCTCATTATTGGCATTGCTATTAAGGACTTTTTCAGTGTAATTTACGATTATTGTCATGACAGAATTAATTAAAGCTAATTGTTTCTTTGATTTATTCTTTTCTTCTTCCTCTTATTAGATTTTCTTATCTTCCAAATGGATTGTATGAGTCCTTCTTAAGGATCTTAATGGCTTTTTCTCCTCCTCTTGCTTTTTTTGTTTTAATCGATTTTGTTTTTGTTCTTATAAACTGAGTTTACCTAATTTAATTTAGACGTCATGTTTCAATTTATATGCAAGTTAAGAGGCATCGGCTAGTTATAAATTTAATTATAATAATTTTTTGCTTTGCTCAGCTTTTTTCTCACAAGTTATACAATGGGCTGTCATAATTTCTACCTCTATTAATTACTCGCAAATTCTGCACACTATTTTACTATGCTTTTCTAAATCTAATTCTTTTAATTTACTTTGCAATAATCTATTTTAATTAATTAATGATTATTTTAATTTACGTTTTAGTTTCAACGAAGACGCGCTTACTTTTCAAGGCAGTACTTTAATCTGGTTAATGCTCATCCAACCAAAATAAGAATAATTAGGCATACACTATTCGAATGACTGAAAGTATTCTTTTCTAGATTCTATAATTTTTTGTTATTTCTTATACTTTTATAACTGATTTGCTATTTTTAAGTTTCTAGAACTTCCTTTCTTAAAGCCCTTCAAATAATCTTAATTTGTCTATTTTTTTAATGTCTCCATATTTGCTATCACATATCCTAATTAATCCTGTTTAAATGAATTGAAAGTAGTAACTAAGGTTTTATGCAACTCATCCAAATAAGCTAATGAAGGTGTGCCAAACTAATATTTTAAATTAAGAAATACTTAACCAGCAATCAATAATTCGACAATAAATATTATTTAATCTATTATGAGTTCAATATCCTTTCTGCTTAACATTACACATTTTAAACGATGAACCTATTTTACAATATAATTCAATTGTGGCTTGAATATGGTGAATTCAATTTTTGTAGGTATTACCTGCAAAGAGTGGAATTATATTTTATTCATTAATTTAAAATGTATAAATCCAAACGAACCCAATATGGAGGATCAACTGCTAGTACTTTGGATCTGCTACACACCTAGGTTTGTCTCTTCTGCCAATAATCTCAGAAATTTTGTTCTCTCATCACAAGAGCTCTATACATCAAATACTCAGCCAGCCAGAATTATTACTATCAGAAGGATATTAATATAATACTGTTGCAATAACGATCGAAACAATACACTACTTATAAAGAATGGACATATTACGATTCCAATGAATATTTAAAAAGATTCTACTCCACAAGTGATACGAGACAAAAAACCATTGTATTAACCGAATATTATAAAGTAAATACTTTCAAAACTATCCTGAATAGTTTCATCGCGATATTCCACGCCTTTTCATGTTGCCTATAGCTACTACATTATCTAAATATCATGATAAACGTCGCAGAATAGAATATATCAGAATTTCTAGGATGTTAGGAGGACATGTTGAACAACCAACAGCAACATAAAATTCTATCTAAACTGTATTAATTGAATATTCACATTAACTTAGTCATTGCAAAATCTTTTGGGTTAGTTGAATTTCACTAAACAAGAATAATCTAACACATTGATTGAAATATAAAAAAATTTAAAAGAAGCCATAAATACTTCTTAAAACACTTTAAGAGAGTTCGATTCTCGTAAATACAATTTGCCTCTATAAAGAAAGGATTCTGATTACTACAACAAATCAAAATAGGATCATAAATCTGATACTAATTCTAGATTAGAATTCAAAGAAAACTTAAATGAACTTTTCTTAAGAAAAAAACCTTTAAAAAATTCAGCCATCCAAACTTAAAGAGAGGTTTCACAACCAAAGGTTTACAGCACTGAAAAAAATTGCAAATTATAGGTTCAATAGATTCCACTCACTTAAAGGAATATCAATAATACAAAATAATCCATTTCTCCAAGACCTACAACTCAAAGATCTATTAAACCTTAAATTATGCAATTATTAAAACCTGGTCAGAATAACAGCAATAAGTTAAAGGCCACTAACATTATATTAGAATGTCTTATGAGAAAGTTAAACCTAGATCAAAAAACCCTCACTAAGCAAAAATCCAAGTCTCCTAATAATCCTTCGAATCAACAAGCGAAAAGAAAGAGAAGAGTGATGAGCACGAATTAAGAAACGTCAAAAATAGATTTGACTTAATTAAAATAAAAATAATCATAGTTATTGTAGAGTAAGCTTGATTAAAATAATATCAATAAAGGATATAAAACAGGAAGAGCCTCAGCTATGGCTTGATTAATTTAGTTATATATTTATTTAATACTATGAAAAATTAACAAATAAATATTTAGGAAAATCAATAAAATACTCCTTAAGCAAAGTATTAAAATTTGTCATACCTAATGTTATTTTATAGAAGTACCATCTCGCTCTCCAATTGTCAAGTGAATGGTTAATTAATTCTTAAACGTGGACAAAAAGTTCTGCATCAGACTTGACTCTCGGATTAAATCTTGCATAAAGTTCCTTCAAAGCTTATTCCCCTTTTTAAAAACAAGGTAATGTAGTACCATGACCTGTGTACATCATTTCTACAAGAAGCAATATTTCTTTTTAGTGTTATTAACATGCCTTGAATCCTCTAAAGATATCATAACTATTACTTATAAAACAATTTCCTAAAATTTTCTTTAAACAAAACTCCTTTGGCCCCACCCAAAACTTAGATATAGTCAGATAATAACTTAAATGGGACTTTTCCTTCAAATTCCATTCCTTTACCAGGCGCATTTGATAAGAAGAATCCAAAGTCAATATGAATCAAATGTCCTTCACTATCTAATAATATATTTCCATTATGTCTGTCTTTAACTTGTAAAAAATAACAAACTAATCCATATGCCACTAGAGATTAAACATAATTTTGCAAGGCCTGATCTATATTATTTCTAAAGAAGCTTCTAAAGAAATCTGAGAAATTAATGAACTACTGGTACTTTTTCCTCAAATTTTTTTATAAACTATCAATTGTTGTTGCATTTTTGATCATCTCTATAATTCCACAATCTGGTCCCAATGATAAGACCTCATAGCATCTCAGTTTCAGAGGGAGTCCTGATTTTTTAAATATCTAATCAAATTATGATATCAATTGTAAAGCAAACTATTCTTACTTTAGATTATCTCCTGTTTTTACAATTAGATGTGCCAATCTCCAAGATTTTAAACCTTAAAATATTGATTAAGACTTAATTCTATCCTCCTATTATTATGAGCTTTCACCAAATATATTCCTTTTTAATTCATTATATTCATCCCTGTTAAGTGTTATTCCTTTTTCAGCCTAAAGAAAACTGTTTCTATGCATTTTGCTTATAAGCAAAACATCCTTTTCTTCCTTTTCAACTTATGGGATATTTTCTTCAATGCTAAATGCCTAAACATTTTCTTATAATGAGTATGTAGTGGAATATTTTGGTATTTCATTTTAATCCTTTTGTTCAATATCACTAGTTAGAGACTCATCATTTAAACAATAAAATAAAGAAGTGCCATTTAGTTGATTCTAATCAATTGGTAATTTCGATTAATTGAATTTCAGTTACATAAATTCGTTTTAAATTGATTTTTATACATCAACAGATGAATATTTCCTTTAGATTTCATCTAATTTAAGTTCTTCTTATAGTAAATGGCTTTAAGTTCTTTCTTAAGGTTTTTTCTTAATATTAGACTAGGTTAAAATGATATACTTTACATTCGCAGTAATTGGGAATGATATTTATTCTTCAACAATCTATGAGTTGGTTTTCTCTTCTACTTCTGGTCTATATAGTTCTAGAACTAAACTAAAAGGGCTTCTCATTTTGGTAGAAAACACTCTGCTTTCTTTATAAACTATTTTTAGGACAGCATGGTTTCTAATTGAATTTCCAACAAACGGCACATAAACTGCAGCAGGCAAATTTTCATTCATTTTCTGTAAACAAGAATGCAAGAACTCAGTCTTTTTCTTTGCCTTTGATAAATCATCGCAAATTCTCATAATGTCATCCCAAAATGAAATGTTAGAGAAAAAAGCAGTATCAAAATTATTTTATCGTTTTCCAAAAATTGAACTATAATCTTGAAGGTGAATTTCTTTATAGTTTTTTAAAATAGCTGTTTCAACACTTTTTTAATTATCGTTTTTATTCCATTCTTTGGTTCCATATAAGGATATATTATCATTGACTTTAATTGATTCAATCCTAAGTCCTCCTTGATAAACTTGTTAAAGAGATGATTTTGTTGGAGAACTAGTTTCAATTGAAGTATTTAAATTATTTTTGTTAAAGTTTATCTCTTCGAAATCTATTTATAAAATGTGAGATGCTATTAATAAGTTTCCAGCATAATTCTGAGACATCTTAAGGAAAAAGTTATCTGTAAATCTTCTTACTATTGTAAATGTCACTGGTTCATTCTGAGTTATAATTTAAGACATGCTTTTCAGTTAGAAGAACACCTGATGAGCAAAAAAGAAATCAAGTGATGATGCTCTCAATACAAATTAAATTAGGTTATCATCACTTAAATGCTGATGAAAAACCATAAAGTTCACTATTTGTGGTATGAAGTATTCAAGATCTTTTCTTAATAAATTCGTTCCAAAGTTAGGATTGATACGGCATCTTTGAAGCATAGCAATAGCATTTGATTTGTTTTCAGCTACGTACAGTCTAATGATTACATCTAAAATATCATCATCTTAAATCTAACATTAGATCAATTAATATACATTCAAGTTATTATTCTTGTATTTGCTTAAAATTTTATTTGCTTTTTTAAAAGTTTTCGGGATTTCTCCCTTTACTTTCTTTGTATAACATAGGCAGCCTTTAGGAATATCGTCATTCATCTAAATTAAAAATTAAATAGTAAATAAATTAGTTTTAAAAATGATAAGTTTTAAGAAATAATATAACAGGACAGCTCCATATAATAAAGGAATAATTAATTTTAATATAATCCTAGTACTAAGTTAAGAAGTTATTGAGAATTATTCCATATTAAATTAGAAATAAAATATTAAGTTCCATAATAATTAATTTATAGCTAATTATCTTATATTCTAGAAATTATTTAGATAATGATAACAAATTAGTTGCATGAATAATTTAACTTAATACAGATTAATTTATTAAAAAAATTGACTAAATTTTTAGATTTAAGATAGTCATCATTATTATCTACTTTTCCAGCATCATGAGTTTAATTTAATTTTATTATTCTTATTATGGACAATTTTTTTTAGATTTTTCTTATCTAAAGTATTATAACTTGAATTATTATATAAATGGCGTTCTATATTTTATCAGAATATCTAAATGATAAATTAATAACCTACTTACTATTTGCCATAATTAAATAAATCCAAATAGATTATTTTTTAGCCCCATTTTGTTTTTCATACTGTCTAATAATGGAGGAGTAAATTAAGTGTTGCATTAGTATAAATCATCTCACTTAACCTTAATTCATAGAGATTTATATTAAGTCCTTTTAGGGCCTTATTTTCTACACTCCTACATCTTGTTGAATTTAAACATCAATTCTAGGTCTATATCTAAATAGTGAACATAATGATAATTTTTATTTATGGAACTTTATTTTAAGTCTATTTAAGAATAAAAAAGACAGGATAAAACTTCTTTAAATTTATGATTGAGTTCAAAATTGTTGAATTATCACTGAGTTTAGAATTTATAAATTATTTGTTTGAATGTCATTTAGAAAATAAATTGAAATATTATTTTATTTAAGCATCATTAAATAACGTAGTTTTAATTTAAACAGAACAATCAAAGCTAACACTTTCTTTACATCTCTATCAGTCTACTATCAATACGATCTTGTAAATTAACGTTATAATGAAAGGTATTTGATTTAAATTGTCATCACACTCAAACAATTTTGAAGTGATAAATAACAAATCTGTTTATTCAATAATAATTTTTTTATTTTATTAACAATTCTCTATGTAAATGAAAATTATGAAAAATTTAAGTATAGAAACTGATAAAAGCGATAAAAGTCCACAAATAATGAGAAGAAATAACGAACACTTTGTTTCGTATAGTGTAGATGACAAGTACACTTGCTAATGCAATTTATGCATATCATCGTTGAAGAAAAAGTAACGCAATACAATAATGCAGAATACCCAAACCATTAGACGAACCATAATAAGTTAAAGGGAAGTAAAACTCAAATGATAGAGACTTTATTTTTATTGTGACTCGTTTGGTTTAAGAATCCTTTGGCAGAACTTTAAACATTTAGATTTAAGACACTGTGTATTTTGAGAAAGGAGAGCCTTAATCTATTTTATAGAGTATCAAAGATGGTATAGATAGGCCATACTAATTGAGAGTTCAATAATGGAAAGGATCATTATAAAAATTAATGCAATACTTGAATAACAGAAGGAAGAAAATTGCAAATACTAATATGTAATTAGATTTGATTCAACTGAATGAAAAATAATAGTCAGCTTTGAGTATTTAATGATTATATATTAAAGGTAATGTAAACAAAGAATAAATAAATAATATTAGTGAAAAAAGTAAGGAAGCTGTTTTAGTAAAGTTTGACGATGATTCAGCATAAATAATGACTGAGTCTGAGTTTTTTTTATTAATGTCTAAAAGAAAGGGGGACAAATTCTGGCACAAAATATTTTATATTTAAAATTACATCAAATAGAGAGCATTTTTAACTCATAGAATTCACTTCAATAGAAAAAGGGATTTGAATCATAAATTATTTGATAGAAGTGCAATGGAAACCCGTATTATCAGAGGTGAAGTTATTTCAGCATCAACAGAGTATATTAGTCAGACAATTGAAGATGAATTCCTTAGGTAATTAAAAGAAAGAAGTACCTTTGAATACTTAAGATATATTACCTTTAAAATCGTTTAGTTTTTAGATGTAATTATCCTTAATAAACATAGATACTTGATGACACAATCATTAATGATGGTATTTTTGAATGGAATTAAGATGACAGAGGAGACTTTCAATTTTTCAATGCATTCTAATTGACCTATGAAAAAAGAGCCAAAGAAGAGAGATTAGCTTTACTCAAACCCCATGGCTCTAGCAATAATAATAATGGAATCGATACTGATAGTGCTGAAGAAGAAAAAGAAATTGATCCAAGAAAAATGTTTAATAGGAAATACTAATTAAGATAAATGGCTAGAAATGCCCAAAATAAATTAAAATTGAAATAATAACATTTATTATATAAAGATACTCCCAAAGTAAGTTAATGGCAAACCTATATGCAAGATGATTATCTTGCTCTATTAAAATCTGTTGGGATTGACAAAAATTAATTTAATTTGAAAGAGGACAATTAATCAGAATTGACTTTTAAATAACTCCATCCTGAAATATAGATCGACTTTTAAAAGATAATGAAAGATCAATCATTGTTCAATAAACTAAAGAGTAAAGTTTATATTAAATACATATTTTAGAATAACTATTTACTGATAATAATAAATCTAAGCCTATTTCACAATCAAAAATGTTAAACAGTTTCTTTTTAACTCCTGAAAAAAAAAAACAAAGGTCTCGAACAGTCTCTAAATAACCTAGATAGGATCTGATTTCAACCCTAAACCAATCTTCAATTAAGAAAAGCATTAGGTCAGTTGATCGAACTGTGAGTGAATTTAGATATGATATTAGTAGAAACGGGAAAAGATCAACAAAAACACTTAACAAAATACTTGGTTTGGCAAATAGTTGATATTATATAATGTTATTTATGCATGTTTTTATTTCATAATTATTTTATGTATATATAGTTATTAATGAAATTGAATTTTCATAACCATAATTTATGACATTCCATTCTCATTTAGGAATAAAACTAAATGCCTAAAAGTTTAATAAGAAACATTTAACATTAGATGTAAGATCCGTAACAATGAGAAAAAGTTAAAATGAATCTTACATAGAATAGATCATTTATGAATGACAAAATACACTTAATTCTTCTTCTATACAACGATGTTCTTGATTAAACTCTTATTATTAATTATGTTATATTTTAAATATAATATTATTTATAATTATATAATATTAATATCAACTAATCAAATTCATCCCACATTCCCTTTCAATTAATCAAAGAATAAATCAAATTATTAATAATATAATATTTAAAAGTTAATTATATTGATTACATTCAAGACAATAGTTTGCTTTTTATTCGAGCAAATGTTGATAATTATTAATATTATTTTTTTTATTCTATTATTTATTTTTATTTTTCTAAATCCTAAACCATTTCCTACCCGGCTTGGTTGTTTAACAAAATTTCTTGAATTTATCTTTCTTTATTGTTATTTTCTTCATATATTCTTTCTTTTTAATCTTATAAATCTTTGCACCTTTCTTAATATTGATTAGTGCTGAGTATTTCAATTTTTTTACTTAAATCTTTATTTTCCTAAATTAGTCTTTATTATTTTATTTTTTATTATTCAATTTTCTCTGAAAATATTTATTTTATTTGTTAAGCCTTTGTTTTAATCTCTTATTCATTCTTATTTAAACTGAATTCTTGCATTTCCTATCTTAAAGTTTATTCTTCATATTCAATCATGTCTTCACATAAAAATGATTTAGTTGTCTTTTCCTTATACCTCCTCATTAATTGAAATTTAGATTTCTCTAGAAAATCTTTTAAACTTTCTAATATCTGTGTTCTCCCCTCATTTTGCCTGACCAATATTTAATTACAAAATTATTCAATTTTTGTTTCTAAGTGCATGACTTCTTAAGCTTACTTGAGTTTTTCTACTCTCTCCTTGATACTGGCAACTTAATCTTCTAGTTGTTAGTAACCTTTTTTCAGTTCAGAAATATAGTTTGATTAGTTTTAGTACTTTTCTTGAATAGAATTGAAATTCTCTAAATCTCTGGTTTGATTTTAAATATGACTTTCTTGGTTTTCCTTGTAACATACTAATTAGTTTTTTTCTTTTTCTAAGATAGGCAAGGTAGATAGTTATATTTCTTAGTAATGTTCTTATCTATCTTTTAATCCATAATTAAGTTCATTAACTTGTGGATTTCTATTTGATGTTGAAGTCCATAAACTATCAAAATATGTACTTATTTTTTTTTTTAAATGTTGATTTTCTTATTATATATTATTCAAATCTGATTTTATATTTAGTTCTGTTGCTTCTAATAGATTAATAATGTTTTTAAATTAGCCATTTTTTTAGTCTTTAGCTATTTGAGTTTGTTTTCTTTGCGCATCTTACTTTTATAGAATAAATACAATTTTTACATAAGGATTAATGTTCGATTTAGTTTATGAAAATGAAATTGAGCTCATTAGTTCGTTATATTGTTCTTCTTTTTAAGATGAGGTTTATAGCTTAGATTTATATTTTTCATAACGAATTGCCAAATCAAATAAGTTTGATGAATTATTAATCTCTTTCAATATAGATAGCAAAATAGGTAATTTCTAATTTCTCGATTTTCTCTAATCACTTCTATATTCCTAAATCTTCACAATCTCCAATTCCTCTAAATCATACGCAGTTTTTTCCCACATTATTTCTTCATCCATTTATCTAATGCTCTTATTTTATTATTAATAAAATGCAATTAAAGCACTTAAATTGACTGAATTAAAATTCTACAGAAATATAAACCATATATATATAATTAAAGCAAGGAATTGTCTATATATTAGATATTCTTAATAATGATAAATTAAACTCTTGTATATCAATTTTCTCATATCGAATCAACTTGAGTGTATTTTGAATTTGGTTTAGTGATCTATGTAATACCATACCCAATGGTGTATCCAACCCCTACTGCAATATTGACCCATCCATTCATCGTCATTAACAACATCATTGTAATCATACTTGACAGAGTTAGAAAGAATTAATATATAGAAAATCCTATTCTTCTTGACCTAAAAGGATAATGAAATGCTTGTACATAAATTGTTTCATAAAGATTTATACTTTTTCACCTTGAAGCATATACATGATATGAATAATTGAATATAGGCAAGATAAGAAGCAACCACAAAATAACAAAAATGGTTAATCATCATAAATTCTCCAGCTTTGAAGAAATGATAACATTTTTACCTTTCAAAAATGAATTCGCATTTTGCTGTCCAATACACATACATATCCATCATCATCTTTCGTAATTTACTTATATTATTAATAACTTTTTTATATAATATCATTCTAACTCAGTCACAATAAGGAATTATTAATTCCTATTCTGATATCTTGTATACACATGATCAATCAAATTCGAACTACTAGCAATTCGTTTAAGTTCCCCATCATCATCTTCTCCAATTAATTCAACTTTTGAAGCCTCATAATGTTTCAGTCCTAAACTTGGAGTGATTACATATTTTGAGTTTTTTTTCAATTATCTTCGAATTTACTCAAGTTAAATGAATTGCTATTCCATAGCTATTGAATTAGATGAGCACACACTGACTACTACCTTATCATTTATCAATATTTAATTATCTTTTTACTCAAAATCTATGATGTCATGTAATTGATAATTTTCTGTAATTATTATTTTGTCAATAGGCGTTTGGGGAGTTAAATTAATTGTATTGCCTTTAATTTCGATTTTCTTAGTATAAGGGAAGCCCACTCTAAATGGTTGTGTTTTTTTTGGATTATAACTTGGTAATTCTCCAAAGTCTTTATGTATTGGAGAAATAAAGTTGTTAAATTATAACCAATATAACTAGGTAAGTTAAGACATACCATTAATTCTAATTCTGCTTCTTTAATTTATTAGATGAGATTTTTAGTTTATTTTTCCGATTTGTTTTACCCCTTATTTCTGCGTTTCAAATCTTTTGCTTCCTTGTCTGGTCGATATCCCCGTTCTATGATTAATTAAATTCTAAATGAACATTAGATTAATGCTAATACTCTTATAAGAAGCTTTCTTGTCTCTCCGTTTTCGCTTTCAATTCTTCGTTCATTTCGACGTATTTATTGAATTTTATGCCGAACCAATGTTGACTATCATCTACGTTCATATGATAAACTTACTTTTATTTCGAATCAATCCTTACTTCAATGAAAACTCTGTCACCATCTTTTTCACATCCAATACAATTTTCCTTTGTTCACAGAATTTTTAGACTTCTTTTATAAGCATAATTAAGAATTTAAGTTTATAAATAAATAAGAGATATTCTTAAATCACATTAATTAGAATTAATCCAAAAAAAAAGTCGTTATCTAAATTTTGTTTTGATCACTATTCATATCAATAGCTTTATACTAAGAATAAGAATTAGAAAGCTATGCTTTAAATATTATTTATTTATTTTTAATGATTTTATCTGAAAGGAATAAACCAAACATCCTGCTCCAAAGAAAATACAAACCCATTTCTTTGTCTCAAGTTTTGAAAAAACCTCTTATTGTTAAGTCTTTACCACCTATTTATGCTTCACCCTCACAAAGATCATCATTGAAAAAACCCCAAAAACCAGAAAATTGTTTATCATAAAGGCCATCCCAACCTTAGATTTTCAATAAATTTGAAGGCCTAGGAGCTATTGGACTATCGTTCAATCCCATAGAAAAAGAACCTCTTCAATAATAATACGCTTTAATGAGTAGCAAAAAACTAGCCATATAAGTCTCGAAAAAATATACTACGCACAGAAAAATAAACATACAACCATCGCAAAACTAATCACAAAAATTTTATACAGAAGCTTAATTAGACAAAGTTAACAAGTGGTCACAAACAACATTTGATGAAGACCAATTATTGGAATATTTAAATACTTGAAATAGTCATAAAGTTAAAACTGATATTTTTATGTATATGAAGATTTTGCATGATAATTGTTATACATTTTTGTAATCATAATTATAAACTATATATTTTAAATTATCCATTAATCATTCTAAGTTATAATTTGTAATTGAGTAAAACAAACACTACCTTTACAGATTCTTTAAATAACATTATAATTATTTAATAAAGAAAATCTATTCAATAAGAATCCAATTTCTTTACCAAAATCATGCTAAGTTTGCTTTGAAAATGGGGTAAATATTTAGATTAAAATACTCTCATTATTTTTAATAAGATTTTTGTTATAATATAGATTTGTTTACTTAAATTGATAATTACTAAATATAATACTAATTGAAATCATATATGTATTATTAACTTCATTTTAATGCTTTGAGTAATTAGGCAAACATGATTGCATTTGAAACAATTATTTAAAGAGCTAAATTTTTCTATTAATTTTTATTTTCTAAGATTTCTTTAATCGTTTACTTTAGATCATCCTATAAATTAAAATTATCATAGTTAATGTGATGATGATAATACCCAACTAAAGATTAGGCATATATAAAAATTTAGTTATTTGTTTTAGGATCATAAAAGGGGATGTCCTTCAAAATTTTATATCTTTTATTTAATTTCTTGGCCAACTTTGGGAAATAATCCCTAATTTGACTAAATCCAGATTCATTCCAAGAAATTTCAAAAGAACAAAAAGGCTTAAATAATAGAAGTTAATATTAAAAATCATGAATGTGAAGTTCACATTAAACCAAGCAAAACAATAAAATGCATTAGATCACCTGTTGTCTAGTCCAAACACACTCTTTAATAGGTTGTTAATCACTCTGTTATAAAGTGAGAAGAACTTATAAATCGACATCTTGAAATAGTGCTATTTTATGAAGTGCTTTTTTCAATTTCTAGAATTTAGGTGTATCTTATTAATATTAATTTGCGCATTAACATTAACCTTTAGCACACTAGATAACAGTGTTTATAGTTAGTTCATCTAAGTATTCAGTTTGTAATGCTTTCTTGATTGTAGAGACACTCACCTTAACATAATCAACATAAGTTATTTAGTTCACCCATGAATATACTTTTGTTAACATTTCCAACCTATAAATATCACTTATAAGTTTTTATAATTTCGGAAAGCTTACACGTTTCATCATCCTAAGATTGAATTGTGTTTTCATCTCTTCATAAGGATCACTGTATGTAAAATCTGTTTCATCAGAATCAGAATTTAGATCATTTAAATTAACTTTTCTCACTACTTGTGTAAGTGCATTTTCAGAGAATGTGCTTAAATATTTAAGCAAATCTTGGATTGGATGTCTGACATCAACTAAGTTTTGAAAAGAAACAACCACATCTATATATGGAGCATGTTATGCTAAATATTTGATGGTTAAATTAATGGATTCAGCCAGATTTGACTAATCTTCTTTTAATTGCATAAGTTCTTATGTAACTCTAAATACCTCTTCTTGTCTTGCTGATAATTTTTATGGCCAGATGATTGGAAGAATATCCATGGGATTTTGTTTATTCATTAAAATACGTATTATTCAAAGATAATATAAACATAAATGAGATAACTTTATATTTCACAAGAAACATCTATTTTTCGCTTTTTAGATAAGCTCTACTTGAAATCATATTACAGAAACCACACCAAACTCTGCATTTAATAAAATTCCAAAATAGCCAAAAATAATACTAATTCTACTTGAAGTTAATTAAATACTTTAGGATAAAGAAGTTGATGATATAAATATATATTGAAATTATTAAAAAAATTCAATACTTCACCCTTGTTTTTTATTCACTCTCAGTTGTTGATGTATAGTATTGGCTAACTTAATAAATTCTGTCAAGTATGTTGATGTAATGCTGGCTACATTGATATTTGCATTTTCTAATTTTGTACGCATATTCACTATTTCATGCAAAGGAATAAGACTTGAGATATCGGTGGTCGGCTCTTAATGCTCATATCTATCAGTAATTTAGGAAAAATGAGTTGGACTTATAAAGCTTTGTTTCTAAGGTGAAACTATTCCACTAAATTAGGTTATTGAATATTAATGACCCTTGGCTGGAAATTATAAGTTATTTTATTAAGGGGGAGGTGATAATGAGGATATTGATTATATTCTAGGTGTAACTTATTTGATATTTACTTTTAATGTAATCCATTGATTTTACTTGGAGAAGAATTTTGATTACTTTTACCTGATTTAAATAAAAAAGAATCGTTTTATTTTCCTTTTTTGTTACTGTATTCCTGCAATTTATTTACTAAATTGTTTAACGAAGGAGTACTGTTTATTCAACTTATAAATACTTGGTCTTATCTTTTTTAATTGGAGTTTTCCTTTGACTTTCAATACCATTAATGGAGGAATCAAATCTTGTTTCTACGGGAGATTTCGAGTATTTTTCTGCCAATCTTTCTCTATATAACTTAAGGTTAAAATTTAACGATTCGCTCATTAAGTATAATTAATAAATGATAATTTAATAATCACTCTTGTTCATCTACAATTAATTATTCCATTTCAGAATCAACAAACACTTCGCTTATGATGGATTCTGTCTTGTCCTTTAATGATAGTCTTGGGAAATTTTATATTAAATCAATTTGGGAATGTGGATCATTAAAACAATCGTCTTCTTGACTTTCTACAAAATCAAATAAGACCTATCTATATAAATCACATATACTTAGATTTTATCATTAAAATTAAACCTTCTGGTTCTTGTTGCATTTATAAATCGGAACAGAATCGAAATGCCTTCTGAATTCTAAGGTTCTTCAGGTAGATTAGATAATAATTAAGCTTTTTTCAATAATCTTTACTCCTAAACAAATAGATAATTTTATAATACTTCTTTCTACTATTACTCAAATTATTTGGCTTATTCTTACAATCTTAATTCTTCGTCCTTTCTTTTTTTCTCTATAGCTTATTATTCAGCAAAACGATATGCTTCTTTTTATTATTAAATTAATAAATCTCTTTCCCTTTAATCTTCCTTCTATCTCTAAACTTGAGATTGCTATTACTACTAAACTTAGTGGAAACTTTGTTAATAATAGTGACTTTGATATAGGTTGGGTTAATTAGGAGAATTGACTTCCTTTTTGATATTTTCTATATAAATATATTCCTTATTGAAGGTAGCCTTTAATGTCTTTATTTTTTATGCTACTTCTTCAAAATTGGTATCTATCGATAAAGAAAATTGTTCCATTAACACAATTTCATCTACTATATCTAATTTATAAATTAAAATTGCAGGGGGATCTGGTTTATTTGGTAATTGCTCATAAACCTATGGACTATTCAAGAATCCAACTATATTGTAATTTTTATTTAGAATTGAGCTAAAGGGCTTGCAACTAGACATTTTCTACAATATCGATAAACTTTAATGATTATGTAAATAAACTAATAATGGCCTAGTTTCTTCATTCGCTTTCTACATTTTGTCCTTGAAATTTCCAGATTGAAATGCAATCTCTGTTTGAATCTAGTATTTTTTGAGGTATTGCAAGAATTCATTACCGTAATTAGGTGCATTATTAACTAAGTAAAATCATGAACATTACAAAAATAAGAGAATAAATTCGCACCTAATTGGAGAGTTTTTTTCATTATGCCTTCATCTTTTGCTCTCTTTTCTTCTGAATATTTCCGATATTTTTCTATTAATGCGACATCTTGAGGTTATCTGGAATTACCTTAATTAGATCTTTAAACATTTCCTTTATCTATAAGCAATAGATTATACCCTTTGGAGTTTCTTAAATGGTTGACCTCTATTATTATTAATCTTATTATATCTTCTATTAGGCGCTTTGACCTTGACCTCCCTCAAAATCCATATAGAGTTGAATTGCATTCTAAATAAAGTTTCTCAATACATCAAGCTTATTTTCAGCCATTTAAATGTAAGACTATGCTTTCTCATAATCCTAACACCCGGTAACGGCCATAAAATTCAATATGTCCTCTTCTGAACTAGGCGGCTGCATTTTTTTTTATTATTTTATTATTATAATCAAGAATTTAAGAAAATGGAATAAAGTCTATAAATTCTAAATATTGTGTTTTAATTGAATTTGCAATTGATAAAATTTAAATCAATTTCCATTCTTTTTACATAGTCCCATTTATTCGTAAATAAAATGTTGTATTTTTTTAATTAAAATGAATAAAACATACCCTTCCACAGAAGTGTGGACTCAGATGAATGATCAATTATAAAAGAGCATTTAAAACAATATCATTAAAGAATAGGAGTTAAAAAATCTAAATTTTGCATTTGAGGATTTAGCACTACTCTAACATTAATTAAACAATGCAATCAATTTATGGAAGTCCTCCTCAATCTCATAAAACGATTAATATTTGCTCTAATAATAAATTCCTTTGCTTCTACTAGCTCTTAACCAAAACTTATCTACTTTAACCACTATGCTAATTTTGGGTACAGTTTCTTGATAACTTAATGTAGATTTATTTAACTTAATGGCTTTTAAAAATGAAGAGAGTTTTGCAAAGCCCTTGATCCAAAATTTGGGGGTTCCCTATTTACTTGATAGATTACAAGATGAAAACATGGAAATTTGTTAAAAGTCATTTTCACTCTTAGGATTAGTATCTAAAAAGTATTTGAATGATATAGGTGCTTTGCCTATTTTAATTAATTTGTCCAAAAGAATCAAGATCGATTCTCATGACTATTTTAATCTAATATTAGAAATAGGTAGACATGCTCAAAGTAAAGAAGTATTCTATTGAGTTATATGGATTAGCATTTGCAACTAATTTGCAAATATATTCTTTAAACTGATTCATGCGAACCTTTATTTTATTTAAAGAAACTGATATATTTTATAAATAAATCACCAGAAGAGTAGTATGTATCAAATATTCTTTTAGAAGGTTAAATTTTAAGTATTTTAAGAAAAATTTTCAAAATTGTATCTACAAACAGTGAATTAACGTAATGTTATATTATTTCTTTGCTTTCTTTTTTAAAATAGTACTCACCATAATCCAAAGAGCTTACTTCAAATAGTATTTTGTAATTTTTTAACATTAATGTTGATAAACACAATTATAGTTTAACAGACTTATATACATAAAGCCTTTACGGATTAATACATCAAGATTCTGATCTAATTAAGGAAGTTATCAAAAATCAATAAATCATAAATAATCTTTTTGCCTTTTATGATTAGAAGGCAATCGCCAATTTTGCTTAAATTTTTAATAGAGTCATAGAATTTGATTTGGACTATGAAATTAAATATTTAATCAAAAAAGGAATGTTGTTTAAATATTATACTCAATTAAATAGAAATGATTCTAGTTTACACTCTAGTTTAGAAGGAATACATCAACTTTTAAGAAAAGGTAAATGAGATTTTTTAAATATTAGGCTATATAAAAGACAATTTGAATCAATTACAAAAAAAAGTAAGAAATAGTTTGGTTTCAAAAGCTGAAGATAAAACTTTGTAACTTGAAATAGTTAGACTTATTTAATAATAAAAGCAATGATATTATTTACTTATTCTAATTGTTTTATAATATTACCAGAAAATCTCATACTTACTTTTAAAATTGATAGGTTTATAAAGATATCTATCATAATAAAAGAATCAGGGGAATCCATTTGTTCAATAATTAAAATAAAAGTGTTAATGTACCAAATGTAAATAAACTCATAGATCTCTTGTTGCCAGATATCTTTTTTCTAGATCAAAGTAACTTTGCAGTTCTTTCTTTCCATATTTTAATACTTTTGGAATTTTATTTGTTTTTTCATCGATGGGAGGAAATCGCTATGCCTCCTCTCCATCTTCAAACAGAATCACAGTAGGTAGTTATCTAGACATAGCACTTGTATTGATCCTATAACATTCAGCCAATCTTGGTATTTTAGCTAAGTTAATTGAAATAAATTTCAATCCATTTGTTGTATATTTACACGAAAAATTAGCCCAAATTTCCTTAGTCTTGAAATGAATAGAAATAAAGTAATACATAGTTACAAGTATCTGCCCAATCAACATAAAACTCAGCAAACACCATTTCAGTCATTTTATAGTTTTATGTTTTCTTGTTTTTTTCTTTACCTTTTTATTTTTTAGTAAATCTCTCATTCAATTCCTCAATAATATCTCCATCTTCATTATCTCTAAATTTGACTCCAACCAGTTCTTCAAACTCCTTGATCTCTTCAATGTCTTGGATTTTCGTTTTGCCATCAAATTTAGGCTCACTACATAAAACAAATATGGCCAAACAAGCCCCTCCATATAATAAACTAATTTTAGCATCCACAAACAAATAACTTGTTATTAATGCAATTTTGATTGTAAAAAAAAGTGAGCTCAAATATTATATAGTAGAATAACTTCTTAAGTATTTTATCACAGCAAATGCCATGATTGTATAAAATATTGAGTTTTCTCTGGTGGTACCTAATTCATCTGGCACATCCAAAATAAAGAAGTTGAACAGTCTGAAAATCCTGGAAACTGGATATATGCTAATTAAGAGAAAGTTTAGAATATAATAAAGAGATATCATAAAATAAATTTAATATAACAAATTATTTCTTCTTTATTTATTATCCAATGTATATTTTATTATATATTTTTAATCATCTTTAGTGTTTAATCATATTGAATTTATAAACTGTGCAATTATTTGGATTGCAATCCAAAACATCTAATCAATAATTTTTATTTTAGCGAAATATTGTTCTAACCAAAAGCCATGTATTCAAACAGATCATAATAATAAAGGAGAGAGGATTCTATTATTCTCGGCCCAGTAAGTCCCACTGACTCACAAACTTAAGAATCTCAATACAAATATCTCCCTTTGGTGACAAAAGCTATATAAGACTAACTAGACCCTAAATGGCAGGAATGCAAAATAAAAGGCAAGAACCTTAGTCCTCGATCGAACTGTGCAATTACTATTCATCAAAACGAGTAATTGTTTGTACTTACTTAGCTTATACTTATACGGAGGATATTAGAGTGCTGAAGGAATTTTGAAGGACTTTTACAAACTGAATTTGAGAGCTGAATACTTCTATTGGCAAAATATCAAATGTGAATATGAGCCAGGTCCTCGTTGTTGCCATACACTTTGTGCTTTCAAGGATAGTCTCTATTTATTTGGTGGACAAATAGCTGATTCTATTACTACAAATGAAATATTTGTTCATGACGTCAATCTAAAATTTTGGAAGAAATTGAGCATAAATGATTCTTACCCATAACCATTAGATAACTATTGTGCTACTGTTTATAATGATCAGTTAATTATATTTGGAGGCTTTTACACTGCAGATACATTTAAACATTCCAATGATTTATATTCGTTTAATTTCAAATTAAATAGTTGGATTAAATTAAATAAATCCAAGGGAAGACAACCTTCTCCAAGAGACGGTAGTTCCATAGCCATTCATGATTAGATTCTCTATATGTTTGGAGGTAAGAATGGAGATTTGCGTTACAATGATTTGTGGAAATTTGATTTCTCAAAATAAGAGTGGCATTTCATTCCTGTTAACAGTTTGAGTGATATTCCAATGACTCGATCTGGACATTCATTAATAAGCTATTAAAATGAACTGGTTCTGTTTGGAGGCATTCACGACATAACATGGGAATTGGATGATTTATATAAATTTCAAATAAATCTATAAGAATGGAAAATGATTAATAAAGATACTTCTAGAAGAAAAGAATTAGAAGTTCCCTCTCCCACCAAATCTAATCGAAACAGCTTCAATAAAAGGAGATCCATCAAGTTGCCATCCTTTGTAAGACCCTTAAGTTTAAGGAAATCTCCCTGTTCATCACCTAAGAAAGTCAGATCCTCTTCTCAATCTCAGAATTCATGCTTTTATAACAATTAGAATGGCTTACAGCGCTGCGATTATAAGAACAATAATTCATCTATTAATACAACTATAAATTATGTTTAGGAAAGAAAACAATTATAAAAATTTAAAAAGAAAGAAGCTATGTTAAAACTCTTTGATGTTGAAATCAATAAAAGAGCAATATTCTAAGATGATTGTAATGTCACTGAAAAATTAAAAACCTCAATTATTTTAATAGGAAATCCAAAACAGGATCTAAAATTGGCAAAAGGTGCATTAACCGAATTTGGATAATAGATTGTATCAAAGTACTATTCAATGACTCATACATAGATTTCTTCTCCCTTTAAGTAATGGCTAAAATACTATACATGGGAAAAAACCATGCGCTCGAGATGGACATGCAGTTGCAATATTCGATAATTAAATGGTTCTCTTTGGAGGTGATAGACATACTATGTCTTTTAATGATCTCTATCTTTTAAATTTAAAATAATTCTGATGTCTTAATGATGTATTTAAAATATAATATTATATTATTAAAAAAATTAAATTAATTTATAATAAAAACACAAAATTTTAGAATAAATATTTTCTTTAAATTAAACTTGAAATAATGAAGTTTCATCATTTAACGCCTAATAACTTGAAACCTCCCTCTGTAAATAATGGCTATTTATTTCATTTTTAAGTTTAACCTATATGGAAAATAGGGCCTTATTTGTTAATAAATCCGTCTAATGAATTCATAGTTTAGTTTTTATCATAATATTTAGTATTAAACTAGAAATAAACATAGGTTCACCTATAACTTAAAATAATCAAATCTTTATTATAAAAATGACTCTCTCTTTATTGGTTTGCTTTTTAGCTTAAGTCACAATTTTACAAGCAACGTCCTTTTTATGTGAATGTGTTCATATAATTCAAAAGGAAGCTTGCGACAATTCTGCCAAATGCTTTTGGAATTAAAGTGAAGAAAAGTGTTTATAAGCCCCTGATTATTCAACTCAGAATCTAATCACGTCACACTGTGCTCAATTTGCAGAGGAAGATTGCATATAAGAGAACAGTTGTGCATTTTATTTGGGAAAATGTATAGAATTTTTGAGTTGTGAAAATTTTATGCAAGAAAAATGTGATTAATCTTCATTGTAGTGTATTTCTGATGGCAATAAATGTATGTAAAAGGGATTATGTTCCGATTATTTAACTTAGATAGCTTGTTTAAAGCTTAATTCAATGGGGAAATATTGTAAATGGGTGAGACGGGATGATTAGTATTTTTGTGAAGATGTATAGGAATGTAATGAACTTCCTATTCACTTAAATGTGGATAGGGATTGTAGAAAATAGATGGAGAAATGTACAATTTCATTAAAAGGGGGTTGTGAGATTTCAAAATAATTCTGCAATTAATATACGTAAAAAGAATAATGCTATTTTAATTTGTATTAGACTGAGTGTTTTTGGGATGGCAATTTGAATAAATGCATAGAGAATATTTGTATAAACAGATAATCTTCAATTTTTGAGGAATGCTAAAAGATTGATCCTGATTGCACAACAGATGGATATAGATGTATTAAGAAATTAGAATGCTAATAATATGACAATTCATATTCTTGTGTTGAGGATTCAAAAGGAAATAAATGTATATTTTATAAGGGAAAATGCTTATAAAAGAATTGTCAAAGTGCTCCGAGTTTCATTAACACCATGATTGAATGTTCGACATTTCAAAGTAATGATGTCATTTGTGTTCCCAAATTGAAGGGAGGATGTTAAGAAACTCCTTAGTAATGTGATTAATTAGAAACAGAAGATTCGTGTAATTCTATTAAGGAATTGGAAGGCAAATAGTGTTTTTGGTAAATTTAATAAAATGTTTGTAAAATTAAATAATGTACTGATGCCCCTTTGCAATACAGTCATATAGATTGCATAGGTTGGCTAGATGATTATGCATGTATAGGAGGGTTAAGGAATGGTTGTATTGAGAATGTTGACGATTGTTCAAAGATCTAAAATCTTAAGAGTTGTGTAAAAGACAAACTGAATAGAAAATGCATGATTGAGAATGGAAAATGTATGGAAGAAATTTGCTAGAATTTATAGTTTCCATTTTATTAGACAATATTCGATTGTGAGAATAAATTATCAATTTGTACTTTTAGTATTTACAATAAAACATGTATTAATAAGGAATGTCCTCATTTAGAGGAAACACAATGCAACTTTGATTCTACTTTTAATAAATGTATCTAATTAACTGGGTGTATGCATAAGAAATGTGAATCTGCTTCTGTTTATTTTGTAACTCATGAAGAATGTGAAAATTGGGATGTTAGATGCACAATAAATGCGGGGAAAATAAATGGAGTTCCATATCGAAATGGATGTATAACCAAAGATTTCGATTGCACATATTTCAAATATCAAATATAATGTGTAAATACAATATAAGGAATTCCTTGTTATTGGAATTCTCAAGGGAACTATTGTGAATTTCAAAATTGCAAAAATGCTCCTTCAACTTTTTAAACAGTTGCATAATGCCAAAAATGGGTTCAATATCATGATCTTAGATGTATCCCTAAGGAGAATGGAGGATGCATTCAATAACACTAAAATTGTTAGGGTCTAAGTGATAGAGTTTAATGTTTAATTGGTTCATAGTAAGGATTATGCTATTGGAATGTTGCAATCAAATAATGTTAAGATCGCACGTGTGAAAATGCCAGCAATGTTACTTCGAATGTATTATGTAAAATGTGGCTGTCCTCCTGCATTTTCAAACCGCCTAATTTATGCTAAATAGATAATACTGCTTATACTCTATGCAGAGATACTCCAAGAGATATGAAATTTACATCTCATGAAGAATGTTAAGCATGGAATCCTAAATGCACACTTAAAAAAGGATTAGCTTGTTTTAGTGAAGATTCCTGTACAAATTATACTAGTGAAAATGAATGTAAGCACAAATAAAAGACAAACAATTGTTAATGGAATGCTGCTCCACTTACTTGTACACAAAAATCCTGTTCTATCTAATCTAGTGAATAGTAGTGCAAAGATTATTCTCCATCTTGTACACATAATAGTACCACCACAGTTACTAATACTTTAGTAACTGTATAGCACGTCTGCATTTAAAGATAAATTACATGCAATTCAATTACAGAAAATAAAATATGTCAAAATAATTCTCTTAATGAAAAATGCAAATGGGATAATTCGCGCTGCTCAGCTACCCCTTGTAGTAGTTCTGTGGTAAATTTGAATTAAATGATATGTTCAGCTGCTTAATTTAATTGTATTTATAATAGTAACACCTCAAATTGTGAGATGTTAGAGCCATATTGTAATTCTATATCTGATAAATCATATACAGGTTGCTAAAGTAGCCAATAATAATGTATTCTAGACGAACCTTCCTAAAGTTGTATTTTAATCAAACATTGTTCAGACACTACAACATATTATACATACGATTGTCACCAAATTTATGATTATTGTTAAAGAAAGGATTTTACATCTGGTTGTTAATTTCTAGCCCCTAATTGTTCAGATTATAAAATCCAAGAGAATTGCAAAATAAATTATAAAAAAGAGCAATGTTATTGGAGCCCTTCTTAAAGCAAATGTATAGACTTCTCTTGTTAGCTTATAGAAGAGACATTAACTACTCATACTGAGTGTTAATAGTTAAATTCAAATTGCACTTTAAATTATGATTCCACACATAGTTGTATGGATTTGGATCGGTGTTATAACTATTAGAAAAAAGAATAGTGCTATTTGGATGTCAATAAACAACAATGCAGTTGGATCAATAATAATTGTATTTTGGAAAATTGTAGGAAAGCTCCAAAGGGTATTTACACTTTGTAGCAATGCTAAGAGTAATTTGGTATAATATGCACAATAAATGAAGATCGATCTGGATGTATCAATAAATTGGAGAATTGTTCTTAATACAATAAATTCTAATGTTTGACTCCAAATCAAACCAATAAATCTGAAGTAGCATGTTTTTGGGATCAAATTAGTGGTGATTGTAAAGAAGTTTTATGTCACAACGCTAATCAATTGACAAAATAATTGATTGAATGTGAATAATTTAATCACAACTGTTAAACAAAAGTATGCAAATTATCATTATGCGATGATTACAAATATGATCTAGATATTACTTGTTCATTAGCCTTGAAAAATCATAAGTGTACAACCGATGGCTTGTAATGTGTGGTGAGAGGACTCTGTTCAGATGCTAATAAGGCTGGCTGCACTTTTTCAATTGATTATTAAGATTGTATATGGTTGGAGGATGAAACTCGTTGTGCTGTTAAAACTTGTAGTGTAGCCTCAAGTTCATTGAAGACTCATCAACAATGTTAAGATTACTTAGATTAGTGTACAAATAAGATCGGAGGAGGTTGTGTAACCATTACAACATGCTAATCAATTTCATCTCCAGAAGCTTGTATTTAAGATTAAAATAATGAGATATGTGTATGGGATAAGTCCAATTAGAAGTGCATTTATTTGTCATGTTCTTCTATCTGTGGGGATGGCGTAGTAGGTAACTAAGAACTCTGTGATGATGGTAATATACTACCTTATGATGGTTGTTACAAGTGCAGATTCTAATGTTAATATGGATGTAATTCATGCATAAAACTTAATTGTTTAGAGTGTAATTAAGGGTTTGAATTAAGTTAAAATGGATAATGTTTAGAAATATGTGGTGATGGACTGATTGTGGGTTAGGAAGAGTGTGATGATATGAATACTATATAAAATGATGGATGTTACGAATGCAGATTTCAATGTCATTAAGATTGTTTAGATTGTATTTTTGGTATCTGTAACAAATGTGCATTCGGTTGGGAAGAGTACAATAAATAATGCAGATCAGTTTGTGGTAATGGTTTGTTGGTGGTACCATTTGAATAATGTGATGATGGGAATACAGATGATGATGATGGGTGTAATTCTGTCTGCCAAGTTGAAAAAGATTGGGAATGTGAGTAATCATAATTTACTCAAATAAGTGAATGCAAAATGATCTCACATCCTAAAATCATCTTAGAAAATTTATCTTAAAAGAGAGAGTCCTAATAAATCATTAGGTTAAAGTTTAATTAATAAGTTAAACTCAAATAGTACCTTAGATTCGAAGATTTCATCAAAGTTAATGTTACTAATAATGTTGATTTTCAGTTATTGATCCAACCCATTCTCGAAGCCTCTCTCTCCCTTCAGTTTGTAGAATACAAATTCCAAATAACCTTGTTAGAAAAGGTTGATTACCCCTAAGCTACCATTCAATTTATCAACTCTATTCTTGTTAATTCAGAAAAATATGAACTTACTTAACTAATGGATACTATTAATTTAGGTACACCCTTAATATTGTCTCTTGAGTAATATTCAAGATTAAATAACACTATTGCTTTTAACGAAATTATGATCTATGTCTTGATTGGATCCTCCTCTTTATCCGTATTAATGGGAAATTTGGACTTATTTTTTAATATGCTAACACTACTTCAATAACTTTCATATGTTAGGTACATGAGTGTTCCATTTCCATCCCATTTGGATGCATATTTGAAAGTGTTTAAAGTAGTCTCTTTTTAACCGTTATATGATAAATTGAATATTGATTCTCTCTTTCAAAGATTAAACGTTGGCAAAGTGCCATTTATTAAATCCAAAAACGCTCAGAAACAGGATACTGAATTCAATAATGCCTTTTTTTTAGTAAATGCCAAAAGTTTCTACTTGACAATGTTTTTATCTATATTTTGTTATGCAATAGCTCGAATTTATATTGGATTAACTTAATTCTTCTATTAAAAATTACTCAAAATAAAAAAGCTAAGTTAACTTAGAATGTTAAATAAAATATTTAACTTACTTTAATAATTTTCTCTCAAATCTTCTAATTACTTCATATACTCAGGATTAATCAAAGTATTCATTTCATCACAATATTAATTGATGTATAGTGCATATAGTTAATTTCCAGAATATTAATTCCAATTCGAAGTTGAAAGTCTATTTGAAACATTCAACTCCTTCAACGCTTTAATTTGTATGATCATACCTCATATCTTCTTATTCAAGTCTGTTGTTGTCTTACAAAAACAATACAACTCAGAGACTGTTAATCGATATTCTATTTTTTATGAGAATGTTAAACCAGACTATTGGTCGAGATTCTTTATTCCATTTACAATGATCAAAGTCTCCATTTACATGGCAATTATTTGCTTTTTATATAATTCAGCTGTTATTCAATCAATTTCATTAATAATTTTATGCATTAGCGTTTGTTGTTATCTGATTACTGTACAGCCTGTAACTCAGAAGATTGAATTATTTAGACTACTAATAAAAGAAATAACTTTTTTATCAATAGTCTCATCCTTTTTCCCTTATTGCTTGAATTTCGATGATGAAATAATCAATATCTTAGGTTGGGTTCACATTGGATTGTTCACACTTATAATCACTTCTAATGTAGCATTAGATATATTGAAATATATTCTTGACTTCCGTTAGGCCTATAAAAAAAAATAATTGAAAATCAAACTATCTCAACAACGTGAATATATTATAAATGGACTCCATTAATTTATAAATGTGGATAATAGTTTCCAGAACATTGGTAATGGATCCCTATCTATTGGTTATGAAGCATAATCAAATTAATAAAGCTAAATCCTATCACTTCGTTGAGCTTATTTAAATATTAAATCATATTAAGGCTATTAAAACCATTTTAATTTTCGAATATTTTACACACTAAAAATATCAAATATTTATATTAAAAATCGATATTATAAAATGTATAGTCCAAATTATCCAAATGGAGAATTTAATGGACAAATAGGTGCTATTCCACAATAACCTGGCTAACTAATACAAAATGCCAAGTTTATAGCAAAAAAAGATTATGCAACTTGGGCTTAAGAAGTTCCCCCATTAAGGTAAATTAATCCAATATTCCTATAGACCAAAGTCTAGGGAAATGGAATTAATGGATCTACTACTTGTCAATAATATATCTAAAAAATAAACCAGTCTTCCTTATATTAATTAAAACAGATCTCCTAAACCTGAAAATGTTTAAACTTCTAGATTACTAGCACCTATGCATCCCTAATATCATCATCTTAGCCCATATCCTATTCCACCAGGATATCCCTTACCAAATAGTAAGAAATACCTATATACAAACTTTAGTGAATCAAGTTTAGTAATTCCAGTATTTTCCTTCATCTTATGCATAGAATTAAATTGTACACTTTATCAAATTAATATAGTAAGGCCCATATGCCCCAATAATAAATACTACATTCAAACAGAAACTCAGAGTCTACTCTTGAATATGTGAGAGAAATGATTAAGAGATAAAATCAATTTCAGGCGAGATAAGAAAAACTAGAAAAATAAATAATCAAATTGAGAAAAAAACCATCTAAATTAAATGAGCAAACCGAAATGTCATTTAAATAGCAAAGGCTGTTCGAAATACCTCCTCCTATCTACCCATTTGAACAACCAAGAATTATAACCAACAGACAAAGCGATAATAAGAAGACAAATAAGTTAAATTACTAAATAAATATGCTCAAAGAACTTGTATTAAATTAGACTCTATCTATATTAGTAATAAATAAAGAACATTAGTAATGGAGTACTTGAAAGTGAGAGTTAATCTAGTGAGTCTAGTGTGGAGTATGTGTAGAAACCTAGAAAGTAAAGACTTAAACCAGTTCCTATTCCACCCTATTACGATTTGACTTAGGATGAAAAGAGATTGAAGGATCTGATCAAACAAAACAGCAACTATAAAATAAAAAGAGCTTTTACCATGATTGCTTATTTAATGTTCCAAATAAAGTAGTTTAAGAAAATAGGAGCAATCAAAATAAGCATATCCAAAGATAAAACTCCTTAGTTGGAAAATGAACATAAAACAGAATTGATGAGATTTTCACCCACTGTAAGCGATCCTTTGGTTTAGAAGATGGCTCAATAAAATGTTAATTTAAGAGTGGTCGCAACTCCAGAATAGAAGGTGACTCCTAAGGCTTTAATCTAAAATTCGAATGCTTTAAAATAATATATTTCAGATGTATTTCAAGCAGTTTCTAATTACTCACTTAAGAAAAGCTCTCTGGAGTATCTTAGCAAATTAACTCGAGATTATGAATTCCTATAATAAAACTATCATTCAAAGTTCGAGCTAAATAGATTATAATTTGGATTCTCAGGATGTCTTAACAATATGAAACCTACAACCCAAAATATGATGATCATTATGAATTTTTGGATCAGGTTTTTCATTCCTTTTAGTTTTCCTGAGACTTAAAAGAATATTAAGGATATTAATGAGGTGATGTAAACTAATTTAAAAACAATTGTATCAGCTTTATATCAAATAGCCTTGTTAGCTAGCAAAAATTTAGCTTAACCTATTCCAAACAATACGAAAGAGCTTCCAATAGAAAAAACCACAAAAGAAAAGAATCCCTTTTTGATAAAACTAGACTAATTCAGAGAAACTCAAGAAGAGATGAATCTTTTAACCAGAATGTAAGCGGAGAAATTAGATGAACCTCTGATGTATCCAGTATACACTTTAAGAGAGATGGACAAATTGTAAGCAATTCATATAATATTTGTAGTTTTGACAATGAAAGGTCTTTCATAAGTGAGAAAATCCAATATTTAATTAATTGGTGCAATGGAATTATGGGTGCAGTCAACGATTTTAAAAAACAGGAGATTTAGGAGATGCAAAAACAAAAGAAGCAATAAATGGATATGCTGAATTAAAATGTGATTGAACCAAAAAAAAAATAAGTGACATAAATTATAAAGGATCAGAGATAATAATATTAATAGAATAGTTCAGAAATAAAACAATTGAAATAAAAGATTCAAGAGGAGAAGGAGAAGAATGAAAAAATGAAGAAAGATTATGACGAAGCTGTAAAAAAACATGATGAAAAATAAGAAAAATTGATATTATTAGGTGTAAAATGATCACTATATTAAAACACACTTATATTTAACATTTCCGTATTCTGAACACAATAAGATAGCTGTCCAAAATTCTTATAAGAGCTCTTCTTCAATTTCTATTTTAGCTCTGTTTCCTATAATTTCAACTATCTAGTAGTGGAATTTAGCCATTCCAATAATCCCATATAATTATCTACATGGCATGAATAACTTACTCCAAACTCTTGGATATTGTTAGAGTGACGAAACTTAAGTCTAGGTTTCTTTGCTTCTCGAATTGGTATTAAATATACATTAATTTTAATTATAAATTAATGCATTAAGCAATTGAGTATGAAAATGAATCTTAGCAATTAAATTAATGTCCAATCTGCTAAGAATACAAAGGAGATAATTTTGATTTAGAATGCAAACATCGATTCTGCAGGTATATATATTAAATTAATATAGAAATTGTTTGGAATAGTATTTAAATGTAAAAATAGATGAAGGAATAGTGATGCATATTAGGTGTCCTTCCTGCTCATATACCATCTCTTATGAAGAAGTAGTTTAAATTATACAAAAATTAAAACTCGCAAAATTTGAGAAATTCAGAACCTAATACAAGGGTGAAAATAACCCAAGTATGAGACATTGTCCCAATAAATCCTGCGATTTATATGTACTTTTGGATACCGATAGATGTATATGTGGTTAGGAAATATGTAAGGATTGTGGAAATGAATCCCATGGATTTAGTAGTTGTAATAAATTAATGGACGAAATATTTGTATTGGATAGCAGACAAGAAAAGATCTAAAGATGTCCAAAATGCAAAATTATTGTTTAAAAGGAAGGTGGATGCAATCATATGACATGTAAAAGATGCCAATTTCAATTCTGTTGGATTTGCAGAAGATAATATACATGTATATTATACATTGCATTATGTAGGTAAACATTATAATAATTACAATTACATTTTTGGATGTCCCAATAAGCAATACACTAATACCATGCCATGGAGATATCCAAAATTATATAGAATACTGCCCTTTGTTTTATTACTCATATTCTCACCGCTTTGGATCACCTTGGGTATTTTATTGCTTATATTGCATCCTTTTTCCGGATCCTATTACTTATTTAATCATTCTGATAGCATGGCAGCAGTTGGTAGGTACATACATTAATAAACTTTAGGCTATCACGAATTCAAATGCTATTGATCAGTTTTTTTGTGTATTTTATTGGGGGAATCGTCCTTTACCCCTTTGTTGTCTTATACGAATGTATAGTACTACTAGTGTTTTTATTGTCTTTGCTAATCAGATTTATTAAGAGCAGAAGGAATTTTTGATTTATTTATTTATTCTAATGTTTCAATAACGATTTGATTATATCAGGTTGCCTTAGTAAATTGCCAATGATATAGTACTACCTCGTAAAAAATACCTTTCTATTCTGTTTAGCAACTAGTATAAAGGCTGGGACTGGTTAAAATGCAATTAGAAAGATCTTCAAAATCTAAGATTATGATTAGTTCGAAAGGATGCAAATAAGTTCATTGGCCTAGGCTCTTCAAAGGAGTGAATTATATGATCCCAACATTCATTATGATAGTTTATTATTAAGATATCTTTATGCTAATAAATTTGATATCCAATCCTCTTTAGATGTAATTTATTTATATAAAGGTAGTAATTGGCATAAACAAGCAACATATTGTTTTAACCTGGTTATCTAGATTTAAGTAACGAAGTCGAAGCCTTATATGTATTATGATAAATAACCATTCTAGTATAAAGGAGCTATATATATAGAGGGTAGGACAAGAAATCATATTCCTTGCATTGTAATTTCAACAAAATTAGTAGATGATTTAGCTTTATTCGAAAGAGCAGCTGTCATCCTGTGTGCAATAGTAGAAGACTATATGTTCTACCCAGGTAAGGTGGAGAACTGGATTGCTGTGATTTAAACTAAAGATCAGAGTGCATATAAGATGCCATTAGATAAGATATTTTAGATAATCAAAGTGCTACAGACATGTTTCCCTAATACATGCGAAAGTATCTATATCTTAAATACCACATTGTCAATTAATTTACTATGGTCCTAAATAGAAGGTAAAATAAGATCTTAAATTAGAATACATCGATCCAGTTACATTAAATAAGATTAGATTTTTGAAGGACAAAGAATTAGGAATCCTTTCTAATTAATTTGATCCCAACCATTTGGAATAATCTTTGGGTGGCTAGAAAGTACTCTAATCATATTGGCCACCTGATCCAAATGACTACTTTTACGATTTGCCTTAATAATAACAATAACCAATATATGAAGAAGAGCCTTAAGTATTTTTCTCATAACCAACTAACAATTTATAATATCTTAATTAAGCTCCTCCTTTAGAAAAAGAAATTCAAGCCCCACCTCCTCCTATAAATAATCAAGTCTCACAGCCTAATATTATATAATAACCAATTATTGCCCAATAACCATAATAATCCTAATAACCTTAATAACCATAATAACCACCTCCAACAGAGAAGAAAAAAAAGTGCATTTGTGTTAAGTGTTCTAGAGATCTTGAAGAAGTTGCATCTCAACCTCGTCAACCCAAATAATAAGAAGCTTAAAATGGTGGAAAAACATAACCATCTTAATAAAAAATATAAGTGCGTGAGACTCAAGGATAAAAATAACTGGATGATACTTATATCCCTTATGAGAGAAAATATGACAGTGTTCTTAATGATTCATATTTAACTAACCCTTAGAATGAATAAATATTGCAAGAAACCAGTTAGAATAATAAGCCACAATTCGGGGGTAATTCATTTAATGCCAATTAAAATTAATAATAACAATAACCAAATTAAAAATCAATTAAACCATCATTTAACAATCCATTATATGGGTCTGATTCAATGAAGGGATCTTAATAATTAGAATATAACCAGCGACCATCCAAGTAAGATAAAGTAAATTAGGAAATATAAGCTAATATAGATGATCTCATCTTGAATGATAAGCCTGATTATGAACCAAAATACGTCAGTAAACACAGCAGACAATATTAAACTTCTCAATCTAGTCGGTTTAGCAATCATGGTCCTAATCTCTATAACAATAGTTACCATCCTTAGAACCCATCTTTATACTCACAAGTACCAGCCACATAATATAACCCCTCTTCATAATATATACCAACCATCCCTTTTCAACCCTAGAGTTAATCGTAAATTGCAAAGCCAATTTAAAATGATGGGGTTTAATAGTAACCTGTGCAAGTACAGGAGTACGATTACAACAACTCTAATAATAACCAATCCTATTATGCTCCTCAGATTTCAAGTGATCCCAAAAAGAAATATGATTTTAGTTAATGGGATAAATACAATGATAATAGTGATCCATTTCCAGTCTAATCATATGTATCTCCCTCGAATGAATACCTTAATCCTTATTTATCATCAGCTCCATACAAAAATAATATTGGGAGTTTAGAAGATTATAACTATTTGTATGATAACACAGGTGATTATAAACCTGGAGAGTTCCGACCCTCCACTTACAATTTCACTCCATATGATTTCAAATAAAGTGATCAATAATACTAGCCTAGAGTTGAAAGTACTACAAAATCAAATGGGTAATAGTATTCTAATAATAAATAGAGCACCTTAGCTGTATCAATAAAGACCTGGACAGCAAGCCTGTGAGATCTTTTGATTCATCAGTACATATAAATTTGATTTTTTATATATATGAATTCCTTATATTTAATTTAGCATAATAAAGAACGAACAAAAAGAGTCAGACATAATATTAATGCTTCTTTGATAATGAACATTAAAAGCAAATAGTGATTTATTTAGTTGTATAGAATACGATGTGAAAATAAAGGAAAATAGCCTTAATATTAGTNAAAAAGTGCATTTGTGTTAAGTGTTCTAGAGATCTTGAAGAAGTTGCATCTCAACCTCGTCAACCCAAATAATAAGAAGCTTAAAATGGTGGAAAAACATAACCATCTTAATAAAAAATATAAGTGCGTGAGACTCAAGGATAAAAATAACTGGATGATACTTATATCCCTTATGAGAGAAAATATGACAGTGTTCTTAATGATTCATATTTAACTAACCCTTAGAATGAATAAATATTGCAAGAAACCAGTTAGAATAATAAGCCACAATTCGGGGGTAATTCATTTAATGCCAATTAAAATTAATAATAACAATAACCAAATTAAAAATCAATTAAACCATCATTTAACAATCCATTATATGGGTCTGATTCAATGAAGGGATCTTAATAATTAGAATATAACCAGCGACCATCCAAGTAAGATAAAGTAAATTAGGAAATATAAGCTAATATAGATGATCTCATCTTGAATGATAAGCCTGATTATGAACCAAAATACGTCAGTAAACACAGCAGACAATATTAAACTTCTCAATCTAGTCGGTTTAGCAATCATGGTCCTAATCTCTATAACAATAGTTACCATCCTTAGAACCCATCTTTATACTCACAAGTACCAGCCACATAATATAACCCCTCTTCATAATATATACCAACCATCCCTTTTCAACCCTAGAGTTAATCGTAAATTGCAAAGCCAATTTAAAATGATGGGGTTTAATAGTAACCTGTGCAAGTACAGGAGTACGATTACAACAACTCTAATAATAACCAATCCTATTATGCTCCTCAGATTTCAAGTGATCCCAAAAAGAAATATGATTTTAGTTAATGGGATAAATACAATGATAATAGTGATCCATTTCCAGTCTAATCATATGTATCTCCCTCGAATGAATACCTTAATCCTTATTTATCATCAGCTCCATACAAAAATAATATTGGGAGTTTAGAAGATTATAACTATTTGTATGATAACACAGGTGATTATAAACCTGGAGAGTTCCGACCCTCCACTTACAATTTCACTCCATATGATTTCAAATAAAGTGATCAATAATACTAGCCTAGAGTTGAAAGTACTACAAAATCAAATGGGTAATAGTATTCTAATAATAAATAGAGCACCTTAGCTGTATCAATAAAGACCTGGACAGCAAGCCTGTGAGATCTTTTGATTCATCAGTACATATAAATTTGATTTTTTATATATATGAATTCCTTATATTTAATTTAGCATAATAAAGAACGAACAAAAAGAGTCAGACATAATATTAATGCTTCTTTGATAATGAACATTAAAAGCAAATAGTGATTTATTTAGTTGTATAGAATACGATGTGAAAATAAAGGAAAATAGCCTTAATATTAGTTCTTACTAAAAAGGTTTCTAGAGATTAATTTTGAATAATATTTATAGATGATCTTGATACATGATAGAGTATTATTATTTATCTTCTAAAATAACTAGTTCTATTAATAATTTAATTTATTGATTCATTACTATGATTAAATTAAGTTAATATTAATTCAATAAATTAATATTTGTATATTAGCTAAAATATTCATATGGTCTCCGAATAGATTATTATTAAATGCTTCTGATGTGTGATTTAAGTAATAAAAACTTTTTTTATTGATCTTAATTAATTAATAAATGCTATAATTTAGAGGATTCATTATTTTCGATTTAAAGAGATCAGTATTTTTCTTTGAAATGCGAAGAGACATTGAAGTGGACTGTAAGTGGTTTAATTTGCAGAAGGAAATTCGAAAAAAATTAATTGATTAAGATGTTTTAGAGGATAAAGTCTTTGAGATGTCCTCTGCATATGGAAAAGTAAGAGGGAAATTCGACAACTTTTAAAGTATTTGCATTCAAGTATCTATAGAAAGGTTTTTGATTCTGATAGCCTCAAATTCAGTTGAGAATATTTATTTAGCTGAACTATTAAATGAAATATTCGCCATTTTAATCGTCCAAGAACATTATAATAAGGTACATCACATCTAATATACAGTTCTTCAAAGAAGAGTTAGAATCCTAAGCCTTTTTTGATGTTGAAAAGAAAATTTAAGAAAAAGAATATTATTTAAACTAAACCTGCTATTCAAAGCATGCTGCCCCCAGTCTATTCTAATAAATTTAATTATATAAAGAACTTTCAAGTTCGAATGATTTAGATCAATTATTGGATGAAAAGCAATACTAAGACTCCTAGTCCTAAAAGTAAATAATTTTCAAAGGATTCACAATTTTTGATACACATCGATAATGCTTTTATATGTTAATAAAGAGAGGCTTCGCAAATGACAATTAGTGGAAGCTGTAAAGAATGCAGATATAACAATTTCTACTGCAGAGATCAAAGACACCAATACAGCACTTCTTTTGGAATTCTGAAATGGGATAATTTTTATTTGAGTATGATATTTAGGCAAGTAAATAAATAAATTATGTAGAAAATTATTTTATACTGATTACAAATTCAACTGCAGCCTAACATCCACAATCCCTTTTGCTTTAGAAATTAAAAACCCTAGTTTAAAGAATACCAAATTATTAAAAAGTAAAAGAAATACAATAATTAGCTAAATAAACCAGAATTAGAAAATACTTTGAAACAGTAATTAGTTGGAGTAATTGAAGCTGAAGAAAGAATATATTATCAAGCATACTATCCTAATTGTATTGAAAAAGAGAAAAAAATAAATAGAAAAATAATAAAACAAAGAGGACTCACTGAAATTTCATTTAAAAATGACGGAGTGATGGGCTGTGATGAATTTTCTTTAACTGACTATCTAAGTTAGAGAGATAAATTTGTCCCTGATCTTTTTTGAATTCCATTTCAAATTTTTAATAAGTATAAATACTATTCTCCTTCCAATTATATAAAATATAATCCACTAGAATTTTAAATTTTATTCAATTAATTAAAATATATGTATATTCTTGAATGTTACTGATGAAAACCTTAAATAAATATTAAGAAGTACCATAGATCTTAATTAAATTCTGAATTGACTTTTCTTGAGTACTATAATTGGAAATAGAATCATAAATACGTTTATTAATTGGTATCTGTCCTACATATAACATCTACTGTTCAATTTAATTAAATCAATTACTTTCTGAGTGCTTATTCGTATCTAATTAATACAATGCATTTAAATATATCAAACTAATTTTATTATTTTTGCTGAAATTAGAAAAATTCATTAAATCGTTAGATAATAGGAATGGTGTTATTGAGACCATATAATAAATATGGTAAATTTGCTTGTTTATTAGATATTTCTTGATAAAATTATATAATTTAACATAATAATTATTATGAAGCAAGAATCAAGGGCAGCTTGTTTATTTTGCTTGAAATATAAACAAGATGGTTCATTCTCTCTTGTTCTTACAAAAGCTTTATACTGCAAATATGCGCAATCATAAAATTTTTACTTCTAAAGAGACATTAATGATATTTTGGAAAACAAAAGAACTAAATAGCGAATTCGACATTATGATAACAATACTTATGATTTAGAGAATGAATACTTAAGAAGGTATATGGTATTTCTCTATCCCAAGATTTTATAAGTCTTCAGAATCAGATACTCGAATTTAATCTCTACTTGAATACTACAAATATCACATTAATATTCCAAGAAACTTTCATTCGACCTTAATTAATTGTAGGATGGAAAAGATTAGAAACATATAATATCGTAAAATCAAAAAAGAATTGGGAGTATATAATGATGTACAACATAGTCCAACAAAGTAAAAGGATTCATCAGAGGATTGCTCCGTTGAAAATATGAAATATCTACTGAAAGACTTAAAATTAGTGACTACCTAAGCTGATTATTCGAAAATCACAAATTCTACATTGCTTAAAGATCTTATTATTTAGATTGGAAACTGTAATGAGATAGTAGATCCAATTGATTTTTTAGAACCTAAAAACTAGATTCGAATTAATCACTTTCCGACAAAGAGTCAAACACCATCCAACACAATCAAAATGAACATAGAAAAGTAAATCAAAGCAAATTAAAACCTAAAAGCACCATTCATCTCTCGCTATCCAAAGTTTACTACAACATCTAACAAGCCTCCAACTGTTAAGATTGTCATTTCTTAACATTAACACAATTCTCAAAAACCCCAACAACAATAACCACCTATAAATAAAGGATCAATGACCACTAGAGTTAAATCTAGATAAGTTTCGATGGGTAACATTGATCAAGCCAAATCAGGCTTACTTACCTCTAGAAGCAATCAAAATCATTAGCTACAGCAATAAAATGATGGTGTAAATGAAGGAATCATGGATTTTGCAATTAAACTCTTTTCTAATTAAAGCACAAAAGTCCCTAGAAAAACTCCTTTTTCTTAAAATAACAACTTCTTTGTCAAAGGAAGCAACAGTCCTCATTTACATTAACTTCCAAATAAGGATGAATTAAAATTATAGTTTAGAAGCTTAAGATCAAAAATAATCTCCCCAACAAGGTAAAGTAAATCAAATGTAGGCAGTCCTCAACATCGTAAAAAATAACAATAATGAATTTTGTTAATAAAAAAATACAAAATATTATATAATTAAATTTCTCATTATCAAGTAGAATAGCAATTATTTTCATTATTTATTATATTTATACATTAATTTCTATAAAATAATAGTTAATTCTTTTTCTATGAAATAATCAAGTATAATCAATAGATTTAAGTCCATGCTTTATTCTATAAGATATTTAATTTAATTTTATAATAATTCTGAAAAATGAAACCTCACTAATTTGAAAGGATTAAGACTGAAATAAACGATGTTTATGCAGGAAATCAATCAGCTTCCAAAAGGTACTACTTGAATTCTAATTCAAAATCGACTGAGAGAAGTATTGTATAAATATTATAAAAGCTAAACAAATAAAAAAATCTAATGAAAATGTGCTTCAGTTGATCAATATGTGGCATGAACATAGGTAATCTTTGTCAATAACTCCTCTTATGCCTGCAGATACACTAAAACATTAAACTCATAATTCAGTTCATGCACTTCAAGATAATTTAATTGAATAAATTAATAGTAAAATAAAATTATAATTTCTTAAAAGCCACAAACAACATTAAATTAACTCCAAAAAAAAATGATCGGACAGATGTCTACTTTTCCACTTCAGAGCATAATCATTAGATTCCAATATGCAAACCTCATTTGACTCTTGATAATTTAATCAAACAAAATATAAGTGAGATTTATAACCTATTAGACCCTTCCAATAAAATTCTACAATCTTAAAAAGAAAATAAAAGAACTATTTCAAAATCAAAACAAAATGATAATAAATTAAAAAAAACTAAGGAATATTTGACCACAATCACCTTATTGTCAAATGCACAAAAGGCCGTTCAATAGTTGTATAAGAATCAAGACACAGCGAAAGCCGCTGAAATTGATAAGTATTCTAAATCATTAAGTATTTATAGAAAGATTTAATAAGTGATGTTTCAAATTGATAAAGATTTTAGATGAATTTATAATAATACAGAATCATGTTTAAATAATTAATAATAAAAATACTATGATTTTCATAGTTCCTATTTCTTATAAATTTATGGATATATGTTGTATTATATCAATTAATGCAATAATAGGCTAATATAATATAAATTTATATTTAAACATAGATAACATGATTATTTTAAAATCAATTGTATTTAACTATAAGTTTCTCCATTAAATTTAGACATTCAACTCTTTTTAATCTGAAATCCTCCTTGAAACTACGACAATTACTTAAGAGTTTATTGACATCGTTCGGAGAGAATGACATTTACTATAAATATTAGGCTAATTGTCCCAAAAGAAAAGTAAAATTTACAATCTTCACATTTGAGCACTCAAGAACTTAGTCATATAAAAAGGCTAAAATAATATTAAAATTTACATTTGATGAATTAGGCAGTCAAATTGTATGCATATTTAACAAAATGAATGGAATACTCAAAATTGTTATTAAATATTTCTAAGAAATCTGAATCCTACATAACTAAATTTAAATTTTCGTTTAAATGTAAGAAGGTTTCTTAGAATTGATTGAATGTTTCAAAATGGATTTCTAAAATGCATTTTTCTAAATTTCGAAAAGATTCTGTCATTCTAAAATGTTCAAAATCTCTTAAATCTAATATATTGATTTATTTATCAACAAGATTAGTTTTTATGTCAGTTGTTTTGATCATAACATTTTTTAAAAGAATGAAGGATAATTTTTCAACAGTTGATGCTTAAACTTAATTATTGCCATAGAACTCAAGCAGTTATTCTCTAAGTTTTTTTAGAAATAACAAAAATTCTATCTAATTTTAAATAAGCATTCTGTTGATAGTGAATTCATCATTTTCAGAAGATTATCTATGAAATAGGAACTTAGGTTCTGAGTGTTAGTAAAGATGCTTTGGAGGACAATAATTCCTTTCAGATTTGAATTGATCTTCTCTACATTACTTATTGTCACTATATCTGCTGGTAGTCTACTAAGATTCGACTTTATGATGAACAACACTCACAGTTCTATCCTTCTTCTATGTATTAGGTTGTGTTTGGCAATTTTATATTTTTTAGTTGGAGATATTATTTTTATTTTCCTCATCATTTTAAGGTGAAGCATGAGTTTTTAAATAATGCTTACCCTTAATCAACTACACTTATCTATTGTCAACATGTAATTGCAGAGGAGATATTGTATTTCTTTTAATTTTATCGTCAGTAGGACTTACATTGGGGATTATTTACATAGACTTGTTTTATTTAGCCTCTTGGGGAGTTAAATTTGAAGTATTTGCAAATTATTATTGTGGTTGTGGTTATGTAGGTTGCATTATTGGCTTTTATTATTAGTTTGGAATCTGTTATTATAACTATTACAAGGGTTAAGTTTAAGAGAAAACTTATTAAATTTATTGTTAATGCATGGAAGCTTGTTACTACTTTGAAGTGTTCTTATTTTATGACACCTACTAAGATTAATTTTGTGAATGGTTTTATGCAGGCTATTATGTTTATTAATATAATTATTAAACTTAAGGTTAAGGTGGTTATGGATTTTAAGTTTGAGGTTGAGATTATTGTGATGTCTCCTTTTTTGGTTGTCTCTCAAATGCATTTTCAAATAAAGGATGAGTAAAGACTTATTCCCAACCAAATCTATTATTTTCTTCGTACGCTAAACAACCAGTGATGAATTATTAAGCTGATTTAGAAATTTTTTTGGCTAATATTATTAAGAATAAAATTACAAAAAGCAATTTTTTAATTTCTTTGTTTATTAACTAGATCCAGGATGTCCCTAACATTCCAAGGTGTTTTGCCTTCTATCATTTCGTAGAAAATTAAGCCGATTGACCATACATCACATTTGGAAGTGTATTGTCTTCTAAGTAGTACTTATGGAGACATGTAGAGAGGAGTTCCAACTAGGGATGTCATCAAATCTTCATCTAACTTATCAAATCGTTTGGCAAATCCAAAATCTGCTATTTTGAATATGTTATTGTTGGCCACTAAGATGTTGGCTGGTTTAAGATCTCTATGTATGATTCCTCTTTTAAATGATTAAAGAATCCCCCGCAATATTTATATCAATATTTTAGTAGCAGCTGATTCCTCGATTGGTCCCTAAGATATCAGATGAAACTCTTACTGATCTTTTCATGTATTCTTTTAGGTCTCCTCCTGTGCACAGTTCTGAAATTATATAACAATTATTAGCCGTTGTAATTACATCGATAAGTCTAACTATATTGGGACAGTCTAAGTCTTTCATTATATCAATTTCTTTTTGTAATAAGGCTTGATTCTCAGAGGAATATTGTTAAAAGGCTATTGCTTTAATGGCGACAATTTAGCTAAAATAGAAATTAGATAATGGAATACCCTGAATCTATATTTCTACCGATATAGACTACTCCATAGGAGCCTCGTCCAATGATGGCTTGTGTGGAAAAAGCATAATTGTGAATTCGCTTATCTGGAATATGTTTAGATAGCTGTTGAATACGAGCCTACATATAAATTAAAATAAAATGAACGTTTGAAAATAAAAAATATATAAAATATGATAATCATTAGTTCTAACAATAATTCAGATAGGATTCGTAATGCTTGAGAATCACCCCCAATCTCCCATTAATGTCGGTACTATAATACCATTTTAAAAGTCCATTTTCACACATCTATATAGTTTATAACAGCTCCAATGAATGTTTCGATATTCTTTCTGGTGAGGTTTCATCCTTTTTGCCAGCTAGTGCCAACAGTTAGCTCTTTGCGTTTTCATTCAAAGACAATATTTGGATTATTTCTTCAATGCATGTATGTAATTTCTAGTAGAGAATTAAAGTTTCTTAATTGAAATTGTCAACTATTGATTGTGTAGTTGCATATTTCAGTTTCTAAATATTATTTATAAAATTTACAGAGTCAGAATCCTTTATATTTCTTTCAGAAAATCCAACAATTTTTAGACGTTGGATATTCTATACTGTGCAGATGTAAATTGAATGCTGATGAACTGGTACACATTCAATTAGTTTAACTCTCATGCAACAGTCATTGTATTGAGGATCAATTATAAAAGTCAAGTTTTTTTTTAAAACTTCTGTTATCATTTCAACATATCTAAAAATATTCGTATACTTCATACCTTTTTTCAAAGAAATTAAATTGAGCTTAAGCGTTGTGATGGATAGTTATTCTGTAAATGAAGCAGGGATCCCCCTCCTGCTCATGCAAGCTTTCCTCAGGTTGAGTGATGGAAAGAAATGGCGAGTTAATATAGTTACAACATAGTCGTCTGCATATTGGACAACTCTGTCTTTGCTTAGATTTTATAAAAATAATATACTTCAAGAGCAACCACGATACAATCTCGACAGAAAATATGATTACAAGGTAATTTAACAGGATCTTCAAAATCCTCGAAGCATATGCTACAATTTTCTTAGAGTGACATAATAAGAAATATGTTCTAATTTTTTTAAATTATTTTCTAATATTACATTCTAAAGAATTTCATTCTTAAACATAAACTGAGAATGGTGATGTTCTTAATTAATTAAATTATTTTAATAAATTATTACATGATATTTTAATAACACATAAGTAGTGTATCATTTATTTTTATTTTATTTATTATTTATTTTTTTTTCATCAACAGATTAGGAATTCTTAACTTATTTTCTTCGATTAATGTATTAATATTTAAATATAATCCTCAAATTCAAACTAAAATGTGTGAAGAACTTATCATTTCCTATCTTTCATCATATTTTTTTCATTCAAGAAAAATGCTCATAATAATATAAAAGAAGTTAGGTGTTTTTATAAATTTAAGCTGCTTTTTTATTTAATCATATCATATTCATTTCCAAGAACAAAGTAAGCAGTAAATTGTATTTGAAAAGCCTATTTGATTTTATGTGTATTCAATATCACTAATTTAATTAATTAAATCAATTTTAAATACATTTGTTTCTATTACAATACTCTCAAAATACTCTTACAATTTACCTTAAAGTATTTGTTTTGTTACATGTTTTAGAAGATTTGAATAGTAAAACTGAACAATTTTTGGGAAAAGAAATGATATAATATTTGAAAAGAGGACATAAAATTGAAATTTAGATGTTATATCCTAAAGGAATTAAAAAACAATGTAAAATCTTGGAAACATAGTTCATTTATCATATTAATTCAAGTTTAACATCTTTGTATAAATAATCATTTTCTGATCTTAATAACAATAACTTTTCATAAATAAAATGTAAAAAATATGCAAAGAACTGAATTAAACGTGAAAAGTATAGACATTATTAGGCAGGATAGCAGCGTAAAGAACATGGAGGCAATAATCAGGGTTATTACTGAGATAACAGTAACTAAACAACTGAAAATTTTGGACTTACTAACTAAATGTTGTTTACTCTATTAATGCATTAAGTATTTGAATCCTTTATTCCTTTTCTCACTAAAAATACTATTAAAATAATACAAAAATATGGAATGAAAATTTGTGAAATTCCTAAGCATAGTAGTGCTAAGCAGTAGATCTCCAATGAAATATTACTTATCTAAAACAAAAATTATTGGATAATACAATTAAAGAGGGATCCTTTATAGATAGCCAAATGGCAAATAGAAAAACATACATTGCAACTGCAAACTACAGAATGATAAATATTTTCTATTTCAAAGTAGTTCGTATTCTTTTCATGTACATCTTTTCAAATACATGGACTAATTAAGTATTAATTTTTTACGTATTTCTTTAGGTGATGATCTGCTTACATCTAATTAGCAAAATATAATATCCTATTGTTTACACCAATATTTGATATTCATAATTTCCTCTTGAATTTCAGAAGACCCATTATCTTTTATATATTCATTCAAAATTATTATAGTCCTTTTATGCTACCCATTATTTGTAAATAACTTTTTCCTAATTTACTTGATAGATTTCATAATGTCTGTATTTTAATCACAAAATATAATGATATATCCTGTAACTTTGGGATCCCTAAAAGGTAATAAAGTAAAGAAAAAATCGTAGGTTGGTGTATCGATTAATTCAATATCGTAATCTGAAATCTTTGATTCTTAGATTAGCTTTTTATTTATAGATTTAAATTTCTAAACAAGCGTGGTCTTTCCAGCTTGTTGCAATCCTATGACCATTATTGTTTATTTATTCTGGGCTGAAATCAAAGATTAATTTAGATCATTCTGCATAGAATATTAAATAAAATTATCTATATAAATAAATTTGGGAATATTTTAAAATTTTATTGTATTTCTTAAACAGATCTTTATATCTCATTATTTCTTTTCTTATTCTCTTGTATTGGTATTTCTTGTGTTGTTTTATCTATTATTGTCTCTGTTATCTCTGTTATCCTTTCTGTCTCTATTGTCTCTGTTGTCTCTGTTGTCTCTGTTATCTCTATTATCTCTATTATCTCTATGTTCTCTGTTATCTCTGTGTTCTCTGTTGTCTCTGTTTTCTCTATTATCTCTTCTATCTCTGTTATCTCTGTTATCTCTGTTGTCTCTATTGTCTCTATTGTCTCTGTTATCTCTGTTGTCTCTGTTGTCTCTTCTTTCTCTATTTTCTCTATTGTCTCTGTTATCTCTGTTATCTCTTCTTTCTCTGTTATCTCTATTGTCTCTGTTATCTTTTCTATCTTGACCTCTGTTTTCGCCTCTGTTTTCACCTCTTGGAGCACCTCTATTTTATCTTGTGTTTCTTTCTCTTTTTTCTCCTTCTAAATTATTAAATTTATTAATTACATTATCTTTATCTTTATGGAACAACTTCAGATTCAGGGAGTGGTTCTTAATATCCAACAGACTTTTTCTCTTCTTCAGTTGGCTTGGTGGTCAATTTAACGGTCAAAATAGACAATTATTTAGTAATATTGACTTCAACTAATCCTTCTTCAGTTGGTAAATATTTGTCCACAATTTAAGTATTTCCAATTTAATTAATCTTATATAGAATTTGAAGTAATACTTGTGATAATCCAGCTACTCTTCTTCTTACAATTTCACTAATAACCAATACCTTAGGAATGGCATTATCAATTCCTTTAATCACCACAGAGTCTTATTTTGGGATCTCTTAAGTGCCAACCAACAATTCAATAGCTCTTTTGATGTATGAGCCATCAAGTCCTTTGGCAGCTACTCTAATTTCGTTGATTGGAGCTTGTGCTTATTCACCTCTGACGTGTTCGTATTTATCTTGAGTTGCTCTCATATAAAAATTAAAAAAATGATTTAAATTAAAATATTTAAAATTGAACTTATTAATAGATATAGATAGCTAAAACTCATTTGAATAATAATTTTTTGAAATTCAAGTATTGAGCAATTGTAATCAAGCAATAATAGTATAAATATGAGTGATTTTTAGCAAAGAAATTGATATAATATGTAGGAAGAGTGTTTTAAAATAAAATTTATAAAAATGATTGATAATAATTTTTAGTCTTGATAACATTTATAGATATGATTTGAGATTGGGTGTGGTTTGAATTAATTAGTTAAGTTTATTTTGAATAAATTCAATTAAATAAATTATTTATGAACATTTACAATTATCTCTTTAAGTTCATCATAGTCGGAGATACAAGTAAGATTAATATATGTATGTTTAGATGTCGGCAAAAGTTGTTTACTGTTGCAATTTACAGATTCCAGATTCAGAAATGAACATGATGCAACAATTGGTGTAGAATTTGGATCAAGAAACCTAAAAATTAATGACAAATAAATCAAGTTACAAATATGGGATACTGTATGACTATTTCTAAAATATCTAGGCAGGACAAGAATCCTTCAAATCAATCACGCGATCATATTATAGAGGGTATAGAATGAATTGTTAATATAGATCAATCGGTGGAATACTTGTATTTGATGTTACAAGTAGACAATCATTTGAGGATTTGCAAAAATGGTATCAAGAAATTTAAGGATATGCTTGTGATAAAATTGAAATGGTTATAGTGGGCAATAAGATTGACTTAGAAGACAGGTATAGAAAACATTAAATTATGCTATAGAAGAGAAGTCTAAACTGAAGAGGCTAGAAAATATGCACAAAAATAGGGATTTGCATACTTTGAAACATCAGCCAAGACAGGTGAAAATGTAGATAATGTCTTTGAAACAATGGCTAATTAAGTACTAAAGAAAATTGACAGTGGAGAAATTGACCCTACCTAAGAAGTATTTGAAAATGATCATTTTTAGGTTTATGGAATTAAGATTGGATCTATTGGAATCAAAAAGAAGAACGATGTAGTTTAGCCAAAAGAATAGCCAAAAGCTTAACACGTAACAACAAGTTAGACTTAATAATAAGAAAAGAATGGAGGCTGTTGTTGAACATTATTTTTAATAAATTGTATAATCGATTTCTTCATTTCTTAATTTACGATGTGTAAATCTATTCTATATTTCATATTCTTAATCAAACATAAATATTTTCAAGTCAATCCTCTGATGGTCTAAATCTTTCTTTGTTAGCATTTGTTGCAAGACCCCACAATGTACCAACTGCTATGCCATTCCTACTTATGCTTCTCAAGGCATTATGTATATATCCTTTTAAGAATCCTTGGGCTTTCTCTTTTTAATAAAGCTGCGCATTAATTGATAATATATATATACTTGAACATAAAATGATTTGATTGATTTTTTTGGCTGTTTTGTAATCACTTAATATATGGTCCTTTATTAGTAGATATAAATTGGTTGCAATAATAATGTTGAAATCAAGGAAGATCCTATCACAGAGGATCCCAAAGTTATTATGTTGCCATTGAAATCTGAATTGGGCCTAAAGACATTCATAAATTCATATCCTAATTTATTTAAACAAAACTAAAATAGACCCATTTCTGCTATAAATTATAAATATGTATATAAAAAGCGAGAACCAAAAGAGGTTTTAATCCACATCTAATTACCGCATGATCTAGTCATCTCAGTCATCTTCTAGGTATAGTTCTTGGTTCTAATAAATTAACATTAACAATACTCATGCTATTTTAGTATTTCATTTTGCAGTCTCACTTTTAAAATGCTAATAGGATGAGAGGCAATCATTCCAATCAAATTAGATGTTGCTGCTATTAATAATACTAATGGATCTGTCATCTTTGCATATCTCAATAAAGGATAAACAGTTGAATTTTCTGGAGTAATATCAAATCCTTTGTTCTCGTCCTCATCTTTGAATCTTGGTGAGATGTAATTCTTAAACGCATATTTGAAGTATAAATAATTAAAGATATAGTATCGTAATACAACCTTACTAAGTGATAAATCAAGTCTGCTTTTTAATCCATAATATAGACTACACTTTGAACCAACAATCGTAAAAAATAAGGAAATGAATTACTTCAGAGTATATTAAAGATGACTCCTAAATTAGGGATTTTGATAAATATGTTTCCCTCTAAATACTTCTATTTCCTATAAAATCAATAGGATAGGTCAGCAATTCATAAGCCACAACACATCCTGCTAATATCAATTCTTATTTAAATGCCGTATAATCAGAAGGAAATACAATGCATTAGTACATTAAATTTAATTATAAGTATATTTTATTCCAGAATTAATAAAATTATTTTTTTAAAGAGTTGGTAATTCTACTATCTTTCAATGAATAAATTATATTTTTAATCTAAAATTGCTAATCTAAAATTTACTATTTCCTTTTACTCAAACATTTTATAAGTTAAAATATCTATAATACTCCACTTTACTTTGTTTTAAGAAACATGAAGCAAAATTGATTATTAAAGATATCTGATGTATTTATAATAAAAATTAATACAGTCGATTATTCTATGCTATTTATTAAAATATCATTAAAAAAACATACTATTTTTTATTCTACGTCATACTATTTTGAAAGTAATTACAAATCTTTCATATAATAAAATTGCAAAATTAATAAAGTCCTTATTAAGGGCAACACTATATCAAAACGTTCCCTTTTTGATATTTTTATTAAGATTTTTTAGGGATTTATACTTGAAAATTAAAACATTTGAAATTGACATTAAATTTGATCAAAATAAGTCAAATATCTACAATAACAGGTATGGTTTCTATTACTTTTATTATATAAAATTTAAGTACACTAATGTAGAAATAATACGATTCAAAAACTTTTGAAATAATTCATTTGTAAATAAAATTCAATTATCATGCTTTCAATCTTATTTACATTTTCAAATTTAACAATGGGTTGATTTTTAGTTTGAAATAGAATTTTTAAAGCATTCTATCAATTAAAAAAGATTTATTTTCAAATTCTGAATATTTTGTTAAAACAATGAAATAAGAATATTAGATTTTAATAATTCATTATCCTTTAATTATTAGATATCCCCCTGAAATTTAGAATCAGTTTTTATCGGTAAGGTAGAAAGGGAAAAATATAATGTATAAATAATATATTTATATGAGAATTCATTAATTGATTTAATATATAAATACAAATTAAAAATGGCTCTTAAACGAATTCAAAAAGAATTAGCTGATCTTTCTAAGGACCCTCCTTCAAATTGCTCTGCTGGTCCTATTGATGATAAAGATTAATTCCATTGGTAGGCCACAATTATGGGACCTGAAGGCTCTCCATATTAAGGTGGTCTATTTTCACTCAATATTCACTTTCCCACAGACTATCCATTCAAGCCACCAAAAATCAACTTTGTTACTCGTATCTATCATCCAAATATCAATCAAAATGGAGCCATTTGCTTAGATATTTTGAAAGATCAATGGTCCCCAGCCCTAACAATTAGTAAAGGTAAACTAATAATCATATAATTAGTGTTGTTAAGTATTTCCTCTTTGTTGACAGATCCAAACCCAGATGATCCCTTAGTGCCAGAAATCGCAAATATTTATAAAACTGATAAATAGCGCTATGAGGCAACAGCAAGAGAATGGACAAGAAAATATGCATCATGAAGAATCTATGTATATGTTTTATACATTGCTATAAAGTTATAATATATTTAATTTTGGTTTATTTTATTCACAAAAGAGAAGGAGAAGGATTATTTGTAATTGGAAAGGACTTTTTTCAAGAAAAATGGCAATTTCTGAATGGATCATTGGAAATATATTTTTGTTTGAAATGTTACAAGAATAAAAATAGTGAATATTTTATTGAAGAAAGATATATTTTGTATAAGTGGAGTGATGTTTATAACAAATTTCGAATATCAGAAAGTCATTCAAAATTGAATAAAATAAAATATTCTAAAACTTCTTCACTATTGACATTTTTTAGACTTATATAAAGAATGATTGCATTTAGAATTGGTCAGAAGTGGATCCAATGGAAATAGGCTTCATTCAAAGTAGTGATAACAAAAAGTTTGAAAATATTGTTATAAATTTTTAAAGTGTATTTCTACATTGATTATAAGAAATCTAATCCAAGATCTAAGAGTAGTATGTCCTAATTCTTGAAAGAGATGAGATATCTAAATTAGGAATTATATATAATATTATATATTTCATAAATTAAGAGTTTTATGTAAACAATTATTGATGCCAAATTTTTGTTAGGAATAGGAATTGGCTTTTTTGTGGCTTCATTTCTTATGTTACCAAAGATTTAAAATCAATCGGATAATTTGTCTTATTCTAAACTAAAACTATCATCTAAATCAATCCCTTCCACTTAAGATTTAAAATAAGTTTATTTGAAACAAAGTGGCAAATCCAAAGAATTTAAGGAGGAGAAGGGATCAACTTTTTAATTTCAAAAAAAAGGATTAAAGAATCATAAAAATGATTTTTTGGAAGAAGAAGATGAAATTAGAAAAAAGGTAAAGATGCAGTATCATCAATTTGAACCTATGTTTGATGATACATCTATTAAAGTAAAATCCATTAATACCTCCTCTGATTTTGAGAGCTCATAATAGTCAAGAATTGAATGCGCAACCTAATTACCAATAAACTAGAACTTTGTATCTTAACAGGATGATCAATAAAATGATAAAGGATCTGAAGAAATCAATAAAGATTTTTAAGTGCTAGCGAATATCCAAGAATCTCCAAATATATTATAATAATGGCATTAAGAATGATAAACTAAACGTTAAATGATAGTAATATATATATGTATATAAAATTTAGTGATTTGAGTTTATAATTTAGAGATAAATTTTTATTAAATTATTATTAATATGAATAAAGAAATATAGCAATTTTTGAATAAGTTAGAGAGTGTTTTTATATTTTAGTTTTTTTCCTGATTTAAGTAAACCTCCAAAACCTGATTTGGAATTTATGGATGAAGATGAATTGTATGAATGGCTTCATCAAAGATTATTATTATTTATTGTTACTAAGGATATTCAAATTGGAGCAGTGGCAATTTAATAATGGTGCTAAAGAGGACATTGTAGTATTTTTCAACTTTAATACATAGAACATTAGAATCTGGAATCCCATTGGTGCATTAATTTCTAACAATCATGGCCGGACAGTAACTGAAAAAAAATCCTAAAATGGCTGATGAAATAATTAATCTCATGCAAGATGATGAAGAGAAGTCAAAATTGGTGTATTAATTGTAATAAACTTAACAATAATAAGTAAGTTTACAAGTTTCAGATGTAAGTATAGTATTCCAATTAGTCACCCAAAGTATTAAAAGCACAACCTGATAAAAAGGACCCTAGCATATTCTAGAATATTTTAACAGCCTTAAGATGCTGGGATAAAAAATAAAAATGATTCACTTATAATCATAAAAATTGTTTTAAATTTCTAAAGATATCCCATAATCTGTTTGTGAAACTAAAGATTTAATATACAATCTTCTTACAACTGCCTAAATTTATCAAATTTAATATCAAATACACTATAAATAATTTTATTATTTGAATACTACTTATAAATGTAATTACAAAATAAGGAGCATTATCTTGGATAGAATACAATACATTGATCAGTCATTTTAATTCAACTTAAAAAGATAATGTAACTTTGACTAAATTTATGATATATATATTTTTTTTATCAAAAATCATTAAAATTCTGTAGAGTTAATATTTATCTGATGAAATTTTTGAATCTTGATGAATAGTCCTTTGGAGGAATGGCTGAAATTTATGGACCTTAAAAGATCTTTTTAAAGAATGATTCAATTTACTTTGAAGTACTAAACATAGCATTAAAATTAATTACTTAAATTCAGTCAGTATATCTATTATCCCGAAAAAGTAGATTTTAGTCTCATCGTTAGATTTTATAATATTTATGTCATTAATATTAGCAATCTTCTAAAAGTCCTTTTTGTCCTCTATAATATGAATTCCTATTAATAAACTGTAATCTAATAGATTATTATCTGATAAAAAATCTGAATCTTTTTCGATTTATTCTAAAAGTTCTTATTGCTTTGTTACGTTAATTGAGATTATTTCGTTATTAGCAATAAAATCCAAATCTTTACGAGCTACATCTGGATCAAGATTTTATTGAGTAGTTCTCTTATAAGTACTACCTTTGATATCATACTTTTTGTGGATTTAATATTCAGTTTTAAATACATTTCCCATTACAATGAAGAAGATCTTTCTGCCACTAATGCTTATTTTATGTAAACCATAGAGCTTGATTATTAGAGAATTTGGGCAATTTTTCAAATAGTTGAAGTAATTGCTTAGTATTTTTCTGAATAATAGAAACTCTCTCTCAGATATTGTTTTAATTGTGTACAATCCATCTTATGAAAAATAGAAAAAACTTCCACTTTTCCCGGTGGAAGTTAACTCAGTTAAGGTGCTGAGATCACCCTACATAAAACTAAATAAAAGATTTTCTGGGCCAATACTATTTAAATAGTTGTCATTATCGATCATCTATAACTTTCTGATTTAGTTAAAGACCTTAGGTGCGTAATCATAGAATTTGCATTTGTCTTTGTTTTGATGAGAAATTATTTCAAAACATTATTTAATTTCAAAATCTGCAGTTGAAATAAAGGTTTCAACTACAGCATTTGAAGATTTGACTGCCATTTATATACCTACCATCATATTAATAACTAAGTCCCATATTTCATTGCCAATTTATACAGAAGATTTTTTGTATTTATTATTGTTTATGGACACTTGTTTGATAAGGATCTATTCTTATATCTCATCGCATTCTAACTTCTCATGATATAAGCTCTCCATCTTCTTCAAAGAGTTTTCAGTATCTTAATGTAATTTTTAGAGTTATTAATACATATCTTTAAATTTAAGTTTTAATTAAGAATGTGACATTTAATCAATCATAGCCATTTCATCTATTTCTGATATATTTTCTGATATTTCAGCTTCTTCAAATAAAACATCAACTCCATATTTTGAATTTTAAGAAAGATTTTTTGATAGGTGTAGAGATCTATCTTATTACCCCTAAATAGAATTTAGTATCTGGGCAGTTTGAACCCTTAATTAATCAAATTAGTTTAACATCTTCTAATCTCTCTTGTGTTAACTCTCTTTAATAGTTTGAGTGACGCCTTTTCTCAAAAATTCAAAAATATCCAAAATCTGAGGATTTCTCATTAAGGCTGTAATATATTCTGATAATGAAATTTTTTAATCTTTATTTATGTCTATTAAATTGAATATTTGCTACTATCTTTTTTCTATATGATCAAGAATATCATCTGTCAAATCCGTCCCTTTCATAATAATATATGACTTTATTAACTATTACATTGTAAAGTTGAAGTCTTTATAGGTGATGTAACCATTTCTTCTTTGATCGATTAGACGAAAAGATATTTCTGCCTTTTCTTCTTACGTTCCATATGTTATTTTATCAAAGTAAGCTACAAATTCTTCAAATTCAATAAGACCATCTAGATTGATGTCCATCGCTTAAAATAACGCATCGCCCAGTAACGATATGGATTCCAATCCCAATACATCCAAATTTGATTTAAATTATTCCTTGTTGATGTACTTACAACCATTAGTCATTTAGATGAATCTAAGTAGATAAATATACAAGCCATTATACCTTTTTCGAAGCACATTTAGTTCTTTATCACTGAATCGAGATTCATTGGTATTGAGGAGTGTCTGCTGATACAATTTTTCCTTTCGATATTTGAAACAATCCATTTTAATTTGACAATCAATTTAGATTCTTTGAAAATAAATAACTAAAAAATATACTTTTTTTTCTAAATAAAACAAATGATCAGGGCGGTAATCTTGTTAGGTGGTCCGAGTAGGAAAGCAAGTTACGGAGCATATGAATAAGCATCTCCATTATTTCCAGTTAGTGGGATTGAAATTATTGGTCATCTTTTGAATGCAATTCAGAAAATGCCAAATTTGAAGGATTTTGTTCTTATGGGCTATTATGATAAGAAGTGTTTCTTACAATTTTAAGAGAAATACTAAAAATTGTATGGCAAACATATATATTACGTCTAAGAATAGAGTGAAATGGGAACAGCAGGTGGATTAGCATAAAATTTAGAAGTATTATTTGAAGAAGTTGAGGGTATTTTACACAAATTAACTCTAAGATCTTTTGGTAGTACATTCAGATATTTGTTGCGATTTGTAAGCCTAGAAATTCTATGAATATCATAAGAGGTAATTTATATTGGATATCAAAATTAGTAAATCTGGAATTTGCAGTATAATGACGGTTAGAGTATCCAAAGAAGAATCGACTCGTTATGGGTGTTTGATTAAGGATCCTAATACAGATTAATTAATACATCATGCGGAGAAACCAGAATAATATATTTCAAATTTGGTAAATTGTGGAGTGTACCTCTTTAATTAATCATTCTAAACAACAATCTTGAATGTAAAAGCAAAAAAAGAAGCCAATTTAAGTGAAGAACTTTAAGATTAACCCTTTGTTAAGTATATAAAAAGAAGCACAGATTTGGATAAGTCTTACTTGTCATTAGAGAATGATGTATTAAAATTGACAGAAAGAGATAGAGTTTTCGTATATGAACATACAGGATTCTGGCAATCAATTAAATCAACAACTGATCTTCTAAATGCAAATAGACTTCTGCTCCAATATTATAGGTAAAATCCTTTCCTATTCAATAATCCTGAGTTTGAAATTAATGGAGAGGGAGTATTGATTCATAAGAGTGCTAAAATTCATCCCACTGCAAAATTAGGCAGCAATGTAGTTATAGGTGCTGGTTGTGACATTGGAGAGGGAGTTCGTATAAAGAATTCAATTCTATTAGATGGTGTTGAAGTCAAGGTAATTATCATTTCAAATTATAGAATTTCTCATTTATTTCTAATTCAATAATCTGCTACAATACGATTATAGGATATTGGTGTAGAATTGAAGGAGAGGTTTAATTTTTAGGGCCATGTGTGATAGTGGACAATGAATTATTTTTAAGGGATGTTATTTGTCTCCAAAATTGCAGAGTGTCTGAAAGCAAAGATGGAGGCTGTTTGATGTGAAAATTATAATTATATATATATATTATCAATCAACACCTAAACATATATCAATTGTTGTGTCATATACTACTGTGGGCATTACTGATTGCATAAATTTCAAGAAGATAAACAAGGCCTGCATTGGCTTAATATCTGCTCCATTTTATTTTGCTTTGTCAAGGAATGCCTTCATTGTTGTTGAATGATTGCATGGATGTATTGTTACTTATTAGTAATGAAGGTATGGATGTTCTTCTACTGTTACTGTTTCATTCTAATAGACACTCATGATGTCCTCGTAAATTTCTTAATGTTTTAAAGGTAAACCAGTATTTAATGCTACTCCTTACAGCCATAATCTTGGACAATGATATTTACGGTCATATGTGATTGTGATTGTATACACCCGAGTCTCTTGTTCATTCAAAGCTTGTTATTGCTTTTTACTCATATCCACACATAGAAAACCGTCTTGTCCTTGATTGTTTTAGAAATCAAAGGACAAAAACTCTTTGATGCGTGTTTAAGATGTGGCATTGGCTATGAGATACATCTTTTCTGGATGAGGAGGATCTACACCTTTTTTAACTTGAGCTTTTTTCCATTGCCATCCAGTCATAGTCAACTGATCTCCAGCCTCGACAAATTATTCTGGTGTTAGCCATCCTTTCGAATAGAAATCCTATGCTTTTGGAGTGGCAAAAGAATTCACAAAATTGTTGATTCCTTGAAACATTTTGTACTTTAATTATTATTTGCAAATATAATATTTGGAAAATCAATATAGTTTAATAATATAGTCATTACATGTCAATAAGATACTCTTCAACCTTTTCGTATATCAATACATATGCCTATTGCTACAAAACATCTTGTTCTGTAACTAAATATATTTTGTGATCATCAAAATAATACCACTATTTAAATAGAAATGATTCTTTACCTGATCTTGTCTAGATGAAAATGTAACATAATGGCCTCTTTCAGGTGTTCCTTAATGAACAATGATTGATCTTAATTTGTATTTGGCTTTTATGGAACAAAATCTATGATAATTTTAGAATTGTAGTTTACTCTTAAACATCAAGACTGATTGGGAATCTCACATGTCCATTCAACTTAATCCTATTGGGATAGACCTGAAATCTTTTTAAATGTATCATCAAATACAAAGGAGGTGTACCAATTACATACTTTTTAACTGCTCTGGTTTCATTATAACAATTTTCACACTAATAGTGATCACTCAGTATCTCTTAGGCAAAGAATAATCTTAAACATTTTTCTAAGGTTTGCAACTTATTCATAGGCAAAGATAAATCCAAAAATGATTCAAACTTAGAGGATTATTGGTTACATTAATCACATTTAATCAAGGACATCATCTAACCCTGAAAGGCAATCTCTGTGATTGGCTAATCATACTTTAATTATCCTTAAATTTCGACAGTCAACTACTCTATGAAGTATCTTAAAAATTCTTGGGAATCGTGTTATTGACGGGGGTCAAATTTACTTTTTATCAATTACTTTAATAACTAAATTTTAATAAAGGCCCCTGCCTTTTTGTTAACTGCAATTGTGATTATTTCTAAATAAGCATTTAACCATCTGTACTTATCTGACTATTAATTGGCTATTTTCTTCCCTTCATTCATCATCCAACAATTTATTTATTCAACTGACAATAGAGTTTGTAAAGCTGCATGCATAAAGCAATAATTAGATTCGTTATAAAATCCAATAGGAGGCAGTTCAAATTAAGATTTTTGGAAAGGCAGAGTGATACTCATATATGAAACAGTATCTACCAATCCTGACTACAATGAACTGACTCTCGATAAAGTAGGTTTATGAGTTGAATTCTCAAATCCCTCTCCTTTGCTATAATCTTAAACTGAGACTTCAGGTCCTCCACCATATAAACAATGAATGAACATCCAAGTATTTCGATTAAGTAAGACAAAATCCACATCTTATTTTAAGTTTGGCTTGTAAATTGCTTCTGTTGAACACTAGTCAGCAAAGAAAGGTTAGTTATTTATAGGTCCCGGCACTTTTGTATTTATATGTTACAAATAACTAGTATAATATTTAGCCCAATCAATATGAAGCATGTATTATAATTTGGTTTGCTGTGAAATCAAGGTTCGAATAATTTATCCCTCCACTTCAGATCTTGTATAGATAAGTGCTCTTACCTTTGAGGTGAAGTAAGATGCTTTTTGATAGTCTAAAGAAAGCGATTAACGATGTAATCATAGGCATGTCCGGCACTCTTAATAGTGAACAACACTTACATTCACTTAAGTGATCTTTGTGCTCCCTGATAATGAGTCTTCCAACTTTGATGGTGAGTTCAAGAATTATTTACTTGCAGGTCTCATTAGAACTTGTTTCCCTTATCCAGGATGCTTGAACTCTGGAAATTGTGGAACCACTAGATTTGTAGTTTCATCACTCTCATAAATTCTAGAATATTTACTCATTCATTCGATCTAAATTATTATCATCAACATCACCTTTAGTTTTTAATAACATATTTAATAATATTAGAACAAAAATCACAATGTAAAAAAACATTCATAAACATCTTGATCAATTAACTATTCAATACTCTAAATCCCTTCAGTGTTTTCAATTGATTAATCTACAGCATACACTTGAACACTCATTTTCCCTTACATCACTAAGTTTGCACATTCTCTCAGTTTCTATGGGAATGCATCATCTAAATATCTGATCACATCCTAAATCTCACTAAATGCATAATTCTTATTCACAATCTTATCCCAAATAAACTGAGCTTCCTCCTACAAAGTTTTAAATTTAATCTCGTTGTATAATTTATTTATAGTATATAATTTCTACTCCAAAATGTCCTCATCTTGCAAATTGCTCAAATGTAAATTAGCTTAATTTAAGAACTTCTCTATCTCTTCATTCCCCTCAGATGGTATAACTCCTTACATGTACACTTACAACCCATCTGAACATCCTAGTGGTTTTCTCTTAATTAAGACTTATTGACCCATTTTAAAGTAATTGTTTGAATAAGATTATAGGAAATCTGCATAAAAATACAACTTAGAAGTGGTTTCTATATTTTTCAATCCTGTTTAATAATAATTGAGTATGGATGAAGTCATATCGTTATTCGATTCTCTTTGAACTATATACTTTAAATTTTATCCCTTTAAATTTAATGTCCTAGTCAAATAGGTTTCTTGTGAGTCTTCAAATAGACTATCATTTGGCAGTATATTTCCAATGTGTAAAATTTCTATTTTACTGGACAACAGCTATCCCTAGAATTCCAAAAACTTTTGATAATCCACTTCATCCAATACATTCAATATTTCTTATGGAGTGTTAATTGGTCTCAACATAATCTTTGGTAAATAATATTGTTGTGTCAAAAGCGATAATTTCTAATCATGGAATCTTTTGATATCTTTATCCAATAAATCCTTTACATAATAGAATAGCTATTCATCATCGATACTCATCAAATCAAACAACTTATCCTAAAATTCTGATTGCTTCTCAGAATAACTTAGCATCTACACATTCAGACCATTGATTGTCTCTTTGAAAGATAACTCATATCCAAATAAAAATTCTTATTAAAACAGTCTCTTAGCCAATTCTGTATAATATTTTTGCAACAATTTCAACATAGTTTTACCTTAGGCTAATGTAGATTCAGGTTTTTCAATAAATAATCCAGTAAACACCATTGCACCCAATCTACTCGGTTTCCACCAAACATTACTAGCAATCTAAAATGGCGTTAATGAGACTTAAGCAGCCTTCTCCTTCTCTTAACAATTAACTGAGAAGTCTGGCAATGGATATTCGCAAACAAACTCAACTGTTTCAAACTTTGGTTCTCTTGAACCATCAAATTTCCCATCTTTTACTGTTAGACTTATATCATCCACTTGTTAAAACCCAAATCCTTGTAATTCATATACAGGTTCACACACTGATATTATAGCCAAATTTTCAGGTAAAAATGGGCTTATAGATGGTAATGAAAATTAATATTAATTGTTCAGTTCAAATAATTTCACTAATGGTTTTAAGTCATATGTAAAACCTTAATGAATTTTATTTAATACAGCATCTAATATAAATATTGAGTCATCTTTTTGTGATTCATATGTTTAATTGTATTGGAAATTCTCACTTCCAACCAAAACTACGAAATTATTTGCCAAATTAGATAAATATTGATTGAATTTGCTTCTATCAAAGATTGGCTCACTTTCCTACCCTCTCAATACGTAGATAGGATCAGAGAATAAGTTCTATCCAATCTAAACAAGACTCTCTTCATATTTTGTATTAAATAATAATTCCTCTGTTGCCAACATCTAAGAATATAAATGTTGAAGTTAAGTTTCGTCAGCACGCTTTAGATAATCTAAAAATTAGATCAATTAATTTATGGAAAGTAAAACATTTCCTAAATCTATATCTAGTGTTACTAACAGATGATTCTACCACATTGCCCCATAAAATGGTTTTGGTAAAAGGTATGCTAAGAATCTTTAACAACTAAATTAATCGCTTAAAGATAGGATTGTCAATACTTCTGTATCACTTTTGAATTTTAAGATATGTCTACCTAAAGGATGTCTATTCTAGAATATTGGCTGTTAAAATTTATGTAAATTTTTTAATTTTGTCAGATCCGATTAAAATAGTTTATCTAATATAGATTCATATTCATCTGAGGTTTTAAAAACTAGACTTAGAGTATCAGCTGAAACATGTTGTATATATTATTGGTATAATTATTCCTAATCAACTTCTAATATTTTAAGTTCTTTTAATTCTGTTTATTAACTTAAGAAGTCGCTCACATATTCCAAATCCCCAGATTTTGAATCATGCAACAAATCATCAAATAGATCCTTAGCATTCTTCTCAATATCGATAAATTACGGTTTTGTTAATATGTTGTACAATTCTTATAACTTTGTGTTTAATTCTTCAAATAAACTTAGCTAAGCTGTTAGAGTAGTATAATGTTTATAGATTTCGATATAAAAATTGGTTTATAAACACCTAAAGAGTAGTTCGGTCAACCCAGGCTTATCCTATGGATCATTCTGCTTTCCAATATTTAATGTAATTGTCAGGTGAATACCTTCAGTAGTTGTTTAAATAAACAAAACTTTTATTCCATTCTATAACTCCTTATAAGTATAAATGTTCTTGGAAAATACAGGTTTAAGGACTTAGATTTCAGATTCTTATGATATTATAAGTTCTTCTAAATCCTAAACAACATTTTGTTAATCTTCCAATTGCTCCTCTATTTCTTTAATGATTTCATCATCATCATCCACCCAATCAGTCTGAATATCTGTGTATTATTCTATTTTTGAGATATAACTATCCAAAACACTATCTATTGCAAGTTCATCTTCTTTTGGTGCTTTGTTATCACTTACATTTTATAGTCCATCATTAGTTTTATTTAAAACTTATTATCCATCCGAATCTTTTTAGTGAATGTTTAATTAGTCTCCACGTACATCATTATCAATAGGTGAAGATGGAATTATAACTAATCAATTAATAAAGCAAGCTTACCTTTATAATGCTTCAACAACCCAAATCCTGATAATCCAATCATAAATACTAAAATCAGTATTACTATTGCATCAAATTTGGATGGACCTGATTAATCATCAAATGTTTTATTCTTATTTTAATCTCCATTCTTTTAATTGCCATATCCTTATTTTTCCATATAGCCCTAGTCTTTAAGTAATCTTTCATCTTCTTCCTCACTCATATTATATAAGAATAATTTAATATTCAAAACGGATGATAAAAAATTGATACTAATAAAAACTGTAACATAAATCCATAATTCATTTTTTCATATGCTTTTATAAAAATGGGACGTAAGAGATACACATTACGAGTGCTAGCAAACCTGTAATAGAAGCAATTCTGTCTAGATCACAAAAATTGGATAAAAACCCCCCAATAAAAGGACCTGAGAATTCTCCTAATGAAATAGAAGCAGAGAATATTGCTGATGCAAAATTATTACATTGTTTCACGGAATTTGGATATAATTCTATCAAGGATTCATTTAATTAAGGCAAACTGTAAATTAAACTAAGAATATAGAATTAATTTTTACGGAAATGATTATGCAATTCCTGTTACAGCTAAACTGATACAACAAAGTAGCAAATTTCTTTCGATTCCAGTAAATGCAGGATCAGGACCATAAAAAAATAAAGCTAATCCATTTAAGAGTTGAAAGCCAACCATATAAAATGGCTTATTTGGATTCTGAATTTTCGTTATCAAAATTGTAGCTATCGTATAGCTCATAGGTTATAATCCCATATAGAACCCAACTGTAGACTCCTATATTTGGTAATGATCCTGCATATATTAAGCCATTAATGGGAAATTGATGGTTATTGAAGTTGTCACCATTACACACATCAAAGCATTTATATAAACATCATATTGTTGGAGAACCTCTTAATATTATAAAGGCTATTCCATTTAGGGCTCAGAATGTTATGAATGAAGATTTATTTCTATCATTTCTATCTCGCATTCTTTTTTCGTAATTTCAAATTCATAATTGTGAATATAATAACCACACAATATAGAAAAAATGATGAAAGTAATAAAGGGGAAAGTGAACCCTCCTATTGAATATAAAATGGACCCTATCATCGGTCCAAGCATATATCCGAGTGCAGAAGCTGCCTCTGCCAAAGCTATTTTTTGCTCATGTTCTTCCGGGAATAAAAATGGAATATAAGAATAAAAAGATGTAACAAAAATTGAATACGCCTATATATTTATTATAATTTACTATGCCATTTACAACTCTTGAAACCAATGAAATTATAGTTATAAACCAATATGTTTATATTAAATAAATTAGGATGAAAAGAAATAAGCATATAGCTTAAACAATCATTGAGCCTGCCAACAGTATTTATCTATTCTTATCATTAAGCACTTCTCCAATTTTGATTGATCCAAAAATCCCACCCAATGGATGCAATGCAACAATTATGCCTACTAATGTTTTCGATAATCCTTATTCAAATGCAAACGGAGGAAAAAACGGGGCTATCAATGCCATAGATGCACAAATGATAAAATTCGCATTATTCAATAATTTGAATAATTCTTGTTGTTTATTATTCATTAAAATATTTTGGTTCGATAATTGATTTATTTTATAAACATTTGATAACATCTGATAGGTCATCAATATTTCATACTAAGTATTAAGTATTAAGCATTGCTTTATTAAATAATTAATTACATTTATATTATATTAAACTTACAAACATGTTTGTTAGCTCAAGATAATTTATTTTTTAAAGCTTTGAGATTAATGAAATTCGGTAGCTTCTTTGATTTAAATTATCAAATTTATTTGAAGTATTCTTAAAAATACTATTTTTTATCATTTAAATCTGTATTTATAATTTTACTACATGCCTTACTAAATATATCAACTTGAAGATGAAATATACCATAAGCTTTAGTTTTAAGTATGGGAATTATTTTATCTTGAAAACATTTTATTTTTATACGAATTCAATTATTTAATTATATGAAAGAATCAATATAATGTTGACTACTTATTTATTTTAATTAGTAAGGACGATATTTAAAACTCGTTAGTCCAAACGAAGCCAATTTAACTCATAAAAACTTTTACTCTTGACTATTTAATTTCTTATTAACTTGCTATGATGATAAAAAAAATCTCTCAAATAAATTTCACTTTAAATTTGTTATAACATTGTTGATTTGCTTATAGTTCCACCATTTCTCAGTTATTTAATATTTTTTATATCATAAATCTATAATCTTTTATCCTCCCATTTTAATTACTTTTTTTGTTCTTCTTACCAATATAAAGAAATAGTAATTACACTATCCTTATTCAATAGCAACCATCCTATTTGGATGTGCATAATAAAATTAAGCCATAGATTAATAACAAACTTATCAGTAAGTAATGAATATTCTTTTGTTTTTTTACTTTTTTAGAATTTGCTTTCTAATAATAAGATTAAATGATATAATAATATACAATTTTTGGTCTCTTATTATATTTTTTTATGCATTTAATAAAAATGATTCTGACTTGCAGACATTTTTTTAACAAATTTTTAAATAAATTCTGATTGAGTTAAATGCTCTTTCAAAGAATAACTGAATTTTTTAATTTAATAATACTTGTCTTAACCAAACTTTTATAATAAAGAAGTGTAAATCAAAAAAAATCGATTTTTTTTATGACTTAGATAAATTTTGAAAATAATTAAAGTATGATTATTCTTTTATAAATAATTCTAAAAGGTTCAGAACAAATGATGAAGTTGTTTGAGTTATTTTTCGATAGATTAAATTGTTTAATCAACTCAATATATTAGATGGACTTTAAATTAACTAATAATAATCATTTACGAATTTATATAATAGACTACCTGAATAAAACAAGTAATAATTAGAAAAGAAGTATTGAAAAACATAAACTAGCCTCAGCAAAAAGTTTCAATTATAATGAAACCAATAATTTAGCGGTAAAACAATAAAAATAATTCTTTGAGAATATGGAGAGTTTAATAAATTCTTCGATTGATTTCAACTTGAAATTAAATTAAATTATTATCATAGTTCCACAATATAAAATATTTTTAAGTTACTAAAATAAAAGCGAATTAGACTAAATAAATCATGATTCTAAACTTTATTTTTTGCGCACTATCAATTAATTTAACCAAGGCGTAAACTCTCCATTGTTCATTTGTTTACATTAAAAAATTTCATTATTTTTTTGCGGACCTAATTAAGGTGATTCACTTATAGACTCTTAAAAAACTATTCCTTTTTTCTTTGACTTTTCGCTATAATGATTTTAGATTCATACTAATATTCTAATTCTTTATTTCTTGGATCAGTTTTAAATTATACTCCCAGTTACCGTAAATACAGCACTATTCTATGTTCACTTTCAAGTTACTCCTAATTAGAACAATGGAACTAGGGTAGAAAGCTATCAAGCGATTCCACGGATTCAGTAGGTAAGATTTGTTTTTCTAATTGTTCAGAAAACAGAAGCTCAATCTTGGATTTTGTCAAATCACTTCCTCTTTTACCATACTACATTTAATAATTATTATGTTTATTAATAAATTTTTCAATCTCCATTATTGTGATAAATTTTTAATTAGTTTGTTTTGATAAAGTCATAAATTATTATTAGCTTCTATTATTATCAAATCTAATGATATAAATTTTTATCATTGTTTTTGAATGGGGAAATTCAAGGAATTGTCGAGCCGGCCAAAATTTTTAATTAATAAAATATTATTAAGAATCAACTCGATGTTAATTTATTGTTGCTTCAACGCTAGCTTTAAGATCAATTATATCTTCTAAAAACAATTAATTAAAATATCTTAATCAATATCTTAACTTGTATTTATAAACTTAATCTTGATAAAAATTTCATTTTTAGAAATCATAAATTTTCGAATGCTAATGATAATCTTAATTATAAAAAATAAATATTTCTCTCATATAAAATAATAGATTGAATATTTTCTAACTAATAAAATTTTATAGATACAATTTTATAAAGTCCTTCAATCTAAGTAATAAGGATAAAGATTATTCCAAAATCTTCTTCTGCCTCATTCCAAGAATGAGTTGTTATCAATAATCATGGAAAATTATCAATTAGATGATTTATCATTTGATTTTGATAAATCAAGGAATTTTTGAGTTAGAATTTCTGCAATTTTATAATTTCATTTTAATTTTCTTGATGTAAAATAATGTTGGGGCTAACTTTGATAAAATTAAACTAAAAGCCTTTATTGAATTATAAAAGCTCTCCTTAAAAACTTTGTAAATTAGAAATTAAATTTATTATATTATAGAACTAAATAGAAAGCTAATTTAAAATTATTATGAAAAATATGATTGACTTATATATTTTATATGATTTATCAAAAATTATTACTTTATTATGTTTAAGCCATATAGTTTAGGACTTTTTATTCGCTTTCTTTAATTAATGAAATTCTCAAGGACATTGATTTTTTAAAATTGTTCAAAAACTTTTCAGCTTGCTCTTATTTTGAAATTAATTCTTTAAATAATTCAAGAAGTAAAACCTGATTTTGATCACCAAAATTAGATGCTTCTATATCAAATTACTTATGAACAATATTTTAAAATAATGATGTTTCCGATTTAACAGATTCGGTTATTGCTTTTATTTTATCTATCTATGATTTAGATTTGCTCAAACCTTGTAAACCATTGAATATTTCACAACTTACTTTGATTAATAATGTGCAATTTTTCTGTAATTAATCTTTTAGTGTCTTAGTTTGCTAAACTAATTCTTTTATTATTATATTTATTTCATCAATTTATTTATCCTATTCAACTATTTTTGGATCGCCTCTTTACTCTTTCTAAATCAACATTTTCTCATATAATATTTTATTCAATTTATTTTAATCCTCACTTTCATATTTATCAAAATTAAATTTATTTATGGAATCATACAAAGATGTTTGATACTAGTTTAGCAATTATTAGAACTTTCTTAACACTTCAGTAATCAATTCATTCGGATTATCTATCGCTTGGCTATTTAAATATTTTTCTTCAAATATTTCAAGGGACATTTCAGATAAAAATTATTCTATTTCCTTTACATCATAATTCTTTGTATCCAATTCTTATCTTAAATAAGATAAATCACTTTGTAAATTTTAAATTTCAGCATCTTTCCCATCTAATTACTCTTTGTAAAATATTTCAAGACTCTATATTTTATTTCCCATCTCTTCTTAAAGTTACTTATTGATTAATTATTCTTATTCTAAATATTAAATTTATTGGATTAATGATTCAGATTAATTTTAATCAACATTTAATTTAGAAGAATTTTAGTGTTCATGCTACCTTTCTTGATGAAGGAATGTGTATTATTACATAATTTATTGTTTTAAAAGTTAATCCTATACATGTATATTAAGGAAGGAGAAAAATTATTATTCAATATTATAACTTTGTTCGATAGTCGAATTGTTGAATTAAGATTAATTGGATATAAAATTATATTAAGGATTTTCTAAATTATAAGTAATTGGTTAGATTTATGGGGAATCATTCAGAACAATTTACTAAAAAGGTTAGTCTTAATAGTTGACCTAGGAATATGATTCTACTTTTTATTATTAATCTTAGCTTTCTACATAAATAATTTAAATATCATTTTTATGTTAATTTTAATTGGAGACTAATTCATTTGTTTCTAAGGTTAAGTTTAATTAATTTGAATTTAAATGATACTTTTCTATTTATTCAGTTTATTCTTCATTTTAAATGTATTGTTAATCTTAATGTTTAGTTTAATCATTATTATCTTCATTTTGCTTTTATACATGCTAATGTTAATCTTAAGTCTTAACTTCCACATTAGTATATTCATTCTACTTTTATTCATTTTATTACTAATCTTAATTCTATACTTATTCACTATTATCTTCATTCTATTTTTATTGATTTGATTGTTAATCTTGATTCTCTACTTCTTCTTTATTATCTTCATTCAAACTTTATTAATTTTATTGTTATTCTTGATTCACAACTTCTTTATTATTGTCTTCATTCTACTTTTCTTCATTTTAGTGTTAATCTTAATTTTCCGCTTATACATAAATATCTTCACTTTACTTTTAAGGATAAGATTGTAAATCTTGATTCTGTACTTATTCACTAATATCTTCATTCTACTTTACTTCATTTTATTATTAATCTTGATTCTCCACTTATTCATTATTATCTTCATTCTACTTTGCTTCATTTTATTATTCTTCTTGATTCTCCACTTATTCATTATTATCTTCATTTTAATTTACTTCATTTTATTATTATTCTTGATTCTCCACTTATTCATTATTATCTTCAGTCTACTTTACTTCATTTTATTATTCTTCTTCATTCTTCACTTATTCATTATTATCTTCAGTCTACTTTACTTCATTTTATTGCTATTCTTCATTCTCCACTTATTCCTTATTATCTTCATTTTAATTTACTTCATTTTATTATTATTCTTGATTCTCCACTTATTCATTATTATCTTCAGTCTACTTTACTTCATTTTATTGTTATTCTTCATTCTTCACTTATTCATTATTATCTTCAGTCTACTTTACTTCATTTTATTGCTATTCTTCATTCTCCACTTATTCCTTATTATCTTCATTTTAATTTACTTCATTTTATTATTATTCTTGATTCTCCACTTATTCATTATTATCTTCAGTCTACTTTACTTCATTTTATTGTTATTCTTCATTCTTCACTTATTCATTATTATCTTCAGTCTACTTTACTTCATTTTATTGCTATTCTTCATTCTCCACTTATTCCTTATTATCTTCATTTTAATTTACTTCATTTTATTATTATTCTTGATTCTCCACTTATTCATTATTATCTTCAGTCTACTTTACTTCATTTTATTGTTATTCTTCATTCTTCACTTATTCATTATTATCTTCAGTCTACTTTACTTCATTTTATTGCTATTCTTCATTCTCCACTTATTCCTTATTATCTTCATTTTAATTTACTTCATTTTATTATTATTCTTGATTCTCCACTTATTCATTATTATCTTCAGTCTACTTTACTTCATTTTATTGTTATTCTTCATTCTTCACTTATTCATTATTATCTTCAGTCTACTTTACTTCATTTTATTGCTATTCTTCATTCTCCACTTATTCCTTATTATCTTCATTTTAATTTACTTCATTTTATTATTATTCTTGATTCTCCACTTATTCATTATTATCTTCAGTCTACTTTACTTCATTTTATTGTTATTCTTCATTCTCCACTTATTCATTATTATCTTCATTTTAATTTACTTCATTTTATTATTATTCTTGATTCTCCACTTATTCATTATTATCTTCATTTTAATTTACTTCATTTTATTATTATTCTTGATTCTCCACTTATTCATTATTATCTTCATTTTAATTTACTTCATTTTATTATTATTCTTGATTCTCCACTTATTCATTATTATCTTCATTTTAATTTACTTCATTTTATTATTATTCTTGATTCTCCACTTATTCATTATTATCTTCATTTTAATTTACTTCATTTTATTATTATTCTTGATTCTCCACTTATTCATTATTATCTTCATTTTAATTTACTTCATTTTATTATTATTCTTGATTCTCCACTTATTCATTATTATCTTCATTTTAATTTACTTCATTTTATTATTATTCTTGATTCTCCACTTATTCATTATTATCTTCATTTTAATTTACTTCATTTTATTATTATTCTTGATTCTCCACTTATTCATTATTATCTTCATTTTAATTTACTTCATTTTATTATTATTCTTGATTCTCCACTTATTCATTATTATCTTCATTTTAATTTACTTCATTTTATTATTATTCTTGATTCTCCACTTATTCATTATTATCTTCATTTTAATTTACTTCATTTTATTATTATTCTTGATTCTCCACTTATTCATTATTATCTTCATTTTAATTTACTTCATTTTATTATTATTCTTGATTCTCCACTTATTCATTATTATCTTCATTTTAATTTACTTCATTTTATTATTATTCTTGATTCTCCACTTATTCATTATTATCTTCATTTTAATTTACTTCATTTTATTATTATTCTTGATTCTCCACTTATTCATTATTATCTTCATTTTAATTTACTTCATTTTATTATTATTCTTGATTCTCCACTTATTCATTATTATCTTCAGTCTACTTTACTTCATTTTATTGTTATTCTTCATTCTTCACTTATTCATTATTATCTTCAGTCTACTTTACTTCATTTTATTGCTATTCTTCATTCTCCACTTATTCCTTATTATCTTCATTTTAATTTACTTCATTTTATTATTATTCTTGATTCTCCACTTATTCATTATTATCTTCAGTCTACTTTACTTCATTTTATTGTTATTCTTCATTCTCCACTTATTCATTATTATCTTCATTTTAATTTACTTCATTTTATTATTATTCTTGATTCTCCACTTATTCATTATTATCTTCATTTTAATTTACTTCATTTTATTATTATTCTTGATTCTCCACTTATTCATTATTATCTTCATTTTAATTTACTTCATTTTATTATTATTCTTGATTCTCCACTTATTCATTATTATCTTCATTTTAATTTACTTCATTTTATTATTATTCTTGATTCTCCACTTATTCATTATTATCTTCATTTTAATTTACTTCATTTTATTATTATTCTTGATTCTCCACTTATTCATTATTATCTTCATTTTAATTTACTTCATTTTATTATTATTCTTGATTCTCCACTTATTCATTATTATCTTCATTTTAATTTACTTCATTTTATTATTATTCTTGATTCTCCACTTATTCATTATTATCTTCATTTTAATTTACTTCATTTTATTATTATTCTTGATTCTCCACTTATTCATTATTATCTTCATTTTAATTTACTTCATTTTATTATTATTCTTGATTCTCCACTTATTCATTATTATCTTCATTTTAATTTACTTCATTTTATTATTATTCTTGATTCTCCACTTATTCATTATTATCTTCATTTTAATTTACTTCATTTTATTATTATTCTTGATTCTCCACTTATTCATTATTATCTTCATTTTAATTTACTTCATTTTATTATTATTCTTGATTCTCCACTTATTCATTATTATCTTCATTTTAATTTACTTCATTTTATTATTATTCTTGATTCTCCACTTATTCATTATTATCTTCATTTTAATTTACTTCATTTTATTATTATTCTTGATTCTCCACTTATTCATTATTATCTTCATTTTAATTTACTTCATTTTATTATTATTCTTGATTCTCCACTTATTCATTATTATCTTCATTTTAATTTACTTCATTTTATTATTATTCTTGATTCTCCACTTATTCATTATTATCTTCAGTCTACTTTACTTCATTTTATTGTTATTCTTCATTCTTCACTTATTCATTATTATCTTAATTTTATTTTTCTACATTTTATTGTTATTCTTGATTCTCTTCTACTTCATTATCATCTTCATTTTATTTTTAATCTTGATTCTCTACTTATTCATCATTATCATCCTTTTTCCTTTTTTAATTTTGTTCTTTTTCTGTCTTTTCTACTGTGTCATTATTTTCTTCATTTTACTTTTATACATTTTCTTGTTAAAGTTACTGTTTTTTACCTTAGTTATCTTATTAATTATCTATTTCTTCACTCATATATTTATCAATATTTTATTTTTATTAATTTTCTTCTTATTTTAACAATAACTCATTTTCTTCTAAGGTTTTATTAACATTTTCTGAGGTTATAGTATTTTCTTATGTAATTTGCGGATCATTTTATTCTAAATTCACTTTTTCTTTTCCTTTATTATCGTTAGTATCAGTAATTAGTTCTGAATGAATTTCTTCATTTTCATAATTTTCTACTTCATTATCTGTATTTTTTTATTTTTAAATTGCATGTGTTTATTTTTCTTCTCCTTCTATCATCTCTTTTTCTAATTCATTGTTTTATTTTTATTTTTCTAAGTTATTTTTATCTTCTTAGTTCACCTAATCATTTTTATCATCCTCATTTTAAATTTCCCCTTGATTATAGTTTTCTTGATTTGAAATTTTTTAACTATTCATATTAATATATATATAAATTTAACATCTTTTTATTTGATTTAATAGTTCTAGAATCACTTAATTATTAATTACTCAAAAAATATTCAATATTAATATTAACTCTGATATCTTGCTGCCTAATAAAACAAAACATAGAAATAGGTGAAATAAACATTTCTTCTTTAATAAATAAAATAATTTTTATTGAAAGTTGATGTCCAGAATTCATCAAAGTGAAGCCTTAACTTATAAAATTTCAAATATATAAATAATTATTTAAGGGCTTTATACTATTATTAGAAATTTTAATGAAATAATACAAAAATAATTTAGAGAAGGAAGAGGAAAAAGCTCCATAATCTATTATTTAAAAGCATTAAGTTGAAAATTTTATTTAAGAAAATAAGGAAGAAGTTCCTAATTAAGAATATCAAAAAAGTTACAGATTGAATTAGATAAGAGAAAAGAAATAAATTTCAATTAAATAATAATTAGATGCATTATCAACAGCTACATCAAATTTTTACAAAGAATCGAATGAAAATCAAATTAAGGATTAACCAACTATAGTTTAGTTTTATTAGAAGATAGATTAAAGTTAGATTAACTTAATTAAATAATAGAGAGTAGCAAACAGAATTATTTCAGCCAAACCATTAAAACATTTAGTGATTAAGAGGGGATAGGATTCGCCTTCATTTTAATAATTTGAAAGCCAAGAGTAAAAAAGGTCTCTTCTAATTTTCTAAGGTTAAGGTGATAAGCAATCATAGTAAGAGGATAAAGAGATGATTCCTGTTAATTAATAAATAAGTTAAGATTAACCTTCACAAATATTTAAAAGGCCGTCTAGATTAAGAAAAATTTCTCAAACAAATGGAGCTTATTTAGCATAAACAAGCTAATAATAGGAGCCTTAAATAGAATCCTAGTTATTGGAATCTTCTAAAGAATAATTAATGGGAAATTAAAGTGAAAAAAGCAATAAGGATGAATTATACGATTCATTAGAAATAGAGACAATTTAAAATATTTCAAAAATGAAAGAAGTAAGAAAATTTTATATTCAAGAGCTAATTCGATGAGATAACTAAAATAGAGTTTAGATTTAATGCCAAGGAAGGTTCACTCTATATGTTGGGAGAACTTTTAACAAATCTATAAGAGCTAACATTAGATAATTCAAATATTGAATCTTTGAGACTGTTAGGCACAAAATTGACATTTTTATAAATATTAAGCATTAGAAAATCAAATTTAGTGGATTTATCTGGTAAAATATATAAATTAATCTTAGGAATCCTAAGTATGCCTAATTTAGTAGAGTTAAATTGTTCATTTAATAGTATAAGCGATGTGAGCCCCTTAGCATTTCATACTAGAATTGCAAATTTAGATCTAGAAGGGAATCTATTAACTGATGAAGATCAATTGGATCATTTAGAATCCTTAAATTTATAAAATTTAAACCTTAAGAAGAACCCAATATGTTAAAACTAAAAATTATATGAAATAATCTGCCAAAGATTTGCTGATATAAAATTGGAAATAGATGGCAATTCAAAAATTTTAGAGATCCCAATAGATGAATAAAAATAAACTTCGAAAATTCATTAACAAGAATAGAAAATATATCAAGAATAATAAAAAATTAAATAGTTATAAACAATCATAGATGATTTAGAGTAGAATAAGAGTTTATGTTAATCTCTGAAAGGAAAGCAGTAGGAGAAGCATAAATTGAGAAGGCCTCAAACTGCTTAAGTATAACAAGTAAAACCAGCATCACCACTCTAAGGCTAAATACCTGATCATTTTGATTTACTCATAGATGAAAATTGCAAAGATCCTAATAAGAAAAGCAAATAGATTTATAGTTTAAAAAAAAAACCAATTTTTTGATTCATATATTATAATAAAAAATATCAGTATTAAATAATAAAAAGTAATTTATTCAATATATATAAATAGTTCATTAATTATTAAGATCATCAAGAATACCCTAACTCTGTAATTCATCGATTTCAGACTAATTGTACCACTTAATCCTTTTTCCATCGTTCCATTCACCTATTTTGAATGAATTATCCGATTAATAATATATGCCTACACCACTTTATTTACCTTTCACCCAAGTTCCAATAAATTTTTTCCCATCCTCCCAATAAAAAGTTCCTTTTCCATGTTTTTTGTCATCTTAGTATTGCTGCTATTTAAATCAAAAACTTTACTCCTTTGTACCTTCTACCATCAGCCCATTTGATTTCACCAAATCCATGCATTTTATTTTTACACCATTAACCAACATAAAATCTTCTATCTGGCCATAAATACTGTCCAAATCCTTAAATTTCATTATCACTAAATTCGCCTCAAGTAAAAAAAAATTATACCTTAATAACTTGAGCCATCAGCAAAATTCAATTTGCCTTTTCCATGCTTTTTTCCATAATAGTAATCCCCTTCATATCTAGCACCATCAGGCCAAATCTCTATACCCTTTCCATGTTGATAATCATTCAACCACTTTTTCATTTATTTAACCAAAATACTTCTCCTGAATATTTAGCTCCATTAAGATGAATATATGTTCCTAAACCATTTGCAGCATCGTCCAGCCAATCACCATCATAGACATCTCCATCTGCATGGATTAGCTTTCCCTAAGTTTTTATTATATTCTTTTTAACCTTCCCACATGATCTATCTTCCTTCCAATCTCCTTCATAAACTGAACCATCAGGCCATTGTTGCTTGCCAAATCCATCTCTCTTTCCATTTAACCATTCTCCTTCATAAGTTGCCCCATTTGATAATTGCAATGCCTAATATTCATTTATAATACTGGAAGTTGAGATCTCTCTTTCATTCCTATGGTTTATAAAACAAGTGGATGAAGTTACTAACTCTAAATTTAAGTAGTAAGATTCTTCTCTATCTGTTTGATTGAAAATTTGCTATGTTGAGAAGATACCATCACATCTGAAACAGTATCACTTTTTATTTTCAATATTGTTCCTTCAACTTTATCTTATGCTTATTCTTTTTTCTGAGAAACTTTTGACTTTTTTGATTATATCTCAATAGATTTGCTTGAGTTTCTTATGGTATATAATTCTTCTTTTGAACAACAAGTGCTTACGCCACAAGTTTGCCCCATTTGATTAAGTTTATAAGATAAAAAAAAAAATAATTTTCACAAGAAAATTAATTATATTTATTCTGAATAAACTTTATCATTTTTTTAAAATCAAAATACAAATATTAAAAGATTAATTTTATGAACCCCCAATGTCCAGATTAAAGTTTACAACATTATTCCTAGACTAATTATTGTTTTCATTTAAAAATAAAGTGTTGAATTGTAAATCTAATAATCAATTAATATATAGGATTAAATTTTTTTTCTAAAATTTTGAAGAATTAAGAACAAAAAATTGAGTTTCGCAAAATATTATTTTCATAAAATGAAACTATCTATTTTATAATTTCTATAGAATTAAAAATTTATATATTCATTGAATTTTCTCCAATTTGAAAGCCAAATATAAAGTTTTTATATTTTGACAGATCAAATTATAGAGATAATACCTATATTTTCAAATTATTTAATGATTAGAAAAATTATTAAGATAAAACTCTTTTTGAATTTTGAATTAACAAAAGGAAGAAAAATAGAAAGATATAAGAAATATTTGAAAACAATCTTAATAAACATATATTAGTATTATCAATTAATTAAGATTCAACCTGTTTCTTATTATTAAAGCAATAATCTAAGCTATCTTTCATAGGACTCATCTTCAATCAATATTTGTAAAGGGGTAATGTTGACTATTCTTTTGATTAAATAATATTGATAAATCAAATATTATCTTAATAGCTTTCCCATTAATACACATCCAATAAATGCTATTACAAAATACACTATTGAAAGAGACTAAGTCAATATTGAATATCTACCTTACTAAATTCAAGCTAGGCCTTTGTTATTTCTTCAATTCCAAAAGACAATTATTCGTTCAATTATATAAATATTCTTGTTATAACTTAAGAACCTTCTTGTTCATAGAGATTATATGTTAGCCTACTTGTAAAGTTATTGATGCCCTATTCTGCTTTGACTAAGTTAGTGATATAATTTAAGCTTTGAATAGTGCCTTGCTTTAAAGTACCTTCAAATGCTAGAGTACATTATTTATACATAAAATTTTTGAAATCCTAAAAGATAAAAATACATATACATCTGTTAAAATATCACATAAATTTTCAGTCTCAACATTGTTATAATACTCAATAAAGGTGTCAGAAACTATTAATTTATCAAAGTTAAATGAATTAGCATATAAGACATATTAATTCATGATTTAAAGTGCCTAATTTACTAGAAGATACAATCTTTGTTTATCATAATCTGTTAGATAAGTGAAATTGACCCAACGATAAAAAATTTCTTTCTACATAACTATACTTCCCGATCTAAGTTTTAAATCAGAAATCATTTTAAAGAAATCGATTGTTGATTGGTACTTATCAAAAAAGTTTTAATTTGATTAGTCAACTAATGTTGAATATGAAACAAAAATAACACATATTAAAAATAAAATGAATGCTGGTCTTATTCTACTTACTTTAAAGATTTTCTTCAACTTTTTAGTTTTTTTATTAATCTAATTGTTGGTACTTGAATTATGAATTTTAATTTAACAATTTTCAAAATTAAATTCGTAATCAAATATTGACTTTTCATCATGAAGAATTTAAGATAATAGTGATTTCAATTTTGAAATTTCGTTTTCCATTCGATCTAAAGAAAAATAATCTAGAAGATATAAAAACTTATCATATTGGACTAAATACTGATTGTAGTAAAAAAATGATATAAAACTTGTACAGATTATTACTAAAATAGAAATAAGCCAAAAGATAGTCCACTTTTAGTTCACACTTACTGATCTTTCTTTTGAATAAACGAATATTTCCTCAGTGATTTGAGTTAACAAATCATGTAAGTCGAAATAATTAGCATAAAGAAATACTTGATAAGTAGATCCACTTGGACTTTCTCTTCTTCCATACTTCTTAGCGTATGCAAACTAATATTGTAATATAACTAGTAAGATTTCTCTGAATGTCATTTGTTCAGAGACCACTGAAGAGTCATTATCTTTCATGAACCTAATATTCATATTATAATCATTATAAAACAATTATAAGTATGGATTAGTTAATTATTAATATAGACTATTTTTCAATTCTTGATATCCAAGATAAATGTTGTCATAATAAGGGTCTGTCAATTGAGTAAATTATGTCTAATTGATAAATCCTTCCCTTAATGCTTATTAATAGGATGATAAAGTAACTCTCATAGAAAAATAAAGATCATGTGGAGCCATCACATCTGAATGAAGGCCAATCATGTTTATTTCAGTAATGCTGTTATCTAAATCAGAAGGCATTAAGGATAAAATGATGATGAAATAAATCATTTAAACAAAATTTTAGATTAATAAAAACCCGATAAATTGATTGACTTTTTAGGGAGGTTTTTAGGAAGTAATCTTTCCAACCAATTCATATTTTTTATAATTCACTGATTAATTTATACTTGCTACAGAAGATTAAGATTAAGCATATTATTGTTACTAATCTTATTATTTTTATTACTATTTATTATCATTTTTTTCTTTAGATGCTTAAGATGATTTATCCTTGAAAGAATAAATATGAGATATTTTGCAATTATAAAAGGCCTGTTATTATTATTTTCTGACTTAATAAGGGGATTTTTTGGTTTCACTTTCATGAATTAAGTTTTCAGCTGCTTAATTTTAATTAGTGTCCTTAATCTGTGTTTATATCTAACGAGTACTCTAATCTCCGTTATTATTAAAAAACGTTGTTAATGGGGAGAGAATTGATACTTAATTATTTAGATCTTGAACATAGATTTAATTTGCATGATTTTCATCAACTTAGCTGAGGATACAACTTTAACTATTACTCATATTGGAAGATTCAGAAATTAATGATTCTTATTCATTAACTTCATCTAAAAATGTATTATTTAAGCCAGTTAATTATTATATATCTTAAATTTCTATGATATAATAAGAAAAATCTTAATGAGCTCTTACAATAATGTTGAGTTTAGCAATAAAAGACAACACTTTCTCTTTCTGTTTCCAGATATTTGGATGTAAATTTGACATTCTTTTTTCTCTATTCTCTATGACGGTTGATTTTCTGATCTTCAGATAATCAAAGAAGAATAGTTTTTCTACCAAAAGTCTATTATCTTGTTGTTATCTCAACAAAGCTTCGTCAAATTGTGGGAAGATATTATAAATTGAAATTTCATTCAAATATTTATGTTTCACCATTTTCACAATCAAATTATCATCATATCCAATTTTCTATAGGAAGTTAAAGGAAAAACTAACAAAACTTTTATCAAAACCATCCACTATGATGTAGCATTTTTCATAAACTAATTCTTATATAAATGCTACAAAAACCAATTAGGAATGATGAAAAATTGAAGTTGTATCATAACATAATTATACCCCTTTAACTAAACAATCGTGCACATTTACAAAATTGGGACTAAAGTTTCTGTAATATCTAGATTTTCCGGTTGACAAAAAAGTGTTGACCATTAAGGGATGATATTAATAAAAGAACAATGGTAGTATTTCTCTAAAACATGTATTTTATTAATTAGGTTTTCCAATTAAATTAAGCATATGATTTGAGATCGTTTAGACTTCCAAATGTTTTAAATCTTCATTTAAAGATAATATTACATAGGCACTCTATTATTAAGTCAAATTCAATGCAGAATGATTATTTTATATAAATTTTAGATCTACATTGATTGATTAAGTGTAGACTTTATTAGCTTCAATATAATTACTGTATAATTCAGCCAAAAAAAAAGTGAGCGCTTTTTATAATCTGATACTTGGATATTTTTCAAACTAACTTTTAATATAGTTTTCTGTTTAATGTAGGTCGCTACAAAGTTTATTTGTTTTCTTTAGAGTTTTACTCAAATCAAATTATTATTGTTCTTTTATTAATTCAGAAAAAAAGGATACTTTTGAATTTATGAGGTTTATAATCATCTCTTTGATTTTAGATATTATAAACTCATAATGTAAATATTAATTAATTGAATCAGAAATAAAGGTCTATTGAGCTGCCTATAAAGAAGAACCAAACGAGGCTTTCATATTCCATTTTGTTTAATTAAAAAGTTGAATTGTCCTGGCTCTATCTATTATTCCTAAACAAATTTTAAAGCCCAATTTCATCTCATTTGCATTTTAATTGTCCTTCTCCGAATCTAAAGATTTAAACTTCTTATACTACTAAGTAGTAGACTTAATTGTAAGTTCTTTAGTGAATTTTTATATTGTTGTTTTGTCAAATTCATTAGTTAGATTTTTATTACCAGAGGGATAAACAGTATCATTTATTAAAATTTTATTAAAAGCCTTGGCAGCCAACATTGTCCATCCAAAATCATTTAGAAATATAGCATATTATATAAGTAATTCTTAATTTTAGTAAAATTCTGAGTTTTTCTAATTAATCGTCTTTTTTATTAGTGATACTTTTTCAAATATAAAACTCCTAAATATTTACCCTGTTATTGCATTTGCCTATCTTGGTTCTGCAATATAAAAAGTTGTAGTACAAGAACATTATTTTTGTTGGCATTACTTAGAATGAAAATAATTAATTAAAGAAGATCTTATAACAATATAATTTTCATTGATATCACATTTATTTAACATATTAATTAAAACATTCATTACTATTTTAATGTTGGGTGTGTTAGTAGATTGAAAAAATAATAGAAATTCTTAAGTCTTCCTATAATTGATGTTTGACAGTATGTAAACTAACATTAAAGGAGTAATCACTAATAATAAAAATATGTAATTGGTTGATGGACTAAAACTATCAACAAAGCTAAGGACACAAAAAAGCAATTAGAAAATATAACCAGAATAAAGTATGATTTCCTAATATCTATAAATGTAAACTGAACTTGTAAACTAATTTCTGATGGCTATAATTTAAATAACAAACACTAAAATATACTGAATGATTTTAATGGTTTGGGTGTTGTCAACAAGTGTAAACAAAATTACAGATATAGTTGAAAAAACATATATAATTAAATTGGATTTGGTAAATTTTAACCTTTCCATTGGTCTCATTTTAAATGTTATGGGTTATCTATTTATGGAACAAATCAAAATTTAATCTATTTGTAACAATATGAATGTTATGATTCCAAATATTAAATTCACATATTAGATCGGCTAGTCTGATTTTATTAAAGTTACGCTGCTTTTGATTGACAATAAAATGATTGTATTAAATGGAATAATAAAAATAGGGCAAAGTAGTTGTTAATAGAAACTTTACATCCTAACAAAAATTTATAAGGGCATATGATGCTAAATTTATTGCACAAATTTATCAGAGTGAAAATGATGTTTTATCATATACATCAAAAAGACAAAGCCTATTTTACTAATGAGTACGACGACCAAAATAAATAAATATATTAGTTCTTCTTGGAGTTGTTAATTTATGAGAATATAAATGTCTGTTCTAATTAAAAATGTATATATCAGATCTAGAGATGAATTTACTTGAACATCCTTTATTTACTTAAATGTCGGATGAATAGCCATTATCAATGTTTGGAGAGAGCTTATTACAAGTAAACAAATCTCAATGGCGTATGAACAAGCAAATTATCCTCTCACAAATATTGCTGTCATCACCCATAAGTCATATAAAGACGAGTTTTAATTCAATTTATTTTACAACATATAATTTTTAATGTTTGAATATTGTTTCATTATTTAATATATTTATGTCTATAAATCAAATTAAACCTTAATGAAGTGCTATTTCTCTGAGATATCTTTCCAAAGATTCGTCATATAGAATTGACTCTTTCGGTATCAAAAATAAGGACTATCTGATTTAGTGGTATTCATTTATTAAATATTATCTATATAGTTACTTTATGAAAATAATTAGAAAAGCAGATACGAGCATATAAATTAGAGAGAAATACTAATTATAATTAATAATCTTACAATTAAAAAATTATTTAATTCATTGCAAGTGTCTTTCACACTTTGCAAAAACAAGTTTGATAATCCAAAAAATGATCGAGTGACTATCTAAGATCCTTCTTACTCATATAGTTAAATTTCTATTCTCTTGGTGAAGTTGTTAATCTACTATTAAGTTTTTATTGAGTTTGTAATGTAATTTAAAGCCTCTATTAACCCTTTTGTTAATGTACCTTCGAAGGACTTATCACAATAAAATAGCATATATTCTTCCAATTACTGAAAATAAAATATAATCTTACATCTAAAATCTCAAGGCAAATATTATTTTTCTAAATATTCAAAAATTTATCTTCAAATTTGCTCCCAACCAAATATTAAGATGAATCAAAGGTTGAAGATAAAATAATATATTAAGCAATTATTTTATGTGACTGGTCAATGTACTAATATAAAATATCTCTTTCACCTTATGTTAAAAAAGTGAAGTTATCCCATCTAAGACTGATTTCTTTAAATAAATAAATACTTCCACTCTTTAATTTAAGATCTTGAATTATTTTATACAATGTGATAGTGTCATTATATTTTTATAAGAATGTTTCCTATTTATAGTAAATAACACTTGTGTAGACCAAATAAACTACAGTTATAAGCACTATTATTGAATAAACATGAAATCTTGACAAATGTTATCTGTTTCTATTCAGTAACTTAAAATGATGAACTTTACCTCTACCATATTAAGATTAGGTTTTTTCGTGCTCATAAAGTTCTAATTCAAAGTTATATTTCATTATGTCATCTGAATTTGATTACAATTATTAGTGTATTAAATCGTATCTATTTAATTAGTCATAAATTAATTATTTATTAAATTCATTAAAAATTAATAAAAATTGATCGTAATACTTAATGTACAAATTAAAGTTAAATAGTCCAATGAAACCAAAAATTATCAATAACAATTAAAGTATAATCCAAAATATTTTCCCTTTATTACCAATCGTTTCTTTTGTGTCAATAAGCCATCCTTAGATTTCTTGAGTTATAAGTTCTACTTTTTCATGCAACAGAAAATAATTAGCCATCAGAAATATTTGACATGGTTTACCAGATGTGCTTTATCTCTACTCAATAATCCTCATATGAGCATATTAATACTATAGAATAGTTAAAAGTGATTCTCTAAAGCTAGTTGACATATTTTACAATTCTTTTTCATTTTCATTCATAAATCTTAGATTTAAAACAATATCAGAAAAAAATTCTTATAAATACTCATTTCTTAATTATTTATAGAAGCTATCTTTCAATTCCAAATATCCTGATCGTATGTTGGTATAAAAAGGGTCAGTTAATTAGACCATTTAATTTTAAGTCAAAAAACCTTCTCTCTACATCTATTAATAAGAAGATACTGTAATCCTCATTGAAAAAAATAAATCATGAGGTCCCATAATACTAGCGTGTAATGAATCCATTTCAATGTTATCTATTATAAGTGTCATATCAGAGGTCATGTTAATCATAACCAGAAAAGAAAAAATAAAAAAAATTAAACTTTGCCCGATAAAAAAAAATAGAAAAGAATCTATTTTCTTTGGATTTTTCTTCCCACTCATTTTTTCTATTAAATAATATCTATTATAAAAAAAAGGTCTATAAAAACCTGCAATACTTGATGATTATTGTCCTATTCTTTCTATTTATTGATGATTTGCTTTAGAAGCTTTTCCATCCTTATTCTTTTTTTTTTCAGGAGAATGCTCTTCTCTATCTAACTAACTATTTTATACATCACTCTCAACAAATGATTTATTAAAAGATTTATAAAACTCTTATTCATTTCTTGCTTTACTACTTAATAAATTTGATTGACTTTGATTTTATTGTATAAATGAAGATTAGTTCAAATTTTTTGATTATCCTTAGTTCTAATTAATCATTATGCTTTATTTTAAATTTGAGTCCTATAACTTGAGAGTGTTTTTTTTTCTTTCTTACCGAAATGACAATACACTAAGAATCTTTAAATGCTTTCCTTTCCACTTTGATCCCTTGCTAGTTGTACTCTCTCCTAAACAAGGCTTGTAAAGTTCAAGCACTTTCTTTCTCTCATCATGGCTTAGAATTTATTTCAATGATATAAACTCTAATTAATAGTAACAAGCAAGTTGAAGATTCACTTTTTCTACTTTTATTTCAATGCTAAAACAATTTATATTTTCTTTATTTTTCCAAATAAAGAAGTTTGAGTCTTTTCTAATACTTGATTATGTCAATATTGTTTCTTAATTATATTAAGGTTTAAGAAAGAAACAAAACGTGGTTACTATATCGGTATTAACTTCTGCCTTAATCATCATATTATAATAAGGAATAACAGTTTATATTCCAATCTAGTGCAATACACCATCCTCAATAAATTATTTTTGTTATAGCTCATTTATTCCAAATGATTATAGAGTTTTGGGTGTAAAATAAACTATTTAGGTTTAAGCATCCACTACTAAGATTGGAAGTTCCGTATTTACACTTTGAAGAAGACCAACAAATATAAATTTATCGAGTTTAAAAATCTGTGTGTTATCTATGCATAAGCTAACTTATTTTAACAATCCATTATGAGTTTTGATGAATGTGTAATTAAAATTTCTATAAAACTTATTCTATCCCGAATGAAAAAAATTCTAAACAGAATTCTCATGTTATTTAATATAAAATTAAGGAATGATGTCATTAAAACCATAAGTTGTCAAATCAAAATACATTCCAAACAATCTAAAAAAATTGTGAGAAGATTAGATTATGCTAAACGTTCTAAAATTTTCATCTACCGATAAGAGAATATATGAGTTGACATCAGCAGATAAGTTTAAACCCTTAATACCTCTGTATTTTATTTAATTTTCCTTTAAGTTTACTTCTGATTGTTTGATATTAAAAGCGGCAAGCAAATTGTTCATAATTTATGCCTCAAAAAAACAGTAAGCTTATTGTAATTATAAATCTGGACTTAAAGTAAATAGAGAATTAAATTATTTTTCAATTTTCAACAAATATTTAGAAGTTTCTTTAACCTTTTTAAAAAGTTAGGTAAATGTAAATCCTGAGTCTGAATCCAATATTTCATAAAATTAAATCTTTAATCTTACGCATTCCTTCATTCCAAGAATTAGTTCTTGCTGATTAGTTTGGCTTATTAAGAATTCATTTAAGTATTACCTTATCAAAGTTTGGCTAGCTGCTCTAAGGGATGTTCCTAAATTAGCTTCAAATTTAATCCTTGATTATTATAATACTAGGTTTATCTAGATCTATTCAATAGTTGAGAGCATTATTCTGATTTTGGTTTATTCATTCTCCTTATAATCTTTCTAACTAAATTAACCCAATAATATACTTCATGAAGTGATATAGGAATGAAACATTAAATATTTTATTCTCTTTTGACTTTTTTAATTAACTAAGAATTTATAATGAAACCATCATTTAATTAAAATCATGGAGAAGTATGGCTGTAGATATTAATAAATCCTATTTGACTTAATTTTTCATTTTCACTAAAAACAGTTTCTTTATGAGTTGTTTATATTGAGATTTCATAAAATTATTAATCATTAAGCTTGTCGTAGCATTGATTTATGTACTTTCAGTTATGTAATAGTCGAGCTCACAGACACAATTTGCTATTTTACATTTTTTTTTATGGTGAAAATAAATTAAAGATTACTTGAAATTCTTGTAATTTGTACCGCAATCACAATTATTTAATATTCTCACCAATTAATATAAAATTTAATTGATATTTAAATCAACCATCTATTTAAAATCTTTACTTTTATGTAGAAATATAGCTGTAAAATATTTATTATCCTGTTACTCTTAAAACTTATATAAAATATATATAATTGATGGAATTGTTATAAAAAACAATAATTAAATATCTTGCTGATCTACACCACTCTAATTCATAATATTGTAAATTCCACTCATTATTAAGAAAGCTTAACAACTTAAGAATATCTTTTTTTGTGCTTCGTAGATATAGCCACAATTTCTTATTTAATTAATTATCTATAGCAGAGCTATTAGTATTATAGTAATTTATTCGATTTATTGTAAATATAGGGATTCGTTTTAATCTGCAATGATGACTTAGAGCAATCTAAATTTAAGTATATAATAATCAAAATTCGAAATTTAAAACTATTTGCATTTAATTGTCTTATAAGTAGTTGGATGATGATCGATTTTCATAAAATATATTATGTCAAATGTGTACATCAATTACCCAAGTACACAAAGAAAAGATTTTAATGTTGAAGAAGGAATACCTTCTTGTATTTCCTAGACTGATTAGTAAAAGGCAAATAAAAATATCCTAGATATTGGTAAAATGAAATAGATTCCTAAAAAACATTAATAATAGGTAATTATTTAAAGTACATATAAGAAAAGATCCTATAATAATAATTTTTTAAAGTATGTCTCATAATAAGAGTTAAGCAAACAAATCAGAATGAATAATAATTTTTGAATAATCCATATGATCAATAAAATGATGTAAAATTCACCATGAAAGTATCCATTCTGGATAATTATGATATCTGGCCGTATAAATATTTAAAGAAGTTTGTAGATAATATTTTGCTCGACTTACTTTTAATTTCTAAAATAATATGGCTAAAATAATGCTAGACTGAAAACTAAATATTACACCACATTAGGGCATTTTAGCTGCTAATTTAACAAATACGTAGTTTTTATCCATTATTCTAACATTGCTGATAATTTTATTAATTTCTATTTAGAAGCCATATACATATTTAATTTTATATATTTTTTTTAAATTTTATGGTTAAATTAGTACTAAAAATTGTAATAAGAATCTAGAATGAGATCATAAAGAAAAGTCTTAAGATTACTTAGCAAGATTAACCTAACTTAAATTTTCAATTCAGACTTGTCATACAATTAAGATCATTGTAAAATTTGAGATCTAAATTCCTTAGTTTTACGATTACTTTTTTATTTTTGAGATATTGTTAAAAATTATAAATAAATACAATATAGAAAAATTAATTTAAGATTAATTAATTTATTATTGTCAAGAAAGTAGCAAGAAAAGATTTGATAAACTTAAAAATTTTCTATATTTAATAAAATTAATAATGAAATAGTCTGAAGGTGACTTGAATAAAAGACAACTTGAAGAAGAAACAGAGGATTCAATATCTAAATTATTAATTAATTTATTGGCTTGCACATTTTAGACTGTTTTTGGTTACATCTGCTTAGATGTTTGCGTTTCTATCAGTTTACATTATATTGGTTAAGAGTAATCAATAATTATATAATATAGAATAAGCCCTACAGCAAATGCTGGTTATGGGTTTGCATTGACTTGTGTGTTCATTTTATTAACTCCTTTTGGCTTTGGATTAAATCAATCTTTAAACATGCACACATCCTAAGCTTTAGGAGATTAAAAGGTTTAACTTGCTAAACGATTTTTTAACATCAATTTATATGTGATGCTTTTTATACTTGTGCCCTTAGGAGGATTATTGCTGATTTTAAAATACCCCTTGAGTCTAACGATAAGAGAAGATTAAAGGGAAGCGACATCTAATTATTCACAAGAATTCTTGTATTATTTGATACCTGCAATAATTCTTGCTTTAGAATTTGAAAGTGCAAAGTGCTTTATGGTTGCACATAAAGTCACATACCCGTTTACAATTATTCATTTTTGCACCTTAGCAATTCATTGGTTTTTGTGCTGGTTATTTATCGTAGAATTCTAATGGGGTGTATCTGGAGCAGGAATTGTGATTATTATCACTGAAGTCCTGAATATTGTTGGATTAGTTTGTATAAATTTAGTAATATCAATTAGTATTTGTCCAATTCACAAATCTAAAGAGAGAAATATTTTAAGGGACGAAAATAATAATGGATGTTCCCAGATTTAAAAAGTTGGGAGTATCATATATAAAAACATCCATTCCCATAGTTCTCCATATTTATTCAGAATTTTTTGTATTCTTTTTATTGTCCTTTATTGCTTTGAGTTTAGGCGTTTCTGAGATGATAGCTCATATTGGATTACAAAATATGTGTGGAATATATTTTAGTAAATATACAAATAATTTCATAGGAATTCCAATAAGTTTATCCATAGCAATGATGTCATTTGTAGGTTCAGAAATGGGGAAAGGAAACATTAAAAGAGCAAAGTTTTACGTAGCAGCGGGTTTAGTTATTTTTGCTGTTGCTTGTGTAATATGCTCAATATTGATATGGTTTTTTAGAAATTAATTGGCAATTTTCTATGCTTCAGATTAGGAGGAAAATGAATTGGCTGCCAGAGCTAAGGAGATATTCACAGATACAGTGCCTTGGTTGATAGGAGGAATGCTAATTGTAGATGGACTTTAGGGAACCTTAAGTGGAGCATTAAAGGGAATTAATAAAATAAATTTAGTTTTTGTATAAAAATAGATTTATCAATTAGTATTCAACAATAATTGCCTACTATTTAATATGCATTCCATTAGTTAGTTTCTTTACATACTCATGGGGATTAGACTAAGGAGTTGTTGGTATTTGGTAGGGCTTCGGAATTTCGAATCTCATTCTAGCAATATTAGACCTAATAGTATTATTCACTACTGATTGGGAAAAGCAATCAAGGAACATAGTTAGAAGAGTGAAATAAGAAAATGAACTATAATTTAGTACTCTAGTTTAAGTGGAAGATGATAAGGCCAATATTTGATGCAATTAAATAAAATATTTTAAGCAACAATTTATTTTTAACGTCATTAATTAAAATTTAACAATATTCATTTTCTGTTACAATGAGCACATTTTAAAGACCAACTTCATCAAGAAAGAACACCAATACATTACCACCTTAATAGGGCGACTTAGAAGAATACATGTATTTAATTTCAATTGAATGTTAGCTAAATCTTATATGATCATTAAAAGAGTTGTGAGAAAGCTGGCAAATATCTAGAGGCTGACTAAGCTAAAAAGAGGCTGGCTGAACTTAAGAAAGAACTTGATTAGAAAAATAAAGTTGATGTCAAAGATAGACATTGTTCTGAAAAATAAGAAATCGAAAAAGCTCACCTTGATGAATTTAATCAATTCAATACATTTTGGGATGAGAAAATGGTTGAATTTGATTAGGAAGCTCAAAAGGTCAAAGAATAAACACTTCAAAGACATGAGGATGAGCTAAGATAATTTTCAGATGAACTTGAAAATTCTATTCCAGTCAAGCCAAAAGACTCAGCTGAATTACTAGCTTTAAGGAAGACAGAAGAACAATTAGCCAAATAAGAAAAGTATAATCATTCAATTAAATTTTATAGTTATATGGAAGCCCATTTAATCTAGCAAAAAATCCTAAACCAAGAAAGAGATGAATTAGAGAAATGGACAGTAGGAAGACAATAAAAAATAAGGAATCTTATTACTCAACTTAGATAAAAATAGATTAATGAATTGAATGCACTTACTTAAAGAATTTTAAGTGGATAAGAAGAACAAAGAAAAATCAGATCCTAAGAATTAGAAAAGTAATAAATATGTAAATCATTTAATTAGATTATTATAAAAATACCAAAATGTTAGGAAGGAATTAGAAAGTCAGCAAGTTTAAGAGATTACTAGATTAGACAAATCATGCAAAACCTAATGTACAATAGTCTCATTTAACTTTTAGCCATCATGCAATAATCTAGGATGAATCAATCAAGAATGTAGTAAAGTTATGCCAAGGATGAAAACTAATATATCAGATGAGATTTAGTTAATATACTTAAAATATATATAAATTAAAATTAATATGGGTACTGTTTGTGTAAAGAAACAACGACCATCCAAATCCCTAAACATAAAAACCTAAACTTCCTAAAACAAAGAAAACTACCCTCAAGAATTGGAACAACCATTCAATCAAACAAATGTGATTAAGGTAAGAGAAAACTAATCTAAACAACTATTCTTAAGTGAAGTATCAACATTTCTTAAATAGTTTACAACTCCTAGGACGGATGTGAATGAAAAATCTATTCAAAGTAGAAGTGAACTTACAAAAGTTGAGCCTCTGAAATTTCATGCCTTACTAAAAGAATCTGATAAAAACTGTTACTAACATGAAGATGCTCCAGATGTAGATATAACTGTTTAGGTCCCAGAACCACTAATCTCAAATAATAAAGTTCTAAAGATTCTAAAATCTCTATCACCTTTCCCCTATGATTCTGACTATGATAAAAATTTTACCGATTGTATATCTTTACCTCCACAAGTAAAATTCATACCAAAATTTTAGAAATTTCTAAATACTGGAATTATATATGTTGGATAATGGAAGAACAAATAAAAATAAGGTCGAGGACGTTAATTTTGGCCAGATGGTACGTATTACGAAGGATACTGGCTAAATCATGGAGCAAATGGGTTGGGTAGACTGATTCACCCAGATGGATCTTATTATGTAAGATTTAGGTTTTGTAAATTTGCAGGAGGGAAATTGGATGGATGACTTACAATGTGGATTTGGGAAGTTTGTTGATAAGGAGGGTAATTATTATGAAGGAGAATGGAAGGACGATGAAAAGGATGGTTATGCTATTGAATATTGGATATCAGGGGATTAATATCAAGGCTAATATCTTTGTGGAATGAAAAATGGCAAAGGAGTATATTTATGGGCCAATGGTAATAGTTATGAAGGAACTTATGTAAAAGATTAGATATAAGGTGTTGGAACATATAAGTGGCCAGATGGTCAGGAATATTATGGTGAATGGTCTTAGAATTAAATGCATGGTAAAGGCACATTTAAATGGCCTAACGGAAATAAATATGTTGGAGAGTATAAGGAAGATAAGAAAGATGGATAAGGCATGTTTTACTTCTCAGATGGTAGAACATTCAAGGGAACTTGGGTATAAGGAAAACAACATGGAACTGGTGTGCTGACAGAATTAGATGGAAAAGAAGCTATTGGAATATGGGATAAAGGAAAATTGGTTTCAAAAGAATGATTTATTTATATACAATACACTATTTAATGTTTAATAACATTTCAATATCGATTGATAAATATTTTAAAAACAGGTGGTTGCAAAAGTGATATATCCTTTTCTTTTAGTTAGTATGTCGATTTATTAAAAGATTATGAGTATTTATTATAAAAATAGTTTAAAGAAATATTGATAAAGATTAAAGACAAGAATAATTTGTTAGAATAATAAATTAAAATTATTTAAAATTTTTTAATCTATTTGTAAATTTTAAGGTTGTAAACTACCTTAAAGAAATATAGAATATCGGTATCTAAGAATTTTAATAAATGAATAGGATGTCAGCCATTTGTCTGGTTTCATGAAGATTCTAAGTGATTAAATAAATAGGAAATTATTTGATAAATTTATAAAAGATTGATTGATATTAAGCGGAATAATGATATTATTATAATTACTAAATATATTATTTCAGTTAATAATATTCTCCACTTTCTCTTTAAAATTTAGAGACAAAGAAAACACTAATTTTTTAGTTTAAGGATTAGTAAGTTAATAATTTAATATTTAATAATTTTGAATTTAACGATTAAAATGTCAGTTTATATTTGGGGAACAACACCTTCTTAAGAAGAAACCGCCACACCGAAATAAATAACAATCAATTTCCAAATAAGCAAAGTTTCATGTGGAGAAGAACATATGTTATTTCTTTCTAATACTAATTAACTATATGCATTAGGAACTAATAATTATGGTGTATTAGGAATCGGAAGTGATGATTACTCAGAGAGATCTTTGACACCTTAATTAATCTAATCAAATATCATCGATATGGATTGCGGTTGGAATCACAACATTTCTTTGAATATTAACAATAATGCTTTTGTTTGGGGCAAGGTCTTGAATGATATCACTCAACCAAAATAAATAGGATAATCAATTAGATATATAAAATGTGGTGCCAGACATACAATGATGATCAATAACAAAAATCAATTATATGCTATAGGAGCCAATGATTCAGGATAATGTGGTATCCAAAACACAAAGAGAATAAGTGAAGTCACTCATGTAATGGATAATGTTCTTACAGTAGCATGTGGAGTGTCACACTCATTAATTAAAATTAATTAATAATTATTAGCTTGTGGATCCAATAATTTAGGACAATTAGGTGTTTAAGGAGTCAAGAATTCCTTTAAACCTTTGTTGGTTGACATTCCAAAAGTAGACTAAATAGCAGCAGGAAATCATTCAGCTGCAATAAGTTCTGGAAATCTATACATTTGGGGATCAGGTTGTTTTGGAACATTTACTAAACCTACATTATTTTTACCTGATGTTGTTGATGTAAAAATAAATGGAACTCTTGGATTAGGTGTAGATACTTAAGGACAATTGTATTCATGGGGTAGTAATGTAAATGGAGAATTGGGAGTGGGAGATACATAAACTAGGACAGAGGCAGTCAAAGTATTAAAGAACATCTAGCATTTTGGTGTTGGAATTAATTATGCTATTGCTATATCTAGACCACCCTAGCCAGTGACTACAGAGAAAGAGTATTTGGCAAAGACTCTTTAGATAGAAAGTGATGAAAGAAGTGCCTTAGAAAAAATAAATAGAGAATTGAAGTCTAAATTCGTGGAATTGGAATAATGCAATAGTGATCTGAGAAAACTCTTAGATGTCAAAAGTGAAGATATCAATAATTTATAAGTTTAAGTTGAGAATTATTGTGGTACCATGGCAAATCAAGAAAGTTAAATTAAAGATCTTAAGTAATAATGTTAGAGACATTAAACATTTTAAAAAGATGCCATTTCAAAATTACAAAAATACGAAGAATTTATTGATGAATTGGAAAATCAACTTAAAGTGAAAAATGAAGAAATTGATGGTCTAACCAATTAATTACAAAATTTTAAGGATTCACTTAAATAATATTAAGATGATGAAACTTCATAACTTAATCAATTTAAAAACCAATTGAGTGAATTAACAGAACAATTAACTTATGAACAATAAGTTAATGAATAGTTGGTAGAATAATATAGTAAGGAAAGGGAATCATTCCAATAAAGAGGTGTATTGATTTAGTAATATGAATTTGAGATAGGAAATTTATAATCTTAAAATAAGACTTTGGCTTCGCAAACTAGTAATTCATTATAGCAACACTAAAAATTATCAGAAGGTTTAACAATTGCTAATCATAGAATTGAATCTTTGTAAACTTAAAATGCAAAATTAATGTAAGAGCTTAGTTTATTACGTACGAGTATATATTCAGATTTACAGAAACCTTAAGCATTAGAAGTATAAACAATTATTGGATTAAATAAAGAATTAACTGAATTAAATAACTAGTTATAGAATAAACTGAGAGAAAAGGATGCAGAGATTTTAAAATTAAAGTCTCAATTAGGAAATCTTGGAACACTTAAAGAGAGTCGATAAAGTCTATCATCTCAAATGAAAACTTCATAATGCTAAAACTAGTTGTCACAATAAAATTTGAATATTCCAAGGAAATAAAAATAAGAGAGTCCAAATGGAAAAACCATATAAGAATTATTAGAATCAGCTCATAAACATGCTAAATACATGAAAAAAATTTTAAAATCATCTGAAAATTTTGAATCAGACACTCCAAGTCCAAAGAAGAAACTTGAATTTTCAAAAGAAAATTCCTTTATTAAAAACGATAGTCTAAGCGAAGTGAGAGAAAGACTTAATAAATTATAATAGAATAGATAGTTATATGAATAAAAGTTAAGAATTTGATATAATTATGCGTTATTATTAATCTATTTTATAAATTGATCTAGTTTGGCTTATATCATTAAAATAATCAAAAAGATTGCTTATAAATACATGATAAAAATAATTTGATATATAAAATTAACATTCATTTTTTTGCTGCCTTCTTTGGTTTCTTAGATGGTTCTATAAATATAAAATAGATTAATACTTTTAACTTATTACAAGAAAGCTTAAATATGTTTAGCTGCTTCTGACTTCTTTTCTAATTCGATTTAATGTAATTCTTTTAATCTTCTGAATTCCTCCTCCAATTGTCTTTCTCTTCCCTTCTCTGAATCAACTGCTTTGAAATACTCCTATCGGTCTTTCAATTATTTCTCAATTGAGGCACATTCGCTTTATAAATCAGTTAAGTTTTTCATGTATTCCTCCATCATCTGATCATATATTTGTATTGCTTCAGACAATGATTAATCTTGAACTTATTTACGCCTCTTCAAAGTTGCCTCCTCCTATGTATTCTCATCTTTCATTTTAATAAAGCGAGCTCTCTAAGCCTGTAGTTCGGCTGCTAATTTATCTTCTTTTGTTTTATGATCTTTCTCTAATGCCTCATACTTAGTCTGAATTTCTTTGGCTAATTGATCTTGTCTCTTTTATTTATTAGCCTTAACTTCTGCAATAGATTATTTCAACTTCTCAATTTCTTCCTTCATCTTGTTCATGTTTGCTGTTCTTTCCTACCTAATCTTTTATAATTCTTGTTCTAATTAGCTTTTAGTCTTCTCTTAGCCTGCAATCTATAATGTAGAATTACATAAATACTTTAGACTTTAAATCTTCAAGCTATTTAACATGACTATTTTATTCTTCCTATGCTGTACTTAACTTTTTCAACATTACTATTTTAATACACTTTACACAATGTAATAAATCACTCATTTCTGTGTTAATATTGGTTTTCATTCCTTTAATGATATCATAATCCTTTGGACAATGTTAGAGTCTCCTCAATAAGTTCTTGGAATTTTCTTATAGTAAATTTTCTAATCTCTCCGATTCCATTTTCTTTGTCTCATCTATCTCCTCCCCTTGGTTTAATGCTGTGTCTAAATTTGCATATGGTCTGTATTTCTATTCAATTTCAGCTTAGGATTACAAAAGTTTCATTGTTTCTTCTGTTAGCGGTTACTTAGCATCTTTTAAAAATTTTCCAGTTTAAAAGCGCCCAATAAATTCAGTATCCAAATATAGACAATATTCTAAATTTTAGATTAGTTAATCCAAAACTCTTAAAACTCTTTAAGCTTCTACGATCGTTGGTTTTCCTATTATCGTAGACATTAGGTTCTTAATAATTTCTTGATGTCCCTCTTGCAAAGACCTTTGCTATTGTTTGACTCTGTTTTCACCAAGACTTGTTTCCATTGTCTTTGCAAATTGTTTGTGTGCTCCTTTCATTATTATATTATTTAATATATTATTAATATAATATTATCACTCCTTTTTTGTGCTAAGTTCATGGATATCTAAAGCGATGTTCTAAATTATGTGCAACTTAATTACTAAATCAATGGAATCTATGCTTCCTAAACGATGTCTTTAGACTTCCTATTCTTTTTTGAGTGCGTCTTGAATTCTTAAAAATTTTTCCTTATGCTTTCTATCATATTGTATTTTGGCCTTTTTGTATTTATTCTATAGAGTTTAAATCAATTGAAAAAATACAAACCATAATTTATTTTCTAGTTCTATTCTTAAATAATAACTATATTAAATCGAAATCAGTTCCCAAAATAGATACACACTTTTCTAATTTCTTTAAATCTTCCTAATTCCAACAGGGATTTGAATTGCATTTGCTAATTTTGGTTGCTTGTTATTTTTTTTAGATTCTGGGTCTCTATTTCAATAATTCTTTTAAGGTTTCACTATCCTTGGTACTGCCTTCGCTTGATAAGGAAGCCATAAAATAATTTATTTTATTTTATTTGCAATATAACTGGTGGGGGCCATGACGGAGAGAGAGAAATATCAATAAATATTTTTATATTTTGTATTATTATTAATTTTTATCGTGTATTGCTATCTCAAATAGTCCATGGCTATCCATTTACAACTGATCTTTCCCAAGTTGGAAGAACACCTCTTTGATAATATGAATTTCTCAGAGGTTAGAAAAGACCAAAATGAGCCAATCCCAATGCTAACAACATTCAAAACCTAATTCCATACCTAAAGTTGTAAATAAGATTTCACGTCTGCCTCCCTTTCTAGATTGTCTCATAAAATAGTTGCTTGGTAATGTGGTAAACCAATGTTTTGCCATCTTATTGTATTTTTAATATAAATTAAAATAATTAATAAATATCACTTAGTAATAAACTATTTTTATACTTATATAATTCAAGCAGCATTGAATAACATCCCAAAATTCGAAATTATCAAACTATTCATGCAATAAAAAACAACATATAGCTAAAATAAGTAAATCATTTTTTTGTTATCTTATATATATCCAATATCTAAGATATTTGTCAAATTTTTTAGATTTGAATAAATAAATATTAATTATCTCCTCCTATTATTATAAGTATGGATACTATTATTTATTTTCAAAGACAAAAATTGTTATTGATTAAACATTGAACATAATATCAAACTTATACTCTCAAATTAAATGACACTAATACTAACATAGAATTTCATTTTTATTATTAAATTAATCGAATAATTTTACAATTTTAAAATCAATACCAAAAATGAATAAAAACTACTTACTCATCAAGTTTCAAACCTTCTTAGTTTAATTAATTTAAAGCCCAATAATAACTTATTTTTACATTTGTTCTTGAGATTCTTTCCACCAAACAATATCTCAAGATTTTATCTATCTTAGGATAAGAAGAAATTATCCTGGATTTCTACTCTTTACTATGTTCTTAAATTACCTTGTTAGTATCATTATCCTCAAAACTTAGAAATCTATGATTTGATAAACAACCTTAAAACCTAAAATATTATAAAGAAGGCATTATTAATAATTAAATGTAAAAGAGCAATCATAATTCAATTTAAACTTATTAATCTAGTTTGAAAGATTTTCTTATCTCTTAATAATGTCTTATATTATATTATGACGAAGTAGACAAAAGAAAATCAACTAAATAAAAATGATTTATTTTGTATTAGTTTATAACATATGATTGATCAAAAATATTTATTATCATAATTTTTCATTACAAACTACATTAAGTTTTGTAAACATACTTTAATAAGAAAGTCAAATATTAATAAATCATGCAAAAATAAAAAATTATAAAAAATTTTTCCGATACCGGGGATTGAACCCGGGTCCCCAGGGTGAAAACCTGATATCCTAACCACTAGACTATACCGGAAATGTTAATATAGACTCAATGAATAGAATTTTATATTGTAAAACAGTAGTAATTGGCTATCAATAATTAATAATAATATACTAGCTATATATTTTAATCTGTCAAAGATGTAAATTATTTATTAGAGAATATTAAGACGTATAATAAGATTAAAAGGGAAAAATTTATAAGAGTACAAAAGTATTTGCTTAAATTCAAGAATCAGAATTTTAATAATTTAACTTTGTAATTTCAGAAAAGAAGTCTTAATTTAAGTAGAATATGCATTAAATTACTTGCTATAAAGAAACTAATGAAATAGAGACTCAAAATATAAAGAGCTCTAATTGATAGCAATTGTTATAAAATCATTCTTACTTGTTTGTTTATTCTGATTTTCTTTATACTTCTTCCATAGCCTTTGATTTCATTTTATTAATCTTATCAAATAAGAATTATTTTTCTTGTTCCTCTGACTCCCAGGATGTCTTTGAAATTAGAATAAATCTATACTTCTGGTCCTAACCCTAATTTACTCAAATCTTCTTTTTCCATAAGACCATTATTCATTCTACATTGCAAATAATCAACTTGATATTTTCTACATCTCTTGGGCATGTTCTCATGTTTTTAGATGCATTAATTATATTATTTTGCTTCATTATCACACTCATGAAAATGATCTAATGGAAATGCTCCCTTATCTTATTTTATTAATTTGAATTACCTGGTCCCTTTGAGGCATTCTACTTGCTTCTATTAGACATAATTAAAATTTAATCAATATATATATATAGATATATATAAAGTATCACATATGATGATTTTCTAAAATTGTTCTATATTTATCCTTTAAGAGTTTAAGTAATTAAAGATAAGCATTATGTTCGAGCTTGTACTTTTGAGCATATTCTTGAGCAATTTTGATAAGATTGTCATTTTTTTTCATAACTATATTGATAATTTTACCTGTTTTGAGTTTGAATTAAACAGAAAACAATTTCTCATTCTTATTGTCATTTAGATCAACATATTTAATGAGTTATTTGTTTGGAGTTATGGACTTATAATTCAACTATCTCTCTGGAGTTCCATTAAACTAAGTATTGACTTGTTCTCTCAATTGAACAACAATATTATTTTAAGATTTATTTCTATGACTATTCCTATTGGTGTTTTTCCCAGTTTAATGGAGGGACTTGTTAGTAGCCATTTTCGAAATGTAATCTTAACTAGATTATGGATTTTATTCAGTAGTTAAAGTAGTTGACTTTGTTTGATGATGATAATAATTATTTTGAAAGAATTTGATTTTATTGGTACTTTCATTTTCTTATTTGATAAACTAAGAGATTTCATAAATATTGATAGATTCTCTTTTTAATGGAACTTTTTCTGGTTTCTATTTTTATTCTTGTTATTAAAATAAATCTTAATTGAAGCTGTCGAAAACCTTTTCGCATTCAACTTAGATGTAGTTCTGAATTTCCTATACACTTTTTTCTTCTATTTCTGCTTAAAATTGTTTAAATTATTCTAATCCACTTTTCATAGCCTCTTAAATTGTTGTGAATTTGTCTTAAGAATTACTCATTTCATTAAATGCTGATCTGCTTGTGAAAACTTGAGATTACAACTTAGACGGGGATCTTTAAAAGATGACTTAAGAATTTTAATTTTAATTCTTATTGGTATCATTTTCAATCCATCTGCTGATTCTTGAATTTTTAGGAGTGTTATCAATGCTAAATTAATTCAATTTAGTTGAGTTTACTTCTGGTTACTTTTATTAAGTCTATTGGATAGTATTGGTATTCTTATTTGAAAAGCTCATAATTTACTCTTGTTTAATTGATGGACTATTTTGAGAATCATCAAGAGCAGAATTACTTTGATTCTCAATTTTCTTCTTTAGAGGAGAATCTTATTCTACTTATATGTAAGTTTAGACTCTTCTCAAATGAATTTAAGATTAATTTACATTTAATTCTGATTTCCTGAATGACTGATTAACTTTTTAGTTATTATTATTTCCTAACGAATTATCCATTCTATTGGAATTGGGGGAGACTTCACTTTCAGTTTGAGAAACATTACAGTTTTTCAATGAGATGCGATTAAACTTAAGGACAGAAATGGTGGATGACTTTTGGTTTCTATAAGACATATTTCCGCTCTGTTACATCTGTAATTGAAGAGTCTAGGAGAATACTGGAGATGCATACATAGATAAGATGGCTAACATTTTATTTGGTGATACAGGATATTTCATGGTAGCTCATTCCATTCTTTGCAGAGAATTTAAGGGCATTTTCACCTTTGTAGATGTAAATGAAGCATTTTTACTCGAAACTTTTCTTCGATCTATGAGATCAAGTTTATTGCCAATCAAATATGTACTCTTATTTTATGTTTCTGGATTGTAACGATTTTTTAAGTACTCCAAGCTGTTTTGATCACTAATGTCAAATAAATAGATTGCAACGTCAGGTCTAGATGTAACCAATTCTAATTGGAAATGCTATTGCAATAGTTCAATTAGGGTTCTTTTTCCAACACCATTTTTGCCTATGATTTAGAATTACATTAACATTAATTAATTAGTTGTTAATTTTATGACTTCCCCTTCACGCCTGTAAATCCAATAAGCACTTGAACTTGAGAAACGATTTGAAGATGGTGATACTGAATACGAACAGATAACCGAACTAGCCCTCATCTATAGACAGTTTATCGAGTACTACGATTTGAATAACAATCCAATGAAATAATACTTTATAGAAAAGATGAAGCGCTTGATGTAATCACCTTGCACTATGCAATCCTTGATTGTTTCAGCTCCAAGTACAAGACGTAATTCACCTACTGGTTAAGAAAATCTAAAACATTATTATCAGAATTATCAATATGAGACAATGAAAAATCAGACAATTACTCCAAGAGGGATTAAATAATTACAAAATGTAATTTAATGATTATTTGATTTTTTAGGACTTTTTGTATTAGAAGGAGAATATTGAAAAGATTATAAATAATGATTATGCCAAATAGTTGTAATAAGTAACGGAAAAATTATAGTAAAGAAAATAGAAAAAGTGTCCTGGCAAAAAATCTCCAAGCAGAACCTTCACAAAAATCTATAAACCTCCTACTCTAGAGATGCTTGATTTGTGATTCATAGTTGTTATACATATTGGGATGGTTGTCTGTCTCCTAATAAAAATCAAAATTAACATTAATATTTACTATATCATTATTTCACCTCTAATTTAATATTTTATTATTTCATATATGGCAAGCAAAATAGTGATACTTGCTCTTTTTTAATTGATTTAATCTTAGGTCTGATGTAATAATTAAAATTAGTTATCCATGTCACTTAGTTGTCCTAGTGAATAATTTAACACTGAATACTATACTCTTCTTAATGGGTTGGAGCAAAGTTTCTTTAAACAGGAAGCAGATCAGAGGGACTTAATGCAATTAATTTTAAGTATAGCCCATCTGGTTGAGTACTTTGATCTGAAAAAGGATCCCATAAAGGAGTACTTTTTGGAGAAAATGCAATTCATTCTTTCTAGACCTTTTACAATTTGTAATTTAAAAAAGAAAGAAGAGGAGACAATACATCTAGAAACGAGAAAGTCACATCATTCTCATTTTTCTTAAAATGTGTAAAAGTTAGAAATGCTATCATAATTGCAGAGTAACTTAGAAGAAAATGAGGAAACTATAAAATTGTTATAGGAAGTATGTATATCATATATAATAATAGGATTATGAACAATAACTAAAAGATTAAACTTTGTTAGTTTAAATAGATTTGAACAATTAGATGGGCAAATTTAAAAATAAGCTTCTTCATCGAAAAAATAAAAGTTTGTATTCTCCTTGCAGAGCAAACGTCGAAGAGGACAAAATAAAAAGATAGAACAGGTTGAATACTTACCAAAGTAGTAATTATTAGAATGCCTGTTAAGAACATATATATCTTGATGATGCATGTTCATTTGCGACATTACAAAATTAATGAATATAAAAAAAGGTTTGTATAATTAAAAATAACAAGTTATTGATATATTTCTTTTAACAATCATTTTGATTAATCATCATTCCCTTCTTCTATAAGTGCTTCCTGACTAGTGATTGCCTTGAGTATAATTTTTTTACTCGGCTCCTAAATGAAGCCAGCCAATAGCAATTCATCCAATATGTAATAGGCTTTGTGGAAATTAAAGATGAGATCCAATTCACAGACATTTCCAAAATACTTATCCAAGACTTCTACAAAATGATGAATGATCTCCAATATCAACAATTCGTTATCCTCTTTGTCACAAATAGCTATGAAATAAAGTGAGGCATATCGCTTATAAACAATTTTGTATTCAACATACTCTAAGAAATTGCACATCTTTTGGCCGCGTGTCAATACTAATGAGTTTATCTTTACAATGATATCGATAGCAATACTTCTTTCAAGAAACGTTACTTCTCTTTCGTACTAAGTGATTGATTATACCACTTAGTCAATCTGGTCTTGCCCTATCTGCTAACTAGAAATAAACACTAGATCATTAGGAAGACTCTTTGATTATTTAATTAAAAAATGTTACTCGTGAATGAATCCATAAATGTAATAATTCAATCTATGCTAAGGTTACAATACCTTCATATCAACAAGAGTCTTCCAGTGTTCAATATGTGATTGATATCAAGACAAGAAACAAGCAGTAATGGCAAATTTCAAAGCGCTATTCTTAATTTGAAGATTTGCACAAGAAATTGATACCACTCTTTCAAGAACTCCCTGAATTACCAAAGAAAGCCTTTATTACATTCTTGGTAGGTAAATCGAAGGAATAGTTGGAGGATCGAAGAGCTGGTTTAGAGAAATATCTTTAGTAACTAATAGTCCGCCGTGAAATATATCATTCTCAATTACTTCGAGATTTTTTGCAGGTATAGTAATCTGTAATAAGCTTGAATAATGCGAGGAAATTCTCCCACCTAATCTACTACATTCATTTAAGACAATAATGGGTATCCGTGACATTTCTTTGTCTGATTAGGGAGTGATGTTTCTCCTGCAAGCCGATATGAGTGTTTTGAATAGAGTGGATGCTTATGTAAATAACATGAAGATGCCATGGGATTCTGAACAGGGAGAACTCAAAACCATACCAGTAGGCCAAGTTGAATGTTATATCAAGTAAGAAGAAGGGGAGTTTTGCTATAAAAAATTATGGACCAAAGAGTATAGTACTTAAGCAATTTGCATGTTTTATGAACCCATCTCATGCTCATTGCTTGTTGGGTAATATTTAAAAGAGAGTAATTAGATTGGACTCAGGGAATATCAATTTTATAAAAGTATCTGAAAGTGATTCATTCAAAAAGTATGAATAAAGTATTGAAATCGAAATCCATATGAGCAGAATTATGGGTTTATTTTATAGAAATGGATAAATTCACTCAGTTTCCAAGGATACTCATTACAAAGTGATTGATATTGAATAAGGAGGATTGAAATCAGGTTGCAATTTTACTTATTATTCAAGACTTTTCCATTGGCAAACACGAATTAACATCCTTGACATATAATGAATAAAGACAAATCTCTGTAGTTGGCAATAGGAATGGCTAAATATATATCCTAAACATTAAGCCCGCCTAACCAATAGTAATGTTGTCGGTTGATACGAACACATCCTTTATCAGGGGTCTAGTTTTGGACTACCAAAAAAACTATTTGATATCAGTATCATATGATGATGGAGTGATTTCTGTTTTAGATGTTGGTAAATGCTTGCAAGACAATGTAGGCAAAATCAAAACTAAAATTTAGGCTAAAATTAAAGTATTATAAATCGATTACCATTAATTTCTAGACTAGAGAAGTTTAATGGTCAAGTAGACGAGGGGAATTATTCGTTGGAAACGATGATGGAACTGTCACTATTTACAATGCTCTCGATTTATAACCTTAATGTATTTTCTGTTCTTAATTTAAGTTGTACTAAAGGCACATGATAAAGCTATCACTAAATTGATTTGGTAAGAATCAACCCAGATTCTTATTACTGGTGGAAAGGATGAATTAATTAAGTGGTGGCATTTTCCAAAAAAATGGAAAGCTGGTGATTAAGATGAATAGGCCAAATCAAAACAATTGATTGAAGCCAAAATGGAGAATATCTTAAAATTACAAAATCAGAATCAAAAAATTGATTCAGATGAAGAAGATGAAACCGGCTTAGGAAATTGGCATAAATGATTTATTATTACAATAGCCTCATCAAATTTTAACAAAATTATATCTATTATCTCCAAAAACGAAAGATTATTAATCAAACAAGTTAGTATTGATGGTTATCATCTTAATAAAAGTTATTTTTACTCCTAATGAGTGCACAACTATATTTTATAAGTTAAGTTTAAGTAGAAAAATTAGATGAATTAATTCAAGAGAATCTATAGCATGTTCTTTAGATGAAGCACCAAAAGGTGTACTATCTTAACAACGAAATAAATATTTTGAAACAATCGAATAAAGAAAATAAGAATTTTTGGATATTAAAAATAAATTATCATGATGAAATCAATATCTTGATATCTTTCAATTAAAGCTAAAGTTTAGATATCTTCCTGTTCCTTATTTTATAACATCCTAAAATTATCATATATTATTACATGGATAGGCGCTAATAGTTTTGTAAATGACTATTTATCCAATCCTAAGAGGATGCAATCAGTCTCACAAACTATAGTAGCCTATCTGTTTATCTCTTTTAACATAGCCAATTCCCCAAAATAATCAAATTCTCCAAATTCAAATACACATTATTCTTCATCCTCATCTTCTTCTCCTTTTTTTAATGCTTTCAATTAACCCTCTTGTATTAAATAAAAATAATCTCCTTTTTCTTTTTACTTAAACACTACTTCATCTGCTTTGAAACTAACCACATGTAAAGCATCTGCAATTTATTGTCTAAGGTATGGATCAATTTATTATAAAATTGGAAATTTTTGTAAAATGCCATCATATCTAATTACCATTAATAAATCAATAATTACTTCTAACGTTTTTCTAAAACAGGTTATTTGATAAAAGTATCAAACGTTTCCTTGTCTAGCACCCACAATACACAATCTGTATAGGCTACTATTGTTGCAGCTCTTTTCTCATTATATAGTAAGGCCATTTCACCAAAAAAATCTCCAGGTTGATAGGATTTAATAATTTTGTCTTCAATTTGTTTACCTCTCTTTTAACAGTCTAAAAGACCCTAATCAACTAAAAATAACTAATCCCCATCATCTCCTTGCTTTATAATAGTCTCATTTGCTCTAAAGAAGTTTATAAATTTATATACTTATATTTCTTCTCTTCCATAGCATTAGCAACAATTTCTTTTTATTGATCATTTAAATGTTTAAACAAATAGCAAGTAGTTATTTTTTTTTAAACTCTGGATTTTTAATCTTTATTTTTTGGAATAACTTTATGATTTTTTTAAGAATTAATTTAGGATTGATGAATTTATTCTTACTATTATGCTTAATGTATTTAGGATTAAGATTGTTATTATTATTATTATTATTATTATTATTATTATTATTATTATTATTATTATTATTATTATTATTATTATTACTATTACTATTATTGTTATTATTATTATAATGATTATTACTTGATTAATTATTCTTTGCTCTCTGTTAAAGAACTCCTTTTTAATTATTAATTTTCTTAAATTTCATACTCATCTCTTGAATGCATCAATCCTTATTAACTTTATTAGACAGAGTTAACTTATGATGATTTCATTTATTATAATGATTATTCTCTTGGAGTATTATTGAACATAATTTATGGTTATGGTTATACTTGTTTCATTGTAACCGGCTGCAAATACATTGGATTTGCTTAGGTAGCTGATTTCTTAAATGATTTATTATTATTGCTTTATGGTTAAAACTTTTGTGTTAAAACAGATTATTATTTTTAAAATGGATGTGCTTATTTCTTTGGATCAGCAACAATTGGAGAAGGACTTAACTGATCACCAGAACCAAATTTAGGTTCTTGATCAAAATGATGTTCTGCTTCATGCTAACTACCCTCAAAGCTTTTTTGTTATAAATCACTTTATTCTAATCCTTATTTTGAATTATTTTAATGTAACAATTATTAACTATTAATCTCATGTTGGCTATTAATAGGCTAACTAGAATGTTAATGGGACAATTATTAATTAGATTATAGATGAGGAATGTGATGATTTGATCCTGGCTAATTTGATTACTATCTGTTCAATAGAGGATTTTGTAGAGATTAAACTTAGCTTCTTCTTGGAGTTCCAGTTTGCATTTAATTATGAGATTGAACAGGCAGGGTTACTGAGAATGGTACATTTTGTTTTTCCTAAGGTCTGTATTGCTATCCTGTTGTTGCCAGCCATTAAGTCATAAATTCAACCTTATTATCATTCTAGCCATATTACAGGATCTTCAGGTTTTGCGATTAGCAATTCAATTAATATTTTCTCGAAAAGCGGGTGCACTTTACTAGCAAGATATGATCTGCTATCTTATTCTTCCATTCCAATATAAATAATATTAATTATATGTAATGACTTAGAAAATTATGAGAATATGAAATTTATTCATTTAATCATTAAGAGTGATTATTTTTCCTTCTTTCTTTAATTATAAATTATAATTTCTCCACGATATTCTTAATTTACACTTGCTATTCCTATAATTTCATTTTATCATTTTCATTGTTATTTTTTGGAAGCGTGAATTGTATTTTTTTGATTGAATCCTCATTTTTAACATATTTAATCATAAGCTATTAATCATTTTTGAGTCTAACCCAAAGAATGGATGATATTTATATTCTTTTATAATCTTTGGTTTACCCAGATTAATGATTTTCCAATAAAAATTGAACCATCAATTTAGCAATCTTATAGAAAGAATATTTTTGTTGCTTTTCCGTTGTGTAGTAGTAATATAAATCAAAATAGTCTATCCCAATAATAACTTCATTCTACAATCCGTTATTCTCTATCTTTACAACTTTGTATTCTTCATAGTTGAACATCTAAAGATTTTTTTGATCAACGAATTCTTCCTTTTGAATCATTGATGGTGATATTGATTTTAAAGATTTCAACCCAAATCCTGAGACTTTAATTTGATCATTGTTTTTTTTAGAAATTTTAAATTGAATAATCAACCAATGAATTGGCAGCAAGGATATTGGGAATTTAATGTCTAAAGCTTCTGAATTATTAAAATTGATGCAAGGAAATTTTAGTAAGAAAAAACATTCATTTTAGTTATACTTAAAGTTTCCTTTCTTTTTCAATTCATTGTAAATTTCCTAAATGGTTGCATTTTATTCAAATTTTAAATTATAAAATATTTCATTTTCTGCATCCTCTAGCAATAAAATTATTTATGTTGGATAAGTCATAAGAGTTTTTTCAACTGTAAATAAATCTATACCAAAATTAGATGTGTCTGCAATGCTGAGAGTGACATTTTTGAAATCCACTTTCTAATTCAATTCCAAATTAAAGAATCCTTTGTTAGGATTCATTTCAATGTCGTCAAATATATATTAAAATTATTGGATTGAATCCTATCTTGGTGGTTAATTTTCAATAATGCTATCTTTAAAAGAGGGAGAAGCAGAAAAATCACAATATTCCTCTATACTTGTCAATTAATATGCTAATGTAAAGTTTGAGTATTTTAACAATCTTTAATCAAATCCTAAGGTTTTCTTGTATTCTTATATGGCAAAAACTATTAATTCACAAGCTAAAATATTTTTATCTACGATTAGTTTCTTTGAGTATTCCGAGTTTAGATAGTTGACACAAATTTCTTTTAGATTTTTTTATTAGCTGACCTTAAATAGAGGAGTCATTAATGATCGTTTTAAAGAAACCATAGAAAGCGTTCTTGCACTCCTTTTGTTGTTACGATACCTTTTAAACTTTTCTTGTTCATATATTACTTATGAAAAGGATTTTGTGTGTCCTCTATAGGATGTATTCCTTCTCTTTATGATAGGCTTTTATGGTAATTCATTAGAATTATCTTTTTGATCTTCATTTATTTCCAGGGTTGCCTCATTGTCATTCACTTCACTAAGGCTACTTTGATTATTTGTTCTTACGAGTCGATCCATTTTTAGATTAAACTCTGATTCCTGACTACTTCTAATAATATTAGTAACGTTGGATGCCTGATCCTATTATTAGCACTGTTAATATAGAAATTCAATATCATTCCAATCAAATTCTTTACTATTTTCCTCTTTTGATGAGCAAGTGCTTTTAGATTAAATATTCCATTAAATAGGTTATTTCTACATTTGCAAATAAATAATGTCCATACTAATAATAATAAGATAAAACAATAATAATTTTAAGTTTATTCAGATATTAAGATACTCTTTAATTATAATATATATTTCTACATAAAAATAAAGAATCAAGAAGCTAAAATTGCTATTTTGTATTATTTTATTTGAACAAATTTATTTTAGAAAACATGTTCTCATATTTAGTGTGTAATAGCAAAAATTATTTTTTTATATAATAATAAAGAAAATTGAAAATTGTAATAACGAATTTATGAGTTCTTCAATATTTTAAAATAGACTTTTAGTTTTTAAGTAGTTCATTAAAATATGTTATTGCAGATGATTTGTGTAGGAAAAACAAAATCAGGAACTTAAAATTAAATTATTTATCAATTATTTTAATCAATTAGAAAAACGATTGGAGTAGTATAATTAAAATTGTCATTCATATTTACTACTAATATATTAGTAATCCAGTTAAGCCGTGAATTGTATAAATCAATTTGAATAAAAGTTGCTCAAATTGTCATGCATCTTAGTAAAGAAAAAAAAAGGATGAAAACCCTAGTTATGGAATGCCAATAGGAATCCCTATAAGAGTTTCTAAATAAAATTATTTTGTAGAAGAGAAATTATATATAATAATATTTAATTAATAGTAATGATATGTATATGTAATAATGATAATAAAAATATTGATGTCAAATAAAATTATACAAATGATGGCCCAGTTTCACAATTATCAAACCTACTGTAATAAATATCCACATTTTGGATGTTCGAATGCTACTGATGTCTTCAAAATCAGACTCTGATCCAATAATCCATTCAATAATCTATTAATAAATTGGATAATGTAATTGTCCAATAACAATATCCCCTGATTGAAGGAGTACCATAATTTCTGAATAGAATTTTTGATTCAGTATGACAAAATCAAGTATGGCATTTTTATGGATGCATTATCTATTGTCTTCTACTTTTAAAAACTCTAAAATTTGAGATAATAAGATACAAATTGATTATTATTGCTCTCGATTGTTTTACACAATAGATAGATTAAGATAATAGAACTAATTAGAATCGCTTAAGTAATTATATGTTTGAACTAGAAGATTATAACCTTGTAGTTTGAGTTTGACAATTTTGTTTTTGATGCCTATTTCTTTGGTCAAACAATTCAATTTAATAACTTCGTATCTCTCGTATGAGAATTGGTAAGGACGTATAAAGTAATGTTGAGTACCATAAATAATATACAAGTGATCTTCAATAGTGTCGTATTTAATGTATTCTTTCCAGTTAGATTTGAATGATGAATCATACTAAATAGGTTTGGAATAAATTACAATGTTTGTTATTTCATCCTGATAGATTGTACTTGATGAGCCAAATCCGGAGAAGACTGACATTTAGTAATGGATGATGGATATTTTGATTTGTTATTGAAATTCATCTAAAATAATAATGATTAAATTGATAATATCTCTGGATTTATTCTAGGAACTTTCAAATGGGATGTTAATAACATACTGTCCCTTGTGAAAGAGATGAAAGGTCGTAAAAAATGGAACGTCTTGCTGTTTAATATAGCTAGAATTAGATGATCAATTACTTCATCACTGAAATATATTGAATGTCGTATGTATTACTGATAATGAGTAACTACTTGTTAGATGAATAAAAGTTTATAATTCGGTCTTATTAAAGAGATTCAAATTTGCTTATAGATCCATCTTTATATACGTAATGGATCATATTCATAGAGTGTATGGTAGTCATAAAGAGGATTTGATCCATCACTTAGGATTTGTAATACTCTCCTAAATAGATGGTTTGGAATATGAGTTTTATTGATATCCATTTATTGAATCCATAATACTCTACATCTAAGATTTCTTCGGCATCTATTTAATATACACTCAAAACTGTTTAAGTAATGTACTAGTACAATTGTTGTAGTCAATAATGTAAATCAGATTATTGTGGAGATGTGTGTCTATTGCACAGTCTATTTGATACTAAAAAAGGGTTGCTTCATCTTGTAAGTATTTAAGATAATTGCATTCATTATCAAACTGGCGAATTTGTTAAAAATGGGCCTTGATTTGGTAGATTAGAGTGTGCTAATTTTCGATCTGTATTTAATCATTAGTAGGTTCTCTAAGACTGGTGCCATAACGATAGTAGAAGTAGAGGAGAGATTATTTTAATTCCATTCGATTAAAGGTTTCAATGATGAGCACAATTAAGGCCCCGATTAATTGAAGTATAAACATAAAATTAATGTAATAAGTAATCCCAGCCCCCAGAGTTTAAGTAACGTAGCCATACGCTGGTTAAAAGCCAGGGACTTCAGGTTTACGTAAGAAGGTCAGCGAGGCAACTCAGCCTAATTATTTAGAGAACTTTGTGCAGAGCATCTTCAACACATTGCGCAAAGATGAATTAAAGCGTATCCAATAATGCTATTTTTATTTAGCTAAGAATGTGCTCTTTGTAGGAGGAGATGGAAGGTACTTCAATAGATAGGCTATATTCTCAATAATTCGTTTGGCTTATGCAAATGATATAAGCGAAGTGCACGTTGGTCAAGCAGGGTTAATGTCTACTCCTGCCTCTTCGCATTACATTCGCAAGGTTAATGAAGAAGTGGGAAATTGCATAGGAGGAATAATCCTCACAGCTTCTCATAATCCAGGTGGTAAAGAACATGGAGATTTTGGAATCAAATTCAATGTGAGAACTGGTGCTCCTGCTCCAGAAGATTTCACTGATTAAATCTACACAGTAATAATCCTAATATGAACATCTTAGCATACGACTAAAATTAAGGAATATTTAACAGTAGATTATGAATTCGAGAAACACATAAATTTAGACTAAATAGGAGTATACAAATTCGAAGGCACTAGATTAGAAAAATCACACTTTGAAGTGAAGGTAGTGGACACAGTCTAGGACTATACTTAATTGATGTAGAAACTTTTTGATTTCGATTTGCTTAAGGGATTATTCTCAAACAAAGGTAAAATTAATTTAATATTAAATAAAAAGATTTTACATTTAGATTTGATGGTATGCATGGTGTTGCAGGACCTTATGCTAAACACATCTTTGGCACTTTATTAGGATGTTCAAAGGAATCTCTATTGAATTGTGATCCATCTGAAGATTTTGGAGGTGGTCATCCAGACCCAAATTTAACATATGCTCATGATTTAGTTGAATTATTGGATATTCATAAGAAAAAAGATGTAGGTACAGTTCCATAATTTGGAGCTGCATGTGATGGAGATGCAGATAGAAATATGATCTTAGGTAGATAATTCTTTGTAACACCCTCTGATTCCTTGGCAGTTATAGCTGCTAATGCTAATTTAATATTTAAAAATGGTTTATTAGGTGCAGCTAGATCAATGCCAACTTCAGGTGCTTTGGATAAGGTTGCAGCCAAGAATGGAATAAAACTATTTGAAACACCAACAGGTTGGAAATTCTTTGGAAATTTGATGGATGCAGGATTGATCAATCTCTGTGGAGAAGAAAGTTTTGGAACTGGATCTAATCATATTAGAGAGAAAGATGGAATTTGGGCAGTCTTAGCATGGCTGACTATTTTGGCACATAAAAATAAGGATGCTGATCATTTTGTCACTGTTGAAGAGATAGTCACTTAATATTGGCAATAATTTGGTAGAAACTATTACTCAAGATATGATTATGAATAAGTTGATTCTGCTGGTGCTAATAAAATGATGGAGCATTTAAAAACCAAGTTCTAATATTTTGAAGTATTTTTTATATCATATTGTAGTAATTGAAACAAGGAAATAAGGCTGATATTTATGATTATGTTGATCCTGTTGATCAATCAGTGTCAAAGAATCAAGGAGTTAGATTCGTTTTTGGAGATGGATCAAGAATTATATTTAGATTGAGTGGAACTGGATCAGTAGGTGCTACTATTAGAATCTATTTTGAATAATTTGAATAGTAGGAGATACAACATGAAACAGCTACTGCATTAGCTAATATTATTAAGCTTGGATTGGAAATCAGCGACATTGCTTAATTCACTGGAAGAAATGAACCAACTGTCATAACTTGAACAATCAATCACATTATTAAATAAATATACAAAATTAAATTAGAAAAAGAAATTTAAATTCCATAAAAGTCTTTGCATTCTCTAAAATTAAATGGGTGGTAAATAAATAATTTGAGAATCTAAGTAATAATAATTCTCGCATTATGAGACCTAAAATAATGTAGTAATAACATATATTAATTTAATTGTTATGATAAATAGTAATGAAGTTTCTCCTGTTAAAATGTCTAATTGTAATAATTGCTGTTTAAATACAAGAGTAGAAATAGGACATTATGAAATCGATATTGAAAGAAGAGTCGATGATAAATATCACATTAAAACCATTGGAGCAAGAGGTTTTCTTGGCTGAGGATCCATAAGCAGCATTGCTCAAATTGAAATGTTTCTAGGAACTAATCAACAAAGAGCGGTAACTTATAGAGTTGATTGTAGATTAGCGTATGCAGAGCACTTGGCTGAAGTATTTGAATTAATTGGAGATGATGCTTATAGAAATCTAGGATTTATATTAAAGCAATTCGTATAATATATTACCTACCTATTTGTTAGGTTCATGATTCCTATTCAATCTAATTATCTATTATTCGGTAGTTGCCAATTCTAGTAGAACAAATTAAGAAACGATAATCCGGGTATGCAGAATTGAAAGATCATGTTCTGCCATTTATGAGCATCTTTCTCCAGCATTAGGACGTGGATGTATAATAATCCCATAATTATTAGATCAAAAAGGAAGTCCTAACTCAATTACTTAAAATAGCACCCTTTTTGATCGAATCAGACAAAGTGGATATAATTTTAGCACATTTGATCGAAATGGCTCACGATGAGAAAAATAACTAAAATCGTATGTTGGCAGCTGAGACATTTGGTAAGTGTGCATCTCTCTTCTCTATGAAATATTGTGAGTCGTATATTTGCGGAGAACTATTGTCTCTTGGGATAGATTTAAATGAATTCGTAAGAGAAAAAGCTATAGAACAATTACCAAATTTATCAGTAAGTCTCTCTCAAAAATGCATAGAACTCAAAATTGTACCCTTCTTTCTTTAGTAATATCATATCTCTAAATATTCCTTAGATCTTGCGAAGAAAGACTTTTGCAGATTAAAAATGCTTGCATCAGGTCCATCTCAGGTATTTGCAAATATGCTAGACATGACTTAAAGACCTCCAAATTAATACCAAAGTATTTGGAATTTTTTTGTGATCAAAATAAAGATGTCAGAAAAACAGCATATGAATATTTAGGCGAGTTCATCAGTACAATCAAATTCACTGAGAAGGATTAGCAATAACTCGAAACCCTATTGGCATATTACTAGAATTAATTGGATAAAAATATCAATATGATGGGTGTTGATGTAAGAGCATTTTGTATTTTAGCTCGTTTATAAATGTGCCTTCTATTTCCCAGGAGTTCTACAAGCAATAAGTCGAAATCGTTGGCATATGATTCAACCTCTATATGGATTCCTTCTAAAATATCCCTCAGATGTAATTATATCTCTAGTTTAGAAAGTCAAAATTTCCTTAGCTCATAGTTTTCATGAAGTGGCCAAATTGTTGGGTCCCGATTTATCCAAAGAACATTTGATCACTGTACTAGAAACATTAGCATAAGATAAATTGCAAGAAGTCAGAAATGGCATAGTATTAAATCTGTCAAAATTTATATCCATCTTCCCTATAGAGGAAAGAGATTATGTCATTGATCTATTACTCAATTTTTAGAAAGACTAGCATAAATGGCGAACTCGTCAGATTATTTGTACTTCTATATTCCCAATCACAAGATGCTTTAATAACGATACTATCTTCTTTCACATTGCTCCAATTCTATTCAAGTTTTGTTCAGATACAGTTGCAAAAGTAAGAAGGAAGGCTTCTAAAAATGTTGTACATTTAGTTGAGACCTTTGAGGAAGAAGGAGAATAAAGAACTGTCATTCTTGAATAGATTAGGGCTTTTTCACATTCCAAAAGATTCAATTAGAGACAATCATATTGTTGGATGTGTTATAAGTTATTTTACAGACCAGATTTTGAAGATCTATTTTTTGAAAGACTCTTTGAACTATGTAGAGACCCTGTTTAATGTGTGAGGTTATCAGCTATCATTGTCATTGATAAATTTATTTAAAAGGTAGGTTTCTCTAAGGAACGCAAATATTTGAAATATCTATTGATTCAATTTATTGATGATTAATGCTAAGAAATTTAGTTAATTCTGACTAAATATAATTTTGTGATCCAAAAAACTAAGAAAAAGACATTATCATGCAGATCACGTAATAGTGGATCTTCAAATGGTCATTTGGAAGACATTCCAGAATTTGATGAAAAAATTGAACAGATTCGTAAATCATCTGGTAAAGTTTGATTTTATTATCTATAATTTAAATTCCAACTTATGGGAATCCTAAATAGAATTCTTATTTATAGCAACAATAAATTTATAGATAAATCAATATCAAATGAGTTTTTTGTTTCTGAAAAATTGTTTCAATTTTCTAGCCTAGACAAAATTTGTTAACATCATCAATAGTAAGGTTATCACGCTGAATAAGATAATTTTATATGATATTTTAGAAACATTTTAGAACCTATCCGATTATCTCTCTTCTATCTCTTTTTGATCAAGCTAAATCTAAATACATGTGCTGTACTTCAACTGCATTTACTAAACCATTTAATTTCTTCAAGTGAATTTCTAAAGGTTTTAAATCCTCTTTCTAAGCTAACAGAGAGAAGTCCTAAGCATCCATTCCTGTAACCAATGTAAAATTATAGCTCGTCCATTCATTTGCCAAATTGTGAATGCAAAATTAATAATTCAATTATGTGTTATTAGTTGTAAATGAAAACTTATGCAATTCTTAACTATGAGTATATTAAAGTATATTATCAACCTTCTTAGTTGGCATCTAATATTATTGTCATGATTACATGAATTTTTAATGAATACTCACTCGAATTCCCTTAAATAGATCCAACTACTAAACTATTTTATCCAATATTTTCTCCAAAGCATTTCAATTCTTTTTATTTAAGCGAGAATGTAAATTGTACACTAAAAACGCCTTAAAGTAGAAATGCTATTATAAAAAGCATTACGTGTAAAATTTAATAATAACAAAAAATCAATTGTTTTAAGAGTTGATTATACTTTATATCAACAAAGGAGATTTTATATAAGTATTGCAATAATATGATCAAATCCATATACTTAAACATATACAACAATTATTTTCAAATTTTATAAACAAACATATTCATTTATAAAAGATGCAATCGTATAATAAATTATTAAATAAAACAAAATTAAGTCTAATAAAGGATTTTGTAATAAATTTAAATGAAAAAAATGTAAAATAATTAGTATAGGGAAATAAATTCAATAGCATAAATAGTCAAAGCCAATTAAAAAATTATTCAAGCTGAGCTTAATTAACTTTTATAATAAAATAGCGAAATCCTACCAAATACTTCTCCTAATGAATTTGTTAAATTATGGTTTGAATTGAATGCTGAGGAGAGATCAAAATATATACTATCAGGATAACATGAATTGTCCAATTTTGTTTAATAAGAATTAAAATCTAAATTTTTAAATGTCAATCAGATTTTGAAAGCTGCTAACTTTTTTGATGGAGTACCTTGGCATTATAAAATTACAAGTATCTAAAATAAATACAATAGATAAATTTACCCAAAATGCTTGTATTATAAGTTAACATTATATGAAAGTCTTAGCTTATATAAAAACCATTCTTTAAGGGTATTTTTCCATGATTGATCAAGTGATGACTACAACCGTTATTGATATGGAACCTTTATCAAATTTCTAAGCCTACTTTTAGACGAAAACAGAAGAAGGATTTACATTATTTTGGGAAGTGGCTATTGATAAAGTTCCCAAACTAGTTTGTCAAAATATGTTGAATATCAAATAAATTGTAGGTTTTAATTTCTATCATACAATTACATTTATTGACATAAAATAAGAGAATATTCATGATAAAGATATTAAATTAATCATCTAAAATTATCATATTGACACAAAAAGTTCTTATTATAGAAAAGGAATTGATTATTCAAAGTTAAAATGTGAAGATTTTGAAAATGAAAGCAATAAATGTTATCTGTTTATGAGGTCGACCAATAATAATAATTCATATTGGGAATTAAACTATAACTTAATGAAGTATGATATCATAAAATGGTTAAGTCATTAATTTTAACCAATTTTTTTAAATAAATAGGAGTAAACAATGTATTAATTTGATGCATCTTCTTAAAAGTGGATAAGCAAATTTGATGAAGATATTTTACAAAATGAATCATAGATTCAATAAGAAAAAATATTCAAAAAAGATTTAGTTTAAAAATTTGCAGATTTTACAATTTCATCAAAATTAGTAGAATTTTTATAAAAAGTTCCTAATTTCAGTATAAAATTGACTGATGAATAGAAGTAAATTATTGGAATGGAAGGAAAAATTATATTTGGTGGCAGGAGTGGAACAGGAAAAACGACATGCTTGATCCTTAGACTTTTAGCAATGAAACATATATTTAAACTTAGAATAGAAGTGCATTAGAAAAAAAATCCTTCAATTGAGATTGATGACCTCTATTTTAATTGTTTATTCATAAGTAATAATAATATCCTGTCTATCTAAGCAAAAAAATATTATGAAAAATTGAATAATTAAGTTTAAGCAGAATTAAATAAAAATAAATAAAAAAGAAATTATTAAAATTCCCAAAATTTATCATGGACCTAAGGAGTATAGCAAGTTATTTATCCATCAAATATACAAACTTAAGGCTAGTAAAATGATTAGTAAGATTATCCATTATTTTTAACTATCTACTAGTTGATTTTTAGGATTGATTCATATTTAAATAAACCATACTTCCCTTAAAATCAATCTTAACAAAATTTAAATAATTATAATATCTTTGCAGAAGATATGGCTTATTAATTTACTAATTTATTTTTGAAGTAAGATATAAATTAGGAAGGGGAAATTAATTTGAATGATTTGATTTAATAATAATCATTTAAGGAATAGAAAAATATAGAAAATAAAACTGAAAAATAAAACCGGAAAGAAGAACAAAAATAATTGATCAATCATTAGGAAGTAGATTTTACTTTTTTTCTTAATAATTTTTGGCTGAAGAAATGCTCTAATGTTCAACTAAATCCTCATTTTGTTTGGACATATATTTATTCTTATATTAAAGGATGCTCTAATGCTCATGAATATCCTGGACACTATATTTCGAAGAGCACATTTTTAAGTATGTTTAGCAATAACAAAGAGTTCAATACTTTATATGATATCTTTATTTAATATGAAAAGTGGAGAGCAGATAAAGGATACTATGATTTATTAGATGTAGTTAATCATATCCTAGTATAATTAAAATAAGATGAAATATGTATGCCATAAATTCATTATTTGATTATTGATGAAATTTAGGATTTGCCAGAGGCTATGATATTGTTATTTGAAAAAGTATCACTTTTTGGAACAATATACAGCGGTGATACAGCTTAGAATATATCTAAAGGAGTTGGTTTTAGATTTTTAACAATGTAGGAGTTATCAAAGAGAATCTATTAAAAGGAAGAATATCAATATTACTAAACAGAATAATTTCTTAAAACATTAAATCAAAATTTTAGATCAAATTCTAATATTTTAAAGTTAGCCAACTCAATTGTTTCCTTAATTCAAATGTATTTTCCAAAAACTATTGATGATTTTATGAAGGAATCATCCAATTTCAAAGGTGTTAAGCCTATTATTGTTAATGGAAGTTTAGATTTATTATTTTATTTATTCGAAGGACTAGATAACTCTGAAATTAGTGAGGAAATATAAAAGTAACCTATAGAATTAGGATTTAGATCTGTCATTATTGTTAAAAACAAGGAATAAAAAAAAAATATACCTAAACTTTTATAGCATATTTAGGTTTTATCTATAGAAGAAGTGAAAGGCTTGGAGTTTGAGAACGTTATTCTTTATAATTTTTTCACTGATAGTATTATTAAGGAATCTGAATGGAAGTTATTGTAAACATGTGAGGTTATAGATGAGGAAATGAATAAATAAGCATATTTAACTAGTTTAACTAGACAATCAACAATTGATTATTATACTTCTTATTTTACTGGGTATGATGATAAAAATGGAAACATCTTATTCAAAAGAATGATACCATATATAAAATATTACGATGAGTTTACTTATAGTAACAGTGGCTTATGCAACGAACTAAAACAACTATATATTGCAACAACGAGATCTAGGTAGTGCTTGTATATTTTTGACGAAAAACCCTAATAAAGGAGATGGATTGAACAAATTTGGAAAAGTTTACAATTAATTGAAATTGTTGACTAAATAAATTTTGAACATTAAAATTTATAAGCCAATCTTTAGATTAAATCGAAATTCTAATGGAAGGAACAAGGCAAAATTATGTTTCAAAAACAATTATATGAACAAGCTGAAAAATGTTTTCAATTTTCTGAAGAGGAAATTTTGTGTAAAAAAGCCAAGGGTTTTAGACTAGCCACAGAAGGTTGTTAACTCATTTTGTCTTTTTAATAATAATCATAACAATATCTTAAGTTAAAGGATAAAAATCAAAAGATAAGTGAATTAAAGTAACAGTATTAAGTTAAATTATAAGAAGCTGCGCAATTGTTTTAAGATACACTCAATTTTAGATAAGCTGCATAGTGTTTATACTTTTGTGAATAATATGATTAAGCATTCAAAATATATGCTAGCCTCGAACTATTTTAAGAGGCAGGTGAAGCAGCCTATAAATCAGAAAATTATATATAGGCAGCAAAATTCTTTTTAAAATGCAAGGATGTTACAAAAACAATAGACTCATACGAATAGGCAAATGAATTTGAGTAAATCTTATAATTTCTTTATTAGTAAAAGGATAAAATAAATGATGCTATTAGAACAGAATTTATTAATAAATATTTTCCAATTTTTTTAAAAAAGTTGACAATTGAATTTGAAAATAAATAAAAATATTATTGTTAGTAAAGTACTGTAGAAGATTTAGCTAGAAAATTTATTATGTCTTAAAAGGATATAGAAGAAGATAGATATCTAAATAATAATAGGAACCCTATAGAATTAAAAAACTAATCTGAAAACTCTTAATTTGAATTAAATGACTAATTCAATTTTGAAGAAGATTCTCTTTTTGAATTCTAATTTGATTTAAAAAAATATAAAGAGCTTCAAAATGAAAATGAAATTAAAGAGATAGATTTTGGAGATTATTCTATAATCAATCCTTAAAGAGAATGTGCGTTAAAATCAAATATTCAATGCAAAAATTCTAATTTAAAAAGCATTCAAGATTAAGATTCAGTAATAACTAAATTATTTAAATATATAGCAATGTTTTCAATTGAATTTTAGAAGTCTTTATTGAAGAATTCTAATTATTAACAGGAAAAATAGTCAAAAAATTAGATTCAATTTGAGTTTTTAGATTAAGCAGATGATTAATTAATAAATCTTGATTCAATAGATTAATCATAGATACTTTATGTGTTAGATGTATTAAATCAATTTAAAAATTATAAATTATGCATTTTTATTTGCAATAGATATAGCATGTAAGATCATTTGATTAAATATTTATCTAAAATTGCCACCTTCTTATCTCCTTTATCATAATAATAATCTGCAATCAATACATTGAACCAAAGTAACTAAGTAGTTAAAGAAAAATAAATACAAAAAGGACAAGTAGCATCTCTTACACTTCATTAGATATTTCAAATGATCGATCCTAAGTTCTTAATTTAACAGATTAGATAAGAAGATATAATTCCTTCTAAATATTTAGTTACTGATTTTCATTCCTTACTAATTCTTCTTGGATATTGGAAGAAAGTAATTTATTAATTAGATTTTGAAAATTCATAATCAGTTAGCTCTTTATTTATGGATTTCAAAAGTTGGAAATATAGCTATTGGATGAATGTTATCGAATAACTTAACAAGACAATATTATCGACTGATATCAGAGATCCTTAATTAGAAAATATATTCTTAATTAAATTATAGAGAGCAAAATAGAATTTAAACTTATGTCTCAAAAAAAACAGCATCTTATTTGAAGAATTAAATTTTGACTAACCTTTAAATTATTTAGATATATAATATTGTATTATCCACCTGGAACAATATTATGATGAATAAATAACTTAATTAACTGCGAACTATAAAATTCCATAATGGTTGTATTTTAGAAAATCTACTTTAAATTTAGATACTATTGAAAAAAATGAAATAAATCATACAAAGCATCAAATTTTCATCTATTAATTGAGTGAAGAAATATTTAGGAGTGTTCTAAATGAAACTAAACTAAATAATTAAATTATCAATGAGTTGATTTAAAGAATAGAATTTCAAAATCCAATTGCTGATTATATATAACTATTTTAATCAGTTTATTTGATCTTGTTTTATTGCGAGTAAATTTTATATAATAAACCTTATCAACAAATCAATAGGGTAGAGAATATAAATTGTAAATAGTATGGTAGTTTAATGGAATCTTTAAATTCAATAATTAGAGTCTTTAATTCTAACTAAGATAATTTGTAGAAGCATCGCTAAATAATAAAGAGGAGCATTTTTAGTTATTTTAAAGTTAGAGAACCAGATAATAATAATTTACTCCACCCGTTTATGAACTCATTAATAATTCATGGATCATCAATTATTCTTGAAGAAATCATTCAATAAAAAGAATCAGAAAACAATGTATTTTTTGCTGATATTGAATTAAATTTTGTTCTTGCACCTAGAGTACTCATTGTATAAATTATTACAAAAAAATTACATCAAATAATATTAGATTTAAATGATGCAAGAAAAAAATGTGTGGATGAATTTAATCCAAAATATTCAATTTATTTTATCGATAAATTTGGAATTCATAATTATTATCAGTAGGACATTAAAGGTTAAAATACTTAACAACAATTAAAGAAAAAATAAGATATGATTACTGACGGAATTTAAAAACATTCAAAATAATTATTTAAGAATTCAACAATCTAAGAGTTTCATAAAAGATCAGGATTATTAAAATTATTATTAAAAAATCCATATCTAAAATGCAATTCTAAAGATTAAAAATTTTGTATTAATTATGAAGGGTTATATTAATTGGCAAATAAATATCAAAACTCATCAGATTTACATTGCTAAATGATAAAATCTATCATCTTATTGAATCACTCAAATTGCAACCATTTTACTTATCTTTTTTTAAATAATAAAATTCTTTAAGGATGTGAAAATTAATATTCAAAATATCTTGAATTTCTTAATTTTACTTTGTATAAACAATGGAACATGATAGATAAAGCAACTTTAAGCTTTTTTAATTATTTATCAATGGCAAAGGATGAGATAACCGTAGAAGAATTAATCTATAATTTAATTTTTTTATTTCTTTAAAATATTGTTGGATAAAATCTAAACTTCAAAGATAGATGTCTTATAAATATTCCAAATTCGTATGTTATTTATTTCGATAAAATAAACGAAAAAAAGGGAAACAATTATTGTCAATAAATAGCTTTGCTTCCTGTTTAGAATCAAGAGAATCTTGGCAAGATTTTAGATCAATTAATCAATGTAAATAAACTTAATCCTACATTAAAATAAAAGAAAATATAATAGCTAATATATATTTTGCTTATAAATTTAGATGAGATTTCTTAAGAAACGATAAAATTGATAAGTTGTGAAATTTTATAAAATAAAGATCTAAAATTTGATAAAGGATTATATGATCAATTACTCAATGTAATGAATTAGCCTCTATAAATAAGAACTTAATTTTTATTAAAAAATGAAAATGTCTCTAAATTCTTTAAAGTAAATAATAATGAGCTAATCTGCATAGAGTTTGAAAAGTAAACAGATCTGAAATTGCTTGAGAAAGATTCAAAATATTAAATTAAATTATAAGCACAATGTGAAATGTTAAAAACACAAACAAAAAAGATTTTTAGAGCTTATAGGATTCATAAATATAGCGGCAGCACCTTCTTTACTATCCCAAAATTTTCTTATGGAGAATATCCATTTACGACCTACTTTAAAGTATCCTAATTTATAAATCTAATAAGTATTTGTATGATTATTAGAGGCAAATTAATTTCAACATTCTATCAATCAACCAATCAAGAAGTAGATGTTATTTTTAAGAATATAAATTAATTTAAATAGTTATAAGAAATAGAAAATTAATATTATAATTAATATCTATCCTTTGAATCTAAAAATATTTCAAAGTTAGAATTTTTTCAATATCGCTTATAATATCGGAAAAAATGTCATCAAATTTACAATAAATGTGATTAAATCAATGAATTAGATTATAAAGTTTAGACTTAGAATATATTAGATAAAAATTAATAATTAGAATGAAATTTTGATTAATGAAAGTGAAAATTTTATTATAAGAATATAGTTAATTTATTAAGTTTTTCTTTATGTAGTGTCATATCAACATCTATGTTATCTGAAATGAATTCAAACTTATCTACTCTGAAACTTATATAATAATATCTACAAAAACAATTGATGAAATTTTAAAGTTTAAAATAGCATTGCATGAATATATCTCTCTATCGTTAGTAATTATTGAATTTCATAATATAGAAAATGATTCTAGTTATATTATCATTTATTATGTAAATAATTTTAAATTTATTAAGTGAAAGATTTAAATATAATCTATAAGTACTGGAAGATTCAAAAGCTTAATTAGTCTGAAAATAAATTAGATTTCTTGGAATTTAGATTAATTTTGTTAAAGTATTGATAAATTCTGTTTAGAGTTTCTGATAAGGATTATTTCTTATTAAAATTAATCTTTGAAAAGACATTATAAGAAGATTTATTAATACTAAAAAATTTTTTATTTTTATAAAAATTTGATAAATAACATAAGTATCTTAACTAAATTAAAAAGTTCTTTGTATATTTAATGTTAATTAAGTGTCGAGTTGGCAAATCTATTTATATTATACTTTAACTCTTCATACAAATCTAAATTAAGTAACAACAATATATCTTTCATAAATTATATTTTATGATAGTATGACAAAGAATTGACTATCAAAAAAATAATGAATCCATCATTGAAACTAAAATCCTTTTGAATTTGATTATCTTCTATCCCTCCATTAGTTGAGTTAAATTAATCTAATAAATATAGGAATTTAAAATTCAGATTAAACTAATTTGTTTTACTGGTTTGAAATGATTAAAATTATTAATAGATGATGAAATAAGATAAAAATTAATATTTCATTTAAGGCTGAACATTTTGCTCTCTTGTTGTATTTTTTTAAATTTCGTTCTTGATATTAGATTATTACTTTTTGGAGTTAAGAATTTAGCACTAGAATTAACTTTAATAGGCTATAATAATTATTAATAGAGTTCTGTTCCTCTAATTTATCCATTTGACATCAAAGTGGTTAATATTTACTCAGATCGAGTAAGCAAAATCAATTAATGTTACAATTGATTCTTCAGATTACAATTTTTTTTTTAGAATAATAATATCTCTTTTACTGAGTTTTCTTCTTTTTCATTAGTTTACATCCTCTTTTATAAGCTACCTTGTTATGAAAATTTGGACTCACATTCTTTCAATCTTTATTGTTCAGAATCATTCACATTTAAACCTATAATAGGAAGAGACTCTTTGATATACGGAAAAGATGTCTCCTTTTTATCTTTATTAGAATCTCTAATTTCTTTCATTCTTGCTGTTTAATAAGCTATCGGCTTTAAAGTAATTCTATCCAAAGACTTTTATTAAAGGTTTCTATTCGTAAATATGGATTTAGAAATTTCTGTGGCTTATGATTCAGTTTATGGATTCGGAGGTTCGATAGTTTAAAGGGGTATATTGAAAAACTTATGATTTGATTATGATTTATCATTTTGTTCTTGAAGTTTTGAATTGTGCAGTTTTCTTTGATGCCTATTAGTGCTTTAATTTAAGAGTTCAGACTACTTTAGATCCAATGATTTCAGGGATGGCTTGATTAATCTGGCCTCTAGCTTATTAATTGATTCATTTTCAGACTGTTGTTATGATTCAAACTATTTCATTGTGGAGTCTTAAAGGAATTTTTGTGATATGTTTAATGATAATAGCTTTGGAGTTTATCTAAAATCTAGAGGTTTTCTTTCGGATGTTTATTCATTAAAATTAGTATGAAGTACAATTTCTTGAGATTCTTCTTCTTCTTTAATTTGATTGAATAAAAGAGACTCAAAATCTTTAATGGTTTAAATAGGTGTAAATTTACAAGAAGGATCTTCACAATTTTTTGGTTGTAGAAATTTAAGATTAGAATCTAATAAAGTTGATGGCATTTTATTATCGCATAATTATTTAATTTAGGAATAAAACAGTTTTTTAATTTCTCTGAGGGAATCTTCAATGTGAGCATCTTCAGATTTGATTTCAAATTATTTGATTTTGTGTGAATATCTTTTAATTGTACATTAGACTAATGAATTCCTTTACAGAAGTTTATTGAATTTATATTCAAAGCCATTTTTTAAAGATTCATAGTTTAGTATTGGTTGGATAAGATTGGTATTCATGAATTGAAATGGTGGAATGTCTTCTAAACTTGTAATGCTTTATTAAAGTTCTTTGTTTTAATATCTTACAGTTGTTTTTGGAATGTGGGGTTTTAAATTCAGGATCAAGTAGGGTGTCATGAAATCATTGTTTTTGGGAAAGAAATACTTATCCTAAATGGTTTAAATGTAGGCTAGATCTATTTTGGAATTCATAAGTTTTGGCATGATTGGTTCATCTATAAGTTTTACAGACTTTGTAATTTTGGCTACTTCTAGATTGAGACGAGTCTACTTTACAAAATAATAGTTTACTCTTTATTATTTAAAGACTTCTTCAATTGTGACTCCACCAAAATTGATTTGCTTTACAACATGAATAAATTTTATATGTTCTTTTATTTACAGAGCCGAATTTGCTGGAAAGTGAAATTTGAAAAAGGAAAATGTTAAATTTGTTATTTACAGAAAACTATTCTGAAAGTAGTCCAAATCTTATTATGGCCACCTTTCTGTTTTTAGAATTCTATTTTCAGATTTTTGGTTCTGCGAATCGATTTTTTAAATTTGTATGTCTTGATCGGTTGTATTATCTGTTATCTGTAGCATTTTCGATAGTAATATTAAATGTTCTCTTTTCAGAAATAAAGACACTATCTTAGTTTTCATGTAAATATAAAATTATATTTAATTCTTATAAAATAGAGACTCAATATATTAAGAATTATATAAAAATTGAGACAATCTCATATTAACATGGCAATATGTTTCAAAGATTTTAGTATTACTATTCTGATGGAGTAGGAAAATGGGTTCGATTTTAAAATATTAAATTAAATAATTATTTATGAGATCGAATTCAACAGCTTATACACCTTAAAATCCTGAAATCTTCCACAAAGGACACATCCATTTCTTTGATTTATTGTCATCATTCCATGGTCTGGAAGATCAACCAGACTATCCAGTTTAATAATAAACAATATAGGATAAGCTTAGACATTAATACCTTCATGATAACAATTGGGAAGATAGTATCAAACAATTTATTATCATTTAGAATTATGTTATAGAACATGTTTCAAAATTTAAGAGAAGGATTATGTACAATTCTGTTTGGATAAGAAATGTTCAGGTGCACCTTATTTGAAGGCAGCTTAAGTTTTGGGCTATGTTAAAACTGGAAATCCAACACCTAAAGCTCATGGACATCATCATCATTGATTAGGCATTAATACATAAAACAATAAATTTATCAAAATTATGGTGTTTTTTAGGAATTCATATAAATATCTTTTTTACTTATATATTTGAAATTCTGTATTGCGATCAATTTTTTATTAGAGCAATTGAGAAAATAATTCTCATATTAACTGATAACTAATATGTAGTTCATTTTCTACTTAAGACTTTATAAGAAAATTGAAATTATAATAATAAAAATGAGTTTAATTATTTATAATAAAGAGCTGGTGTATTCATGAATATGGAAAGATGTTCGTCTTTTGAAACATGGAAAAAAGTGAAGATTAAGAGTACTCTTGTATTTATAAATTAATCCTAAATGCAGAGTGTAAAATATAAACTGAAAAATAAATGATTAATTGTAAAAAAACTAGAAGCAATTTATATATTAGATTGCATTATTAAGGGAGTGACACTCTAGTTAGGTTTGAAGTTAAACTTAATATAAAATTAAGGAACTATGTTAATGATAAATTCAATAAGAAACAATACAAATAGAATTGACTTTGTAATGTTAGGAAGGATCTAACTTATATCGGCTATGTTATTTAGCAAGTTTAATTTTATATTAATAACCTTGTTAATAATAAATTCTCGATGGTTAAATAACAACCAAAACATGTGTTCAAATAAAATTAATCATCATTAATTCTTTGCTTAATTAGTACTTTGTTATGCTTAGAAGGGATTTAAAGAATAATATAATTTTATTTTATTTAATTCAAGTTTAATTGATAAAAATTAATACCAAAGTTAAAAAAATTGAAATTGAAACTATTTATAATTAATAAATTATAACACATAATATTCAGGCATTTGATTGACTAAAATATTATTTCTGAAGATTCATTTTGACTATCGTTGAGGTTTGTTCAATATTTCAAATAATTTGTTAGCATTATATAATGAAATCCTTCTGTATAAATTTTAAATTTTTAGAATTTAGCATCCAACCTTAATGAAACATATAAGATGGTAAAAAATAATTGATGATACTTCTATAATATAGAATATTATAATTCTGATTATCTATCTAGTAGATTGACAATATTCAATTCCAAGTCACTTTTTAGATAATATAATCTGTCGAAATTTCAACAGTTTGATTTCAGCTAATATGCATATTTTAAATGCATTAACTTGCTAATCTGAATACTTGGATATCTATTTTAGTTGCAAAATCGGATAAGAAGAATACAATTTAATCATTTTTATATAAAAAAGCGAATTTCTTAATTTTTTATGTAATTAATACTTTTTTAATTAGCAATCACATTTAATAAATCATATTAACTAGATTAAATGTGTAATATCGTAAATATTACGTATTATGATTAAAAAAAGCATCAATAAGAGTGATCTAAAAATTATATTTAAATTTATGATAGATTGTTCCCCAAAGTTTAAAATAGAATACATGGCTCCCTTAAGCCAACACTAGAAAGTATTAATCGAAGAAGAACCTAATATTGACATAATAGAATGTGATCAAACTAAAATCTCATTTAATGAAAAATTAATTGTTTGTAATTACAAACCATGGCAAACGGTAATTGAAATAACTAAAACTATTGAAAAACTTAAAGGACATTCAAATGTGTATTGGATTAATCCAATCCTTGATTCACGTCTAAGAAACAATTTTAAATCTATTTTAAAAAATTCTCCAAAAGTTTAATCCAATCTCGTTTGAAAAAAAGTGTGATCTATATTTGTTCTATATAATACCTATAAATAAAATGAAAAAAAGAATAATTGGATATCCATTTAAATTTAATTAATTATATATTGGTTAATTAAACAGAAGAATTGATCACTAAATTAAATAAAAAAGAGACAAAAAAAGATAATTGTTAAAGAACTCAAAATTAAAATGACTTTATTTAATTAATATTCATATTATTATGAGTCTTATTGAAAACATAGGGAACCTTATAATTTTTAAAAAGAAACTTTGATAATAGATATAAGATTCTCAGCATTGTGATCTTATCTCTAAATTCAAATCAATAGTCCTGACAAGTAAAGTGATCATTATCTTTTTGAAAAATTATATTTATTTTCCTTAATATAATAAATCTATTATTAAGTTCCCTCAATTGATTATATCAGAGTCTATTGCTAATCCAACACTTAAAATATAGAGTATTCAATTTGACATTCGCAGCGCTCTCATATGAATTTTTTCATTGTTTTAACCAACTCGTACATTATTAAAAATGCATTAGTTTTGAAAGCCTTGACTGAGTTTTGACTATGAAGTATGCAATAAATGAATCCGAATCATGCAGTCACTTAGTAGTTTTGGATATCATCGCTTTAGTAAAAATTAAATGTTTCAGATTGGATTGAGCAATCTAAAAATTTGATATGACTATTAATTCTGAAGAATTCGATAATCCTTTTGAAGTCAACTCTTAAATTTTGATAAACAATTAAGATATTATTTAGTTGTACACATGAAAATTCTTAATGTTACTTTAGATTTAACTATTTAATAATATACTTCTTTTTCAAAAAAAGGCATTTTATTTTACAACTTAATTGAAAATATTTTAGGAAGAATCAATTTAAATAAATAGTGCAGTCATAAATAATTATTAAAACAATTCTGATTTTTCATATTACAAATTTGAAATTAAAGAATGTAATATAAAAAACTATAAAATTATAGAATAATATCTTAATTTCAATCAAACATCTAAGATCCAAAAGAATTATCATTAATCTTGGTCTTGTCTTTCAAAATAATGATAAAATTGAAAAGATAGTGTCGATTTGAATACTAATAAAATAACATTTACCTAAGTCAAAGATATTAATAAAAAAGTTAATTATATAATGCTTATGTCTTAAATTTAAATCATAAAAGACTTTAATCAATATTTTCTTCCATTTTAGACAATTTAGAGAATGATATTCTTTGTTTAATATTTAATCGGGTTTATTTGAATAATAATAAATTTAAAAATAATTAATAAATTAGAAGAAAATAGAGTTTAAAATATAGAAGGTATGGATTAAAATTTGAAATTTATAATAATCTTTATCAATATCATTAGAAAAGATTCTCGATTGAATTTGGGTGTGATTCTTGAATAATTTGATCTGATTTATTATGACATTGATCTGATTCATTATGACGTTGATCTGATCTATGATGACATCGATCAGATTCCTTATTTCTGGTAAGAGGAGCTTTATTTCTAGGTTATTAATGTTAACCTAATGATTAATGATTATTAAATATCTTTTTACATTTCCCACATTAATACTTACGACTTCCTTGATTTGAATCTTCAATTATATAATTATTTTTTAAAGTCTTAATCTATTTCTTTGGGTTTGACTATTCTTGAAGTGTAAAATTAGAAATTAAATCCTCCTAAGCTGAGAGAGAAGACATTGAAGGTGAAGGAGAGTTATTTTATTAATTACTTTAATTTCCCTGGTTTTGTTCTGGTTGATTTCTTGGTATTGGATCAGGGCACTAATCTACTTAATACCATAAACTGCTGAATCCTTCAAGTAATTTCAACACTTTAATTTCTGCTTTGCTTAGTTAATGAATAGGAATCATAATTTATTATTTGAAATTCAAAAGCACCTTTTAATGGTATTTATATATAAATTATATCTTTAAAGTGCGTAATAATAATAATAATTATAATAATTATAATATACTTAGGTGATAAAACCTCAACTATTCCATATGTTTCTAAATATACTAGATTTTAAATTAAGTTATTGATGATTAATTCATTCTCAAAGAGTGAAAAATTGAGATCGAATTCTTTCTATGAATCTATCTTCTTAATTAGGCAGGAATAGGATGCTTGACTTCTATTTAACAGTTCTTTTTTTATTCATAGGCTTTAGTAAGAGACATGACATGCTTATGCTCTTTATTCACTTAAAAATAATAGAACATTTTTTTTAATTTGACTTTTTTGCAGGAAATCTTAAAAAGTCTTCATCAATAATGATAGAACCTGATAAAATAATCAAATTTGGATTACCTTTTACATCTTCCATAATCAAAAAATTAAATTATGAATTTTCAATATGAAAAGTTGAGATTAGATTAGGATTGGTTTTAATTTCTTTACTTCTGTTTATGAATTCTTCCTTAGGTATTTTATTTCAACCCAAAACAACTCTTATTTGCTAGAATAATAATACTTAATAATTTCGGCATTTAATTATTAATAAAAGAAAGATTTATATTTTGAATTTAATAAAAAAGAGCCAAAAGAATTAAAACTTGTTCTTTCAAGTTGAATTTTTCATTTAGGACTGACTTAATCTAATCTATTGAAGTATGATATTAAGTCAATAATAAGAATTATGATCGTGTTTCTTAAAATAAGGACATATTATGCGATATTAAGAAGATGAATTTTTATTAAAAAATTAGATATACTTAAATAATTAATAAATTCGAATTATGAGATGAATCATGTATGTTAGATCAAGCCACGATATCTTATTTTTGCCCTTAATTTGGTAATATGTACATAAAATAGTGATAAGAAGAATGAGCATGGACAAATTTAAATTCGGTCACATTTCTTGGAATGGTTTCTAAAAAGATATTGCATAGATTCTCTTAATGGCGAAAAAAGAATTATCTAAACTTGATTTGTGAAAAATTATTCATTTTAGATTCTGGATATATCAGATTATGTTAATCCAAAGATTTTCAGTAAATCTACTAGGAAATACTTGTATTTGCTATTTAACAAATTTAATTTAGAGAATTTAATTTCTCTCAAAAATTTAACTAAGATGTAACACGTAAACAAATAATTATTATTTTAATTTATACGTTAAAATGATTAAAATATCAAAAAAGAGTTCTTTGATTTGAACCATTGTCCTAAACATTACTAAATTATCAGCTTAATATCTTAGGATGTTCCAATAAACCAATTCTATTCCAATATAAAATTCTTCCACTCAAGATAATATAAATATTATTATTGAAAATACTAAAATGAAGTTAAGAAGGTGATTTAATTGACTTTTAAGATATTAAGACAGCTATTTCAGAGACTTTTGACTAAAATTTATACCATTGATTAAGCGAAAGAGTTTTTTTCATCAGGATGAATATTTAAAATAGGATGTAAACTTAAGTAATTATACATCAACCAATTGAAATTGATAAATGATATCCTAATTTAAATCTCCATTTTTAGGTTGATTAGAGAAATTTCTAAAATTGTAATGATTTGAAATATTTATTCATTATTATATGAATATAGAAATATTTGTTATCTATTATAAGCAATATATGTATTTTAATCAAAAGGATTAAGTATATAAGAGATAAAGATTTCAATGAATATAGAATTATGCAAAATTTGCAGTATTAAAAACTAAATTTTGATCATATTATTTTTCTTTTATCAGCAAACTATATTCTTTCGCTTAGATTGCGACTGTGTTTGGTAGAAGAACCAGAAGATTATTCTGTTGATGAGGAATTCGCATGATAATAAAACTCATATCCTTAGAATTGATCTAAAAATCTATCTATTTTGTTACCTTGTATGCTTTAATCTCTTAATAAAACAATATTTGATTAAATCAATTCATTATTTTCTTCATCTTCCAATATGATTTGCTTTTGATCAAAATTGTCTTCAGTTGCCTAAATAGAATTATGTTATAATACATTAGGAATAAAAGGAGGAGTTAAAGTTTTATTTTACAATTTATCCCAAGGGAATTAAGCAAACCAAGGATGATCTTTGATTTCTTGGCTACCTGAATATCCTAAGCGATTTTGAGGTTTACGTTATAAAAGCTAAATATTAAAAATCGTATACCTAATTTATAAAATCAACTGCGTCTAAAGACCAATCATCTGGAACTTCACTTTTCCTTATCTATACCTACTTAGCTAGGATTTAATCTCTAATCTCCTATCTAGATCTCCCCAAATAAGGTCTCTAAAATACACAATATATTTACTCTTCCCAGCATGAATTCATAAGCTATAACTCCTAAGGCAAAGTAATCAACTGCATAGGTATGATTTTATCTACACATGACTTCAGGAGCTAAAATATTATATTACTATTAATATACCCATATAGCCTGGTGTTCCGCTTGTGTCACTATTATTTTCAGTCTTTGCAGTCCTAGCAATTCCAAAATCTGTGATATGAACATAGCCTTTTTCATCGAGAACCAAATTTTCTGGTTTAATATCTCTATGAATAATCTTATTAGAATGAATGTATTCTAATCCCAATAAAATACAAGCAATAAAAAATTCTATTTATTTATATTAAAGGTACTTGTTGATTGTTCATTAAATCTTCTCATTTTCCCTATGTGGTACCTTAAGTCACCTCCTTTCATGTAATCCATTACTAAATATAGATTTTCCCTATCTTGATAAGCATAGTTCATGTTAACTATAAAAGAATTCTTTAACTAACTTAATAATTATCTTTCATTCATTACAGAATGTACACTTTTCTTTGTTACAATTCTACATTTAATCAATATAATACAATGCCTTAGACATCTCCTTCATTGCAAATGTCAAACTTGTCTTTTTATGTTGAACTTTCCAGACTTTTCCAAAACCACCTATTCCAATGACGAACTCAAAATTAAAAGCATTTTTGCTAAACAAAATTTCTCTATTTAGTTTAGGGCTTATTTATGTATGAACAATCTCTTTAAAGTTCATAAACTATTAACTTGGAAATTTAATATGTTTTTTAGGTAATTGTAATTTAGTCTCAGCTGTTACTTTTATATTCTCCTTAGCTTTGGCAAGCCAAACTTAAATTTATAAATTATTAACTGACTAACATATTTTAATCAAATACTTCGCTTAATTTTGTAGGTTTGATTATTCGAGTTAGGTTATTGATATCAATCTAAGATCCTTTATGACTATGTAGGTTTTTCAAACTATTTAATCCAGAAGTAACTGGAGAGATGCGTTAACTACTCGGAATAATTATTGGGCTTCTAAATTGGGAAAGGCTGTTTTGTTTTAGTTTTCGTTAACTCGTTGAATTAATAAGCATTTACAACAAATTAATATTATTATTTATTATGTTTAGTTCTATGATAAATATCATTTTTACGATTTATATATTAATGGAGATAACTAGCAATTGGTATCTACTATATATATGTTATTTTAATATACTTCCTATCAATTAAATAGTGATGGTGATTATTATTTTACAAACTATGAAAAACAGAAAATTATCAATCAATAAATTCAATTTAAAGGGTATTATATAATTTAAAAACAAGAATCTGTAAGTTTGAATGTATTTAAACACTATAATATGACATATATAGAAGCTCAAAAAAATTAATTAAAACGAGAAAATTCGTTAGTATATTTTTATGTAAATTTGACTTTTTTCTGATATTTTTATTTATCAAAATATATGATTTATTTTAAGACCTACAGTTTGCTTTGTCAAGGAAGAATAGAATTTGGATTATGAGGCATATATGTTAAATATATTTATTAATATTAAATGAATTCATGTAGAAAATGACGATTTTTTAATTTTTTATTGTAAATTATACTGCCTCAAAATATCTTAATGGTGTACATATAATATTTATTATAATGATGCGTTTAAATTAAAGAAAATATTAATTAATCCTTAAATTATAATTACAACTTATGAAGACTTCATCATTATAAACACCTGTTTACATCACGAGTACCATTATAAAAAGATTTTGTTTTGGCAATTGTTAATTATAAATTATATTTAAATGGAAGAAACTTCAATCAAGCACCGGAAAGCTTCAAAAAGCTCGAGTGTTCTCTCAATGTTAGCAATCCAAAGACCTGACAAAACTTAATCAAGTCTATAGACAATTGTTGGGATAGTAAATTCAATGGTTGGATCGTTGTGCTTAGTATTGCCCTTGGTATTTTTAAACTATGGAGTGATATCTTGCACTGTGATAATGATTATATTGGGATTTGTTCAATACAATACTTGTTCTCTTCTTATACTTCATCTCAAGGATGATGAAATAGATACTGAACATATGATCAAGAGAATTTTGGGGAGGCCTTGGATGCAGGCTTTTAGATTTTGTTCTGGAACTCTTTTGTTCATTGTTGGTATAATTTACTTTTAATTAATAAATCTAACTTTATACCCAATCATAACATATATTTTAAGCTACAACGATATTGAGTTTGCAGATGCAAGCGAAAAATTTGTATTTAACATGTATTTATAACTTTTAAACACAAAGGTATTCAATTTAATGGTAGGCTTTGATAGTCTTTCTTCCACTATCAACATTACTGTTAATTAAGGATATTACAACGATCGTTAAAATAGCTCATTATGGAGTAATTGCATTATTTGCATATGGAATTTTTATTATTTATATTTTTATAGTAAATCTGACAAGTGAAGATATTTCATAAAAATTTGATTAAATAACTTTATGGTCTTGGGATTTCAGTTAGCCAGCTGGGTAATTTGCTTTGGCCTTTATGATTCATAATGCAGTTGGATAATTAATGAAAAATAATGAGAAGAGAGACAACAATTCTAGAGATTTGGCAATAGCTTATATGATTGCAGGGCTGATCTATGGGATAGTGGGAATCTTTGGTTCTATTGGAATTCTGGTAATACATCAAATTTATTTAGGGTTTGGAAAACACTAGTGAAGCTTAGACTATTCTGAACTGTTTCAAGAAATCGGATGTGGAAATAATTATTATAGAGAGTCTATTTTTGGTGCACTTGGTCACGGCATTCCCGATATTCAATAACATTAGTAAGTACTAGATTTTGGAAGTGCTTTATCATAAGAGAGAACCACCTAAAGTTGTATATTGGGGATTCAGCATTTTGTTTATGGTGCTGTGTTTAACAATCCAGCTGTTGAACATTCCTGTTGGACTTGTGATCTCCTTTGATGGAGCAGTTTGTGGATTCTTATTGGTCTACATAGTTCCTATCAGTTTGCATCTGAAATGTTATTAAACTCAGAATAAGGTCACTTTGATAGGGGATGAGGAGGATGAAATCGATACTCAGGTAAAGTGCGTGAATCATAAGGATAAGAATTCGATTCCTATGTTTGTTAGGATTGCATTCTATGCTTTGATAATGGGGATTGGAATATACAATTTAATTGTATAATTTTATGATATATTTAAATCCTGATATTAAAATAAAATTAAAATATTTAATATGCTACAATTAATTAGGGTAGGAAAGAGACAGTTAGTGTGTGTTCCTTCGTTTAATTATAAATTAAGAAGGCCCGCCCCGAAGATGTCAGAATATGACAAGGAAAGGATTGAATATAAGCATTTAATGAATTAGGTAGGAAATTGGTGATATCAAAGTATAGGTCAAGAATCGTCAAGGACTTTTGGGAAGAATAAACCAAAATTGAAAATCAATATATCGACGACTTTTTGGCAAAAGAAAAAGCTAAATAAGAGAGACTTGATATTCATAGAAGAAATTAGACTGTAATCTAAACATTTAATGCAACCTAATAATTCAATAAGTTACAAGACATCAGAAGAGTCAGAAATGAAAGAGTCAAGAAATATCTGGTTGAATAAGACATTAAAAAAATGAATAGGCAATAAATAATCAGAGTATTAAATGAAGAATCTAAAAATTGGATTTCAGATAAGAACTCATATGAAAAATTAGTAGGAAATCTATTAATTCCTGACACTGTTCTAGATGAAATATCATACTATCATGATTTATAAGAGAAAGCAATTCTTTATGAAACAGCTTAATATGAAGAAATTGATAAGTATACAGTATATTTATTCAATTAGATTAAATGATCCAAATATCTAGTTAGAATGGAAGAATAGACTTGGAATGCCATTATATCAAAGAATTGTGACCTTAATCAAATTCTTAAAATAAGACAATGTAATAGGAAATTTAAAATTTGAATGGGATACATGTTAAGCAATCATTTTGACTGACAAAAAATTAAGCGAAAAGGAAATGGCTGAATAATTAGATAAAGTCAATGGTGCATTTTAAACTGTCATAGCATAAAAGATTGAAGAACTTGAAAACAACCCAGTTAAACGATTAGAAGAAATGAATAAATAACTTATAAGATTATACAATCTCCTTGAATTATGGGATAAATACATCACCATAGTGAAAATGGATAACTCAACTGCTCAATAAATAATGTAAGCAGCCAAAGCCTAAATTAATCTATTTGAATCAGAAGGTGGAAAAGATTATATGATCACCTCTGATAATAGTCTCATTGAGAAGTTAAATGGAAAAGAGGCTCCAAGTAAGGAAGAAAAAGACGATAAGTATATCAGTGCTGATGAAACACATACAGATAGCGAAGATATTGATTTGGAAAATCTATAGAAGAAGAAGGAAACCAAAGACATTTATGGTGGCAGAACCACAAAATCATATGACTTCGATACTGAAAGAATTAAGGATAAGGACAAAGAGTTCTCTAAATTAGTTGAAGAATTATTTGCTAAAGCTGAAGCAAAAGCCAAGGAATCCAACCTTGAATTCGAATCTAACTACAGAAAGAACCCTCATCAAAAAGTATTTTACAATGACAATCTAAACGCTCCTAATGTTCCTGATGCTAGATCAGTTTTCGAAGGAGTAGATTTGGAATAACTATTCCCTTCTGAAATTCTCAATGACGAAACCAAGACTCCTTATCTTGATTTCAAAAATGTCGAAGATATCGAAAATCATTATTATGAATTAGTAAGATCATCTTATTTATTCTTCATAGAAAGCTATCTACAGTCTTAGAAAATAAGGTGAACAGAATATCCTTATGAACCCAGATGTTTAAAAATTCAACACCACAATCACTGCCCAAACTTACAAGCAAATCCTCAATAATTTGGATGTTCCATAAGAGTATTCTAAATTGAAGCAAGACACCTAAAAATTGGTTGATGCAGTTGGGGAGATTAAAGTCACTGATGCCGATTTCTTATTGAAGATCTGGAATTATTATAATTGATGATAAATAAGAATATGTATAAAATAAAAAAGCAATATTCAAACATATATCCTCAATAAAAAATCAAATTCTTTTTAATAAATAATTTTAATTTATTAATGATTAAAACCTATGTAAAGCGGGCCCTCCTTTAGAGGTATTTACCCACAACAGGGTGCTTTTACGAGTTTTCAGAGGATTAAGATACAGAAAAAAAGAAAACAAGACTAAGATATACTTATGAAGAATAATAAGAAGTCAATAGATAAAAATAAAGTAATACTATCATTCCTATTAAGGCAACTTTTTATTAAGAAGGATTCTATTAAACTATTATAAGTATAAACCAAACAAAGTGGAAATGATCAAGAAAATTAATTAATATTTCAATCCTAAAAAGTAAAAGGCTGAGGAAGCAATCCCTGAGACTTAGGAAGGGGAAGAAGGAAATGAAGGTCAGAAACCTATTGTTAAATTCTCTCGTATTAGTAGGACTAGTAAGTAGAAGATCTTTAGGGACTATGTGCATGAAAAGAAGCTCTTCAAATACAAAAGGGATTACATTTTTTCCAATAAAATAAGGCCATACAAACCAACTAAAGAAGATATCAAGTAATAAATGAACAGAGAACTTAATGGTCAAAAATTCATCAACAATCCAAATTTATTTGATAAATTTAAACAAAGATAGAGAGATTTTGAAAATTACAATTTGACAAACCTCATTATGAGATATGATAGCTTTAAACCATAGAATGTTTATGAGCATTTGAAATCTCATTTTACTAGCGGACTTTATGGATTTATGAAAGAAGAATAATTTAAGTAATTAATTAATATTTATAAATAGTACTTTGGTCTTTAACAGACCATCATTTTAGATATATCTTAATAAATTACCTTAATAATTCTATCTTAATTATTAGAAGTATTTGAATTCAGAGCATATTACTTAAATTATCAAAGAGATTGAATTCAAGAACTATAAATTTTTACCAATCCTTAGATTTTGTGAATTAAAGAGCAAAGCATAGTACTTTGATCATCAAGAAAGTTTTGATTAATTCCTTAAGAAGGTCCCAGAATAGGATTAATTGCTGATACAATATTTCTTTTTTAATGAAAACAGTTCTAAATTACTTAACTCTGAATCTTTTCTTAAGAGTATTTTAAACATCTAATGGGGTGGTTAAGTAAATTAGGAATCCTTGAAACAACAACTTGCTACCTTACTTAATGTCAAATTTAAGGTTAATTTGAATAGAGAATTATAATTGTATTTAGCAGATTTATTTTTTGGGTCTGATACATTCGACAAAGCAGTGGTTGGTATTGCTTTATAATATTTATTGCTATAAAGATTGGCGAATGCTTTTCCAATAAAAGACATTTTAGAATGTTTTAAATAGACTATGGGAGAGGAAAGATATACATTTTATCTGGAATAAGAATTACCTCAAATTCTCCAAAATTTAAATGTCAAAACCTATTACTACTAGTACTAAAAGGGACTCATTGAATATCAATAATTGAAGTCAAGTATAAATTTTATCTATTTATAGAAAAATCCTTGACTATATAAAATTACACAAATCTTGATGGAATATTCTTAAAAGGCAAATTCATAGAGGTTTCGTAATTCCAAATACGCTATAATCCAGGTTTAACCAATTTGATGTAAACTAATCAAACAATCGCTTATGATGTCAAATAAAATGCCATTAAGGAGGCTGTTTTAGAAAACTCCTCATTATTATTAGAAAAAGAACTCTCTACTTACTTTAACTATTAAAATTATAAACCTAATATAGTCGATGTTGCACATAGATTAGTTTACAAGAAAAAGCTCTAAACTAAAAACTTTTTAAGATATAACCTTTCAAGGCAATTCCTTCATAGAAAGAGAAAATTGAGAAAGTACAGGCTTAGATAAGAGGTAAATAAAGAATTATCTGATTTCTAAACAAGATTAAGAAAACATTAAAAAATACAACCACTTTTATAAACTATATGTCCAGTTGAAAACTAAGCAGAAAAAGCACCTGCAGAAGAAGGTTAAGAAAAACCATAAGAGTCATAAGAAGCAGCAAGTGAAGAATAGCCTTAAGAAAAGACTTTGGAAGAAGAAATCTTTTCTATCCCAGAGGAGAGAAGATTATATAATTAATTAAGACTAGCTAGAGTTAAGACGTTTACAAAATTCTCAAAAATGTTACACAATTTAATTATTGAGAATCGTCCTTTGATTAAAGAATATAGATAGAAATAATTTGTTTAAAAACCAAGATCTCACTTTTGTACTTAAAAGTATGAGGAAATCCAAAAAGATGAAGGAACAGGTTTCATGAATTATTTAAAATCTGTTGAATCCATTGATTTAGAAGTCAAATAGTAAGAAGAATTAAACTAATTATAATAATAAAAGAAATAATAATAGTCAAGAAAGCATGGAAAGATCCTTTTAGAGAAAGGAGAGGCATAATAATTGAAATCAATATTTTCAGAAGATAGTGAAAAGTAATCAATAATTTTAATAATTTATTAGTTTGTTCAGAATTAGACAAGAGCAGAAAAAGTAATCAGATATGTTCCAAAAAGTGGAATAGCCACAGAGATTTAGAAGAACTAAAGTTAGTGATACAAATGAAGGAGTTCATAAATTGCCTTTTGAAAATGTTGAATAAGAGAAACCAATTATACCTTAATTACAAGAACAATTTGTAATTGATAATTAATTGTACAATACAGATTTAAGTGCTAAAGCTCATTTTTAGATTGAATAACTATTCAAAGAAGATCAGACAAGACAATAATTAGTTGAAAATGTCTAAAGCTTTTTAAGCGGAATCAAATAGAGTGAGGATGGATATCATTTTTATTTGATCTCTGAACTTATTTCATCATTGGAAGCTAAAAGACCATTGGATTCCAAAATAATCTTTACTTAAATTATTTGTTAAGTCAAGAATAAGATCGAAGTGAATGAGAAGATTAAAGTGAAATATACTACCTAATATGGAGATATTGAGAAGAATTATGGTAAATACATTAATTAGACATGTACATAATTCTCAATTGGGTCCAAAGGATACAATTATTTATTGGATTTTATTTTGTAAGAAGGAAATTACAATAGATTGTTATATAAGAGAATATTGGCTCATTATTGTCTTTATGAGACTGTACTTTATGATTCAACATTTGAAAAGATTACATAAATTACAAAGAATAATAAAATTCCTTAAACTTGTGCTGAGTTCTTTTATGCATTCTTATCAACTAAAATAACTATCAATTTTACATAGATGAGAAAGATTGTTAATTTATTATATTAATTTAAACATTTTGAAGCAGAAGCTGAGTAATTGATTATTGGGTTCTATTTTGCTTATCAATGGTAATTAAAGTTTGAAGAATTATAGCCAATATTTTAGAGATTAATTAATTAGAATAAGAGAGATAGGTATATGTCTTTGTATGAATCTTTGAAAGATTAATTAATGGGAAGAAAGCTTAGATAGATTCCCACTTAAGATCCAGTTGAAGTCAATAAAATTATGATTGAATACAAATAATAATAGAAAGACCAACTCAAGGAGTTCGTAAGAAAGTTTTCCTAATTATTATTGGATTCCAAATTACCCGACGATGCAAGATTAGTTATCAATGATGCTAAGAGATTCAGATATTAATATGAAATATTTGATTATAGACTTTGGCTCTTATCTCATGTCAATTATTTTGAAGATGCTTTAAAAATTTGGGCTGATTATGGTGTCAAGTTTCCAGATGTTTATGATATTACAATGTTTAAGGCCTTTTTAACATTATTATAATAATAAGAAACCGCACATGAATCAGATGATACTAAGGCACTATTTTAAGATGTCATTAGAATTTATATTTTTGAGAAGAAGATTGCTTTGGATCACGATTTAATATTTGAAATTACAAATACTTATAAGAGATTGAAAGAATTTACAAGTTACTAGAACTTCATGAAATTCCTACTAGAAATTAGATATAAATGCATACCATCCCATAAGTTCTTGTTTTATAAGATGATGAATTTCACTGAAATAGATAGTGTCAAAGAAACAATAAAAGGAATCATTGATATTCTGTTTAAGGAGGAAAACCATAAAAGAAAAGATGGAAAATAAAAATAAAACAAATAAGAAGAGGAAGTGAATTATGACCTTGGTAATAAGGGTCCAAATCCTTTACATATTCAAGATCTGACAAGGGAGGTAATTTAAAATAATTAAATTTAGAATAAATTAAATAACAAGAAAAAGAGAGGAGTTCTAGTAAGAGGAGGCAAAAGTAAGTTTTCCCAAATAGAAACCGATGGTTTAGCAGACAAAAATAAAGAAGAAGATGGCAAAACAACAAAAGATGGTAAAACAACTAAAGATGCTAAAGCAACAAAAGAGTGAGCTATAAATTTAGTGTATAAATATAGTAAAATAATATGAATAAAAAACAAGAAATTATCAATTACCCACCTGATAAGAGAATTTCTTCTTACATTTTCAGTCTCAAAGCTATCATAGGGAAAGGATCTTATGGAACTGTTTATTTAGGAAAACATGAGACTTCTTGTAAATAAATTTAATTTATTCATAGAAAAATTAGTAGCCATCAAAGTTATTGATCGAAGAAATGTTGATTTTGATATCCAAAGCTAGGAAATTGCCATAATGAAAAAATTAAATCACCCAAATATTGTTTAGCTAATTGATTTTGTTATATCAGTCAACAATTTGTACATCATTACGGAATACTGTAATGGAACTGACTTGAAGACTTATCTCTAAGAAAATAGTCCATTAAGCGAAGAATCAGTCCTTAAAATAATAAAAAGCGTAATAAGAGGATTGAAATGCATCATCCAAAACAATTTCATTCATAGAGACATTAAGCCTGCCAATATTTTATTCGACAATGACTAGTTGAAAATAGCTGACTTTGGATTCTCTAGAAGAATCAATAATACTATGACTTCTATTGTTGGAACTCCAATGTATATGGCTCCTTAAATTCTATTTAAATAAGAGTACACTTCTAAATGTGATATTTGGTCTCTAGGAATTGTTTTCTTTGAGCTATTGTTTGGAAAATTGCCTTGGATGACAAGGGATATTATTGACCTATTAGACAAAATACAAAATCAACCTCTAATAATACCAAAGTAACCAAAAATTAGTTTAAAATCCATTAAATTTTTATAAGGGTGTTTAGAGAAATAGGAGAAAAATAGATTCAACTGGTCTGACATCTTTGATTTTTTTGCAACAAAAGAAAATTTACAAATATAAATTAGTTCCTTTCTTGAAAATAACTAAAGCTTTGATGCTAAAACACAAAGATTTTATTATTTTAATAAAACATTCAGGGATAGAACTAACTCTAGCAAATTTCACTACGCTAAATCAAGTGAATCTTTAGAAAATCAAACAATTTCATAAACTAAAAGAAAAGAGCCTTCACAAACAACTTTGAAAAAACAAAACTCACAAAATATACGTCGAACTCAATCTAAATTTGAAAACTTAAAATAACATTAAAACTCTACTTTAATCATTAGAAAGCACAATGTTTCTTTTGCTTAAATTTTGACAAAAGTATAATTAAATACTGTTTAGGATTGTTTAAAACCTTAAATAAGTAAATCTAATACCAAAAGAAAAATATAAAATCTATTTTAGATCATTGAATACATTAATTCACTCAGCATTGAAGCCTCAAAAAAGGGATATCATAATTTATTTACTATTTTATTAAATCAAAAATCAAAATTATTACTAAATTAAATCAACCTAGAGAAAGAGATCAACTTTATCAAAGAATGGATGAAATTATCAGTTGACTCAACATTGAAAAAGAAAATGGAACTATATTTGAAATGGCTCAAAGTTCATACACATTAAAAAGAAAATTACGACAATAAATTAGGAAATTTTCACTCTAGTTGATGAACTTATTTACTATGTTTACTAAGTTTATAAATATCAAAAAGTTAATCATTTCAATTTCAATATGAACTTCTTTAAGAATCTATTAATAAATAGCTATTTTATAATATTATTAATTATTCAATTCTATTTCTTATCATCCAACCTTCCAATTACAGGATATTTTGTGTAGAAATAACTAAACCAACTATTCATATTTGCTATTTCATCTTCTGGCTATGTGACAGTGCCGTACATATCTAGGAATTCTTCTGATATATTCATTTTTCCTAATGATATTGAGATGTCATGTCCTGCGAATACTCCATATGGACCATCAGGCTTATACGCATCTAATTTAAATATATCTGATTACCTGAGTTTGTTACATCAAATACAAAATTTTTTATGGCTACGAATACTCTCTTGCCACCTAACCCATTATGTTATTAAACATCTTTTAATGTCATAAGCTTTAACGAAGCGATCTCTTTTTTTATTTATAAACTAGATACCTAACTTTTCAGGATTAGGAGGACTTGAAGACTTTTCTTCAGCTTATACTTGCTAAGTGTTTTATTCTGCTCTTTTAATACTGCTTCTATAGTCAAAAATTTAATAGATCACATAAATGGCTACTAGGATAATCGAACCGATTATAAATTAGGATAATGATAAGTTTTCCATAAAAATATTATTGATAATAATCAAATATATATTATGAATATAAAAAAAGAGAATTTAATTTTTTCTCATATTCTTAAGATCATTAATGTTATAAGTTTCTTTTCAGCATAGAGATTAATTAGATCTAAATGCTACTTTAGATCGTTATTATGTCAATTTAGTTCAAACTGAATGGTTTCTGACTCTATAAAGCCGGCCTAATTTAATAATTAAATAATCTATTACAAGTTTTAATTATTGAATTATTCTAAATGAAGGAGTGATTGCTTGAAAATTTTAAATCTGAATGCCTTTGACTTTAAATTCTCAAAATATAATCTCTTTCAATCCCAAATCTGAAGATTGTAAAATGAAGATAGTTTTTAATAATACTTTTATAATAAAAGGAATTTTATAATCTTCAAAATTAATAAATAGAATTTGTTATAAATGCTAAAATATCAGTTTGACATGTTTTCATCATTATAAAGATTAACTGTCTGTTTATAATCCAAATCTTGATTTAAGTTGATTTAGTTTCAAGTACTTTATTTCTTGTATCTTTATATTAACAATAATAAAATAATTAATGAGTATCAATTATTGAACCCTTTTTCTTTAGAGTATTTGGTATTTTTGAAGTTTATCGAATAACTGTGGTTTTAAATAAAAACGGAATATATAATTTATCATAATGTCTGGATACTAAAGAACTTATTAAAGTTCGTATACGTCTTAAAGATTTGCGTCAGATTCAATCTAAAAGGAATTGAATGTTCCAGGATATGAAACAAGAGTGAGATATAAGTATTAAAGTGTATTACATAAGAAATGATTTGGGAAAACGATAGAATCAGGAATTAGATATTGCATGCTTTTTAATGGCAGTCGAGGTAGAAAGACTTGTTCGAGAAAATACATAGTTGAAATAGGAGATCCAAAATTTTATAGACTCAGGATTAGATAGAGTTAATTATGAGATGTAAATTAGGGATTTAATGGAAAAATTGAAAAATCAAACATTGTAATATTTGAAAATTCATAATATTTTAGTGAAGTAAATAGCTATTCGGAAGAGCGTGAAAGACTTGTGATAATAATCAGAGAGTTGGAAGATGAAATTAGAAGACTGGAAGAGTAACTAAAAGATTATGATCCAAATTGGAGGAAATCGTAAAGAGATTTAGAATTGCAATTACAATTATAAAATAAACTCTTTGGAGGGAAGGCGCCTGAAGAGATTTCAAAAGAATTAGAAGAGCTAAGAAAAAAAGCAAAGATTTTAGATGATTTGCAGAAGAAAATAGGAGCCAAAGGTCCAGGTATCTTAATTGAGTGAGATTTTAGATGAATTATTAAAAGAATTAGAAAATTTGAAAAAGAAAGCATAACAATTTGATGATATTAATAAAAAGTTGAATGGCAAAAATTTTTCAGATTTAGAAAAAGAATTAGAAAAATTGAGATAAAAAGCTGATAAATTTGATGAAATCAGCAAGTAATTTTCAAATCCATGTAATATAATATATACTATTCATTAATAGCTGATATTCAAAAAGAACTTGATTAATTAAAAAAAAAGGCTGCAGAATTGGATAAAATGAAAGCTCAATTGAATAACTAAAATCCAGATTAATTATTAAAGAGTCTTGATGAAAATAAAAAATAATTGCAATCAAAAGATAGAGAAATTGGAGATTTAAAGGTTAATTTAATATATTAATTTTTAGAGACTTCTATCTGAATTGCAATAAAATTAAGGTTCATATGATGATTAAATCAGACTTTTGTAACAAAAGATAGATGAATTAGAAGAAAAAGTTGTTGGTTTGGCTCAAGAGTTATCCAGATATAAAATGCTATTAAAGGCTAAGGAAGATGACCTTAATAAATTGTAGTTGTTGTTTAGAGATAGTGAAACAAGACTTGCATAAATGAATAATGAATTACAAAGATCAAAGAATGATCTACAAAGAGCATAAGGAGATCTTTAGAAGGCATAAGGAGATCTTCAGAAAGCATAAGGAGACTTAAGGAAAGCTTAAACTGATTTATCGAGATCTTAACAAGAGAATCAAAACTTGAAACAACAATCAGACGATCTAAGGAGATAGAATCAAGAATTAGTATAGGAAAATAATAATTTATAATAAGATTTAGAAAATTAGACTTAAAATTTAGGATAACTTGACGAAATAAAAGATTAGCTCAATGAATTACAAGATGAGAAGAATTAATTAAATGACAAGGTCTCAGATTTGTAAAATAATCTAAAGGAAAAATAGAGGTTATTCGATTAAAAGTAAAAGGAATTAGATGATGCATTAAAAAGAGTGAAAGATTTGGAGGCTAAATTGTTGGAGATGGATCACTATATTGACACATTGGAAGACGATTTATAAAAGTTTGAGAAAGATAATCAACAATTAAATAGAGAAGCTGGATAGAAGCAGTTGGCTGATAGAGAGTTAGAAAGATTAAGAGGTTTGTTAGATCAAATGAAAAACTAGTATGATTAGTAACAAAAAGAATTAGGAAAACTTAAAAACAACCTTGATCAAATGAAAGACTTGTAAGATGAACTTGCATAAGCCAAATCAGAATTAGACAGAGCAAATTCTGTTATTGCATAATAATAAGATGAATTAGCTTAGAAAGAAAATGAAATCTCTTAGTTGGTTAGAGAAGTATAAAACTTAGAAGAATCTAATAATTAATTGTAAGATCAGAATAATAGTCTGTAATAAACATTGCAAGAGTAATAAGCAGTAACTAATGGAAATCAGGAAGAATTGACTAAATTAAGGAGAATAGCAGAGGATTATAAGGAAAAGATCAGATAATTAGAATTAAAATTCAATGAATATTCGAATATGGAAGAGAGACTTAAGTAATCGGATCATAGAATCGCAGTGTTAATGACTGAAATAGAGAGATTAAATTCTTTGGTGAAACAAATAACTTCTGAAACTGAAGATTGGAAATAAAAGCATTCTAGAATAGAATTGGCTCTTTTGGAGTATAGATAAATTGAGAAGACTAATCGAGATGCTGTAAATAAGAATCAATAATTTATAAATGAAATAGAGAGATTAAAGAAACTATTGGAAGCAAAACATATTGAATTACTGTAAACTATTGAAAGGCGCGATCTGTTAGAGTCTTAATAATAGACTTTGATGAACCAGGTTTAAGATGCATTAAAGAAAGCAGATACGGGAGATGAGATTTTGCTCTAATATCTATTGATTGCAGCCGAAAACGACAGGTTGTCTGGGATTCTATAGCCAATGTAAGAAAAATTCAATTAATTGACCACTCAAGTAAAGGAAATGACGGTTAAATATACTGAATTATAAAATAAAACGTTAGGGATAGATTTGGATGAGTATGAAAGATTGAAGAAATTGATCATTGAATATGAAAATAGGATAGCAATGCTTTCACTTGAAATTTAGAGATTGAAGGCGAAAACAAATATTCTTGATAAAAATGGGCAATCAGGTAATTTTGGTAGTAATAATAATATTAACATTTAATACAATAGTTCGATGTTCCAATCAAATGAGGACTTGTCTAACAAAATTACTGATTTATTGTGTTTGGTTGCAATGATGTCAGCAGAATTGGATGTCTTGAGAAGTAACAACGAAAGGCAAGTTCAACAATAGTTAGTAAATTAGTATAGATAAAATACTGAAGTTACAAACGTTTAGACAGTTCAATCAGTTGAAACTACGTCAGGATTCTCTTACTAGAGGATTTCTTAAAATAGAAAGTATTGAATATTATTTGCATTTGAATTTGATCATCAATATAAAATTAAGAACCTATTTTTTATACAATTTTCAAATTCAAATATACGTGTTTCCGGAAAAAAAAAAAGATTTAATATAGGATTTGCGAATTTTTAGAAATAGGCAAATAATTGAAAATGAAAAAATATATTAATATCAATGATTTCCTTGAAAATCTCATTTTTGATTTTAACTTTTTTCAGTGCAAGTTTCGGGCTAGATTTATGCAAACAATATCAAACTTATCAATAATGTATAGGTGGGGATTCCGATAAGTGTATGTGGGATACAATCAGACATCTTTGCTATAAAACCAATGATTATTTACAGGGATGCAGCTAATTATTAAATAAGAAGGCCTGTCTCAGATAGATTGGTGATGTGTTTGGAGAGTTAGCGAAATGTAAGAATGTCATTAAATTAAGGTCGTTTCACTTCTGTATGTGAGGAGATCCCAGACTTAAAAACTGAAAAGTGTTTCAACAGTTTATCTAAATCCGGTTGTTTATCGGTTTAAAATCCGGAGTTCGTGTGTATTTGGAAAGATGACGAGTGCACAAGTTTAAGTGCTTCTTAATGGAATTAAATTTAAGATGACTTTGAGTCAGTCTTGTACAGTGCTTCTGCCTGTCCCCATATTTAGAACTACTTGGCTATGCATCATACTATTCTTTGGAACTTAATCTCATATTCACCAGATTTGTTAACGGAGGCTGATAATTTATATAAAATGGAATTGGGTATTGAAGTAGATAATAGCAAATCGTATAACGATCCGGCTACTACTTCTATGTAAAATAACTATTAAACGAGTGATGGAAAGTTTTAATGGTACACAATCAGAGAATCTAAATCCATAACTCAATCTAATTGTATCTTATTAAACTTAAAATATAGTATAAAAGAGTGACAGATACAGAGAAGGATGTATAGCACTGGAAATTGAGAGTGATAGTGATTTCACAACCATCTTCAGTCTAACTGGTGAAGTGCGGGGAGTGAATCATGTATATTGTAAATATTTGAATAACAATCCTTCGATTACTGATCAATATGTATTTTCAAAAGGAAGTTGTCAAATCTATGAATAAATAGAATTATATGACTAAGATAAGATAGATGCTTATGAATTAGATTGCCACTCAATAAATTACACATAATGTGTTTACTTTAATTCTTTAAAACAGAAATGTAAAATAAGAGGAAAAGATTATGAATATCCATGCGTGAATATAGATGACTATCCTGGCTAATAAGTTGTAGATGCTTTTACAAGCTCATAATGCTAGGATAAAGGGAATTATTATATTGATGCATCATCAAATTTATGTATTAATACATGCCTAGCGATTGTTAATAATGTTTGTCCAACTGGCTGTATAGATTTAGGTCAGTAGGCAATTTCATCACAAATTGTCTGCAGTCCACCAAGCAGATGCGATTAGATAGGTTTAAGTAAGTCAACTTGTATGATGTTAAAGATTGAATGTAATTGGAATAAAGATCTGAATAGATGTTATACTTTAACAAGCAATGAGATATTAATTATGAAATGTGAAGATGCATTTAACTTGTTTGTTTGCACAAAGGTAAGTTTGAGTGATTAATTATGTTATTGGTAATAAGATGTAGGAAAATGCATTAATATCTTGGATTAACCATTACTAATTACTCATGACATTTTCATTGATGGAGATTCAAAAACCTTGTGTAATATTAATTTATGCAAACATAATGCAATTGCTACCGAGTATGATGAGTAATCAAGAACTTGTTCATTTTTAAAGGATGATTTCTCAAGCAATTTATATTAGATTAATAAATATCATTGCATTAAAAATATATCTGGATATTGTGCTTGGGATTAATATTCATAGGTTTGCAACTGTTTCTCAGAATAAGAAGTAAAGCTAAAGAATTGCTTGGATTTGGTAGATGTAAATGAGAAACTCTGTTAAAAAGCGAAATTATCTGTCGCTACACTAACATGTGTATACAATCAAGATACTAGTTCTTGCTTTGAGAAGAGTTCAGATCAGGTGAGTTAAATTGAATGTTCTGGAAATGGCTTATCAGAAGATGCATGTGTTTAGAAGAATGTGAATGGCGAGTATTGTTAATATTCAGCAGGGTTGTGTAGATTAATTTCAGTTGAGTAAATCAATTCAATTCGTTGTACATCACTTCAAAAGGTTAATAATCAAGTATGCAAAATGCAATCCATTTATCAAGTCCTATGCATTTACGATAGTATCACTCACTCTTGTTTTTCTCCCACTTTCTAAAATTCATATGCATTTGATTAGAACATCAATAGATATGCATGTTAAGCCATCTAGACTGCCTATACGTATTTTGACGTAAAATTTAATCAATGCATACAATTCTAATAAACTGATAGCTTATTGCTCTCAACTTTAGAGTGCGAATCAAATTTTATAAGTCAATTGGCTTGCTTAAGTATTACAACAAAAGGATAAAATTGCTTTTGGGATTCAAATTTAAACAGATGTAGGAACTATTCTGAAAACTTTAATAATTGTGATGAATATGCTACTGCACCAAGTCGAGTGTGTAAAGCTTTGATAGCAAATATGAATAGACAATTCATGAAAGAAAATTATTGTACTTACACAAGCAATGCATGTTCAATTCTTATTACTACTTTGACTGATTGTGGGGAATCCGAATAAATGAATATTCATAGATGTGGTGGAATGACTGGTATAGATTCATCAGGTAATCCAGTTACGATGTGCGCATTCATCAATTAAGTATGCAGGACTTTGACACAATCAAAAATGGATACTTACATCCTATTGAATTCTATACAATGTAAACAAGCCAATTTAGCAGCATGTACTAAAGTAACTACTCCTGGATAATTTTGTTAAGTAATAAATGTTACAGATTCATCAAATATTGTTATCAACAAGAAGTGCTCAACAGTGTCCTCATAAACGGATTGTGCTACATTGAAAAGTATGGTAGGAACCAATCCAAATATTTGTGCTTTTGCAATTGATAATTGTTTATTTGATTCATCAAATGGTTGTTAAGCTCCTCCAGATACCAATTAAGAATGCGATACTAGTGGCTTATCACTTAAGTCTTGTAAGTTTTAAACTCAAAATAGAAGATGCGCATTCATTAATTATAAATGCTAGTACATACCTGAATATCAAATTTCATCAACATCAAATTGCTCATTACTAAATAGTTTTAGTTGTCATTCAACAAGTCATTGTACCTTAAATGCAGATTTATCATGTGAAGAGATTCAACCTGATAATCTACCAATTACTCTTAATAGTCTATATTGTTCTGCTATTTTAGAACAAAGCTTCTACATAAAGCAAGGATCTATCTGTTAGAAAATAGATGATGTTAACCAATTTGATTTATATTCATGCGACTCTGATGGATTAAATGGCTTTGGCTGTTTAAATATACCTACCTAACTGTGCTAGTATTTTAACAAAAAATGCGAATTTCCTGCTGACATTCTATGCCAAGATACTCCATTAAATTGTGAAAGTAATAATTCAAACAATTAAAAATGTGTATTAAAAAATGGCTCATGCTTTTCTTTGGCAAATACTTCCTATTAATGTGATAGTTTTGAAAAAACGAACTATCTATTTTGTCTACAATACCCAGAATGTATTTATTTTAATTCAAATTGCCAATCGATAATGCAGCCATATAGTGTAAGCCTTTGCTCGGATTTATCAACGATACAGCTATGCACAGCTTAAAATAAATAGTACAAATGCACATATGATTCAGATAACAGCATTTGTTTTGATATGAATTCTGGAGTTTCTCTCTGTCCATCTTTAGATGGATATCATTCTTATCAAGTTTGCTACAACTTTAAAAATTGTATCCATGGATATACAAAAAGTGGTCGAGGATTTTGTTATTAGGATTCCAATTTCTCTAGTCTCACTTGTGAGCAATTACCAGAAGATCTTTGTACTGAAAATCTAAATCATTTAAATTCTAATCTAAAATGCTATTGGGATGGATAATGTATTTCTGTAGACAATACTATAACTTAATGTTCACAACTAATAACATTTAAATTGAATTATGATGCCTGTCTAGGAGTGAGCAACAACGAGTGCATGTATTCCCACTCTGATAATAAATGCAAATATACGGCTGAATATAAAGGAACTGTTTGTCAAGGTACAACATTAAAGGAATGCAACAATGTTAAATAGACATGCTACTTCGATGGAACATCATGTGCTGCTTCAGGTACTTCACTTAACAAGTATGGATGCACCTAATAATCAGGATTATGGAAATACAATATCAATTCTTGCCAATAATTAGTGAGTACTGATTATCAGATAAGTTGTTTATACCTATCTAAGGAGGCATGCTTGAGTGATGTGACTAAGGAACTACATTGTAAATGGAGTAATTTGAAATGTTCTCATGTTCTTGAATTTGAAAATAAATAAACTACATCTTGTACTGACTTAAATAAAAGAGCCTGCGGTGAAATTAGATTATCGAATTTACAATGTAAATGGGACTCTACAAGTAAATCATGTAAACCAATTACTTTGGCTTCGTCTGATTGTTCTATTACAAGTGGTTACGATTAAGCCTCAGTAAGTTTGTGTTCAGGACAAACCAGCAAAACCTGTAGTTTAAATTAGAATAAAAATGGATGTGCAGAAATATCAAACATAGTAGAACTAAGCAGCTGTAACTAATATGGTCTCAATAAAAATTCTTGCATCAACTTAACAACAGTCCCATGTGTTTGGTAAGTAAATTAAAGTGGAGGAGGATATTGTGAAAATGCAAACTTATACTTAGTTAATTGTTCAGACATATTAAATTCTTATGCTTGTTAATAGGTTAAGACTTTGAATCAATTTTGTTCTTGGAACTCAACTACAAAAACTTGTTCTAATGTATCACTTACAAATTGTAGTTCTGCAAGCCATCTTAATGGTAGTTTGGCA